GATAATTTTTGAATGTGTTACTGCGATTTTTGTCTTAATTTATCCTTTAATATTGGCTGACGAGAAACTGAAAACTATCTATTAAGAGTATTCAAATGTAACCTGGTTGGATGTATGTGGTCATTGAAGTGTAGGTAAGTGATGAATTCTGAAAGGTTTGATATAAATATAATGATGTATCTGATAGACTGATACTATTGACTCATAGAAGCATTTAACCCATAATTTTCTGAACTTTTACTTAAGACTGCCAATACTTGTGCGTGACTCTGAAAAGTAAGTACAGTGCATTAGAAACACAACATCTACTAGTTCTTATATACCTTTTGTTCTTTCTTGCAGTTACTTCGACCAATCTATAAGCAAATAGCAGAAAATCAAAATGCAGAAATATTTTCTGCCAATACCCTCCTTGTTGTTCTAGGGACAAGTCTCCTAACTGCTAGGGTATGAAAATTTTACATGTTCTTGATTTTTTTTTCTTTTGTAGTAGTGATCGTCCATTAGATCCTTCTTTTTCTTTTACTCTTCTTGTTGAACAGGCTGGACTTTCCATGGCATTGGGAGCATTTCTAGCTGGTTTGCTTCTTGCAGAGACTGAATTCTCTTTGCAGGTTGAATCAGATATTGCTCCATACCGTGGCCTCTTATTGGGTCTCTTCTTTATGACGGTTAGTTTTTTTTTTGGTGGCATCTTCGTAATATGTAGATGACTAGATCTTTGTTTCATTGAATTACATTCTTGCGTCAGTTGTGAAACCTACCTGGTCTCATCTTTATGAAGGCCATAAGGTCATCTTTGGTAGTTAAAAACGTTAGGAGGATAAATTTTATTTTTTATGCCATTTAGTGTAAAATATATAGAGTAGTCATATCACCAAGATTCATTACTGTTGGGTTAGAGGATGATTTTATCCCGTAGGTGGAAGGGGGACAAAAGTTGGGAGAGGTGGTTGGATAGTCTTCATATCATTTATTACTCTACCGAGTTTGGGATAACACTTGCTTAATTGACTTGTATTTGGTTTTAGGTTATTGGTACTGCCATATATTTATGATCAAGAAAATGCAACCGATGAGAATTGTTTACTGAGTTTTCAGGTTGGCATGTCCATTGACCCGAAACTTCTTGTTTCAAATTTTCCTGTCATTGCGGGGGCGTTGGGGCTCTTAATTGGTGGCAAGACTATATTGGTGGCATTTGTTGGTAGATTTTTTGGTATTTCAATCATATCTGCCATAAGGGTTGGTCTTCTTCTAGCTCCAGGTGGAGAATTCGCATTTGTGGCTTTTGGTGAAGCTGTTAATCAGGTTTCTGTTCCTTTTAACTAACATCATTTGGTAATAAGATTATCATATTCGCATCTAACAGTTTATCCTGCATTTGCTAAATTTTTAGTAAATCTCTTGGGCTATCGGATTTTACTTTTTATTTTCTTCAGTGTTAGGGTGGTTTGAGATTAAAAAAAATTGATCACATATTTGTTCCATTATAATTTGTGATATTCATTAGTTGTGTTGCATATTTAGGTAAATGGCACATTTTGTTACTAAATCAACAGGGATCCTTGTTCTTTTAATAATGATTACTAATCCAACTTCCTAGTGTTAATAATGGAATGTTTTGTCATGTATGCAAGTATTAATGGTGTTGTTGGCAGGGTATAATGTCTTCTCAGTTATCCTCATTGTTGTTCCTTGTGGTGGGGATCTCAATGGCCCTCACACCATGGCTTGCTGCCGGAGGCCAGTTAATTGCCTCTCGTTTTGAGCTGCATGATGTTCGAAGTTTATTGCCCGTTGAGAGTGAGGTAATGTGTCTAACTTACAAATCCGTTGGGGTTGTGAGTTTTATTTTTTCTACCTCAGCAGTTTGTAAATAACTAAAGTAGGCCTTTCCATGGTTCTCTGAACTCCATGTTCTCTGAACTCCATGTTTTGTTGCATTATGAGGTAGCTAGACAAGGATAGCTCAATGCATATGAGTGATATATGGATCCCCAAGAAGATTAGAAAGAAAGCTTTATTGTTTTTGCAATAAAAGTTATTTCAAGCAATCGTGATTAGTTCTAAAGTTCATTTAATGTGTATGTTATCCAATATTGGAGGGAATATAAAGAATCTGTATGCGGTACTGCTCTTTTCAATACATTAAAGCATATGATATCTGATGCAGTGGGGTCGCTGATAATTACTCACCAATCTTTTCTATGACTTGGTTTTATTTCCAGACTGATGATTTGCAAGATCACATTATCATTTGTGGATTTGGACGTGTTGGACAGGTGTTTATATATTTGCACCCTTTAATTTGAGAAATTAGTCTAAAAATGCTAATCTGATGAACTGCTGTCAAATTAGTTAATAATGAACACATGTATAACAATGGCATTTTTTCTCTTTTTCATCTGGATGATCTCAGATCATAGCTCAGCTTCTTTCAGAACGCCTAATTCCATTTGTTGCTCTTGATGTGAAGAGGTAACTTGAAAATTTATATGAAGGAATTATTTGCTTTTTTTTTTTAATATAAAGTCAAATGATCATCAATCACAATGGTTATGATTTTGCAAACATCTGACTCCATCTTAAGCTGGGGTATAGACCCTTGTGTATGCCAATTTAATTCCTCCAAAGATACTTGCTCCTGACTCACTTATGAGTTTGTTTTGATGATCTATTTTATGCAATGTATTGATATAGGGCTAAATGTCCACTTACAGTATATGTGTATATGCATGATTATAGTAGGCTTCTGGGTGTGGAACCTAGGGTCTTACTCCTTGAAATGTTTTTCTAAAGAAGAAAAGAGAAAAAATAGGTGGCAGATACTTGCCCACACTCCAGATGTCATGTGCCATGTAAACAACACCAGACTGTTATACTTTTATAAGTAAGGGTAGCTCTATTCCCTTGCACATTTTTCTTCTTCAATGCAAATGAGTCACTTGCCTACTCCTATGTAATTGACATTCTTGTCAGGAGAAGCTAAGACATTCGTGGAAATAGGTTGACTTATTTTGGAAATGGCCATAGAGCGGTTGTACTTTTATAATCTGTACCAGTGAATCATTATAAGGTACTAAAAGTTCTGCTCTTTCAGTGATAGGGTGGCAATAGGGCGTGCACTGGACCTTCCTGTTTTTTTCGGAGATGCTGGTAGTCGAGAGGTAAAGCAAAATTAGTTTGAAATAAGTGAACTTATAGATCAATATTTGATATTCTTTATACTGGGTGAATAGGTCCTTCATAAAGTTGGTGCTGAAAGAGCTTGTGCTGCAGCAATAACGTTGGATACTCCTGGTGCCAATTATCGAACTGTATGGGCTCTGAGCAAGTATTTTCCTAATGTGAAGACTTTTGTCCGTGCTCATGATGTTGATCATGGCCTTAATTTGGAAAAAGCTGGGGCTACGGCTGTAGTATTCTGATACCTTCTACTAAAATTTCCTCCTGTTAGTTTTTTTCATCTTGTGTTTCCTTATACTCTCTTCCTGCTTGGTGAGTGTAGGTTGTGCCAGAGTCCTTGGAACCAAGTCTACAGTTGGCAGCCGCTGTTCTTGCACAGGTATGATGGATGATTGTGTTGGAATCCTAAGCAGCTTGTTTCCCTTATGCTTTCCTTGGCAATAGAGATGATGATTTGGAAAGGCAACTCTTTCGTTGGCCACTTACTAACATGATTTAAGGCTGGAGAGTTTAATTTGTTATTCCTATTATAAACTGTGCAGGTGTCATATTCATCTCTTAATCTGATGCTTCGGCCGTTGTTCTGTTATTCAGTCATATTGATATCTTAAAACATCTAAGCCTTTCCCTTTTACCGTTTCTTTATGTAGGCTAAACTACCCACATCCGAGATTGCAACAACAATCAATGAATTTAGGTCCCGCCATCTTGCGGAGCTAACAGAGGTACTTCCCACTCCATACTTCTGGTACCAGAATATTTGAAATCACCGCTATTTAACATTGAACTAGATAGCCTTTGTTTCTCTGTTGCATTCGCACCTGACATCTCAAATATATTTATCATAATTGGTATGTGTTTTCACAGCTATGCCAAGCTAGCGGAAGTTCTCTGGGCTATGGATTTTCTCGAGTCACAAGTAAATCCAAAACTCAACCGTCAGATTCTTCAGATGAAAACCACGTTACCGAGGGAACTTTGGCAATATGAAAGATTCCTGGTGTTAACCAAGTAAATGGTTAAAAAAAAAAAAGGAAAAAAAAGGAACCGTATAGAAGAACTACATGCTGCATGGTTGTACGTTGTACAGAAATAGAACAAAAAGGGGAGAAACAAAGGCAATAGCGGACTTTCACTGATAACAAATTTTTAAGCGCTGCATAAATTTCTGATAAACCTTTCTTAATTGTTTATCAAAGTGGAAATCATTATATTGTTGAATCTGTTATGAAATTTTGGGACATCAATACCACAAATTCATAATTCTCAAGAGAGGATATTTGTTCCTTCGTACTGTAATTATTTTTGGAAAATTTTCCATGTATCAATCAAGGCGCTGGAAATCACGTCTCAATGTGGGTGCAGCACCGAAGGTTTGAATGGCGTAATGGGTGGTGTTAAGCATTAACCACGCCAGAGAGCTTTACCATCAAGAAAAGACTTGAGGAATAGGTCTGTTCAAGGCCGGCCCATCGAATATATGCTCTGCCTTAAATGATCTAAGATTCGTCCGTCCATGGTAAAAGCTCTTTATTGGCCTCGCTACTTCTAACAGGAAAAAGAAAAGATTCTCGGATTTAAAAATATCGTCTCGAAACGCACCGTTCGCAGCCTGACTCAGCAGGAGATAATATGTAATTTGTTTATTCGTATAAGAAATAAAAAATTTATATTCCCGTGATATGGTTTATATAAAAATTATTAATATAAAAATAAAATATCTATTTTTTTATTTTGTTAAATTTATTTATAATTTTTATTAAAATTTTAAATTACGTTATTTTGGTAATTTTTATTAGTATCATTTTTCATATCCCTCGTCCCGTCGTATTTGAAATTTTCAGATACAAAAGAAGAGCCAACTTCAAGACTTAAATTTTTTCGAGAAAAGAAAAAATGTAATTTTGCGAAGCCCATAAACACACATAAAGCGAACCGAGTAGCGCCATACGGCCACTGCTCTAAATTAGACTACAGCAAAGCGAAGTGAAAAACCGAGAAGTAGCTTTCTATTCGTTCTTTATTAAGCCCTACGTCCGACACAACGTTTAGATTACTGCATCGCCGTTTCAGGACTCATAAATGTAATATGGCGTCCATGATATTCACTGATCCTTCGTCCTCCGTCACTGCCCGCCTTCTCCCCTTTACCCGTTTCAGCAACTCCGTCGTTTCACTTCGCCGGTTTGTGGGTCCACTCCATGTTGGCCCACTCCTTACCTTTCCTCGAACCCTCTCCCTCCTGTCTCCTCCTTGTTCTTCCCGGTTCATCATTGGTATTGAAACTTTTTTTTTTAAGTTTTCAATTTCTTTTATTGTAAATTTAAAAGGGTGTTTATTTTTCTTTGTTCTTTTACGGTATTTTCCGTCAGTCGAGCATTTAGTCAAACAATTGGAGTGCTCTAAGGGATTTTAATATTTAATTACTTTAATTTCGTATATAATATAATAGATAATTAAGACAATTTTTTATTTGTTCTTGTACAGCTGCAATGGCTACTGAGCCATCTGCTAAGGTGATTGATGGGAAATCGGTGGCAAAGCAAATAAGAGAAGAAATAAGTGCTCACGTATCAAAAATGAAGGACGCAATTGGAGTTGTGCCTGGGTTAGCAGTTATTCTAGTTGGGGATAGGAAGGATTCTGCCACTTATGTGCGGAACAAGAAAAAAGCTTGTGAATCTGTAGGGATTAATTCTTTTGAAGTACATTTACCTGATGATGCTTCTGAGCAAGAAGTTCTCAAGTTTATCTCTGACTTCAACCATGATCCTTCGGTTCATGGCATCCTTGTGCAATTGCCTCTACCTTCTGTATGATTCTAATCTACCCATAAAAAATCTTACATTTTTCTCCCCTTCATGTGAATCACACAACATATGATGGTCTAGAGAAATTAATCAGCTTTATTTCAATCTTCATTATGTATTATATCTTGCTTTCAAATAGCTAGTGCAGTATTTTTAGCTCATGTATAATGTTGCTGCCAATCTGAGTTTTGCTACAATATTTCTACATGGTTAAAACCCATTCAAAGAATTTAATCTTTGTAGGGATTTTCAAATGAACTGAAAGTGTAAAGCCAAATTCTGTCTGTTGATAAGAGAGGGGTTTGGGGGTTTGACTGAGAAGACTATGATGATATATGTCATGCTTTTTAGCACTGATAAAATCTGCCTTATTTTGTTTGCGGCTTAATCTTTTGTTCATTATTTATTAAAAACCTTTACAATAGAACTTCTGCTAGATTTTGGAGTTTACATATTTTGCTGTCCCTTTCTGGCTTTGTCTTGCATGTGATACATGACATGACTCTTATTAGTGTTTCATTGGATTCCTACCAGCATATGAATGAGCAGAACATTTTAAATGCTGTCATGATTGAGAAAGATGTGGATGGCTTCCACCCATTGAATATTGGTCGTCTCGCCATGCGAGGTAGAGAACCCTTGTTTGTTCCATGTACTCCTAAAGGATGCATAGAGCTATTGCATAGATATGGTTTTGATATTAAAGGAAAGAGGGCTGTTGTCATTGGCCGGAGCAATATTGTTGGAATGCCAGCTGCTTTGTTACTGCAAGTAATTGCTTTTCTCCAAATAATTTGTATTACCTCAGGAAATATAATTTTATATTTCTTTTTCACCCTCTAACAATGTCTTGATCATGTTGGCAGAGGGAAGACGCTACTGTAAGTATTGTCCATTCTAGAACTAAAAATCCTGAGGAAATCACAAGACAAGCAGATATCATAGTATCTGCTGTGGGGCAACCAAATATGGTGAGAGGTAGCTGGATAAAGCCTGGTGCTGTTATTATCGATGTTGGAATAAATCCCGTTGAGGTAAGTGGACTTTTTCCTTCTTTTCTTTCTTTTGTTTGTTTTCCATCAACATTTTTCCTTACTTGTTCTCTTGTAACTTGGTTAGTGAGACTTTAGAGTAGGTGACCTTTCCCCCAATTAGCTGACAAGTTTTATATGTATTCATGTGAAAGGATGCAAGTAGTCCCCGAGGATACCGGTTAGTTGGAGATGTTTGTTACGAGGAGGCCTGCAAGATTGCTGCAGCTGTTACTCCTGTTCCTGGGGGAGTAGGTCCTATGACTATAGCAATGCTTCTCTCTAACACGCTCAGTTCAGCAAAGAGGGCATACAACTTAAAGTGAGAATTTTAAAGATGTCCAAGGGTATTTTTCTGGTGAGAAGAATCCATTTTACACAAGTTGCACTTGTGGCAACTGACTCTTCTATGTTGCGGGGTAGAGCCTCCTTTTTGCTTCTCAATTACGGTGCTATAGATACTCCATTAGTCCTTTACAAATAAGAAACTTCTGTTTTGCCATAAGTTTATACATTATTCAGAGTGTAGAGTTGAGGTGAGGTTCAGAGAATTAGGATCATAATGTTCATACGAAGCTGATTCTCGAGTAGCAATGTTGAATAGATTTGTTGCGCCAAAACCTTACCTCCAAACATTTAGGCTACCATTGGATGATATTTTGAGATTATACTGTGGGCCTACAAACCTCGTGAGCTCATTTGGTCTGTTTTTCTTCGTATGTTTCCTTGAGTTTACTTTTCTTTTTCTGGTTTTTTTTTTTTTTAATGGTATACAAGAATCTGCAAAATTAAGGTGGGGTGGAAAAATCCACGTGACCAATTTGTGTGGTCAAATATTGAACTGCACTTAATGAGAGAAAATGAATCATATTCCACAGTATCAATCATCTCATTCCGACGAAACTGGCTCACCATGTACCAAAAAGAGGCCAGAAGGACCATCTTTTGGCAAGAGTGCTAACATAACAGGAGTTGTAGCACCTTCTTCAACGATTAACCTGCCAATATTTAAATTTATCTGTTTTGACGTAGCCAGAGCAAACACAGTTGATGCAGAAATTTGGGTACTTCTTGGCCACAATCCATGTGTGGGCAGTAATTCATGGCTACTATTGAGACAGTATAGGCGGGGGGAGCTGTTGTCCAACCTTTTACTTTCGAATGAACCCTCAAAATCTTTTAGATATTCATTGAGTAACTCGTTCAATTTCTCTTCTGTGGTAATATCTGTTAACACTCGTAAATTACAACAGGAAAATTCTAAGTTGTTGCTTCAGATTTTCTTAAGACTAGCAAGTGCGACAATGTAGATCATTTAGGTTTTTCGACATACATTGGCACTAAATTTTGCAAAGAAAAATTACACCATTAGCATATCCAAAGCATTCTTATCGTACTTGATGATGAAAAGAACCTGTGAACAAAGTTCCCATTTTATTAGTTTCATTCTCTGATGGGATTTCAATGTTATATCAATAGTCTCATTCAAACGATGCAGGTTCACCATGAAGGAAAAAAAGGCCAGAAGGACCACCATTAGGCAAGAGTGCTAACTTAACAGGAACTGCAGCACCTTGTTCAGCAGTTAACTGACCAGTATTGAAGCTTAAATCTGTTTTGACAAAACCAGGGCAAACACAGTTGATGCAGAAGTTTGGATACTTCGTGGCCAGAATCCTTGTGTAGGCATTCATAGCTGCTTTTGAGACTGTATACGCAGAGAGTAAAGTTGGCCAACCTTTACTTTCTAATGAACCCTCCTTGAAATCCTTTAGAAACTCAGTGAGTAACCCATCGATTTTCTCTTCTGTATCAACATCCCTTAATGCTCCTTTGAGCTTTTCGCTTGCTATATGCTGAGACAAAGTCAGAAGAAACATCATGACTATGGTTCAATTAGTTGTTATTCTGAAGCCACACTGACAGATCAATATCTTTCAGGTGTTTGTGTCAGCATGGTACCTTTAACTTGCCCATGGTAGAGGAAACATTAACAATCCTTGGACAGTCAGACAACTGGAGTAAGGGAACAAGCGCTTCAGCCGTTCTTTTAGCGCCATAATAGTTTGTTTTCAAGCATTCTTCTCCCACCTCGTAAGTTTGACTCAGGACATTATTCCAAACGGTTGTCAGATCTGCCTGCATTTGTAAGAGAAAATTAAGTAGTAAGAGATCCTGCAGTAGGACGGTTACACGTTACCAACACTGGAAGTAAAATAAATGCCTTGCATCCATTAAATTTATTAAATTTATATTATAATATTATATATATATATATACACACACATGCAAATAATATATTAATAAAAAATAACTAATTTATAAAATTATAACATAAAAATATTAGTATGATAGCATTAAACTTTTAAGGAAAAAAAGAGTTTTAAGTTAATTGTAAAATTACTAATTTCAATATCTTTCAATGTATTATTAGAATTTTTTTATTTTTTAGAAATTTAAAATTGAAATAAAAGAATATAAATAAATCAATCGTTAAATAATATATATTTATCAAAACAAAAAAATTAATATAATTTTAAAAGAACAAAGTTGAAACTTTGATACTAGAAATTATGATTTTTTTTCTTAACGGTTCCAATCTTTTTTTTTTATTGAAAAAAGATTTTAGGATAGCATGAAATAAAGATCTAGAGTAAAATTAAAAATAAAAAATAATATGTTGAGAGATATTTTAATAAGCTAGAAAGAAAAAGAAAAAATATATTTAATACTTAGTTGGAGATACGGAGTCTTACGGAGAAAGCTAAAAAATTAATTTGATTTTTGTTAATTTTATATAATTGTGATTTAAATTTTATAACAAATTTTTAGTTTGATTTTAAGAATTTATAAATAATGATTTATGAATACAATAAATAGACAACTTTTAATTCTCTTTAAATTATAATAATGCATAAAATTAAACTTTAAAATCATAAAAATATAATTAATAATAATAGTTAAAAAATTAATTTAATATTGATATACACATGCTTAAGACTTTTAAAAACTTCGCCGGGGGGGGGGGGGGGGGGGCGCTGTGCCGACAGTGAAGAACTGCCTTTGGATCTGACCCAAAGTGTTTAATTGCCAGATCTTCTGGCTGAATATCTCAAACCTTGAAACCTCAGAATTAAAGCAGATTTCGGATCATAGGGATATGCATGAGAGTTGGACTTAACATAAAATGTCATTTCTAATCATGCCCTATCATTTAAAGAGCTCCCAGAGTAATTATTATCAAATAGATGAATGAACAAAAAGAGGTCCCCAAGCTCCAAACTAGATCAAAGAGAAACAAATTCTTTCCTGATTGGTTGATTACCTCAGTACCAGAAATATTTGAAACATGTAAATCATCATATTTCACTACAGTTCCCCGCTATAGCAGCATTATTAACCTGCACAAGGAACATTCCAGTCACATAGTAGATTTTGGATGCTAGCATTTCTTTTCCTTACTGCAAATTTGAGAATCTCTCATCATAAAAAAAAAAAAAAAAGAAGACATATGTTGATACCAAGATGTCAAGCTTCCCAAATCTGTCTTTGACAAAATTTGATTTTTTATTATTGTTTTTACTTTTTTTTTTCCAATAATTTTTTCATATTTAATGTCAAAGAGATCATAAAAGCACAAAGTACTTTCTGGCTACAAGAAAGGTTGACTCTTCCGCTATTATTATCTAATTAATGAAAAGTAGGATGAATGCTCCAGAAAGCTTATAGCTTGAAAGAAAGACAAATAAGTAGGGATAGTTTTATCTTGATTTAGAGTATCATGTCAAAAAGTCAAATGAGAATAAATAATTAATAAATGATTCATTCAATTTATTAAAGTTATATTTTTTAGTGAAAATATTTTAAGTTTGAATTTTATTAATAATTATTTATTAAAATTATTTTGAATAAAAATTTTAAATTTGAATCATGTCGATGATTATTTGTTGAAATTATTTTGAATGTATGACTTATTATTTGTCTCAAGTACGATATATTTTGTCATGATATGAAAAATTGAATAATCTATTTATTCTCAAATTTTTTTTATAAAAAAAAAAAAAAATAAGGTAGTTGAAATCTAAAGAATTAGTAATAATGGCACAAAAAAGATGATAAAATAAGAGAAAAATACAATTCTCTTCCATTATTTTTTTTAATATAATTTCAATCACCATCCACAAGTATGAATTTTATAATTAATGAATGAATCTTACATACATAAAAAGTAGCAACGAAAAATATGTGTGTCGATAATTAATGGATAAAAAAAAAAAATAGACAAGAACCAAACCTGAAAAATACATATTTTTTTTCTATCTGTTGTTTATCAAAACAAATAAGGTGGCATCCCCTTTAAATGTTTTCAACAATATGGTTTTGTTTGATTTTGAAGAAAAGGGAGAGATGCTCAATAATTTATTTTTTTTGTTTCACTTGCTTTCTTTTCTTTTTCTTTTTCTCTTTTCGATCCATCCAAACATAAATTCAGTTTCATATACTAAAATTTAATGCCTCACAATGTCAATTATCCAAAAAAGAAAACGAAAATTACAGATAATAATTAGCATAAAATGAAGATTTTAATGGTTTTGAAATTTTAATAAATAATGTGAATTTTTTTTAAAAGATAAAAGGGTATAAAGTTAATTTTAAGACAACAAGAACAATTGAACATAAACCGAAAATCATAGCTGTGTTGATTATTGCCTTTACTAAGTTGACAGTTTGCTTGTAACTGACCCTTATCTTTATTTTCTCCGCCATTATCAAAGTGTGGAAATGGCAACTTCACGTCTCTTGTGCTTTTGCTTCAACGTTTGATTCACTATTGGCCTTGTATCCACTCCTTTACAACATAACCATGGGGGCATGCAGTGAAAAACAGAGAAGAATCGTGTTAAGCCAATATTTCAACTTTCCAAGGAAAGTGACAACCAGTTACACTGAGACTTAAACTGACAAAATAAGATTTTAATCAGAAAGTGTCAAAGGCGGTGACCACAAATAATTAATTTGAATAACTCCATAAAGTTATGATCAGTTGCCATCCCCTTTTAATTTATGTACCCTAGCCTTGACAATTTGGCATGAAAATCTTGTCTTTAAGCTGGATAAAGAGTATTTTGTGAATAAGCAGGACATATTCAGTTGCAGTTGATATCGAAGTTAAGCATGATAAGCAGGGCCGTCCATAACCACAAATCTCTATGAGGAAAAAAAGCTACTGCAATTTATTTTACATATAGTTTTCAACAGCAAACAGCTGCTAAGAAGGGAAGGATTCTCAGTTGCAGTACATAAAAAGAGTGGCTCACTGAAGATTGGAAGGAATCATATTCATCAAAAACATGAGACTTCCTTCCTAAGGAAAAAAACACCTGAAGGACCATCATTTGGCATCAGTGCTAGCCTCGCAACATTTTCAGCTCCTTCAGCAGCAGTTAGGACCCCAATATGGCAAACAATATCAGTTTTCACAAAGCCTGGGCCAATGGAATTAACGAGGAAACTTGGGTACTTCTTAGCCAGAACCCTTGTGTAGGCATTCATTGCTGCTTTAGAGAGTGTATATGCAGAGAAATAAGTAGGCCAGCCTTTAGCTTTTAATAATCCCTCTTTAAAATCTTCAAGAAACTGTTTCAAAACTTCTTCTATTCCATCCTCTGTAAGACTTTCAACATCGCTTAACACTTTCTTAGCCCATTGGCTGGGTATATTCTGAACAAACATGAGAGATAACAGATAAAAATTTCTGTATAAACCTAATAGAATTGATTACTTTGATGCTAATGCTATGGAACCATGGAACTGGATTAAAAAAATTAGAGGTTGATTTTTAGGAGGAAAGAAGGTGAACTGTCAGCCACATGGGTTTTTCTCTTTATATGTGTCAATTCAACATGAATATAATTATCCTAAGGCTGAGATTAAATATTTAGGTATTTGCTTAATTAAAATTAAAATTTTAATTTAATTTAATGTAAAATATAACGATTTTGAATTTATTCAAATAAAAATTAAATTACGACTTTGATTTATATACGCCAAACATATTTTCTGTTAAAGTCACTAACTTCTATAAAAAAAAAAAAAATCAAAAATTAAGTACAATAACAATTTATAATTAATATAAAAGATAAAAATTAAAAATAAACAAATATCAAAATAATTTTGACGGTTCAATAATATTTTCACTTCCATTCCAAGTTCTTACTTGGACAAATTGAATTTTAGCGATAGAATAATATATTTAAATCAAAATTCATTAAATGATTATATCATTAATCATTTTTTTTATTTTGGTGCGAGGAACTTATCATTAATCCACTAATTTATGCCGATTCCGTTATTGCTACTGGGTTGGCTATTAGGGTAGCTTCTATTGGACCTAGAGTTGGTCAAGGTACTACTCGGGCCTAGCTGTAGGAGGCATCGTGAGACAACCCGAGGCAAAGGGAAAAATATGAGGTACTTTATTGTTTAGTTTGGTTTTTATGGTGCAAAATTAAACACAACAATTAATCTCAAATAATCAAGTAAGGGAGGCTGAACAGTAGCAATTCATAATCAAAGCCTATTGAAAAGTAAGAAATTTTGGCAAAGTTTTTAAATCTTTGAAGGGATAAAAAGATACACGGTAAAACAATTGTTTTGAGAAGATTATAGGGTTAGGAAAAAATTTTTTGTTAGGCAATCAACAAAGTAAATTCATCAATAAAATCAACAATTAACAACTAACCTCAGTTGAGCAATTGATCGAATAAGAGGATTTCAATGCACAAAAGCAGTTATAACAACAAGTATAGAATCAAATTTTTATTATAATTCTTAATTTAACTTTAAGTCAAGTAATAATTACTCTATTGTACATAACATAAAGTTTTTTTAATCTTCTTTTGAATCAATTGATTCATAAGAATTGGAATCCTAAGTTCTAGATTTTATCAAAAACATGGGAGTTGAAGAACATGGACTTCAGACAAAAAAAGGCTGATTTATGAAACAGAATTTGCTTGAAAAAATGAGAAGCAAATTTGTTTAAATTTTTTGTTTATTGTACAAATGATCAATAACTTATTATTGGAGCAAGAAACATTTATATTACATTGAACCAAAATAAAGTTGAAATCTTTAATTGAAAATCATGCAAACATATGATTCTTAATTGAGCATTTAACCTATCATGAGGGGGTGCAGATTAGCAACTCCAAATAAATGATGGATGGCAACCAGTTTCAAGTTTCAACTTCAACTGATTTGCATCTTTGCATTAATTTATTTATCAGCTAGTTTTAATGTGTAAACTAGATTTATTCATCAGGATCCTGTACCTTCAATAACCCCAAGATGGAGGAAACGTTGACAATCCTCGCTGAGTCAGATAACTGGAGAAGGGGAACAAATGCTTCAACCATTCTTCTTGCACCATAGAAGTTGGTTTTCAGGCATTCTTCTGCCAACTCAAAAGTTTGAGTTGCAATCTCATATTGATTGGCTTGCTCTTCAGTTGGCTGCATCAAAACAGGAATTTTAATTCCCCTTTGGTTCTTCACTAGAAAAAATAATTTCATATCCACGCAGCCATAAAGAAATGATTAGCTCAATTTATCATATGTATGTTCTGCATTCTCAAACCACTAATGTGTATGCTAGTCCACAGCAAAATTTTAGATTTTATTAATAATAAGATAACAAAATTATTCAAAATAAATCATATTAATTTCTATTAATAGATTCATTTATGAGTACTATTAACAGAAATGCAGAATGCTTACAAAGTAACCTGCAAGTTCAGTAGCTTTGGCAAAAGCCTGAGGATCTAGAATAGCTCCAAAAATCCCTGCATTGTTAACCTGCACATGGATCCAACCATGACCAAACAGAGCAACTTATTGGATAAAAGAGAAAAGACAAATGTCAAGGTTCTTTTTTCTTTTTTTGTTATTTTCATCTTTCAAATGTAAAGCTGATAATTTGAAGAAACGGGTCATCAATGGTTTACCAAGATATCAAGTTTCCCGAATTTAGATTTGACAAAATCTGCCAGGGAAGCAATACTAGAAGGGTCTGTTACATCAAGTTGGTGAAAAACTACAAGATCAGACAGACCAGAATCTTTCAATTTTGCAACAGCTTCATGACCCCTTTTCTCGTCTCTAGAAGTCAAAACTACCTTGATTCCTTTCGACGCCAGGTTCCTGCATAGCTCAAAACCAATTCCCTTGTTCGCTCCTGTTATAACTGCATATCTGAAAGACCAAAAAAGAAAAAGAAAAAAACCATGACAAAGGTTAAAAAGTACTAGGATAGATAATGTCGAAGAAATCATGAAAGCACAGCTTGCCTTTTGGCTGCAAGAAAGGTTGACTCTTGTGCCATTCTTATCTAATTAACCAGAAGTAGTATGAACAATAAAGGCTTAGTCTTTTGCCACAGATATCTAATTAACCAAAAGTAAAATGAATGCTCTAGATCTCACAGCCTGAAAGAAAGACAAATAAGTAGGGAAAGTTTTCTTTGGGTGTTTAGAGGAAGTAGACCAAGAAGTCAAAAGGAAAAAAATGGGCTAATAATGGCACAAGGAGGATGAAAGAATATAAGAGAAAAATACATTTCTCTTCCATTATTTTTTAATATAATTTCAATCACGAATTTTGTAATTAATGAACGAATCTTACATTCATGAAAAATGGTGACGAAAAAAAATTGTATTGATAATTAATGGATAAAAAATAATAGACAAGAACCAAATCCGAAAAATACATAAAAATACTTTCTTTTTTTTATAAATCTGTTGTTTATCAAAACAAATAAGGTGGCATATCCTTGAAATGTTTTCATCAATATGGTTCTGTTTGGTTATTAGATAAGAGGTCAAATCAATTTCATTTTTAGCATGTGTTCAATTACTAAGTGGAGAAAAGGAGTACTATCCAATGAACCTCAACTAGCACATTTATTATAATTTTGTAACTATTTTTGGTAACTTGGACTGCAAAATTTTTAAAATTAATACTCTAATAATACTATGGTCCCTTGTCCAGTCTCAAGAGTCGGGAGAAATTAAGAAAAAGGAAAAAACGAAATTTTGTCAACAATGATTTTTACACTGTGTTTAAATAGAAATTGATAAAAAAAATTTTAAAAAATAAAGGAAGGGAAAATTTTTAAAAGAAAGAAAAAAATATATACACTTTTATTTAGATAGTTAAAATTAATTAAAAAAAATTAACATTCGGTTAAAGAGAAATAAAAAATTTATTATAATATTTTTTTCAATTATACCTTAAAATGTTTTTATTTATCATGTGAATAATCTAGAAATTAATTGTTTTAAGTAAAAAAGAAAGAAAAAATTTAATAAAAGAGATATTTTTATTAATTCATAAAATAATGTAAGTTTGAAATTATTTTTATACAATTTTATTTTTTAAAAAATTAATTTCAATAAAAAAATTAAAAAATCTAACTATGTTTTGATAACTTAAATTAGTTATAAACTTACATTAATATTTTCTTACAAGTTTAACAGTCTCTATTAATATATACATAATTTCTTCTATTGCATGTATTTTTTTTTTTTGTGTTCATATTTTTTTGTCAAATTTATGAAATAATAATAAAATATAAAAACAATATAAGATGCAACGTAAATTAAAAAAATAAAATATAGATTTTTTTTTGGGGACAATGATAAGTTACCTAAATCAAGAATAATGTAAAATTTTAATTTCATATAAAATAAAAAATACGTGAAAAGAAAGAAAAAAATATAAAATATAAATATAAAAAATTTATAAAAATAAATTTGAAGACGTCTATAAGAAATTAATGAAAGCTAAAAAGGCAAAATAAATAAAGATTCATTTTTGCATTTGATATTAAAGTAAATATTAATGCTACTTGTCAAGTTTATAATGCATTTTTAAACATTAAAAAAATATTAAAAGTATAAATATGAATTTATATTTAAAACTTTTTTACCATTTTTCTTTCCTCTCAATTTTCTCTCAATTCGAGATAATTAAAAAGTAAAGCTTTTGAGGAAAAAAAAAAGGGGTGCTCAATAAAATTTTTTTTATTCGCCTCTGGATCCATCCAAACATAAACTTAGTTTCAGATATTAGAATTGAATGTCTTAACAATTTCAATAATCCAAAAAAGAAAAGAAAAATTATAGATAATAATTAGCATAAAATGAAGGTTTTAATGGTTTTGAACTTTTAATAAATAATGTGAAATTTTTTTAAAAAGATAAAATGGTAAAAAGTTAATTTTAAGACTAGAAGAAAAAAGTGAACAGGCTTTGTTTCCCGCAGGCTGCTGCTGAACTTGGTGCCGCAATCCACATACACATAGCCTTCGATTCCAAATTGTGAAAAAAAAAAAATGAGAGCCTACTTCTCATGAACAAGAGGGCTGTAAATAGGGAACCACATGTTTCTAGATACGTATCCCACCGTCTCCTCCTGCACCCATCAAGTGAAAAGCAAAATAAAATAAGAACCCATTTCTAAGGGACACAGCGAGCAGATTAGGTTTAGACATTCCTTTGTTTTGAAATCAGTGTGCAAGTCCAGTGAATATTTTACCAGGAAAAGGTGGTAGAAGATTACCAGAGAGATAAAAGAAGTAAGGTGAAAGAAGTTGCATACCTTTGACATGTGCGCCAGATCTTTGGGACCAACGTCTCCATGCCCTTCTGCCAATTCCTCTGCGACAGCAGCTCGTAGAACAGATGCTCCAACCTCAGCTGTGATATGTCGAATGCTGCATGGTCCTCAAGCAGAATGAACTTAAGGGAGGAGCAAAGCATTGGAAAGAAAGAGTGATGGAATATTTTTAAAACTGGGTCCCCAAAACCATGCATCGATCCTCCCAATGATCTCCAATGGTCAAGAGTGTTTATTACAAGCAATATAATTGGATAAAGACCAACCTATGTAGACCAGTAAGATAAACGCCTGTCTACTCTTTTAAGTAAACTAAATCTAGGTCATTGTAACAGGCAAAGGATCTATTGATAGTATACCTACACCATGCTAAATAATAAAAATTTAAGCGTTTAAAAACTGGGTGTCCATTGAAATCTTGAGTTCACAGATAAATAATTTTCACCAGCTTGAACTGAACAACAAGGAAAAGTCACCAGTGAAAGCAGGGAATATTACCTATTGATAGAAGGATACAGGATGCCCTTTTGGATTTCTTCGTCAGTCATATAAGATGCAAGGCTGCAAGCATAGCATCACATTCACAACTTCCAGAATAAGACGGAATGTTTTAATCATAGTAAAAAATATCATTTTCATAAATATATGCAAATGCAGAGCTGATTTTCTTTTTTCTTTTTTGGGTCAACACAAGCAGAACTGTTAGTAGACTGATTTAATCAATTAGCATTGTACAAATTAAGATCATACATTGGTGCAGTTCACAAATAAAGCTTTATTTATTAAGTCAGAAGCGCCACAAGAATTAGTTCATGCAGTCTAATACATATAGGACCCATTGTGTGCATGATCACATGAAGTGCAAAAAGGTTATTGTAACCAATGTCTAAAAGAGTTTATGAAACAGAAACCAGAAGAATGCCCAATAACATGGGGGGACACAAGCCTACACCAACATATTATCCTTTTTTGGGCCTTAATTTTGCATCACTGAAAAACTGAAGTCCCATGCAGTCAGCATTATGTTTATCAACTAGAATCAGAATTCTGCAAAAGTTCTATAACAGCCAACTTGATATTACAAATTGTAAATAGGAGAGTTTAACGCATTCTTCATGGTGACTTCTGGACCTCAAGCATTATCAAAAGAGAGAAAGAGAGAACAAGAACAGAAGCAACTATATAATATTAATCATCTTCATACCATTCAGCAGCAGCCTGCCACATTCTATCAGTTATAAAACGAGCACCTGAGAGCAAAGCTCCTAAACCAATCCTGGATCAAGAGCAACAATATTTACACCAAAGTTAAGATCTAAGTATGGTTAAGAAAACAACAACTATGAACCAGAAATAACACCTACCCTGGGAACAGGTACATATTATTTGCTTGATTTACATAGCCCACTTTTCCATTACCTGTCAGCAAGTAAATGATTAATTAAGATGTAACAACCACAATTGAAAAAACCAGATTCATGTGCAACAACATAGCCAGCAACAGCTTTCTTATTAAGGAAAGAAGCACCAAATGCTTGTAAATAGATGATGCAAAATCTTTCAAACAAGATGAACTTCAACTAGTATGGCAGATACCAAGAAGGACATTTTCAAAAGGGCTTCCACTGGCAAAGACTATGTTTTCTCCAGCATGCTTAAAAGCATCAGCCGCAGTGCATTCAGCTGTCAAATGGGAATGCAAACAAAATGTCAAGACAAAATATCTAGTTTCATAAGGAAAATCCAAATGCATGATACAGCAGATAAAAAACAAACCATTCATGGTGGGATTTGACATTGCGAAAATAGCAGGTTTGCTTGACTCAGATTCACGCAAGGCCTTGAGCACCTGTTTTTGTGCCAACATAGTAGTAAGGAACTCAGCACAATGCAAAATGCAAGCAGTAATTAGAACTAGAAAATAAGCATAAAATCCCATGAACAACAAAATAAAGTTATCAACAGTACATATAATAGAGATATATAGAAAAGTATGAATTTCTACCTCTTCATTGAACACACCACCAACTCCAGACAGACCAAGAAGCACATCAGGCTTGACCTTTTTAACCTAAATAAAATTTGGTCAACAGCAATTAGGTTCCTATATATGTAAAGACCATCTATAACTTGAAGAAGACTACACTTATAAGACTGCAAATTCTGCACCGACTGCCTTTCTTCTTCGTACACAATTTTATATAACACCAGCCTGGCACTTATGCACGCTGCCTCAAGCACTCACATTGAACTTACCACTTCAAGAAGAGAAGCCCCCTCTCTAAGTCCCACTATCTGTCCTGGATCTTTAGCAAATGGTGCTGCTGCTGGATCAAGACTCTTCCTCTCCTTAGTGATGAGACCCTAAACCAACAACAAACAAAAGAAAAGTAAGTATTTACCAACCATGTGGAGGATGAAATAAAAATTATAGACATATAGCTAAAATCAGAGCATTTATATTCCCAGAGTCAAACCATAATTACCTTCTAATAAGAAATAAGAAATTAAATAAAAAAACTATGAATGAAGTAGATAATATAAAAAGGAAAATTATCTTTTCCACCGCCATTGGAGTTTTTAAACTCCACCAGCGGGATTACTAGAGCGAAACATACCCTTATAAGGTATATTAAAAATGATTTAAAAATCAATTTAACAAGAAAAAGAACACTTGTCATTCTCTTAAACCCGCTTGTGAAGTTTAAAACTTCACTGGTGGTGCATAGAAAACAGACTCATGTAACAAACCTTTAGATCATTTTTCTGTTCACGCAAGCCTCATCTTTATTACACAAGAGAAAGGACATATTACGTATCTAAAAGAACAGAAAAGCTTTGCACAAATAGAATGGAGAGTACTAGAGAGGAAGTATAAAACCATACATCTTTATCAAGTAGGAAAAAATTCTGTGCAGCTGTTTTGCCTTTTCCAGTCATCTTCGCAACAGCTTGCACAGCCATGCTAAGAACACCAAGCCCCGCACTGGAAGACAGACAGACGATATGAGATATAAAGCTATGAGGGAATGGGCACAAAGAAACAGCAGAAACATTATGGTGAAGGACTGAAAGCCAAACCCTCATCAATAAGTTAGTCAAGTACCTCCCAGCTCCCACCACAACTATCTTTTGGTTAGGAAAGTCAGCCAATGATCGACCTTGTGCTCTCACAGTTCCTAACAATCCAGCAAGTGCAACTCCAGCAGTTCCCTAAGAGCATTAAGTAAGCACAACTTTCTAATAATGGTGGCATCCATAATGGCCACAACAATCTGCATTTAACTAGATACTAATCTAGTCCGTAAAAGTAGCAAGTTGCTGCAGCAAGTGCTGACCTGTATGTCATCATTAAACATGCAAAACCTTTTCCGATAGCGTTCCAGGGTTTCAAAGGCCCACTTCATTTGAAAATCCTCAAACTGAATGATGTAATCATCAAATAAACAACATGATATAAACCAAGCATAACACAAAAGTCTCACTTCTGAAAGAAATAAACCTGTACAATAGCCTTAGGCCAACGTGTGAAAACTGCTTCCATGAACTCATCAACAATTGATAGATATTCTTCTCCTTCAAACCTAGGTTGTCTTAGTCCTAAATCTGTCAAGCCAAAAAAAAAAAAATGTAAAAAATCCTCACAATCTGTCAAAAAACAAAGTCACACAAGCATATCATATGGTCCACTCCGCTAAGGTAACAACTTCTTAAAAGCAAAGTAATTAAGTACACATTTTACTCACAAAGCGGATCTTCAAGCAGCTTTTGATTGTTAGTACCAACATCTAGCATAACTGGGAGTATCTGTCAGAGACAGATATTGATTGAATGATGAAAGTTATAACACAAGACCAGAGTCACCATATCAAGAAAATTTGAGAATGTGAAAATGAAATAAAAACATAGAACAAACTTTCAAAGCAAGATAAAAACCAAATAGTTTCAATTTCACATATGTTGTGCACTTAGCCTCAAATATAAGTGCACATGCATATATAAGAGCAATATAGCTGATGGTTAGATATGTCAAATACAGTCAACAACCAAACCTGGATATGAAAATGGTTGTCAAATGGCTGATAAACACACACATGGTCCACCTCAAAGGCGTTAAGTACCAATAAGAATGTATAAGCCAAGTTAAAAATATCAGACATACACACGCATCAAATATACACACAGGAAGGAGGAAGAAAAAGAAAAGAAGAGAGTAGTTCATACCCTTTGTGGGTTGATACCAGCAGCAGCAACATACATATCAAGTTTTCCTATTGGTATTCCAATACCCTGAACTCCAAGGTCACCAAGGCCAAGAATGCGACTGCCATCAGTCAGGACTATCATATCAACCTGTGAGACAAAGGGGAATTGAACATAACTTTAGAACTGCAGAAAGCAATAATTGATAACCTGCTTCCCTAGAGAGCAAAGGAACAAAAGGCATATGGCACACAATCTCTGACACTCTTAAAGATCCACAAAACTTACCTTTTCAGATGGCCAATTATATATCATAGACATCATCTCTCCTTTATCCTTTGCACTGAAATACATTCCACGTGGGCGTCTAAACAGCCCGGAGTAATTTTGGCATACTAGTCCCACAGTCGGGGTGTAAATTATAGGAGCAAAATCTTTGATGTTGTCAATAAGGACCTGGAGCAAAAAGCGAAGCAGAAAACTTTAAATGATACGAGAACTTAAAACCACAAACTTAAACAAAACAAACTTACTCTGTAATATAGTGTTTCATTCCTGTCATGCAGTCTATTTAAGATCCTCCATTTTGCTAATGCAACAACACCATCTGGTTGGCCCTTAGTATTTTTCTCCAACGAGTGATATGATTCCACTACCAATTAAAAACAGAGTCTAAAAGGCTAACTACCTCAAAATTTTCACTCATGTCAAAACTTCCAAAGCTCTGCTATATCCAAGCATGTTGTGAAAATATTAAACATGTCAGAAGGGTAGGCTTAAAACTTACTGAAACGAGCATATTGCTGCTCAAATGATATCACACGTGGCGGAAGGAGACCACGGAGCCCGAGTCGATCTCTTTCTGTCAAAGGAAACCCAGTATCCTGCACTTGAAGGAAAAAAAAAAAAAAAAAAACAAGAAGAAAACAAAAGACAACCATTGCATCAAAGCCAATTTCATTAAAAAAAAAAAATCAAGCTCATATTGTTCAACAATATTTCAATAATACAAACCCAAAAAAATTAGCCAACTTTCAATTCTCAGTAAACTATTTCTGAGTCATAAAAAAATTTCACTTTAAAAGACAAAAATTACTTCAAAGTGCAACAAGTTCATCAGAGATCATAGTAAAACCAATTGGTAAACCGACATAAGTTAATCATCATCAAATCACTAAACTAACCTTATTGAACCACGGATCATGAAGAATATCAGCACCACGCTTGTGAACAATACAAGGACCAGGTATCGCCGTCGAGAACAACCGCCTTGATCGGCTCAGTCTCGACCCTGCAAATCGCGCCAGATTCCACATTCCGTGCCCTAGAGTTCAAGATCCAAAGCCACCACTGAAAGAAATCGGAGACAAGAACACAAGTCAACAAAACCCGCTTTCTGTTACTGATTGTCCTGTCTAAACATGTCGCCGCCAATGTTTTAGGAACAAAAAACAGAAGCAACGGTCGTTTAGGTTTTAAGCGCGTGTTTGGTGTAATATATCGTAAAAATTTTCTGAAGATTTTTTTTTTTTTTTTTAACTTTTCTTTGGCCTGAAGGTCGTGTGGGTATGTGTGGAAGTGGAAAATAGTTTAAGTTGTTTGGAAAGAGAGTGTTTGCAGCTGCCCCGAATGTGCGGGCAAGGAAAGAATGTGCTTTAGGTTCGATCTGCCGTTAGCTGGAGGTGATTGAAGAATGTAGCGGAGGGCGGAGTGCCCGGGGAAGACACGGGTAGCAAGAGCATATTTAGGAAGGTAGGGTTGGGGTTATTCATGGGAGATGTGGGACCACTTTTTTGTTGGCTATAACTAAAGGGTTGACTAATTCAACTGGGCTTTGGCCTTTGGGAGTGACAGAAGTCGTGAAAAGCCTTTCGATATTTGCCACGTGGAAGATCGGCTTTGGGCGCCCACCAATTTTGATTTGCTACTCGTAAAATGCTACTTTCTTAATGGTATGCCCCATCCGTTTCTTTTTTTTTTGGGTAGCTGATATTATTGGACAATTCACAAAAATGAAGATCAATCATCTTGGAGGATCTTTTGAGACCATACAAAGAAATTAGTATTTACCAATCTGATGCTCACTTGACCAGACACTTTGAACCATTCTTCATTTATGCATTTTTGGTTCTTTTTTTGTTTTGGTTCTTATTCCTAGCTGCAGATAAAAGAAAGAAAAAGAATCCTATGCAATTATGCTGGAATATATGGTTGGAATCAGAGTCTAATAATTCAGTATTAAGTATATATTTATTTATGCTCTATATCTCGTTCAAATCAAGCAGATCAATTCCAATTCCAGTCAATGGAATTGATTCTTTAAATATATGGATATGATCCAAGAAAGTTATCCCATTCTAGCCTGCTCTATAGAAAACTTTCAACTTCAAGCTGCGGCAAATGGAAAATCGAGTTTTTCTTCTTTTTTTTTGGCCAGCAAATGGAAAAGGAGTTCACTTTTCATTTTCTGTTGGCTCATGTGCCAACCAGACAGAATTTGAGCGTCGACCTTTGGGTCAGAAACTTTAGCCCACCTCCACCTTCACTACTACAACGAAGTGACCTATCCTTTTGTTTCATCTTACCATTTGGATGAAAAAACTTTATCCCCCCAACCTTTATCTCTGTAACTGCAGCTTTAGAGCATATGGTAATTCCATGTATTAGTAAAACAGTCTTGTCAAACATCAATCATATACTCCTCACCAGGGAACAATGAAGACGTACAAATATCTCCCAATTTATCTCTCCCATGACAAAAATATTGAACTTATAAAGCAAGTTTGAAGATTTGTCAAGATGACGGTGCAAGCAACAGTCACAACTTATTGATCATATAGAAAGCTAAACCAGTCAAAGAGTCGCAACTTATTGACCAAATCCATGGCAATGAACAATTGCATGGTCGCTAAACTGCTAGCCATAGGATGGTTTGAACCGCCATCCGTACTCCATCGACAGTCCTGCGCAGACTTAATACTCTTTGTTTCCAAAGTTCTTGCACCAGAGCTGTGAAGGAATTGGACGAACAGGCTGATGAGGCCGTTGCTGCAAGAAAAATAATCTTTTAGCTAAAAATATCATGGTAACATAAGCTAGCTGATAAATGAAGATGTACAAGTTTTGAAGAAGTCATCCAAAAATTAATAGATTTAACCACAAAGTTTTGGAGCAGCTCATGAGTCATGGCTATATACATCCAGTTCCCACAATTGAGTAACTTGAAAGTAGAAATGCAACAAATTGTATCCAATATGTCAGTTTGATCAGCTGAGACTAGGGCCGCTTAAGTAGATAAGAAGTGAATATAAAGCAATAAAATGTGGACATTGATTTCAATGATCTGATGAAGTAAAAAATGAAACATTTTGTGAAAGAAAAGCTGACCATGTTGGAAGGCATATAGATAGTTGACCTTTAGTATAAGTACAACATTAGAGAGGAAATGCCATTGAGGAACTTAACTTCTAGTCTATCAGATAAGAAAGAAGTTACAATCTTACATTATTATGTAAACCAGGAAACATGTGGTCTATTGGAATTCAATCAATTCAATCAAGAATAAGTGCGCAGCTAGTATCTTCCAGAAAAAGTAGATTTTCGCACAGCATTGATGGAAGATAAACTTATAATGAAACCAAGAGTTGTTTAATGAACAGAATTCAAACAAGAATAATCAAAGGAAAATGATAAACACCTCGCTAGCATTCAACTAAATGTCAGAATGATCAAATAGAGAGCCTGTTCAAAACGGATTACCATACTTGACCTTCACATCCACTTCTATCTTTTACAATTACTACTCTATGCGTATATCTAAAATTTCAAGCTTCAACCAGCATTTCTTCAAGCACAAACTAAAATCACACGGTTTCAGGTCTCACCTTACCAATCCCTTCTATCTAATTCCAAATGATCTACATATCTTAGAAGGTAAGAACCCACTATAACTAACAAATTGTAATAAATTTTAATTTAGATTTTCAATAGGATTAAACCCAGACTCAAAATTCATATAATTAGGCCAAATGGCGTTCTAAATAGCAATTAAAACAGCACTAAAGTGAGAAAATAGGGGTTTAGGAACCTCGAGCTCGGCGGATTTCATGGCGATGGGGATGCAAATGAGGAAAACGCCGAACATGGCAATGGCAGTATTGCGACGCCAGTGCTTGGGCCGGCAGTATGGGCCTCCCGACATGCTCCACACCTTCGTCCTGAAATCCTCAGCTCCATGCCCATGTCCATGCTCTCCTCCTCCTCCCATATTTTCCTAATTTACTCGAACGAACAATCAATTGAATCTCTTACAATTATGACCACCAAAGAAACAAGATCAGATGAGAATTGAAAATGTAAAACCTAATTGGATTTTATGAATTAAATTTAGTTGCTAGGATTAAATGCGAAAAGGAGAAGAATTGTTTGGTTATCGCGTTACCTTAGGGAAATAGCAGATCAAGAACGACGATCAGGTGAGGCTTGCTCGCTGTGTTCGCAAATGGAGACGGTGGCGGAAGAGAAGGGTTTGGCACTTCTTGGTGGTTATTATTATAGTTTATCGAGGAACTCTTTGTGTGTTTACTATATTGTAGAAGCCCATGGCTCGAAGCCCAGTTTTTAAAGGGCCCGGTTTTCCTCGACAATTCTTAGGCCATCTTCGGTGTTCTTAGATTTCACAAGTCTGGAATCTAATCTAATTTAGCTAAAATGATAAAAGATAGTTAAAGAAGCTCATAGGTCGATCAGAGTTTTCATGTTAATATAAAATATTTTTTTTAATATTTTATTAAAATTTTAAATTGCATTAATTTTATATTTTATTTTATCATTTTTACATTGTATTATTGTATTATATCTAAAATTACATGCTCCACTCATAAACTCATAAATGCAACTTTATTAATATCATCAACGATCCAAAATAATTTGAGAATTGAGATTACATTACATTGTTGCCCCCGACAATACAAATATCTACAACAAAATAAATCTATTAAACTGGATTATTTTACCGGTAATGACATTCTGTATACAAGTTTTTACTCATTATTTTCTTAGAAGAGGCACAGCAGGTTATTCTTTTCCCTCTCGACAGCTATATGGATGTTTTTCAATCAAATACCGGCAAACACAAATTTATATTCTTTGTAGGTAACCAAGTGGCATCACACAAAAACGGACAGCAATGGATCTTACTAACATCACGAACTTGCTTCAGATGCAAGTATCAATTTAACACCTTCTTTAAATGGAGTAGGAGAAATTTTTAGCGTCTGAACCAGCTTGGCGATATCCATAGATATGTCAGCAGGAGACATGACACCACGGTCCACCTGAGAAACCAGCATTTCAGTTACGGCAACCAGGCACACAAAAGCAATCTATATTAAAAAGGAATAAATCAAGAGAGAAATAAAAGGTAGCAAAATTGGTGAGTATTTTGGAACCATGTTGCTGTATGCTTTTGGTAGATCACTGGAAAACCTCTTCAGAATCAGATGGCCATGAAGGAAGGATGAATCACGGGGCCTTAAATTAGGGATTAAACTATAGCAAACTACTAAGTTCAGAGCACCAAGATAAGAATTTTTGCCATGGCTATACTTACAGATGATGCAGATACTGGTTTAATTAATGAGGAATCATGTCCTCTAATTTGTGCCACAGCCTCAGCCATTTGAACGCGGGACACCCTGTCTGGTCCACCAACATTTAGCAGCAACTGCATTTTCTTACCCTCTTGGATAAGCAACATAAGATCATAAGCATTAAGTCAGTTAGGATATAAACAAGAAAAAAGAAATCCAGAAGAAATTTTCTTTGGAGAAGTAAAAGCACCACAAGGACTCAGAAGAAGGACCAACCCTGTTAAAATGAGAAAATACACGAGATGTACCAAAAGAAAAAAAATCAATAGTGAATAAGAAAGTTCAGAGAATGAAGACAAGATTGCAGACTGGGCCACTTTTTCATTCTTTCCCGAGTGAACTGTCCGCCTTGTGCTATAGGATAGAAGATAATAGCTTTACAGGATGTCAATCCCATATCGGAGACAGACTGATGCTATCATATTAAAATCTTCCTTCAGAACTAAAATTTTAGAACAGGTGAGATGGAAGGACTGAAGGAGTGTATCTCAATCTATTGTCAATATTATCTATAGAAGCACAGATAATTGCTTCATACCTGATAACCATTTGTCAATCAAAGTCAGGATGATAGTCACAACATCATTTACATACACTGGGCAGCGATACTCATCATAAAAAAACTCCACCGTATCTCCTTTGGAAAGAACACCATCAATCCACTGTAACCAGTTAGGTTATAAACCACAGGTTAATAATGAAATAATCATGAATTCTAACCTATAAAATATGCTACTAGTGCATTTTGTGAGCTTAACTGCTTAGATGAATTATTATCATACAAGAAGCAAAATAAACTCAAGTGTTACATAAATCAACATGGATGTTTTTCATTCCACACAATGTCCACTTAACCCCTAAATTTACTTGTAAATCTACTTGGATGGAAAACGGAATAGGAAATTGCCCAGCTATTTTCCTACAGGCATTTTCATTTGCAGCATATGAAAATTAAAAGGCCAATATGAAAAAAATCATACTTTTAGCCAAAAAAATGAAAAAGAAATAAATAAAAATATGGACTTCAGGTTCGCACCTGAATTGGAAGAGATTTTGGAACAGGTGAGACAGTTTGTGGCCCAAATATAATACTACTTCTCAAAACAGCAAAATTTCCCCACTTCTCAGAGATGAACCGCTCAGCTGCAACTTTTGATTTTCCATAAAAATTAACAGGAAGAGCTTCATCTTCTTCCTTGTAAAAAGATTTCACCCCTTCATACACTATAGTAAAACCAACATCCAAAAAGACAACTGTATTTCAGACCTCATACCCGACAATTATAATTTCACAAAAATAAAAAACTTCAATTACCTTGATCCGTTGAGAGATGAATAAGAAGAGTATTTTCATTTTGGGTAAAGCTTGACAGCCAATTAACAAGAGAAGTAGGCACATTAATGGATGTAGCAGCGTCAGGGTCCTTCTCGCAAGCGCGGGGCACCGAGAGAGCAGCGCAGTTCACCACCACATCAGGCTGCCATTCCAAAAACCACAAGCTTAGTTGAAAGAATTTACGGGTATGAAACAGATTGCAAGGGAGGGAACTAACCTGGCCAAATTGTTGTGAAATGGAATGGAAACCGAGTCCAGTCTTCAAATCAACGTGAAAAGCGAGATAGCTGGGGAAGGCATCGAGCAAGGGCTGTGGAGGAAAGGAGTTGTAGGTGAAAGCCACGTCATACGAGGTAGTTCCTTGGATCTCAGACAATCCTTGCAAGAGATGTTGCCCCAAGTAGCCTGTGCCTCCCACTACCAACACTTTCTTCTTGCTCATTTCCGCACTCCAAGACGATTTGGATTCGGTGGAAAGAGCTTAAAAGTTCAGATTTTTGTTGGGGACTTGGGCTTTTTGGTAAGAAGGCTCGTCAGGTTTGGTACCCGTTGGTTGTATTGTGGTTTGTGGAGATTCAATGAAGCAAAAGGAAGGAAGCTTCTTAGTTTTAGATCACTATCGTAGGATAGCTATTGGATTGCATGTGAGTTCAAATTCGCAATCAGGCGGTATCATATATCAGTCTCAGATAAGACTTGTAAATAAATAAAATAAAAAACACTTTTTTTTTCCTTTAAATGTTACAGGCCTTACCTCTATATATCAAAAATCAAAATCAAATTAGGGTTTTTTAACTACCCGTTGCTCTATATATACCAGTCAGACCAACTCACCGACGCTATAGTATCTTCGTCTCGATTCTCGTCTGCTCTCTCCCTTTCTCAAATAGGAGATGGCTTTTTCACATCAATTTTTCTTTTAATCTGATGGGAGACAATCGAGATCAAATGATGAGGAAAAAACTGCAACAAAATGATCGATTAATTTCGTGATTACTTGTATTTAAGTCTCTGACGAATTCGCTTTGTCTTTCCCCTACAGAATTTCCATTTTGATTTCTATTTGTTTTTCCTTTTCCTTTTTAAGTGCGAAAAGATTTTGAATTAATGAACATCTATAAACAGCAAAGGATATTTCTGGAACACCAAGAAGAATAAAAAAGGCAATAATATTGCTGTTTACAGAAAGAAAAGAAGTCTCTCTCAAAGTTTGATGGTATGAAGTTAGCTCCGCATTTCACTCAAATTGAAACTCTACTCCCTTGTCTGCACCATGGCGTCTCAACTACATTTCTGAGGAAGCCTGTGACTTCTCGATGAGTAACTCAATTTTCTGAACGAGCAGACAATAAAGTATTAATACGAGGATTCATTAAAAAAAAAAAAAAGAATTAACCAATAAGTCATCAAAACACGGCAAATATGGAGCATAAAGTTCTACAGTGATTCCAAATTGATGAAATGCTGAGAGCCATTAACCTGAGGTGCAACAACAATTCATTTTTGGGTCAACTAATTATTCGCAGATCCTGGTATGCCTTCAACTCTTTCATCAGTGCAGTAAAGAGAAATAAGATGGTGCAAACCTTTACTGATTTATTGACTTCATCAAGTTTTTGCATAAACAACTCTCCAGACACAACTGCTCTGCGCTCCACAGAAGAATGACGTGGTGAAGCTATCATCTGAACAACATGTGCAACGGTAGTTAGAATAGCATGGACACGGGAAAAAGGGCTATGAAATACTAATAAAGATAGCATGCAGAAAGGTCTTAAGAGTAAGCGATTCGTTTTTCATGCAAGAAAATATATTTTACAAGCATCTTTGTGTTTGTCCTTGAGAGGCCTTGTTTAAAGAGTATCTCCAGACCTTTAAAATTCCAATAGTTTTGCTACCAGTGTTCAACATGTGAACATAATTTTCTTTTGTACTCAATACTCATACTTAAATTCAACAAAAATTCATGATATTTCCATAATGAACCGCTAATGCCCTCCTTTTTCTTATCAAAAGAAAATCTAAAATCAATCTATTCCCATATGACTTACATGCTCGATAGCAGAGTTGTAGATTTACAGGTTCAATTTTGCAGTAAGTGTGAACTAACTAAATTGGAATGTGCTGCATCATAAACCCAACTGATGCAAAAAGGAAGGCATATGGTAGGCCTGTCCAAGCACAGTACCCGATATTTCTCACACTTACCAGTGACTAGGTTGCAAAATTTTGAAGGTTCAAGCAGTTAAATTACCTTCCGACTTTTGGCCGGTGATCTTAGGATAGGTTGCCCTTCTGTCAATGATGTCATTTGAGAAATAGTTTCCACTTCACCAGTGGCCGTAGAAAGTTTCCAACTTTTACCAACATCCTGTATAGCCTTTGCAGCTTCTCTTACAATGAACTGCAAGAAATGTGAAATTCAGTTATGATTTTCATTCTCCATAAGGAACCTCATATACACAAAAGTAAATCATTTAACCATAGTTCATAATTTTTCAAACATTATAAGAAAATTCTTAAGGAAAAAAGATAACAACATAAGAAATCAATTCCATTACCTTTCTCAGAAGTGCAGGGTTTGCAACACCTTGAACCTGTAGTTCATCAACAGGTGCAGCTTTTCCATGGGCTATGCTTTCAACTCTAAAGGTATGGATACCATAAATTGATTGCAACCAACCTGTAAAAATCACAACACATATTATTCTTCTGATGGAACCATCTGTAGTGGAAAGTGTAATGCCCCAATTGCAGACAAAAAGTATTATGAATCAAAAGAAGACCAATTCATTAATCACAACACTAAAGAGACCCATGTCGTAAAGAATGACCAAAGGCTTGTATATTCAATGAATCACAGACAAAATGGCAGTCAAGGTTGGTTAATCAAACCAGTTGCTCCATATCAGCACTTAAGAAATAGTAAGTGAAAAAGAGGCTAGTAAATACAAATCATTTCTTTTTACCCTTGCTGAGCAAACAATAACATACAAGTAATCTCACGTATAAAATTATCCACCATATGGAGAAAAGAAAGCAATTAAACAAGAAATATCTAGAAAGACCAGAACTAGTACCTTGTTCAATTATAATATCAATCACCTCAGAAAGAGGAACATGCTTCTCAATTGTTATTATGCCCCAAAAGGGTATGAAAGAAGGCCTTGAAACCTTAATAAGAGGGAGGAAAAGGATTAAACTCAAAGTAAACTTCTTTCTCATTGATAGCCACCACAAAGTTAATGTAAGTCCAGGCCCTATATCTCTGTGTGCAAGCATTATATCCATACCTTGTAAACTATTTCACTAGGTGTGACATACAGCTTGCGTGACGAAATATCCTTCTGAAGCACATATCTTCTAATGGGCAGGTAAAGCAACATGATGATGCCAACACCCCACGCCAAAACCAACGACAACGATATAGAAACCCATATAATGGTGTCATACCGAAGATTGTTTCTTGCAAGTTCTTCAAAGGAAGCAGTGTACAACATCTGTTCAGAACTATCTAACTGGAAATCATCTCCCGGTTCTTCAGGATCAGCAAGTAGCTGATCCTTTGACGACCGAATTTCAGATAGACCATCTGTCTGACCCATCAACATTCTCTTCTATGCTCAAAACTAATAACAGAAAAAACACAAAACGTCAACACTAAGCCTATGTTCCAAATGAACCACAAATAGCAGTTGTTGAGCCACTCGCAATTGATTTGTAAACAACAATTACCATAACACGAAAATTTCAGAACAGTTCGATGCAATAATATTACTTTAGACCAAGAGAAAACAAATCAAAACCAATTTCAAAGATTAACAGCAAAAGCTCCCTTAATATTTTCTCAATAGAGCAACAAATGTGCATTTCATCACCTCACCAATTTCATGTGTTACTAATAAGCTCACATTCTTTGCATTTATTCGGTTGAAACTAGCTAGTAGTTATTTTTCCAAAAATTTTCTTGGGAACCAAACGGCAGGTATAAATTCGAGAAACTTAAAAAAAAAGGGGCAAGGAGTGAAACGAGAACTGGTATAGAGAGAGAGAGTTGTTATTACCCAAGAACCCAGGAAAATGCTTTTGCAAACTTGAACGTAAAGATATAATTTGGGAATGAAGGCGTGAATTGTTAGGGTTTTGAAATGAATTTTTTGTTTGCGGGTTAATACAAGGAAAAAATTATCAGTCTTGTGATTTGATGATGATCATCGACATAGCCCCAAACGGCACCTAACATTCAAATAGCATGAGATAGAGATTTGATTTGGTGCGGTTAGTCATACGTTGTTTTGCAACGTGGCTGATAGTGTGTGGAATTGGTTTTGTTTCCAAGTGGATCGCCGTCGACGGCAGCGGACCCACCAACTAAACCTCGTTCTCATCTTCCTGTCCCATCCCAGATGATATGAAATCTAAAATAAAATTTATGTACAACGATGACTTAGATAAAAAATAGAAAATTAATGGCGTTACGTGACGAAATTTACAACTATTAAAATATAAATTATTTTATTTAATTATTAATTTTTTTGTAATAGTATTTATATATTTGAGAGATGAGCGTCCCAGTGATTTACATTATATACATCTTTCTTGCACGGAGAGATGATGTTTTAAGATTTTAATTTATTATTTTTTTACTAAAAAATTATATTTTCAAAATTTAATTAAAAAGCAAATGAAATGTATATTTGGAGGTACAATTTTCTTCAAGATTTTATGGATTCAAATATTAACCGTTAAGATATCTTATTCTTATAAATTAATACGTAAAATATTGTCTAAATAAAATAATTTTAACATATTGCATTCAAGGAAAGGAAAAAGAAATAATACAAAATTAATAAGGAAGTGAAATTTTGTGAGCATCAGCTTCGAGCTTAAAAGCAATGTATTACAAAATATCCTTTCAGTATAAAATTTTAGAAAATCATATATTAATATAATAAAAATAAAAAAATATTTTTATATATTTTTAATGATATAAATTATGAGATTTATACACAAATTATTAATATTTTATACAATATTAATATATAAATTATTAGATCTAATCATAATCTACACCAATCTAATCTCCCAAGGTTTCCGATTAATGTTTAATCTTCGAAGCATCCTTTACTTCGTTGTCAGTTCATCCTTAACGCTAACACCCCTCCATATAAAGAAACTTAGCTTAAGAAGAATAGGAAATTAACTATTGGATTCCTTGATCCATACTAATTCAAAGAATTATTCAAACTAATGTCTTCTATTTAAAAAAATAAAAAATAATTAGCATGTAGGCTTTTTATTATTTAATTTAATATATTAAAACTTTTAAATAAATTTAAATAAAATTAGATATATATTTTTTATTTTATTTGAACTTATTTTTGGTAAATGATCTTAAATGATTTTAGATATTAGTAAATGATACTTCTAGATCTTATAAATAATGTTAAAATCTTTCAATTTTGATCATTTGTATTTTAAATATTTTATTAAATTAATTTTTATAAAAATAAAAATTAAAAATTCTTCATTCAAAATTTTTAAAAATATTTCACATAATTTTATTAATTATATATTTAAAATAAAATGAAATCAAAATAAAAAAATTGTAATTACTTTTTTTCATTACCATCATTTTGAAAAGTAATTGGGCCCCACAAAATTAATATAATAAGCAAGCCCACATCTGCTGGCAAAAAAAGCCCACAAAAAATTACAACCCGCCAAGGCAAGATAGTTGCACGCCAAACCAATCACCACCCAATCAAACTATAAAACCAAACCAAACCAAACTAAATCAAAATCACTGAAAAAGTCCGTTACGGCTTTTCGGCGTTTAACTTGTAAAAAAAGTAAAACAAAATCAATCAAAACGGGTCCCCGAAAGTATATTCTCTCTTCCTCTCCCCAACTTCCCTTACCAATCAAACCTTCCTTCTCCTTTCTTCTCATTTCCCCATAATTCCAAGTCTCCATAGTCGCTTACAAGGAAGTACCAACCGAAAAGAAAAAAAAAAATCACAGGTAAAACTTACGCCTCTCTCCATCTAGATTTCTCCCGCTGTTTGGTTTTCCTTTTTTTTCGATTCTTTTGTACATAATTTATTGAAGGTTATCTTGTGTTCGTATGTTTATCTGAAGAAAGAAATGGTAGATTTTGATCCTTGAACACGGGATCTCGCTGATATTCTGGAATCTCTCTTGTTGGTTGATAATTCTCGTCATTTATGAAGAGCGTCAAGGAATCCTTGATTATGTATTTGTGTTGATTAAATTGTCATTAATTGCTTTTAACCATTATCAACCTTAAGAATGATTTGATTAAGTATTATATACGAGTATTTTGTTGTAGTACTCAGCCTTTCCACATAATTGTTTCTAAATAGAGAGCTAAACTTACTTAAATTCTTAATTGATTCACGTAATTTCAGCAATAGAATATAGATTCTTCTTTTTTTTTTTAATAATTTTCTGGAATGAGTTTGATCTTAGGGTTATTCACAATTCATAGGCGTTAAAAATTATTACCATTTCTATTTTAGGTAAGATAGAGTGATTTGGTTGATTGACCCTTGTTCGGATTTTCTTTTGCATTTCGGCTAATACATTTTATTTTCTGACTTTTGGTGCTGTCGTAGATATCACTTTGTTATTTAGAAAGGTTAACCTCTCTGATTTTAAAAGCTGCATCAGTTTCGTGTTAAATTTGTGCTGAAATTGTTGGTTTAGCTTGAACCCTGATGACTGAATGGATAGAAAAGAGCATATTGCAATTTTTACCACAGCAAGTCTACCATGGATGACTGGAACTGCAGTTAACCCTTTGTTTCGTGCTGCTTATCTCTCCAAAGATGGAGAGAGAAAGATCACATTGGTGATTCCTTGGTTATCTTTGAAAGATCAAAAACTAGTATACCCAAAAAATACCACGTTCAGTTCTCCTTCAGAGCAAGAGTCATATATTCGACAATGGCTTCATGAGAGGATTGCATTTATATCTGGTTTTGATATACGCTTTTATCCTGGAAAGGTAATGACACCTTTAATGAATACCTGAGTTTTTCCTGAAGTATTGACGCATTTATTTATATAGGTAGGCTTGTAATGACTTTATCTTTTGTTAAACATTTTCTGCATATTAAACCTTTATAATCTGGCTAAATGAAGAGTTTTATGAGTTAAAAAGTTAAATTTCCCTAATTTTAAGCTCTCAATATCAATCTGAATGCTAATCAAGTAGAACCTATCTGTACTTGTGCAGCATTTTGCTGTACGTAATTTTAAGCTCCACACATTAGAACCTTCATTTGAGTAACATAGTAATAATTTGATGGTAATATATGATACTACTTGTGATGCAGTTTGCTGTAGATAAAAGAAGCATTCTTCCTGTAGGGGACATTACAGAAATCATCCCTGATGAAGAGGCAGATATTGCTGTCCTTGAGGAGCCCGAGCATCTTACATGGTTTCATCATGGGAAGAGTTGGAAAACTAAATTTCGCCTTGTCATAGGAATAATTCATACCAATTATTTGGAGTATGTGAAGAGAGAGAAGAATGGACGATTCCAAGCATTTCTTCTGAAATATGTAAATAGTTGGGTTGTTAGCATCTATTGCCATAAGGTAAGCTTCCTAATAAGTCTTGATTTTTCATCCTTATTGTGAACAAGTTAACTTGACTTTTGCCCCTTTTCCTTTAAAGGTATCTGATATTTATAGGATTAATAATTTTTTTGCATGTTTGCATACGTGAATAAACTTATCAAAGCAGCCTAAATTTTAAAGAGGAAAATAATTGCAATCTACTTTGCTTTTGGTGATGTATTGTTTTGACCTAATGGGAATCAATGCGCCACATTGGTCCACTAGAATCACGCATCTCTGATTTTACTAGCATAGTCTAGCTGTTGATGCAGTTGATAGATAAGAAGGAAGGGAAAAAATAGAGAAGCAGAGAATAGAAGAGAGAACCGGGAGAGAGAAGAAAGTTGAATTTCCCTGTGTCTCCTAGTGTTTGTATTGTTTATTATAATTAATTGTCATCAGATTGTAATCATGATGTAATTGTAGGTAATTAGGCTGTCCGCTGCCACCCAGGATTATCGCAGATCCATCATCTGCAATGTTCATGGAGTTAATCCCAAGTTCCTTGAGATAGGAAAGAAAAAGTTTGAGCAACAACATAGTAGTAACCAGGCATCCGCCAAAGTGGCTTACTACATTGGGAAGATGATTTGGAGCAAAGGCTATGAGGAACTACTTAAACTTCTTCATGATCACCAAAAGAAGCTAGCTGGTCTTGAGTTTGATCTATATGGTAGTGGAGAGGACTCCGATCAAGTTAAGGAAGCTGCTAAAAAGCTGAAACTGACGGTTAGAGTTCATTCTGGTCGTGATCATGCTGATCCTTTATTCCACAAGTAAGCCTCCTTTCATTCTCTCTCCCCCCCCCCCCCTTTTTTTTGTCTAGGAGATGAATACAGGGAATGGATCAATGAATATTAATTTTCTTGTTTTTCCTTTCAGTTACAAAGTGTTCTTGAATCCTAGCACAACAGATGTTGTTTGCACAACCACAGCCGAAGCATTGGCTATGGGAAAAATTGTTGTTTGTGCAAATCACCCCTCTAACGACTTCTTCAAGCAGTTCCCAAATTGCCGAACATATGATGATGGCAATGGCTTTGTGGAAGCCACACTCAAGGCACTCAACGAAGAGCCTGCCCCATTGACTGATGCACAGAGGCATGAGTTGTCATGGGAGGCTGCCACAGAGCGGTTTCTAAGGGTTTCCGAGCTCAACCAGGTCTTTGCAAGAAATTTGGACAAAAATCCATCGAAGATATTTGCATCAACGTCTTTAAACCTGCAGAAGAATATGGAGGATACTTCAGCATATTTTCATTATGTGGCTTTAGGATTTGAAACAACTAGAAGAGCATTTGGTGCGATCCCAGGGAGCTTGCATCCGGATGAAGAGCAATGTAAAGAGCTCGGGTTGGCTACTCATATGGGGAGAGGAGGGTCCATAAAAATAAGTGATTGAAACGTTCCTAGTAATTCATTTCTGTTCATATTTGTTATTGTGGAGGATTGAAACCGTAGAAAGATGTAAGTGTTTCATATTGTCCGACATATCCGACGGGTTGTGGTGATCTTGTCATATTGCACAGATAGAAAATTTGATAACTGTAATGTTTTCTTTCTGAACACATGATGATGGTAATATGGCAGGGTTTAGAAGTTTGGCTGGTGCAATTACTTGAACAATATCTTCTTTAACTTTTAATTAAGTTCGTTTTAAGCTAGATTAAGGGATTGATATAAATAAATAATATATAGATTCAAAAAAAAATTAAATTTTTTTAAAAAATTTAATATATCGAAAGAATATATGTTATCTCATTAATCACACTTACTAAGTCTAAAATTTTCGCTAGATAAGAGAATTTCTATTTGTCTTAAATGGATTTAAGCACTTCACTATTTATTTATTCTTTCTCAGGGCCTGAGCTGCTGTACGTTATAAGAACTCAACAAACGACGTCGTCTCGCCTGTACTGGTGACAGAGACCGACTCTTTTAAAATCCAGTAACGGCTGGTTTATGACTTTTCAAGGAAAAGTTTTCCTATGCCGAATATTGCATTTCATTGCCTCAAAACTTCTCACCGTTCCTTAGCTCTCATTCCAAATACAACTCATCAGCTTTTACTCCTAGTTTTGTCCCATTTATCATGAAAATTCAAGAACCAAACTAATCCAGTAAAACCAAAACTGTATTCAGAAGGAATCTATTTCTTGCCTCTCTAATGTTGACCATCCACGTTTTTGCCTTTCTACCAACAATGCCAACTCGTGTTCTATCTGGAATCTTTTCTTCGTCAAACACTTCCATACTAATCCCTCCTTCCCCTGCCCAATTTTGCACTAGAGACCTTAATTTCTATAGACAAGTTAACTTTGGTGACAATGGCTGATGGTATGAAGCTTCAACAATCATTGCAGGAAAGCAGTGTTCTTGACACCCAAAAAACTGAAATTGGTGTTGATATTGAGGTATAAAATCCTATATTAGTATGGGTTTTGACGAATTAGCTTAGTTGGGTCATTAATCAATGGCTTTTTTAATTATGTTATTGTTTTAGTTCACTGAATTATCATATATCCAAAAATGTAAAATTTGTTAAATTCATGATATATGGGCTTCAATGCTATGAGCATAATTGTATTCAACTATTAATTAAGAAAGGTTCTAATATAGCCCCTTATCAACATTCATGAGGGTTTATCTGACTTTTGTTGCTTAGTGTTTTAGATCATAACGGAAAAATCTAGTACTTGAATAAGGAAATCAAATAATCTGGTACCTGTATTTATCAAATCATCTGAAATTTATTATTGCATGCTACTGTTGCTAAGTGATTTTGGAGATTATATACTTCTTTGACACCAAGGAAACTTTGAAGTTGTTCTTCCCATGTTATGATATGTTTTGAATTAGATGATTTGACCAGCATGGATTTGTCTTGCATTTTGCTCTTAAACGGGTAAAACAGTTGGTAGAAGTTGGTAGGGCATGAATGTCTTTTCTATATAGGATTGTATGCTGATTAGCAGAATATGATCCATTATCAAGCGCATTGTTCTTGTGTTGTTTGAATGATTAGTATCTACTAAGATCTGTTGCTTTTAGAACAATACATTTGGAACATCTTAGATTACATGTTGATTGGCTTATCAAGAGTTTTGTTCAAACACTAGCACGTGTCCTGTTGCTCAAATATCAACATGAACTAAGATCTGTCAGTTTTAGACAAATAAATTTGGACACATGAGAGACAGTCATCAATTTTACCTTCTATGTTATAATTAAGTCAAGTCAAGGATGTTCTACCCAGTAATCTTGTTATTTATGTCGGCAATTGGCATGTGCTAAATTTGCTCTAGTGATAGTGTTTCTTGAAGGTAATTGTTGGACATGTATGGTAGTAAATGACCCATGAATATAGGTTAATGTAATTTGTTCAATATGGTCAAAGAGAATCTATTGACAATTGCATCATTTAGGTAACGTCACATGCTGGCCATAAGCTGACTCAATTTTCTATGTTGATTTTAATTGACTGTAACTTAACATATTTTAACTTCTGATATTGTAGATCAGCAAACACGAGGATCTATCTAGTTATTTGACCACTGCAGAGGATAGAGTTCCTCGACAGCTGTGTGCTTCCTGTAGTCTGTTCTATGAATGTATATGTATTAGGTGTTATTAGTGATAACAAACACATGATGCATTCTTAACAAAACATTAACTTAAATTGGCAAAACAGGGAAATAGCTTCGAATTTTATGATTCCATGCGAGAATCTGGTGCCACTTTTTTGTCTCAGTCTGCATTAATATTTGTCTACTGTGGTTCCAAATCTGATTTGTAAATTCTTCATTGACATTCCTGCAGAGCACATATGATATGGTTTGAATGCATCATCTATTGTTGTTTCTGGCAAATTATATGTTAAATTTTAATTGCTTGTAGGTTTTCATACAACTTTTTGAAAGGAAACCTTTAAAATAGTGATGTCCCTGCTCCCTGGATACTTTCTTATCATTTTCTCTGTTTCTCCCTATATTGACTTACAATTTTTATTTTAAATCTTTAGGACTACTTTCCAGCTCCTCCAGTGAGTCCTGGATGACCTATTCTCTTGGCTGAGCAACAGTGGAAGAGTACTTTAAGCAAAGAAGAGCTGAAACAGTGCTGTTCACGCTGCAAGGAAAGAGGGCATTCTTATCAACATTATCCTTATCCAATCCTCTATGTGATGGCAAGTCTCAAATTCTGTATATCAGGTTTCAGATTTAAGTGGGGGTCCTGATCAGGTGAAGGTAGTGGTCTGGACACCTGTGAAAGGAAAATACTGATGCAGTCGCTGTGGTCGACGTGGACACAATTGCCGCTCTTGTCGTGGACCTGTTTTCTATTAAATAGGTTGTTTGTTTTTTCTGCCATGCTGAACATTTGAACATCTTTGTTTGCCAGGCCCTTCCTTTGTTATTTTTCTTTTAAACTTTTAAGGCATGGGATAGTTATTTCTTTGGTTGAAATAGATGGTACATTGTTGTTTTCTGGCATAGGTTTGCCAAACAGGTAGAAAATTGGTTATTGCTATATATATTTTTGAGAAATGTCATTCATTCTAGTGACAGCATGGAATATGACAATTATCACCAAATAGTGGGACTTTTTGGCAATTATTTTGCAAAGTTTTGTATCAAAATAAGCTTTTTCAAGCATGTTAGAAGCTCTGGGTAATGCTGGCCATGTTTAAGTGTAAGTTTAATTTCAATTCCAAAATATAAAGAAAGACAAGGAAAAAAAAAACATTTTCCTTTTGGCCAAAGAAAGAAAGGAAAAATGTATTCATGGGTTTCATTATGATGTCGTACTATTTTTCTTCCAAAAGTGTAAGGCAACATGACGCCTGATCGAGGAACAAGAATGATGTGGTTCGGTGCTTTTTACTTCCTGGAAGAGCCTTTTCTGTCTTTTTCTCATCAGCTTCTGCCCAGTTGCTGATGAAAACGGTGGAAAAGAAACAGAAGAGAAAATCTGGTTTATCACTTTCCCTTTCGTAGTCTATCTCTTTTGGTTTCTATCTAATTCCTAGAAATTTTACCCAGAGGAAATAAAATTGTTATTAATTACTTTCTTTAATACTTTCCAAAATCTCACATTTATGATTTAACTACCTTAGCTCTTTGATTAATTATGGGATTCTTATTGCTGTTTGTTTATGGTTATTAATTTCATTGAGATGCACTTTTATGAATTGATTTAATTGATTTATTGAATTGAAGGTTTACTATGTACCGTTAAGGTGAGCGATGTTAACAATGAAAGAATTCCTTGGGATCTTATAATCCATGCTTCCTTTTTTTTTTTTGGCTGCAGAAGTAACGATGGTGAACCTAATAATGAAAAATCAATCAATTTCCAGCCACTTTTGTAATCAGCCTTTATAGATACAAAATCTGGCATAATTAGCTGTGATGATGAGTGAGTCACTTTACATTATGTGTTTATTCATCAGTGTACTAGTTGAAGCAAATGTTTTTATCCTGTTATACTCTTGAGTGATATTTTTGCATTTCTGATGGTGACACTGAGACTAGCTTTCTTAGTTTGGATGATTCAAGTTTCAGTTTTTACTCTACAAAGTGACTGTGATGAGAATTCTTGACACCGGTTTATTTTTTCCTATGATCACTAGCTTGTAGATTGCTATGACGGTGTTTTTGCTTCAGCATAATCTGCTTTAATAGATTGAAGAGATCAAAATGGCATCAATTAGTGAGTATTCAAAATTTCGTTGTTTATTTCTTTGTAGATCATAACGTGATCATGCAGAAAATTAAGCCAGTGCTTTTTATTTATCAGTAGCTAACTTATGCTGCTTATGCCAAAAGGCAGAAAAGTATCAGAAGAGTAGAGTCCAAAGGCATGAAGGACTCAAACAGAGGGCTGACAGATCTATCCTAGCAAGAGCCTTTAGAGAGTCTGGCGTCGAAAAACAAAAGTTCAAGGCCTTTTCTCTTTTAAATCTGATGAGTCTCCTACTTGACTTTTGCATCAGTGATCTGTTGTGATCAAGTGATCCTTGTGTGTAATGATTTCACATAATCTATTTTTGTATTATTCTTAGGTTGATAATCTTCTTTGCCTGGCCAGATAATCTGTCTTGTCTATTTTGTAAAGGCTGTAAATGGGGTCATCCAGTTTTGCCAGACTTGTAGACAGGTTACTCAATTGGCCTTGGAAAAACTAAGATGGCAGTTGTTTCAATGGTCCTTTGGTTTTTACCGTATATCAGTATCCCTTGAACCCTTCTATCATCTTAGCAAACATGATAAAGTAATCTGTTTTCTTTTATTTGTCTGTTCTTATCAGTTTCTCATATATAAAAATGCAAAATAAAGTGTTTTGTAGAAGAAACAGCAAAAGAAAATATAACAAGAGTTTTCATTTCAGGTACGTTTCAGGTTCCGAACCATGAAACACGTGGAGAGAATTGGAACACGTGGCTTTAGAAGTATTTTTACTCTTCCTGAGAATTTCCCTTTTATATACCTCTTTCTCTCACTCACAAAAGAATTAGGCAGGCATTCTTCTAACCACTTCTGAGAAATAATCATTTTCCCTATGGCAGACAAGAATTCACCGGGGCCAATTCCTGATCACTGGACATTGGTTGTTAAAGAGCAGAAGGATGGATCTAGCCTTTCGGTAATTGAGCATTTAATCTTTATTTATTTATCTCTTTATGTTCTGTATGATTTTAGCACTTGAGAATTGATACATATCATGCCACTTTAATGAGGTTTTCTGCATGCATTAAATTGTTGAATGCTTAATAATATTTGGGTTTTAGTGATGGATTGATTCAGCCAATCTGATTTTGGCTGTCTAGATTTAATACCCAATCTGTTAAATCATATGCTTTTATTTGAAGTGACAGAATTGTGATATGGTGGTTTATAAAGTCTTGACTCCTTTATAAGTACATGCCCTTGATGAAATTTGAAAATCAAAGTCCCTTTTTAAATGTAAATAAGATGCTAGAAAATGATTTTAACAATCTAGCTGGTGTGCAATATTTTTTTGGAACTTGCAGTCAATCCATTATTGATAGAAGATCATTATACCCTCAGTCTCTAGGTTGGGGTCTAAACTCAAATTTCTGAAAATTGATGGTAAGTGATCAGTGATTGCACAGAGAACATGATCCAGGATACTTGCTAGTTGCTAGCATCATGGTGAAATTAGATATTCATCTGAAATGACTGATCTGATCAGCCAAAGAGTGTATCCTATACCGGCAAATGCTATGACAAGCTTCTATATATGGTCCTTATGTTGCTAGATTTACATTTGCAACAGTGCTCCTTTTTCTTTGACTATTTGGATTGTTTCTTGTGTTCTTCATTAAATATGTAATAACTAAGGATTTTTCTTTATCCTTGTTTTCAAAGAATATCAGTTAATTTACGAGAACAAACTATTTGCCCTTAAAGATTATTGGACTTGCTTGTCATGACATGTCTTGCTTTTTTACCATTTTCCTTTTCTTACCTTAAAGGCACATTATTCTCAAAAAAAACTGTAGGAATACAAGATTGATTGTGATAAAATGGAACCTAGATGAAAATTAGTCAGTAGAAAGAAGAATTTTATTTGTTGGCGGTTTAAATGGTTGGCTATTGCAGTACTACACATGTCCAGAGAGTGGGCAAAAGTTCTACACTTATGAAGATCTCATGCGATATGTGAACTATGCAAAGGCTGCTAAGCTTTCTATCTACTCACCTGTGAGTTTGAACTTATTTTGCTCTATGGTGCTATTCATAATTTTATTTTTCCATGATTACGATGTACATAAGGGTTGGACATGAATTTAGAGCCCGAACTAAAGTGGATGCAACATATTATGAGACAATAATCTTTAGTGATTAAAAGATCATTCAGGCCTTGGTTGCTGGATTTGCTTCAGTTTTGATTTGAGATTTGCAATTATTCTCATCTTCTTGCTTTAGATCTGATTTAATAATTTTATTTTTTTGTCCTCCAATATCCTTGGTCCATAACCCTTACCCAATATTTTCCTTTTTTTTTACCTTCTAAAATCCCATAGTCATTAATGGCTCCTGCTCTCTGTCATCAATGTTTTTATATGCGCCAATTTGTGTGAATAATCAAATTTGTTCCTTTTATGCAATAGTAATTGAAGTTTATTTATAGTTGGATTTGTTTTCTTTTACATCAATTCTCTGCTGCAGGATTTCCGTCCCCGTAATCAGCCTCGCAAACCAAAGAAAAAAGTTAGCATGCCTGATTTAGAACAGAGTAAGTTCGAAAGTTGATTCTTCTTAGTTCTTGCTCATCTAATGTTCCCTTCCTCAGCTTTTCTTTTTCTTTCTGGTCAAGGCTCCCTGTGCTATTATGTATGTAACCTGATCACTGATACTGCATGAACTTCAAAAATAACCTCTACATGTATTACTCGAATTGCAGCGCAATTAACCTTGAAGCACATTTAAATGATAACATAACGAACTTTTGGTTGCTTCTATGTTGATATCCATTTTTTCAGAATAAAAAAAAAGTATTCAGAATGATTATACTGTATTATTTGTGTGGCCAATGATTTTGATTTTATGTTGTGTTTGACATATGCAGTTGAGATAAGCTCGGATTCAGAAGATTCTATATTCGAATTGCCTAGTATTGCTTCACTTGAGTTCATGGAGGTGGCGAGTCCAGCACAGTCCTCCAAGCAGTCCTCATCGGGGAAAATGAAGGCAAAGAAGACCCGGGCTTCAAACGAGGGATGCAGTTCTAACAAGGGAAAGGCCAAGAAACAGAAGAAGTAAAAGCAGCTGAAGATGATCACCAAGTTTCTTCGTATGAGATAATTTGGGTAGTTGGCACAACTTCCAAATCTTGTGTTAATCAGTATGTTAAGTAATTGTAAGGGATAATTTACAATAAAAATACTGTCTTGAGAAACAGATTAATTAACTGTGAAAAAAGCAAGCTTAATTGCAACATCTTTTTTTCTGGCAAATTAAATTAAAAAAATTACAGTATCTTTGATTAGTGATTGGATGCTAAATACCCGCAATGAGACTAGGGTCAAGTTAAATCCTCCTTGTTAGTTCTAGTTCTAAGCAGCCGGGAAAAAAGGGGACAAGACCAATCTAAAACAAAAAACGACCAAACAAACTTTCAACTTCAACTTTAAAATTTAAACCTCGTAATAAAAAAGTACTATTGTTACTATAAAATCTATGTCTTTCCACTTCCCATCTCTCACTTTCCCGCTAAACTTTCTTTATGATTCCCTCTCTACCAAAAAAAGGCCTAATCTTTCACGTCTCTGCCTCTTATCCTTCTGTTCTTATATTTATCTCTTTCTTTGTTTTTCTCTCTCATTCTAAAGATATTACATTTTTGAGTTCTTTCAACTCCTTTATTATTAACTTTTAGCCGTTGTATTGTTCTATTAGAACAGGGAAAACCTTTTAGAGGGAGACAAAAACAAAAACCAAGTGTTTGGTTTTGATCTTTATGAATGAAAAAGAAAACCCTTTTTTTTTCTTTTTATGTTATATGTTTTGTGACTTCTGCCTTGCTGTTCAAGGCTTCGTTAGGGTGAATGTAAATAAAAAGACCTTTGTTTTTTTCTTTTTATTGGTTTAGCTCTAAAGTTTAAAGTATGGAACAAGTCAAGGAGGATGGTGGTACTGATAATACCACAACCACAAGCATTGACGATACTCATGACAATGTAGTTCGAAAGACAGTCACTGTTCAAGGGTCTGTTTCTTGTTCCTTTTTTACCTTTTTTTATTAGAAAATTTTTTTGTCATTATAAAAATTGTCCTAATCAGAGCTTAGTGTCTTTTTCAGGAGGATTTCAGGTCCTACTAGACGATCAACTAAGGGAGGATGGACAGAGGAGGAGGTCAGTATTTGGTGGCTATAAGTAATATTTGTGCTCATGTCTTTTTGGTACCTGATGTCGTCCTATAAAGCAAATAGATGAAACCTCAGTTCTTTGATTGCAACACCTGAAATATGATGGATGAAATTACAGGGTCCCTTCTCATTATAATTTAATTGAAACATGGCTTATCTAGTTAATTACACAGCTTAAAACTTAACCTTGTTTTTCTTTCTCCACAGGGTAGAAGAAGAAATTTTATTTTTAAAAAGTTTGATGACTATGCACTTCTATTTGCAGTTAGAATCAAGTTTTATAGCTGCTAATGCTTTCTTGTCCTTTTATTCTTTCCTTTCTTTTAACAGGACAAAATGTTGACTGTTGCTGTCCAAAAGTTCAATGGCAAAAATTGGAAAAAGATAGGTTTGCGTTAGTATTTGAATGATTTTAGCTGTTGCTTTATGTTGATGATTCTATTGTTTGAATACTGAACTTTCATTGAAGGAATTGAACTGATGCACATTCAGATCATAATCTTTGCTTGAGTCATGTTGCAATTCGATTGTTGACATATTTATTTGAACTTTGGCAGCCGAGTGGGTCCCTGAAAGAACAGATGTTCAGTGCCTACATCGCTGGCAGAAGGTTCTTAATCCTGACCTTATTAAAGGACCTTGGAGCAAGGAGGTGCTAATCAAATAATGTTGTTCTTCCTTTTTGTTTTTTGTTTTTTTTAATTTAAGGCTGATTTGAATATTATTAACTGAAACTAAGAGTCCAGCACTCTATTAATATGTCACGCGGCTGTTTGCACACTTCCCTTTTTGTTTATTCAATATGAGCCTGCAAAAGATTATATATGACAGTGCTTCATTCCTTACTCTGTTCTCAGGAAGATGATCTGATCCTTGAGCTTGTGCAGAAGCAAGGGAAGAAGAAATGGTCCGAAATAGCTAAATACTTACCAGGCCGCATTGGCAAGCAATGTCGAGAAAGGTTCCTGATCACTTTCAAAAACACTAACATATTACTTTAAATAGCTCTAATTCATAATTTTTTTTTCATACATTACATTGTTTCTGGTCACAAAACAAAGTAAATCCCAGTGTTTGTTCAGGTGGTGCAATCACTTAAATCCAGATATAAAGAAAACTGCTTGGACAGAAGAGGAGGAATTGGTTCTTATTCGGGCACATGGAACATATGGGAACAGGTGGGCGGAGATAGCTAAGCTTCTTCCTGGCAGGTATGTGCCGAAAACTGTCAGAAAAGAAGAATCTGAAGGCCTTTGGATAAGTTAAATTTAATTAGTTGTTTCTATTTTGTCGTGCAGGACTGAAAATTCAATAAAAAATCACTGGAACTGCTCAGTGAGGAAGAAAGTAGAGTTACTTGCAGCTTCTCGTATTAATCTAGGCAATCAAAACAGAAGAGTGGAGTGCATGTCCTTCGGGCTAGGCAAACCTCTTGAACAAAAAGTTAATCAGGGAAGTACAGACCTTTATTCACTAGGTTTGGGTCATGGAGATAATGATAGAAGAGAAAGCAACCTAGTTGTTTCAAATAAAGAAAATTGCAGAGTGATGAGAAAAGATGCAAATTTAATTTTGAAACCATCCTCTCTAACCATCTCTTCTAATAGATATGACGATGCATGCGATCTGACTATCAAAAAGCACCAAGTGTATGCTTGTGAAGCTGGAGCAGCTGGAAACTCTAATAACCTCGCTGCTGAGCCTGACTGGTCTGATAAATTTTGTCATACATCCTTTGGGAATCATGTGAAATTCCCATTTTTGCATGAAAGAACGACCAAGCTCAGCTTGCATACAAGAATGCTTTCAGGACCTTCACATTTGCCATTGAGTACTTCATTAAATACTGATTTTACTGCTGCTTGTGATAGGAAAAGTGCTCTTCCTGGCTTTGTTGAAAGATTGTCTAATTCTTCTGTTAGACCACAGGACAGAAATGATGGTAACACTGAAAATGTGGAGTTCAGACTTGGTTGCTTATGTTATGAGTCGCTTCAACAGAAAGATTTGAATACTTTTTTGACAACTGGTAGATTTCTCGATACAGATAGTTACATACGAAAGGTATCTACTCCAGTTGTCTTGGATATTCCACCTATCAACAGCACCTGTCCAGAATCAATATTGAGAAGTGCAGCCAAGAGTTTTAAAAATACACCATCCATTATTAGAAAGAGAAGCTCTCAAACTACAAAACAAACTGGCAATCACAATCAAAGTGATGGAGTTGGCTCCAATGCAAAGCAGCCTTTTCCATCTCCTTCTAAGTCTGCCAAACTTGAAACTACAGCTGCCATAAAATCTGTAGAAAAACGCCTGGAATATGCATTTGATGATATTGTGAAGGATTCATCCAGTAATATAACTAGAACATCAGCCGTTGATCATTCTTCTAGCACCAATTCTACTTGAGATGGCTCATTGGGTTCTTCTCTGAAAAGGCTATCAAAAGGGTAGTTCCCACTTCCTAGTGTTCTGCTAATAGGATTCAGTGTTGCTAATGTTTTGCTTTCTTAAAATAAAGGAGACTAAATCTCCTAATTCTGTAAGTTGATTCTAGCAAATATTATTTTGTTGGCACAATTGATTTATTGTGTCGTGCATATTACAGAGTAACGGAAGAGGCCACAGCAACATCATAATGGACTAAAACCAAAATATTTGAAGCGCGCATTTCATTTACTGGTCTTACATTTGCAGAAGTACAAGCTTTTGATTTATACTTCTTAATTAGTGATTTGCTCACCGGTCAAGACAAGATCAGTGGCCCTTCACACCAAGTATCATCTGTGTCAGTTAAAAACGAAGGGAGAAAAATAATGTACAGACAAATTATAACGCAGCTGAAGCTTTCTCACTCATCCGCACCACGTTTCCAATCCCTATTTGCTGGCCAACAAGAACTCTTCTGATTGAGTCTTTTACAACAATATGCATCTAGAAGCCTGGCATATTGGCTGAACTGCTCTCAATGAATAAAATCCCTAAGAAACGTAAAGATAACTGCACTGGTTTACATAGAGAGATAAGATGTTACCAAAAGCATTATACGAATGGATCTAATAGGCAATTAGATCACTTTATAAATACATACCATCCACATCTCTCATGATAATATGGCATTAACAAATGCCTCTGCATCAAAAGGTTGAAGGTCTTCAACACGTTCACCAACACCTACAAACTTCACAGGAATGCTAAGCTCATCAACCACGCTAACCTGCAAAAGGCAAGAACATAGAGAAATATGTGAATTGAAATTGGAAACGACCCGTAACACCCCCCACCTCCATCCCAAAAGCAAAGACAAAAGGTTTAAGAGAGGATACCACACAGCCACCTCTAGCAGAACCATCAAGTTTTGTCAAAATAAAACCAGTTATTCCAACAACCTGTCACAAAGTTGAAAGTTAATATAGCTTAAATAGCAGCCTAGTGCAACAACAAAAATATTGGCATTTAACAAGTTTGTCATAGTATCTTGATGAAGAAGGCAAGGGTAGGAAGAGTGCCTCATTGAATTCTCTAGCTTGTGGAAGCATATTCAATCCAGTGTTCCCATCAAGAACTAGCAGGATCTCCTGCACATGTTACGCTATGGCCTTAAAATAAATCTTTGCAATAAAAACAAGAAATTTGAAAAGACGAACACATTGTTCAGTGTGTTTACTTCATTCAAATTCATCATCCTTAACCATATTTCTGAAGATACTACAATAAGAACTAGAATCCTGGACATTGGTATTTATAAAATCATTCAGTGTTCATGTCCATGGAGACATGCCCTTAAGGCCTTAACTGAAAATGATGCCCAATATAAATCAAAAAATGGAATAGGGGCAGATAAAATAATATATAAAACATTAGGTCTGTAACAACCAATTATACTGACGGCTAGACATTCAAATTATTTCAAAGACCAAAAAAATGATAAGGCCTTAAAGGTCCAAAACAGCTTAAGCTTACATTGGGTGCACCCGGAATAACTTTGCCCACAGCCTTCTTACATGCTATCAACTCTTCCATCAAGCTGTAATTAGTATGAAGACCTGCAAAATTAAAAAAGCACGCCAACTGAGTACCAGTTTAGAGGCATAGAAAAGTCAGCAAGACCAAAAGATGAAAGTTCATAATACTTACGCCCAGATGTGTCACACAAGACAACATCAAAACCTTGCTGCTTACCTTTTTTCACAGCCTGCGAAAGCACTATTCAGAAGGCACTTTAAAATCACAAGTTAAGAGTTGTAATGCATCACAGTAATAACAATAGGCAAAATGCAAAATTTGTGCTTCCACTCCACCCCTTCCCTTTTAGTCCTAAAAAAGAGTACTTCTATTTGATGTTCTATTTGTCTACCTGATGATGCTTTGGCATTCTCTTTTTCAGCTACAACAATCTCACAACCAGTTCTCTCAGCCCATATCTCTAGTTGATCACTAGCAGCTGCTCTGAATGTGTCACCTGCTGCCATCAATATCTGGCATGATCTAAAACCGTAAGAAAAGGATATGCAAAAACTATTCGTGAATAAGCATGTTTACAGCTACAAAGGCCTTCATCACATTGCACCAAAAGCAATGCACGATTTTTAGGAGCTCACCTTTGCACCTTCATTCTTTAATCTATAAGCCAGCTTTCCTGAAAGTGAACCATTAATGAGATTATTTTATAATAATATGTGAAACATCAATTTGTTTAGAACAAAATTCCTCAATAAATAAATCTGCCTGCAGACATAAATTTGAAAAAAAATTCCCAAAGCTTATTAATAATAAAAAAAAGACCGCTTATGACATTTTCCAACACACATACCAAAAAAATTTTGATAAACCACAGAATTCCATTCATAAATCTTAACAACCTCAACTGATTACAATTATGACATTGGTAGCCTTACCAAGTGATGTTGTCTTGCCACCTCCATTAACTCCAACTATCATGATCACGGCTGGCTTCCTGATAACATGAGAGAGTGTTCAAAATGAGGAACAAACAACACCATTTTACGGCAGGATGGAACAACAAAAAAAACCTGAACCCAAGTCGAAGCTCGGTGTTATGCCCCTTCTTTGTTAAGATATCCAACACACTCGTCTTCAAAGCATCCTAAAACCCACAATTAATCCATATTTTTCAATATAACCCCATAAAATAAAACAATTCAGCCAACTAAATCCAAATAAAAAGTTATAGGATTCTCTGAATGTATTAACCTTTATTTCACTTCCTGATTTAAGTTTACCACTTAGTATATCCTCCCGCAAGCTTTCCACTATTTTAATTGTAATTCTAGGCCCAAAATCAGATACCAATAAAGCCTGCAAAATCAAATAAAAAAAAAATCATTTTTCGCACTTTTTTAACTGCTCTAATGGCATTTTTTTGGATAGCATTTAAACAAGGAATAGAGAAGAGAAAACCTCTTCGAGTTCGTCGAGGACGCGATCGGTATCTGCAAGGTTCCAGTATAACAAGAGTTCGTCGATGACGGCGAGGTTGTCTCTGGTTTTGGAGAATCCTCCTGAGAAGATCTTTTCAACGTCACTCTTGGCCTTTTCCTTGATTAACCGACCCAGTCGAGTGAAGAACCCGGTCTGGCTGGCCAGGCATTTGAAACTGGTAGTAGCTGGTCCGGCTGTTGTGAATGGGGTGAACCGGGTTCGAGGGAAGTTGGGAAAGAGCGGTGATGGTGAGGGTTTGGAAATGAGGGAGAGCTGAGGGGTAGAAGCCATCTCTCTCGTTCCCTCTGTAAACTGAACTGCGAAAAGATGGAAGGAGTGGGACTGGATAACATTACTCCAACGACGTCGTTTATGTTGCAACGGTCAAATGCAAGTTTCTATTTTTTTTGGCCGGAGTCTAATTCAAGCTGACGTTGGAATATAATCTTATCCCAATAGAGTAATAGTAATTTGCTGTAAAAATGGTGAATAAAATAAACTTTTTGTTTTTTTTTTCTTAGGGAGATCATTAAACTAGTTCAAGTAAAAATGAAAATTACATTAAATTCAAATTTTAATTCAATTAATTAATATAAATATCATTAAAAATTAATATCAAATAAATTTAAGATTCAATTCCTAACATTAACAATTTTTTTTTCTCATATTGCAGTCTCCTCGAGTAGTTTATATTGCAACTGTCTAATATAAGTTTTTACTCTCTTCATTTTATTTTCTTTGTCAAGCTTTTCTTTTAAGATGTTCCAAACTTATGTTATCTTTTTTTTGTTGAACATCTAAAATTTTTATTTTTTTTATATTTTATATTTATATTTTTATGAGTTTTCTACTTTTTAACATTTAAAATCATAAAAATTTCACTTTACAAAAATTTTTAAAATTTAATATTAAAAATATTAAAATCAAAGGGTTTTTTTTTTAATTCTACAAAAATTAATAACATTCAACTAATTTAACACGAAAAGAATATTATTTTCGGCCAAAGTCGAAAACAAGCTGATGTTGGAATGCAATCTTATCCTATAGAATAATAGTAATTTGTTGCAAAAATGGTGGATAGAATAAACTTTTAGGTTTTTTTTTCTTGGGAAATCATTAAACTAGTTCAAGTAAAAAAAAAATTAAATTCAAAATTTAACTCGATTAATTTATATAATTACTTTTAAAAAATCATATTAAGTAAATTTAATATTCAAATCTTTATACCTATAAAATTTTTTAATCCCCATATTGCAGCCTCCTCTAGCAGTTACTAACTTAAAGCTGTTTTTGACTCAACCTAAATACTAAACAAGAAAAAAATATAATTTTTTAGTTTATAAGTCAAAACCAAAAGGCTAATCAAGAGATGTTTTGATGGTAAAAAATACATTTGGAATAAAAATTTACTATATTATCTATATAGTTATAATTTTTTTTAGATATTTTAACTATTCACTATATTTTTTCATAATAATATCAAAGACTTAAAATTTTTAATCACACGTTTCTTATTACACTTTTTAAATGCATTTTTTTATATTTAAAAAATTTTCAATCGCAACAATAATAACAATGTTAAACTTGTCCTAAACATGAAAAAAATTTAATGCTTTAATCAAACCTGGGGGAGAGAAGTATAGAATATTTTGAACCAAGAGTTATAGTTTTAGGTAATGTTTAATGTATAAAATAATGAATCTAATAAGACGATAATCATTATATGTTATATTTGATTTATATTTAAAAAAATAAATAAGATTATAAAAATAATTAATCATTCTCTTATGAGATTAAACTTATATATTTTATTATATTTTAAATATTATATTAATAATTTAAATTATATAAAATTTAAAAATATAATTTTTTATTAATAAATAAATTATCTTATTTAATTTTGTATATATCAAATATAAAATATAATGATAAATTTTAATTTAAATTTATTTATAATATAATCTTATCTTATCTTATAATTCTTTAGCCTTTAACCGTTCAAGTTCAATGAAGTAAAGTAGGTTGCCTAAATATTACAAGAATCTTATTTCCCAAAGCGCATGACCTGTCTTTTTTGACACATCATTCACAATCGTTTATCTATGCCAAAAATGTGAAAAGAAAATTAATAATGACGGATTCATGATTTTTTTTTTTTTAGGGATATTCATTTATAATATATAACTGTTGATAGATTTATCAATTTTATCGTATTTAGGAAAAAAAATTTTTTTTTTTCATTTTTGGAATGTTCATAAAAATTTTTAGAGATGTTCATTGAAAAAAAAATAATAATTTTGAGGGTGTCTATGGATACCTTCACATTAAATATGGCTCTAATGAAAAATTTTAGATGAAAAATCAATAAATTCGACCCATATTTATTAGTAATTTGATTTGAAAACTTTAAAAAAGGGAAAGGAGAAAGCTAAACCAACTTTTATTGCAAGAGAAACTATTCTTCAATCAATTTTTAAATCAGTTTTCTAGAAATCTTTGACACCAAACAACGTTTAATTTGAATGGAGTTTGTATCCATCAAAGTAACTTCGTTACCAGTCATTTGCAAGGTTGTAACGATTGCATGCCAGAAATTTCTTAGTTGGCAAAAACCGCTAAAGAAAAAACAATTGAATCATATCCTAGTGCAGAAAAATACTAATAAAAAGGCCATGATTTTCAACATGCTGGCTATTTACATTTGACAATGTTTTTTGTTTTTGGGGTGAGATAATCGTGGGATGAAACTGTTGCGTTTGACCCAGCATTTGAGGCTGACGACTCGGTGATGTAAATAAAGCATACGAATAAAGAGGTCCGAGTTGTCCAGTGTCCGGGAATTTCATTTTATCCAAACGCACAGTTGAGTTGACACGGTCAGCGTTTGGTCTTCGCTGTTTTTTCTGTAGCCACTTGCCACTTGCCATTTGCCAAAGCCAATCTCCTCATATTCCTTTTTAGTTCCCTTGTTAGAATCCTTTCCCCGTTTCCTTGGAAGTAGGCAGGTTCTTTCGTAGGTTTTTCATTTGTTTGTTTTCTCTCGTTACAATAAGTACAAAGGAAGGTTCTTCCCCTTGCTTTTGAACTGCCATGTTCTGTCTTGTTTTCAGTTTTGAATCGCCATGATAAAAGTAGTAATTACTTATGAAAAGGACTGGAAAAGAAGAGTGCAAAACACGGTCGTTTGAGGGGCGTGCGTGTGAGAAGCGCAAGGAGAAAGTTGAAGACTTCAAAGTCAAGGGGAGGAAAAAGGTGCCCCTGTTTTACCTGCCGTGGCCCACCATAACCCGCCGGACACTCACGACCACGGCTTTGCTACTTGCCTCGTATCTCATACTCTATTTTAGATCTATCAATTTACGTATTTATTTACTATAAAATATTAATAATTTATATATTTATATTATATTTTATACAAAAATTATATAACATAATTGGTATCAATATAAAATATAAATATATTTTTTAATTTTATTAAATTTATTTATAATTTTTATTAAAATTTTAAATTATATTATTTTTATATTTTTTATTTATATTATGTCATTATATTATATTTTAAATTATTTAATTTACCCTCTCTCATATTTGAATTGAAACAAAGAAATCAGTTAGGAATTTCAAACAAAATGGTCTAAATAACTTAAAATGACATTCAATTTGAAATTAAGGGAAATAACTTAAGTGAGATTTTTAACATGATTTTGTAATAACAAGAATTCTTATGACTTTTGCTTTTACAATTCTAAAGTTTATTAAAGAAGTGTGATCGCTTGTCTTTGCTTACCAAGCCTTCTTTTACACATGGTGAACCAAATTTAGTTAAGACTTTGATTCTAAAATTACTTGTCTTACCACGTTTTCCAACACATAGCATGTTTTTTCCTTGGTTTTTTTTTTTTTTTTCAAAATATAGATATGAGGAAACAAGCAAAAAATTGTAATTTGGTATGAATTATAAACACAAATGTGAATTGGAATTGAGTGATTTCTTTTGCAATATTCTACATTAAAATATTGATCAATATACATTGAATGTTGAAGACAAATGGGTGGAATGTTATCCATTTTGTCTAAAAGGATTTTTTTTTTTCAAACTAATAGAAATAAAAGGACAAAGAAAGATCTCAACGAGAATATTGAATCAATAAGAATCAAATATTTTATTTATAAAATTTACATTTGATTTTTTAAATAAATAATTTATAAATTTAATATAAGTAATACATAAATATGAAAATTAAAATTAAAATAATAATTTTTTAATAAAATAGAGTGAATAATTGGTATAATAATAACCTACAAACAGCATATTTTTCCTTCTTGGTATTTTTAAAGGAAAAAAACAAAATAAAGATATAAGGAAACAAGCAAAAAAAAAAAAAAAGGTATACATTGGGATTAATTATAAACACAAATGTGAATAGAGGGGCTCCTTTTGGAATATTTTACATTAAAACATCCATCAAATATAGATTGAACGTCGAAGAGAATGGTTGGAATGTTGTCATTTTGTCCTAAAAGACTTTTCTTTGAAATGTAATATAAATAAAAAATAAAAAAAGCTAAAAAAAATAATTATATTAATTAAATTAATAAAATAAAATATTTAAATTCATTTTCATTATCAACGATTTCTTTTATTAAACCATTTGTAATTTAATATAAATTTTCATTATAAAGATTTGTCTTTGGTCATATTAAAATTTTATTTTTGCACTTACGGCGACCGTCGCTAGAAACTTTGTAGAAAATTAACTACGCACCTCACGCCAAAATTGAAAACCCCACAGATTTAACCACCCAGTGTCACACGCTCCTATAATCACGCGCGTTCTTAAATTTTTAAGTCTAATAATCTGAACTGAAGCACCCTCTCTCTTTCCGCCGCCTTTCTCATCAACTTCCTTCGAACACACCACCTCCTATATAAATCTCCCTACCACTCTTGAACCTCGTCAGCCATCGCCATTCAAATTTTCATTGAAGCCCATTCTGCTTTGCTTTTTCTTTTCTTCTCTCTTCATTATAATGGAGACCAAGTCTCGCACTCTGGAGATCACAGTCTTGTCAGGAGAAGACCTGAGAATCGATAACAAATCGGTTAAAAAGAACGCTTACGTCATCGTTTCGATCGATACTTTTAGCTATAAGGCGACGAAGATTGATGCAGAAGGAGGGAGCTCCCCTTCATGGAACGATAAATTAGTGATGGACATGCCCATGCAGACACGCTTCATTACCCTCCAAGTAAAATGCAAGGTTTCAGGTGGGGATAAAACCGTAGGATATGCAAGAATACCAGTGACGGATTTTATTGGAGGGTATTCCCCGGAAACTTGTTTACAATTTTTGAGTTACCGGTTAAGGGATCCCAAGGGGCTGAAGAATGGAATCATTAATGTTTCTGTTAGAGTAAAAGAGCCCATACAAGCTTGTTCTTCCCAGGCTGCAGCTGCAGGTCTGGGATTGGGAATTCCCATTGACGGACGAAAAGATTTTGGAGTTGTTACTGGGATTCCAATTTGGAGTGGTTATACTTATCCATCCAATTCTTTGTTTCGATGATTTTTTAAGGAATTAATTAAATTAAAGCAAAATCAAAGTTGTGCAAAACACATATAAAAAAAAAAATTATTTTGTTGCAATTTATGACTTTAATTAGAAATTCTATTCACAATTAAAATTGATTTCTCAATTTCCAGCATGATGTTAATTATATTATATTGCAAAGTTGTTTTTTATGTTAGTAACTAGGATCAAACTATTTTAAATTATTCATTACCTTGCCTTTGAAGAAGCCGTCTGATTAATTAATTATTATGTTGCCTTGCCTCGAACAAGGTAGACAGGTAGTGCCAAGCAATTAGATGATTCGTCAATCTAAAAATTCATAAATTATAATTAAAATATTAAAATATTATTTATATTAATATTTTATAATTAAAACTTAAATAAAAAATAAATTTTCTTAATTACGATAATGTCCCCAGTTGAAATCGAGCTTCAAAATCCTCGTCCAATATTGACTCAAATAACGGATAGCCCAATTATTAATGGACAAATCTACAAACAATCAGCCTTTTTTATTTAGTGAGTTACAATCAAATATTATTAACTGATTGATCGGTATTTTTTTTTCCCTTTTGGGCTTTTTTAATTTTTATTTATTTATAAAAAATTAGTTGAATTTGGATGTAGTTGCAACTCTAACGAAGTACAATAAAATCTAACAATAGAATCCAAACGAAAAATTAGTGAGATACAGTAACACAAAATTTTTATTGAAATTTTTAGGTTCAATGCAATTTTTTTTTCAATCATAATTAAAATAATTTTTATCATTATTTTTAATTTTATTAAAATTAATCTTACTCTTCATCCGAGTGAACCCTATAAATATTACTAAAAACAAAAAACTAAGGACATTAAACAATGCATCCTGTTTGCACGAGTCAAGAAATCTTTTGTAAGTAAGAAAAACAAAGGTATATTTTATAAAATCGAATACTTGATCGCTGATTTGGAACTTGGAATGGAACTCACCAAAAAGAAAAGTAGCTCGTCGTCATTCGTCGGCGATCAACCAGCACCAACTCTCTGGGGTTGAAAATCCACTAAGTGACGGCCAAGGGCCAAGGCTCTGAGCTTTATCCATCCCAATTAGCAACGAAAATTTGTGCATGTGTTTTTCCTGGTTCGAGTCAAAACATGTGAGAAAGAAGGAACAAATTTTCACATTTTGAATCTTAAATTGTTTTTTTTCCGACACTATTGCTATTCAAAATGACTACGACGACCAACACCGAATTCTAGTATTCAAAAAGTCAACTGTCCCTGGAAAACAAAGCCGTCATATTTATAATTTGGTCCGGAATAAGAACAGGAAAAACAGAAATATCGTCTCTCCTTCTATCTTCCTTCTCGTAAACTTCCTTTCAATATCAATGGTTGCGTGCCATCTGGCTTGGTTCTAAAGACTCAGTTTCTTAGAAACAATATGGGATCGACGGGAAACTTCCTCGGATTTTCAACTAGAGCACATTACAATTTTGTTGATATATAGCGAAGGCCTTTGCATTAATTGCAAGTTGTTAAAAATATGCATAACAAAACTAACTGTTTCGTTTGTCAAATGAGGCCATTTCTCCTTGACTGAGTTTAATATATAGTCCAATAAGAATGATATTCATCAGTCATGCATGGTAGGCAATCGACCATGTGCATTTTGCTCATGTAAAACATTTTTTTTGGTAAAAATCAAAGCATTTTATATGTTTAAGGGTTTATGCCCATTGATGTGGTCGGCAGCAATGAACTTTTTTATTTTTACTTAATATTGTAGTTGACATCATGAGATTTGGTAATGTTTTTCACCTTTTCTTTTAAAAATATGAAAGAATTAAATGTGAGATTGAACAAAAATGTGAAAAATAAATCGATAACATACAATGATATTATTTATTGTAAAGTTATATATTGATGACAATTTCTTTATACACTTATCAGCCTAATTTCGGATCATACTCATTTTTTGCATTTAGCATAATTTGTAATTTTAAATTACGTGGGATGGTTATTTTTAAAAAATATAAATAGTAAATATAAGCTAAATATCCAATAATTGCTATCGAACAGCACCAGTGGTCTAGTGGTAGAATAGTACCCTGCCACGGTACAGACCCGGGTTCGATTCCCGGCTGGTGCACTAGAGCTATGAGGAATTCTGCGCTCATGTGATGGTAGGGTCCGTCACGCTTTACTGATCTTACGATGAGACCATGCGCAACTGAGCTCTTCACTTTTTTGTGATCACCGGGAAATAAAGGAAAATTAGTTGGGAAAGCATGTACTACATAAGCTAAAATATTAAAAAAATCTGGACCTATTTTATTTTTTTAAATAAACTTTTATAATTTTTATTGTATTCAGATGAATATTTATCCTTAAATTTGTATCTAAATAAATTTACTTTAAACCAAAAACTAATTTATGTTAAGAACTTATTCAAGTTTAAATTAAATATTAAAGGATTATTTGGATATTAATTAAAAGTTAAAAGCTTAATTGAATGTAATAAAAATATAAAAATTTATCTAAATAAAATAATAAAATTAAAAGACTTTTCTGTTATTTTAGCCTACTATATACATTAACAATTTGGAAAAAAACAGAAATGCAACACCTGTCTTTTGCGGCAAAATCTGTTCTTAGATGCCAACAAGATATCCAGTTATTAATTACGTACAAGCAAGGAAAGAAGCACTGTTGATTATTATTAGGTTTTGCTACACTTCTTCACTACCACTTAGGTCACTGGTCTTCAGAATGTTGAACTTGCAGAGAGGACATGTAGCATTGATGTACAACCACTTGTCGATGCAGGTGCAATGGAAACGATGATGGCAAGGAAGTTCACGCAATTCGCTCCCATCTTCGTAAGCAGAGAGGCAGATGCAGCATTCCTATGTGTGAATGGAACATAAGTTTATGTCAAGCTGGTGCATTCGTTCATCGAAAGGCCAGAAGAACTAACATAAACACCCAAGAATGGATGGCAATCACTCTTACTTACACACATGAAACAATAACTTTAAAATGCCTGATTTTACCACTCCATGTTATAGATTTTGTAATGGAAGAGGGAAAATCTCTATGCCAAAGAGAATAACATAGCCAATGCTCAACACGAGATAAATTAAAGTCATGTAACTGAGAAGCATGTACGTTGATTTAATCTTGGTTTTTGTGAGCCACCAGCTTTTGATTCAATGTGTGAATGCAAATTCTAACCTTTGCTACATATAGAAATTGGTTCTATTATCATTTGTAACTTCCTAAAAGTTTCAATGATTTTATAAAATCATATCCAAATATACAACAGCAAAGGCTACTTACAGCATCCTCATGTGAAAGAATTCGTTCTCTAGGTGTATTGGTGTTACATTCAGTCATTATCCCCTCACGAGATTCTTGAATTTCACCATTTACTTTCGCAAAACTACCCTCTCTGCGAAACTTGTACTTTGGCAATCTATCAATCTCTTCCTCTGTTGCTCCTTCCTTTTTCACAATTGAAGATGATGTAAAATAAGGCAGGATTATTCACGAATGGAGACTAGAAGTAGAAAGCATGACCTTATTCAAAGATTATGAAGAATGCAGCATACATAAAATAATCTAAACAAATCACCACATTCAACAGTCAACCATCTATGCAGACAGAATCAAACACATACTCTTCATTTTCAGCAATACTGTGTTTTCATGGGAATTCATTTTAACATTACTAAAGAGCAAAACTTTTCCTTCTAGGACTAGGAACAACAGAGGTTCCAGAGCCCTTCAATCACCCAAGAACAGGAAAATTAAAGAAGCAATGACCAACTTGTGCTCAACTTAAGCAATGTTATTTCTAAAATTAAATTGTTTATTCCTAGTACAATCATTTCAGAAGTATAACTAAGAAACCAGATTAACCAAATTCGAAACCCAAGTTGAAAAAATCCCAAGACTTTATCCCTTTTCCCCAAAAACAATAAGGAGGAAAAAGAAAGAAACATCACAGGTGTATCTCACTAAGATAACTCGTCAAACATCAAAGGGGACAGAGATAATGGCCAATACAGTCCAAAAATACAGGTTTCCCCACTTAATTTCTAATCAGTAATCACCAACTCATTACAGAATTAATTATCCATACAGGAAGATTTTGTTATTGAATTTTGTTCCACTTAAACAAAACATAAGAAAAAAAAAAGTTATCTTTGTCTCAACCATGATTAAAAAACTAATCCACCAAAAGGAAGCTAAGGAATACAGCAATGAGATGAATATTCTAAACTTATAATAACTGCATAAAAAGTGAAAAAAAAAAATTACCCGGTCTGTGAGAGCATACAAAATTGCTATGATGCAAGGAAGACAGCAGCAAACAGCAAGACCGATTAGGCAAGCAACAGCAACACAAATTATTACAAACAACACATCCAATGCAAGAAATGTAACACAAAGCCTGCCAATTAAGAAGTAAAAACCCATCTAAGGAGTTAGCAATAATTTATAATAAAAATAAAAGAAAAAAAAATCCCATCTTGAAAACATAGAGTAATAGTACCAGTAAAGCTGAGGTGAGTGACGTGTCAAAACTTGTCCATTGGCAGTTATCCAATAGAATCCAATGATCCACCAAAGAAATGAAAACATTGTATTTGCAGACTCCAAACTTTTGGCAACACTGCAAAAATCATAAAGATTTAGGCTAAAGTAACCTTGATTTTATTCATGATTAATATGAAAAAATTGGCTACCTGGTTTCATCTCCACCATTCAGCTCCTCCGTTTCATAATCCTCTGAATCCCCTGTTTCACTCCCGGACTGAGAATTCGGACCCAAGTCCGCATCCTCGTTATTCTGCAGATCCGAAAGCCTCCTTTCGTTTCTTCTTTTATATTCTACAACTACGCAAGCAACGTGAAATAAACACTGTAAACCGTAACCTGAAACCCAGAGCCTTAAAGGGGCGTTGGGCTTTTCGTCAAGGCTGAGTCCCAAAACGACAACCGCCATAGTCACAAACGCCATATTCCAGAGGATGTCAAGGGCTATAATGGGCTTCGAATAGGCCCAATCGCTTTGACGCTCTTCGAGTTGCTCGGCCGCGGTTTCTCGTACACGAACCGATGGCTCACGGAGCATCAAGCGACGACTGCTGGCACGGCGGAAGAGTCTAGCAGCTGCTTCACGTAAAGGTGGAGGTGGACGACGGAGGAGGCGCCGGCTACGGAGGAGGTGACCGGCTATGGAATGGGTAAGGAGGGGTGACGTGTCCACCGCATCTAGAGGAGGTGATGTCGGAGGTGAAGTATATGATGGGTTCATTATTTTGATAAAAATAAATCAAAAAAGTCTTCGAGGAAATTAAGGTTGTTTAGAAGGATTGGTTTGAGAAGCAATTATTTTGTACTGATGATCAAAACTCGACTTGAATGCGAATAATTTTAAAGGAAAGGGCTTGAAATTTGGGGCAAACGGGTTTAATCTAATTAGGCATGACTTGGAATAATTTAGTGGGTTTATTTGGATTTATGTACATATAATTTGAAACTTTGAATTCAGATAAAAAGCAAAAAGGTATAGTACTCCAATTACAAAAAGGCAATAACTTTGGTACAAAGGACTATAATTATTAGAGATTGGGGCGGGGCAGGGGAGATGGTTTCGAAGACGACGGATGATGACGATGAAAGAGGCAAAGTTTATGGCATTTTTTTTGAATAAAATAACATATTTAAAATTTTGATAAATAACTCATCAATGATCAATCAAGATTTTCTTAATGGTCGCGCATGAAATGGACGTGTGTCATGTCATGACATCATTGCACTTTAATTGGAAAGCAGCCCCCTTTTTTACCAAAATTATACCAATGTGTTTGGGTTCTCAGTATGAAAAATATTCACTGAAAGTTGGAAGTCTTATGAGAGGAAAATTTGAAAATTGGTTCGAACGGTGAATTGGCTTTTGTATTGTTAAAAATTCCAGCGAGAAAATGCCAAAGCGATTTTGAAAGAAAAAAAAAGCAGTAGAAGCCAAGGGGATGAAGTTGGTATAGATAAAAATGATGCTACCAAGTACCCAATGTAAACAAACAAACCAGACCAAAGTGTCCTCTGGTACAGGAGGAGCTCAGCTTCATCTGTTATGTTCCCATGGAAGTTCCCACCAAGTAGCTTGAAAATTAGGTGCCCCACGCAATTTATAATGGACCCATCTCGTCTCTTTTTCGATAAGGACTAGGGACCCGTATTTCTTCCCAAAACATTTTTCTACATTTTCACTGTTTCTTAATTCCATATTCAATTTACCCCTTTCTTTAATCTTCTTTTTGTCTAGTTTATGGTGCTTAGGACTTCTTCTGTTCGATTTCAAGCTTTTTTTTGTCTTAAAAATTGACAATTTTTTTGAATTAGAAACATAGGGAGCGGATTCAATGATAAAATTAAGTTTCAAATATCTGAACTTTTCTTTTAAGTCATGTCACCGATGCATTCACGTGCGATGTATTCATTTTCATTTTGGGAATTCCAGTCAATCAAAGCTTGATTGTAATCGGGCCTTAAATGAATTATCCAAATTGAGTCGGATTAATGAAGCTCGAAAGCTATTTGACAAAATGTCCGAACGGGATGAGTTCACCTGGAACACAATGATAGCTGCCTATGCAAATTCTGGGAAATTAACTGAAGCTATGGTGCTTTTTAAAGACACCCCAATGAAGAGTTCCGTCACTTGGAATTCGCTAATTTCTGGGTATTGTCGACGTGGGATGGAAATTGAAGCGTTTGATTTGTTTTGGGGAATGCAATTTGAGGGACAAAGACCTAATCAGTACACAATGGGAAGTATTTTAAGGTTGTGTTCCACCTTGGGTTTACTTCAAAGAGGAAAACAGGTGCATGGTTATGTAATAAAGACGCAATTCGAGTCAAATGACTATGTTGTTACTGGTCTTGTTGATATGTATGCAAAGTGCAATTGCATTTTAGAAGCTGAGTATTTGTTTAAAATGATGCCCGATACGAAAAATCATGTCATGTGGACCGCCATGGTTGCTGGTTATTCTCAGAATGGTGAAGCATTCAAAGCGATTGAGTGTTATCGAGATATGGTAGTTGAAGGAGTTGAGTGTAATCAGTTTACTTTCCCCAGTGTATTAACAGCTTGTGCTGCGGTTCAAGCTGGTAATTTTGGTGCACAAGTGCATGGTTGCATAATTAGGAGTGGTTTTGAAGCTAATGTTTTTGTTCAAAGTGCGTTGGTTGATATGTATGCAAAATGCAGGGATCTGGATAGTGCAATGAGGGTCTTAGAGAATATGGAGGTTGATGATGTGGTTTCTTGGAACTCCATGATAGTAGGGTGCGTAAGGCAAGGTTGTGAAGAGGAAGCTCTCTCGTTGTTCCAGAAGATGCATGCTAGAGATATGAAGCTGGATGATTTTACATACCCGTCTGTTTTAAACTGTTTTGCTTCAATGAAAGATATGAAGAATGCAATGTCAGTCCAATGTTTGATTGTTAAAACAGGGTTTCAGGCTTACAAGCTTGTAAATAATGCTTTGGTCGACATGTATGCTAAACAAGGAAACTTGGATTGTGCTTTTCAGGTGTTCAACCACATGCCAAACAAGGATGTGGTCTCATGGACCTCTCTGGTGACAGGATATGCACATAATGGCCGACATGAAGCAGCTCTCAAGTTGTTTTGTGACATGAGAATTGCAGGCATTTGTCCCGACCACATTGTTCTTGCCAGTATTTTGAGTGCTTGTTCAGAACTAACAATTCTGGAATTTGGGCAACAAGTTCATGCAAACTTTGTTAAATCAGGCCTCCAATCATCCATATCAGTAGATAATTCCCTTGTAACAATGTATGCCAGGTGTGGTTGTATAGAAGAAGCAAGCAGAGTATTTGATTCTATGCAAATTCAGGATGTGATAACTTGGACTGCTCTAATAGTTGGTTATGCCCAGAATGGTAAAGGCAAGGACTCAGTACGGTTCTATGATCAAATGATTGCTAGTGGCACAAAACCAGACTTCATTACTTTTATAGGTCTACTATTTGCTTGCAGCCATGCTGGTCTTTGGGAAAGTGGTCGTTTCTATTTTGCATCCATGGAGAAGGTTTATGGAATTAAACCAGGTCCTGAACACTATGCTTGTATGATTGACCTCTTGGGTCGGTCAGGAAAACTTGTTGAAGCTGAGACATTGTTATATCAAATGGATGTGGAACCAGATGCAACTGTATGGAAGGCCCTCCTTGCTGCATGCAGAGTACATGGCAACTTGGAATTGGGGGAAAGAGCAGCAAAGAATCTCTTTGAATTAGAGCCCACGAATGCTGTGCCATACATCATGTTGTCAAACATGTATTCAGCTAGTGGAAAATGGGAAGATGCTGCTAGGATTCGAAGAATGATGAAATCGAGGGGAATTACCAAGGAGCCTGGATTTAGTTGGATCGAGATAAACGGTAAAGTGCACAGCTTTATGTCTGAAGACAGAGGCCATCCAAGAACTGCGGACATCTATACCAAGATCGATGAGATCATGCTCTTGATCAAGGAAGCTGGTTACGTACCAGAAATCAGTTTTGCTCTCCATAACACGGATGAGGAAGGGAAGGAGCTTGGTCTGGCCTATCACAGTGAGAAACTGGCCATTGCATTCGGACTTCTGAACGTGCCACTTGGAGCCCCAATCCGAATTTTTAAGAATCTCAGGGTTTGTGGGGATTGTCATACGGCTGTGAAATATATATCGAGAGTTTTCCTTCGTCACATCATCCTGAGGGATTCTAATTGTTTTCATCACTTCAAACAAGGACACTGTTCATGCGGAGATTATTGGTAGATGGTTTTTTATCTAACCACACAAGTACTCGTTTCTTTAAGCAGTTTTCACTTCTGATATACGTCTACCAATAATTGCAGTGATGTTTGACTTGTATTCTACACATCTTTTATACTTTATTTATTAATGGTATTAACGATCAACCTTGGGAGAAAATAGAAACATGGATTTCTTGGAAATTTGCTTCTCTGGAGAACTTGTATACAGTCCTCGAGTTGAAAATTTAGGATTTTTTGAACAATGAATGCTAATACACTTCCATATATTAAAGCGAAAGCACAGTTTTAACGAGTCATCTTTTTCATTAGTTTAGGCAGATAGCAAATCACATTGTAAATGAAAAAAAAAAAGAAAAAAGAAAAAGAAAATCCCAAAACTTCATCTTCAGCAGTCGTGCAATCCGTCCACCTCAAAGCACCACCAGCACATCCACTGTGGGAGTCCTTGAATGGATAGCCCCCACCACTACCTTCAGGCCTTGGCTTGTAATTTAAGGAACAAAGATGGTCAGCTCTGAACTAGCAAGAGGTGGGGGGTCAATGTCGCTTGTATGGGGTGGCAACTAAGCATTCAAAACCAATTTACAATGCCTATAGATGCCATCTCATTTGATCTTATTATGTCCTTGCATGTTCTGGGATAACACGATGACGTAATTCGACAGATTCACCAGCCAGTTCTGCATAACCGTTTGACATACGTAATTCCAGAAGATGGCAAATTTTATGAGTAAAATGTGAAAAAGGTTAACCTTGCTTACCTTGAGCAGTGAAATTGAACAGAGGAGGCAGGGCTCGCCCATTAGGCAAGCATGCATTGGGGTCTCTCAAATCATCAAAGAAGGGATGTGCACACGCCTCTAACTGAAAGTGACGCTCACATTAGATGCAACACAAAGAACACAGGTAAAACTTTGTAAAAAACATGAAACTAATATAATCCATCACAACAACTTCTTGAGCACATGCCAAATGTCTCTACTAGTCAATTTCTACCATTTGAAATAGAGTACTGAAACTACAACTTTGGTCATAAAGGCTGGGTGATAAATTACAAAACTAAAGTTCCCAATCAAAGATTCAAGTAGACAAGCACAAATACATAAGCAACTGAAAAAAACAATAATATATTGCAAATTCCTTACAGCAGTGCAACGTAGGTTTGGTGAATACTGAAGTAGCCTTGACACAAGATCCACCGCTTCAGGGGGCATTCGCTTGTGAAATATCTGAAAATTGCAACTTAAGATTTCCACCTTTATGAACTATATAAGGTAATTAGAAGATGATCCAATCAGCACACCTTATGCCATGGATGAGCTTTGATCTGAGGGAATTTGAACTCAGTGTAATTAGGATTCATGCATTTAATTTCTTCTCTGGTTGGTGTTCCCAGTATCTGATATAATAAAGCAAAAAGGAAGTGAAAAAGATATGCAGAAAAAAGTAGAAGTCGAACTAGAGAAACAAAAAGCCACAGATGCACACCTTAATAATTTCCACCAGCTGATCGACACCACTTTCACCAGGAAACAGTGGCTGCAAATGGAATACCCAATATGCATTAGCGCATACCCTGTATAGAACAGAGTTTTTTCAAAAGATGGTAACATTTATATACTACAAATGTGCCTTGGATAAGAACTCAAAAGCAGGCAAATGGTAGATAGATGAAATAATAGTTTTGCAAAATGTGCTTTCATGTAGAATTTTAGGATGTCAAAGGCTCAAAAGGATGATTGCATCAGTGAGATGGTCCACAAATAGATGACAAAAGCAAAATATAACAATGTTAAAAAGCAAAAACACATAACATGAATGTTAATACATTCAGTAGAGCCCACAATCATCAAAAGATAGATAAAATGAGAATATATGGACTATGAATGCTATTAAAGCATTACTAGAGCCATGCAAGCATTAGAGAGGTAAATAGAGCATAAGTTGACATCAAATATGCATCTAAAAGGAAGTCTAATTTTATACACTCACCTGGCCAAGCAGAAGCTCAGCCATGACACAACCAACAGACCACATATCAATAGCAGTTGTATACTCTGTCGCCCCAAATATAAGTTCTGGAGCCCTATAATATCGTGAGCATATATATGATATGTTGGGTTCACCTGGCACCTAAATATTGCAGAGTAAATCTCATAAGCCTTAGACAACAATAAAAGATTTTAGAACTTCCCAAAAAATTGAACATACCAACATCTTGGCACTACCAAAATCACATATCTTCAACTGGTGACTGTGGGGATTGACCTGCAAATAGATCACAACATAAGCTCCCATTTGCTTTGTAATTTGATAATATAAATTTTATCAGAAGAATAACAAAAGCAATAACATGTTAAAGCCAACCAAATTTCACAGACAAGAACCACAATATATCATCAGCATACACAAGAAATTCATGGACAAGAAGTATGACTGACCACCATTCAAACAGAAAGTGTCACACATTATAGTGCATCCAAGTAGATAACAAATTTGTCAAATTGAGGTGAAATGTAATATCCTCTACACTAGAAAATTTTCTTCACATCAATCTCCGGCTTATAATACAAAAGCAAAAATGTCTTACCAGTAAATTTTGCGGCTTAATATCACGATGACATACACCAACCACATTATGTAAATAATTTAGAGCACAGCAAATCTACAAAATTAGAAAGCAATATAGCCGGTCACGACATGCACTGACAATATAAACTCAAAATGTTTAGATCAAAAATCAAACCGGTAGAATTTTGCAACCTACTACTAATTAGGCAGGGTCAAGGATCACCTGGTATGTATACAGCTGGACATAAAGAATGGGCATATGCTGATTCATTCGGCTGAAGTGCTTTGAAACTCGGTAAACAGTTTCTGGAACATACTCCAGAACAAGGTTAAGATAAAGCTCATCTTTGTCAGTGGTTGAAAAGAAACATTGCTTAAGTTGAACCACATTAGGATGGTCAAGTATACGCATAATCTGGAGTTCCCTATTCTTGTATCTTTTATCCTGCCGAACCTTCTTAATAGCAACAGATTCACCTCTCTCCAAGCACTTAGCCTACATCATAAACATAAAGTCTTATGTAAAACTCACAGAGAGAATATTCTGAATAAAAGCAAACACTAAGAGAAAATGGTTACAAACAAGAAGATGGCAACAAGCTGATAAATTCGTACCTGAAAGACAACACCAAATGAACCCGTACCAACCACACGCTCTGCCATGTAGGAGATCGTCTGAAGCCCAAGAAAAAAATGCATTATTATGCATTAATTGCAGCTTAGTCCAAATAGAATAATTAAATGAAATTAAATACAAAGCATGTAAACCAAGACTCTAAAATGACAATCACTTTAGCAAACTATTGATAGGCTAAATTTTTAAATATCAACAACAACAAACAGCTTCAACAGGAAAAACCTATTCCCACTCCATCAAGAAGGAAAAGGGCATGGTGAAAACTTCAAGAAGAAAAAAGGAATAAAGCAACATTAGCTCAACGTAGACTGCCAAACATAATTTACAATCCAGACAAGCAGTTAATCAAGTGCAACAAATAGTCACCCAAAAATCAAATCACCTGTTTTGGTTGCCCATTTCGACCACCAACAATAGTTGAAATTATCTGACCTGTTTCTGTTCCATTTCCATTAACAACAGTAGCCTCCACATCCTATGCAATACAATTACAAAAATGTAATTTTAGAAATAATCAAGGAAGCTAGATAAACCGTAGACAGCTTTAAATAATAAATCAAATAACATTTTCCACAAAGTTGACACAAGATCACTTGAAGAACCCCAAGCCATAGCCTGAGGAAAAATAGATTGGTTCCTCATTGATTCAATTCATGGCCCTCACTACGGTTCAATTCAAGTCATAAACATAGATAGAAAATAGTTATTACTTTAAACTATATCAAGAGCTCCAGACTTTTTAAGTACGAACAAATAACTTCTTAGATGGCATTCCAGCATACCTGGTTATCATTTTAAAACAAGATGGAAATAAAGATAATATTTAAGAGGAAAATTTCAACATTTATGTACAGATATGTCTGAAAGAGCATAAGACCAAAAAATCACCTTATCATCATGGTCGGCAGTTTTCTCGTCTCTAATTCTCATTCCATGCATTTCATTAGGGAGCTGATCGACATCTGATTTCGCCATTGTATCAACAGAAGTTACATCGGACGTGCTTGCTACAGTTTCCCGTGACGTAGAAGCCATATGCTGCTCTAGACCAGTGGTACTCCTCTCAACTAATTTTGATTCTCTGTGTACCTTACATTCTGACTCCTGATCAACCTTTGCCCTCTTGGTGCCAGTATCCCCACCCTGATGAGACAATTATAATTTTCCCAAAGAATTAATACATAAAAACAAAAAATTAAAGAAAACAACTATCCTCATAGTAATAGAGTGCCTTTTATATTGCTATCTTTATATAATAGTCTCATTGTAAATCCCACAATGTGTTTTTTTTTCAACGAAATGGAATTTCACAAACACAGTAGTTTGTGACTTTCAGCAATGAAAAAGAAATTCAGATTGCAAAAATATTACACAAACAGACACAGACAAGTAGCTCATTACGTTATAAGTTACAAATCAACATTCGGTTCAGCCTCCTCATTCAAACTGCTTTAGTAACTTAATTACGATTACGTGGCTCACCCCGTTATCTAAAAGGCATCCCAGATTATGCTCAAGAGTTCAGGGATGATAGACCAATAGACGAAAAACAAATGAGAAAAGACCAGTCTGAAATGTAATGTGCCCAAGCTCAAAGTAAGTGAGATGCAGCGATTTCATTTTAGTCTGATCGAAACCTCTTCAATAGGTGTAAAGGCAAAAAAAGTTCCTTTCCTTTCTAGACTTCAGTCCATGATTACATACTGCAGTCAACATCACAAGGACCCCACTATTTAGGTAAGTATTATCTGCAGCATTTTACCTCTACAATACAGCCCCTACCAAGGAAAAGAAGTTTGTTTAGGACATTATCCATTCTCAGGAAAAACCAATACTGGTGATTTGACCCATCACCAACCCAACAACAATGCTCTACATAAAATTCAACCACTAAAACAGGGCTTACCATCAACCACCATGGTAAACATATAATCTAAAACTACAGCTTAACCTATGACAATTACACCCATAAAAGAACAAACATAAAATTATACTCACACGACAATATAATTGAAATTAAGATATCCTCAAATCACAAAATCAAAAAAGAGATCCACCAAAATTTATCAGTTAATGAATTGAACACATTCAACGCGGAAACAATATGCAATACAGAATTCAAAAAGAATGGCAAATAACCTCTTTCAAATCGAAGCAAAAGCAATGAAGGAAAAAGGAAAAAGACTTCAGCTAACAATGCCATTACTCTCATCCTCAAAAGTGTTTCAAACAAAAAGAAAAACTTCAAAAACTATCTCACAGGTTTTTATATTTAAAAAAAAAAAGAATAATAGTTAAAAATCCAGCTATAAGCCAAAAATAATTATGCAACGAGAAAAATAAAAGAAAAAAATCGCATATTGCATATAAAACAATTAATAATCATGAATACAGAAATCAAATGAACAAAAAAATATATATTTCCTTATTCAGCTACACATGGAATAAAAATGCAGGAAAATGAACCAACAAAAAAAAAAAAAAGCAATCTTTTCAACGAACGAAGCTTAAAAATAATCCAAAAAAATCCATTCCGTTTTCCTTTCTTTCTTTCAGCCCATTTTCCAAACAAAAAAGAGAGAGATTAACGCCGATTAAATCATGAAAAAAAAAAAAAACCGAAAGAGAAGAACTTACGGGATCGGAAGAAATAGAAGGGCGACCGGAAGCAATGCTCTTGAGACGACGCATCACAATCATGGTTTGAGATTTCACCAAATCAAACACTAATTTATTGGAAAGAAAACAACGATTTTGGCCTTCACCACGAAAAAGAGAAGAGAAGAGAGAAAACCTGCTTTCTCTCTTCTTCTCCTCCGCCTTCGATTCTATTACCAGAATCACAAAATAATGCCAAAAAAACCAATCCTAACAAAAGTATAATGTAATCGATAAAATATATCACCTGATTAGAGATTCAAAACTAAAAAAATATATATCATCGTCAATTTCTCTCTTTATTTTTTCTGGAACCGTATCCAAGGAAACACGAAAACAAATTATTTAAAAAAATTCCTTTTTTTTTCTTCCATAAAAGCCACCAGGTGCGTTTCCTGATTTGATTTTTCTCTGGTCAAAGTTGGATAAAAGCCAATCATACCAGCCTATCTTTTGAATTTCAGTCAAACGGGAATATGAGCCGTGGATTCTTCGTCATGAGAGATTCAACGATCACGATTCTTTCCTAATAGGCAAAAGCTTTTGTTTTTGTGGTTGGACTAAAATATCCTTTATAGGTAAGGATAACTAAAGGGAGGATTATGATTTATGACACAGATATATCCCGCACGAAATATTCGGGGAGTTTTGACCGATCTTTAACCGTTATTTTGACGCTTTAATTTTTGTTTATAATTGAGTAATTACACTTTAATTAGTAATTCCAATAGTAATTAACCTTTTATTTTTAATCAAGACTTCAAATTAGTTTATGACAAAAAAAAGAGGAGCTCAAATTAATTTTATTAATAATAGATTTAGGTCTGCGTGTGGACTGGTTCAATTATGATCTGGTTGGCCCATCAGAAACTCAGCCCAATGGTTACGCAACCTTAAACCTTAATGGGCCAGATTACCAAGATTTGTTGGGCAGAGATTGCTTCCTGGACCGGACCTCAGGTGCTGGGCCAGTCGGTCCAGTTTAAGAAGCTGTAAACTCATCCATAAAATATTAAATTTAAATTCAGATGATTTCAAGTATTAAAAAAAATAAATAAATAGTTGCACAGGGAGTTTTTTTTTTTTTTTTTTTTTTTTTTTAAGGACATGCATAACTGCTGCATGTGAATTATTGTACGTTTGAATGAAAGGAAAAAGAAATAACCCTTTTTGAACCCACCCAATGGATATGTTTGGATAATATTTTAGACAGAGCCCACTCTTTCACATGTCGTGTTGCTATGATTTTTCAAAATAACATCGAAAGAAGACGAGTGTCGTCATCACTCTTAAACTGGCCAAGTACTCGGCTGAAATTGCCTCTCCATTCAGAGTTCGATTGTGACTGCTTTCAAATTAAGCCTAACTCTTTTTTTTTTTTTTTTTAAATATCTGAAAATCAATCTAGGCGACCTTTTAACTTTTGAGCTTGGGCCCAAAAAACTTTTGCTGAATTTTCCCGTGTTTGATTTGTTTGTGGCCCTGTCAGTTGAAAAAGCCACGTTCAATTATTTTTTGTTTTCATTTTATAATTTTTTTTAATCATTTTTAGCATCTTAATGATATAAAAGAAATTATTACGTCCAAAATGATAGTGAAATTTTTACTATTATAATTTGTTGGGTGACACATATCTTTTGTCATATAATTAAAAAACTGAAATATATGATTATCTTTTAATTGTTTATATAATTAAAAAAAATATATTGTCAGTGTATATAAAAAAAATCATGATATAATATGTATTTTTCAATTTTTTTCTTATTAATGATTGGCATGGTTCTATCAATTATGGGCTACTGTGATAAAGTTGTAGTCAGCAATAAATACATTCTAATTAATTTCTTATGTTTAATACTTAATAATGAGGATGGATAATTAATATTTGCATAATTAGTATCCTACGTCTTAACCTCAAAAAAGGGGTTAACTTATATTACATGTATGTTTAATTATGAAACAAAATTTTAAAGCCTCTGATAAAGAAAAGACTTTGTTATAAATAATTTTTTCCTTTTGGGGGGATGTTTTCATGAAAATTTTTTCTCAAACGATTCAAACTTGTATAGGCATTAAACTTTTAAGGCCATAATAAAGGCTGACAACGAGACTAGAACCCCCCAGCTCCCAAGTCTCAACCCACCCGCACGTTGTTGCATAGTGGTAGCTTTATGCAATTGAGCATTTAATGCTTACTTTTATTCTACTAAATAATCGAACATCAAAATAAAATCTGAAAATATTTCTTACCGAATTATAAAAAATAAATAATCTTTGAATAGGTGAATAATTTTGTTGACTGATGGATTGATATATTTTAGGATTATAAAAAAAATTAACCCAAAACATATTTTTGATCACCGAAAGAATATATCATTAACCCAAAAGAAATTAATTTGAATTAACCTGAAATTTTATATAAATTACAACTCATGCACCTAAATTTATTGATGTGGAAAGATTGTTATTTCTGAAGCGTGAACCCCATTTACTTAAGAAGTTTAAACACTATCTGTGATGAATTCATTACTAGAAATTTATGAGAATATTAAAATCATTTTGTTTTTTTTTTATTCGATGAGAGAATATATTATTAATTCAAAATTGATTAATATGAATTGACGTAAAATCTAATTAAACTATACTCACGCTGACGTGAGAAGCCAACCCAAAACACATTTCAATCTTATTGACGTTGGAGGAACATCATGGTACGTCATAACTTATGTTTTCATGCAATTTAATTGAATGCTCGCTATTCCAATGGCTTGAGGTTTTGTCAAAAAAAAAAAAAAAAAAGAGAGAGAGAGGATGAATAGACGGTGTGTTTGAACTTTGTAGTATGTTCATACTTGGGCACTAGAGTTCAAGGGCTTTCAAGAGTAAAAACATTGACAAATTTATTTGCAAAGAAGAAAAAAAAGAAAAAGAGAAATTAAGGTCTCACAGTGTGGATTGGTGAAATGGTCCTACTCATTTATTGCACCGATCTGTAGCAATCTTAAGCTTGCTTCCAGGCTGGTATTTAATGCTATACCTACCTCTTTCATTTTTATTTATTTCAAAGCTCAAAGAGATCTGGGGAGGGAGGAAGGGGGGTCTTGCTATTTCATCCCTGCTGCAATCAAAGCATTAAATGTTTCATAAGTGTCAACTATACCAAACTGCGTGTTCATTCTTCGAAATTTGTCACTTTCTAGTCATTTCATTCTCCACCTTATGCCAGGACAAATACAAATATAAATACTCTTAATTTTTAATTTGCAAGGCTTAGTTTGTTTGGTATGGTAAATCAAAAATTTCCACTGCCTCTCAATATGGTTCACCCCAGTTTAATTTAATTAATTTTATGTAATTATTTTATAAAGTAATATTTAACAAATTTAAATTTAAATATATTTAATTTCTTTTTATATTCAAATCGTGATTTTTTATATATATATAAAAAAAAAACCGCGAAGATAAAATCAATCCGGTGAAAGTGTGGGTCAGTAGAGACCCATAAGTCAATTCATGAACTGGGCTAGAAGCCCGGAAAATTTCCTAAACAGCCCTTTTTGAATATTCCCCTTACAAGCATGCACAAGAAGGCAGAAGCGTGAACTCGATGCCCTACCCAATCAAATTTACTAATTTGCGTATTTTATGACTTCTAATTTTACGTTGACATTGCTATCTCATATTTTATTCAGGAAAAAGTTTTTTAAATTTTGAAATAAGATTGATATTTGCCATTATAAATCAAATCAAACGTAAATAACTTAAAATAATTAAATAATATTGATTTATATATATATTTAATATAAAAAGACTACTAGAATTGAAGCTTGTCGGTAAGCATTTTAGAACATAAAAGTCATTATTGAAAAGTGAGTAGAAGTTTTTGCCTTTCCAACTGATCAATAATTGATTGCCCAAAAAAGCTCATTATTAATTAGGAAAGGTTTCATTTGTCGAAAACAAGACAAAAATAAGAGCCCCACATCAAAAGTAAAAAATGAAAAAGAGAGCAACTCCCAACTCTTACATACCATTCCTTCATTCATTCACTATCTATTCATACTACATTTGGAAACTAAGAATATCACTTGCACTTAAATTAAAAATAAAATGGGATTTAAATTGAATAAATTAAATACAATTCCTATACGCTTGTTTTTCTCTTGATTTCTAAAAAAAAATTAAATAAGGATGTTTGCAGAAAATAAATAAAAATAATCGATCATATATATTTAAATTATTATTAAATAATGTAAAGTTCTACCCCATTTAATGACAAAAAAAAAGATTATTGTTAAATAAATATTGAATATTTATATATATATATAGAGAGAGAGAGAGAGAGAAAGATTAAATATTGGGATGGTTTTGGAGGGTGGAACCCACAAGCATGTGATGGGGTGGGTGCTGTGAAGGATCTGTCAACAGGTGGGGGGTGAGGCTTGGATAATTGGGAGAAATGACTAGGAATGGAGATTGAGAAGTAGAACGTCCAAAAAAGCTGCCACGCATAAGCCATAAGGCCGACTGCTATTCCCTCTTTCGGATAGCATTTCATTTTCTTGACTTTATTACCTTCGTCCTCACTTACCTGTATCCACATATCGGTGATTCTCACGTGTAGCTTCGTGTATGTGCATGCATGAGAATGAAGTTTTTAATTTCACAGAGAAAAAAAAAAGGAAAAAGAAAAGAAAGATATTACAACAACTCACTTGTGGTAACAAAAAAGTATCACATCTCATCTTCCCAAATGACAAACTACTACTGTCCAGTGGTACTAATATTTTCAGTACTCATTTATTTATTGGTTCATATTTATTGATTGCTTTGACAAGATGATGGTTGACGATGGTATATGAAATAATACACTTATTACATACCAAAAATTCAAGTTTGTATTTGCATAGTTGGATATTGAAATTTATTCTTCAAGCCACTTTAAATGCGTGATGGCGAGACACTGATTACATTGTGCATGCCATTTTATGATAGAATCCATTAATCTAAAGATTCTTTTAATCTTTATGGATTAGTTTAAAACAATTTTAAACCATGTAATGCTATAAAATTCAAATTAATATTAAATTTGTTGACAAGGTAGTACCTAACCAACAATAAGAATAGCAATTTATGAATTCGGTTGTTTATATTAAGTTAAATACAGTAAAAAAATTATTTAAATTTTATTTAAAGATGTAAATCTTACTCATATCTAATGAAAAATTTAATTTTTTATTCAAATGAGGATAGGTATGGGTATTATACTGTGAATATGAGAATAAAGATGAATAAAATTTTAAATTTTTATTAGATATGAAAATAGGAATAGATAATATAATATTCATCTTATATCCGTACTTTTATATATTTAGATATATTTAGTAAATAAATTTTTTATTAAACAATATAAATTATTATTTTAGATTAATTAAAATTAATATATTTTTATTAAAAAAATAAATATTAATATATATTTATAAAAAATTATCTAAATATACAATATAAAAATTAAAAAATAATTTTTATTTTTAATTTTTTTAAATTATGAATATGATAATTACCTATACCCATTAAATACCCACGATGATGAAAATGAGATAAATTTAAAATATTTATTGGGTATAAAAATGAGGATAAATATAGTATAAAAATCTGAAAATAAAGGTAAAAAATGTTTTATCCTACTTATATCCTACATAATGACACCTCTAATTTTGTCCTGTCCGGAGGCCATATCTGTGAAAAGAATTTGGAATGAATAATTGCACTATGATTTGTGGTTTAGCTGTTAAGATTTTTCAAAATTGGGCCAGGCTAGTTTTGGAGTGAAGGTTACATTTCATACAAACTATTACCAAGAGTAGGCAACATAATTGGCTTGATCACGCTGTTTCTCACTTTCCAGTTAAGAGCTTGATTGCATCAGATTGATGCAGCTGCACCTACAAGGTTTTACCACTTCAAAAGCAACAAATTTGCTCAAAATAACCTTCAATATCATCACCAATCATCCAATTCCAACAAGAAACTTTCGTATAGGTCAAATCTTACCAAAATGGGAATTTGTAGGGAGGAAAAATATATATAACTCATCAGCTTATTATATATTGAAAGTGTGGCCATAGCGTCTAATATTTTAAAACAGAAAGGGTTACAACATCCACTTGATGTTTACCATTTAGTGAAGGTTAATTGACTGATTTGGTTTCTATAATAGTAGCACTAGTAGTATAAACATACATGTATTTATGTAGAAATACATATATATATATATATACATACACATGTATAGGGCTTTGATAAATACATGAAAGCTAAACCACTTTCCATTCTTATAATTACCAAGAGAATTGAAATCTCCTAAATTAATGTCTTCCAAATTGGATATTTAGCTGGCTTAGGTATGACTACATGTCACCATTTATTGGAGGGGCATGATTTGACCCTGAACAGAGCTTTGTTAGCTTCGCCTCCTGTACATTATGTATTGATTAATCTTTACTCAAAAACACTTTTAAATTTCTTCTGAAAGGGATATGATATTCTGTTTTTAGGTTTGATGAGCAGGCATGGTTGCGTTTTTCCACCATTTTTCATCTTCAAGACGGCTGAAACCGACAGTCAGCTGCCAGCAGCCAGGCGCTTGCATCTTAGAATTCTAAGATAAAAATCTTTAGACCCTGTCTGCTATTATCGTCCACAAACAACTTGGGTGAAAATAAAAGGCCTTGCCAGTTTTATTTTTCTTAATTTGTTTCATAAATTTTGGGTCTGATAAAAGACAAAGCTGGCTGATCTGGTTCTGCTATCATATCATTGCATCAAGACGACCTAACATCATGTCACTTGAAACGTCCAAAAATCATATTCCTCGCTCCTAATGTGAGAGATTTAACACTTAGCATGTTGCCCACAATCCATCAACAGATTCAGCATCAAAGCTAGCTAGCTAGCAAAGCAAAGCTGGCAAATAACCCAAACCATACGCATCCCTTACCCTTTGCATCATAATCCAGAAACGGCGTTACTGTCAGACTCCTATTCTCGCTTTCCTACATGTCAAATACCCTCCAGAAACGTGGCTCGGTTTCATTGGCTTCTCCAGGTAATCCCCAAGGCATTAAATGAAAGCAACGCTTTCTCCCAACTGCTACTGCTCCCTCATTTAATGCCCGTTTACAACTTACAGCCTAGAGCCCCCCTCTCACAATCACTGCACTCACAACCCAACTTGCACCGGCGGCGCGTTCTTTTTACTCGCTCAGCCGCTATCAAATGTGTGCTGAACCTATGGTTTGAGAAAGGGAAATACTTGGATATTTGAAAATACTTGAGTACGAAATTAATAGATTAAATTAGTAAGCTTCCAAAAGCCAAACCCCATAAGAAAGCGACAACTCAATGCAACATGTTCCGTTAAGTATGACATGACCATGCAATCTTCTCTGCAGTGTCAGGTAGAGAAATTAAAACCCCAGGAAAAGAGATTGGACTGATACAATAATAAGCGCTCTTTTAAAGATTTCTTGTTTTGGGGTTTTGACTTTTTTTTTCACCCTCCCATTGAACCATCTCCAGGGTCGACCTGAGTCAATACCCGAACCACCACCCTTGCCTTGTGCTGAGAAACCGTCTTTTTTCTTTTAGACCAAATCACTGCCTGATCATCACCATGCAAGGAGTCTTCACGCGCGGTTCGTTCTTGACTCAACACCCTCAACTCATTGAGTCACACACACCATCTTTCTCTCACACAATACAAACGCAAAAGCTCTCTTCAGTCTTCAACACAACCAACCCTATAAATGACTAAATACACAACAGACTTCCATGTTAAAATTAAAAAAAGAAACGAAAAACAAGGGCTAGTACAAAATTAAAAAAGAAAAAAAAAACTACTAAAGAAACTGCCCTCCGGATCACGTGAGTTTTTGCCCTCTGGAACCTCAGCTTTCGCATTGAAGGGCAGCTTTGATCTTCTGGACGGTGCATGAAATCAGATTATTGACTGTCTCCACAGATTCCACAGTAAGCTTGGCCGTTGGTAAACTGTTAACCAATATTTGGAAAGCCACCGTCAGAAGGGACCCACCCACTCTCTGCGACCCTCCACCGGCGTTCCCGTTAATATGTTCATTAGAGGCAGGCCCACGAGAGCCTGGACCATCAGGGACGATAGCAAAACCCGAAGGTAGGAGTGCCACGTAAGCAGAATCACCCCCGTTCATAACCACGTGCATCGCTGGAATGTCAACGGGCGCGTACACAACAAGCGACCCCGCAGCGTCTATGCATGTCTCCTGCAATATCAGCATGCTGCTCTGGTTTGAGTTCATGGCCTGCACGCAAAAAGAAAATTATAATTCTAATAAAATCAACCCCTCATTTTCCCCAAAATCTACCATTCTGAATTGTTTAATAATTTGGCCCAAGTGTCAGTCTGATAATGTTCACATCAGCAGAGGGCGAGAAAGAGTCAAAATGGAAAATCGAAAACTTTATTCACAAAGATAAACGAAAAAAAAAACTTTGGGTCAGAAAAGACCTCAGAAGAAAAGTGAGAAAGGTTACGATCGTCCTATACTTTGACTTTTTAAAGCTTACAAACCAAACTCTGTTTTTCATATCCCGCTATAAACTGTCTTCATAGATACTTCCAAATTCCAGACTCGTCCTTTCAAACTCACCTTTTATCCTTACACGACAAACCCATCTGACCCACTGCTCCATCCATGTCATTTCCGTCCCTAAATTATTACCCCTCTTCTTCACCAGATTTTTTTTATATTTTAAAATTTATATTTCATTTTATATACGTGAAAAAGGAAAAAACATGAGAGAGAGAGAGAGAGAGAGAGAGATGTTTACTTACGCTGGCACGGAGGAGGGAGACGCAGTTGCCATGATCTTGGCCTTTGGCAATGTGGGCCATCTCTTGCATGGGTCCACCATTCGACAAGATGTCCCACTCGCTTCTCAACCGTTCATCACGTAGAAAATCAAACAGTCTTTGAGGTGACACCGGCAACCAGACTGAAGTAGCCGCGCTCAACACGATGCCCGGTGGCTCACCTGGGTCATCAATGCTCTTCCTAGTCATAACCCTAACGTCCTCATCCACGTTCCCAGCGTTCAGCTTGTTCCATTTATGAACCGTCGAAGCACACACTCCAGCACAGAAATTATCCGTCATCCGTTGGGCTAGCTTCAACATGCTTCGTCTCCCACTTGCAGTTATAGCTAAAAATAAATAAATAAATGCTTTTATCTATCAATGTATGTACATTTCACTATACTATAATCATAATTATTATTTGTTTATTGGTTAATTACCAGTGTGATCTCTAGTAGGAACGGAGGACATGAGGATCGCAAGGCATTCGCATTGGCGTTGGAGGGTGGCCACCCAACGTTGGGCACCAAAGCCCATGCCAGAGCTCAGTAGAGGGCGATAGAGTTGGTGAACTTGGCTCTCGTCATATTCTGCATGTTCAACCCATGTAACCTGCGTTTTTTTTCAATATCATCGTCAGTCGGTGGCCATTCCATGCAAAATTTTGACTATCTACATTAAAATCATTGGTATAATAATGATTTCTCAAAATTCTCATATAAATAAAGAGAAAATATTTCTTTAATGACTTTAATAAAAAATACTACTAATAGAGTATCTCTTTTTAGGGAAAAACTGCTAGAATTAGTATAAATATACTACTATATTTGAAACTTTTTCTTGGTCAATTGGACATTTGTATAATATCGTAATTGACAAATGATTTTGATTTTTGCAAATAGAAAAATACGAGGCAAATCTTGGAAATGACTCAAAAGATTAGGCTCAATGAAAGAAATGGTATCTCTCACATTATGATATTGTCCCTTGTGTTGAGGCATTAATTAAAAAAGAGGGCAGAAATTTAGAAGATTGAATATAAAAGAAGATAAACTTTTTAAAGATTTTTAAGGAACAAAGTGCACCGCGAGGTGTGACATCGAGATGTGTACAGATGTCGCCTCAAAGCTCAGATACTCAGATACAAACAAAAGAGCTAGTCTATGGCATTTTGACTAAAGGGTCCTCGTGGAGAGTAGGAAAGAAAAAAAAAACACATCAGCCGTGGCTGGAACCAGGTCACACGCAGTTACATGCCTTAATTGTAGCTAAATGGGAGAACCGAGGCAGCATCAAAGATTGGAATAGAAACATCAAATCAATAGTTTATTCGATAAGAGACTCAGGATTACAATTCATTTTGAAGATATATATGAAATTAATGTGTTCAAGGCACAAAAACTAAAGAGCAATAGAGGCTTCGATTAATATAAAATAATGGGAACAACCTCGATTTGCGGCTGCGCAGTGGGGTTATTTTATTGTATGATTAGCAAAACCCAGTTGTTGAAACTTGAAATTTTAACAAAAATTTGACATTAGAAGAAGCATCCAAATCAATAAAATAAGATACTCTTTTAAGTTTGCAGGAAGGTTCAGATTCTTTGAGAGAGGAGTTAATGAATTCGTTTGGAAGCAAACCAGGCACTGACAGTGTAGGGGTTACAGTGAGAAATCACCAGACAAAACAAAATTCTTAGATGCATGAGCTCCTAAACTGGGCTTGGGAATGCAAATGTCTATGGATTTCTTGACCCGGTTTTTCCCAAAATTAAATGTTTAACAACTAAGCTTCAATGTTGCAGTTATTTCAGCAAATTCATTAAAGACTAAAGGGAGGAAGAACAACTACTTGGAAAAGACACAATAAATGTAAAAGGAAACAAGATGAAGTAGGATATAAGTCTTATATACTAGTGATTTGGTATCCTACTAAATTAAAATTACCTTGGAGTATCCATTGGGCATATCTTGCACAACACAGCCAGAAGGAAGCCTCCTGCAGTTCACAAATGCCGTTGCACCTGAAGTTTCTCGGATAGTATCAATAGACACATCGACCACGGCCCAAACCCCTTCCGCATGTTGCTTGCAGAACCTTAGGAAATTGGCCTCACGAACTGGAACCAAAGGAGAAAGGACTTGGAGCTCAGCATGCATCTGATAGAAAGTAGAAAATTATTTTATAAGGAGTTACAATATAGTGATGAGATAGATGTAAGCATTAATTGTCGCAGGAAATTAAATTACCAGCTGAAGTGCACCATTTCTGGTTCCTCCCATGCCACTAGATATCACACCAGCAGTGGATGTCCTGGCAATCATACAAGGAAACATCTCCGCCCATCGATTCTATGAAAAAGAAGGGAAAAAGAAATTTTAAAGATTCAAATGGCACAAGCCTCTAGAAAAGAGTAGATAAAGGACTAAATTTCTGCCATCGCTAGAGCAGTCTCTAGTCTTTACAAAGAATTGTGTAAAAAAGATTAAAAAAAAAGAAAAAAAGAGCTTGCCAAATAAATTGCAAATCTACAAAAATGTTTTGAAATGACTTCAAAACCCTTGAATTCGAGTAACACTGAGTAATCGGAGGAATATATAGTTGGCTCACCGAGTCCATCAAAGTTTCAACGAGGGCCAAACTGTTGATAATCACCAACCCAGTCTCTCTAGAAGCCTCAGCGACAAAGCCACTTGGTTTCATGCCAATGCAAGGAGTGAATGTCCTCAAGTACTCTTCATGGTTTAATATTTCTCTCCCACCTTCCAAGCTCCTAATCCAAAGCGGTTCATCAGTCTGTGCCTTCTTAACCAATTCATCCATGGCAGCCAAAGCAAGTTCCAAAAACATCGATCTTTCCACCGATCTATCAAGTCCAGTTACTCCAGTTATTGGTCTATTAGGAGCAACCACTGGCAAAGCATTTGTCAACCCAACTCCAAAATCAGGCCCCAAAGGCAATGTTGTAGCCACGGTACTTAAACCTCCAAAACCATTGCTACCAACTCCAAGTTCCAAACTTGAGTTTGGTAACGGAGGTGCAATTGAATTAGTTAGTGCTGAAATGGGACGTCCCAAAAACTTGCCAGCAAGTGCGCACACTCGATCTAACTCATCCTTTAAACGAGCGTTCTCAATCCTAAGATGTTGCTCTTCAAGAGATATATCACCAATAATTGCCGGACCCCCACAGTTGGTACAAATCGGGTTCCTCATGGCATCCCTAATAGACATGTTCTCAGCTCGAAGCTTGTCATTCTCTTGCCTCAGCAAAGAGTTCTCGTGGCGTTCCAATTGGGTCTGGAAAAATGATCAAGTTTTAATATTACCGTACAATCAGACCCCAAGAAGAAGAACAGAAGGAGATTCTTTAACCCCAAAAAGAAAAAAAAAAAAAAAACAGTTAGGTTCTTGCAAATCTACCTTCATTTGGGTACGGCGATTTTGAAACCAAAACTTGACCTGCCTGGTTTCTAAGCAAAGCCTTTTGCTAAGCTCCAATCTCTGTTTTTCATCGGGATGAGGGCACTCCTTAAAGAGGCTAAACCAAAACCAAGGAAAGCAAGAGAAAACAAAAAGAACTTGTTAAGGCGATGTTCCATAGGAACAACTTGAACCAACTGAAAAAAAAGAAAGAAGTTTGCTTTGAAACATGAAATCATACGCTTCAAGCTCCTGGATTTGCTGAGCAGTGTGTCGGTGGTATCTCTTCTTCCTTGGAGGGTTGTCGGCTGCGTCTTGATCATCACCTGAAGCTCCATCCATGTTATCACTTCCAGATCTACTCTCATGTTCCTCTTCTCTGCTTCTTCTGCCAACAGTTCTCTCAAAATTCTCCCCCATTCTAGTTCCATCTCCTTGATTATCTATATTCGGTTGCTGCTGGAAACATCACAAAAACAACCCAGATCAGTCCTGGCGAGATAATCAACATGAGCAAAACCAAGAAAGCTTATTGTTAAAGAGCGTTTTTATCATCATTACAAGAGCAAGAGAGAGGCCAGGAGAGTTGAACATGCTCTTAGGAAGAGGAGAGACAAAGCGAGAAGCAATAGCACCGGTGGGCATGTTGTTGCTATAAGGCATGTCCGCGACTACTCTTGCACCCCCAAGGCCTCCACCAGAACTGTTATCAAGAAAGCCCCCAAAACTCATCAAAGCAATTCCCTTTTTTTTTTCTTCTTTAATATTTCTTTATTGTTCTGTATCTATCAAGCACTCAAATTTGATTTTGGTTTCTTCTTTTCTCTACAAATTTACAAACACTTTCTCTAACTACACTCCCACTTGACTGATTTGCTTCATTTCCGGGCCATGACTCGGCAGCTTTGGCCACGAAATTAGTAATCAGTAACTCTCAAGGAATACAACCCAAATTTGCAGACTAAAATTTACATACAAAAAAAGAAAAAAAAAACTATGAAACTGTGTTCCTCAAAGACAGCTTTCAGCAAACCAATATTTGAACAAGACCAACCAAATTAAAGGAAAAAAAAAAGTAATAAAAGAGAGAGGATAGAGGAGACAAAAGGATAACCAAACTGCAAATGTCTCCAACTCCCTCTCTACAAAGAAGTGATTTTTAATGGAGAGAAAGAAAGAGAAAAAAGGCAAGCAAAACCCTTTATGTTTATTCCCTGCTTAGCTCTTCGTTCTCTATCCCTCTCTCTCTCTCTCCACTCTTTCTCTTTAAGAAAAAAAATAACCCCTTTCTTGGTTTTGGGTTGTTAAGTCTGAAAAAGAGAAGAAGGAGGCTTTAAAACCAGTTGGCTGTGCGTTTCAAAGAGAGAGTAAATGGGAACCCTAGTTTTGGCGGAGAGTGTGTGTGTGTGTTTTGCTATCTTCTCGTTCTCTGCATGCTTGACTATTACTACTACTAACAAAAGCTTTTCCAAAAGAGATGTAAGGCTTCTCCCCCAAACAACAAAAATATAACAAAGAAAAAAGAAATCGAAAGCCTTTAAAAGAGTTGTTTTCACAGAAAAAAAAAATTAGTGAGGATATCATAAAACGCACTATGTGGACTCTTCAAAGCCTTACATATAAACCACCAAGAGGTCGGTTGACTCTCTCTCTCTTTTCTTTTCTCTTCAGAAGCTGTGACAGTGAAAATATTTTCTACCGTTTTTAGGGCAAAGTAAGTTAAGAAAATAAAAACAAGAGAGAAAAGTCTCAACTCAATTTTTTACATCAACATGGGACAGACGACAGAGTTTCAGATTTGCTGGCCCTTTTTTTTTTCTCTCTCACTCCGTAGAAATTTCAATACATTGGGATCTGTAAAAAGTAAAAACACCAAATTTATGGAAAAAACCAAAAACACAAAAACAAATTAGGGTTTTTTTTTTTTTTTTACCTTGGCTTTGATTTTGATTTTGCACTCACAAAATTGTATGATAGTAATAAATAATAAACCCATCTCGTAAAATAAAAAAATAATAATAATAAACCTGAAAATATATATTTAATAAAAATAATCTACATGAAAGCAAACAGAGACTTACGATGGCAGAATGAGAAATTTAGGAAAATTTTTTAAAAAATTTACAATTTTTTTTAAAGGAGATAGTAATCCATTTGATTAAAATTTAAAGTTTAATTAACAGTCGGTTTTGCCCTAGATTTTGTTAGGTTTACTTCAAGTTATAAAAGTGGTTGAGGAACCAATGCTTATTTGTTTAAGTGGCAGTGAGTTCAGTTTTTTTTTAAGTAAAATTTTAATTTTAAATTTTATAAATAAAAAAATTATTTTTTTATTAAATTTGATCCTCGACTTTAAATTAATTAAAATTAAAAATAATTATCGAACTAAAAAAAAGTGGTTGAAGATATAATTAAAATTTACAATAATTAAACAATAATAATATATGAATTGTTTTAATATTTTTATATGAATAATTTTCTGTAATAAATGAATGATATTTTATAATTTCAATATCATTTAGTTTTTGAAAATATTAGCATGAATTTTGAGTGTATAATTATAAATGTGAGATTTGATTAGCATATAATTATAAATCGTAAAAGAAAAGAAAAATATGATAAAAAAATGGAAAACAAAGTTTGACTCTGTCACGAGGGAAATCTCACATGAAGGTATCCAAGTTTTATACTCCCAACCTCTTGGGAAAAAAATGGAGTAAGGTTAAAGTTGTAATTACCGTTAGGGTATTATTGTTTCATAATTGATGAAATAATTTTAATTAATAATCATTTCTTTATTTTAAAAAAATCCACTTTCTTTTTTTTTTTTTTTTTACTTTTTTCAGTCTTTCACCTTCTTATTTATTTATTGTCAAAGAATAATATTTCCTCACTGAAAATTTAATGCTCTTAAGCTATTATTAAAATAAATGCTCGCACAATAAAGAGTATCAAACATAAGTTATTTTGCAAATGGAAAATGTTGTCAGCGGTAATTATTAATTTATATTCATACATAAATATGGATTGCAGCCTTCATGATAGGTTTATACTTAAAATATAATTGAAGGTGATAGTCGATTGTATTAGATTAGATTTTGTTAGATTATTTTGGTTAATATGTAATATTATAAAATTTTAAAAGTAAATTTAAATTTGAATATATTTTTTTGATTTTAAATTTTAACAATTCGATTTAATTAATTGATTTTTTAAAATTATTATTTTTAATTTTTTACTATTATTTGTTCTTAATTAATGATTTTTAACCATGGTTTCTAAAGTAAAAAAAAATGTTGCTTTCATGATTATGGAGTAGCTACAGCTTTTTTAGAATTTATTATTCCTTAGTTTCTTTTTTTTTTTTTTTTTCATAAAAGACTATAGATTTATTAATTAATTAATATTACCTATAACGAAGTTTGAATAATGTTTAATTTTATATGCATAATGAGAACAAAACAACTTATTTTATGCATTAAAAATGCATACCCATTGATTTTAACTAATGTTTATTCAGTTAAGGCCATGATGTTGACAAAATTGAAAGGGCAAAATCCAGTTTTTAAATTTCATTTACTTTGTTCAAAAATTTTGAATGCAATTTTTGCTTAATAATTATACCCTATCCTTTTGTTATGACATTAATTATATATATTTTTTTGTCACATAAACTATATATCATATGCATAAAGACAGTGAAAGTCAAATAGTAGAGTAACATAATTGTTACTATCAATATTGATTAATTAATATATACTAATCATTATGTATTTTAAATGATGAGAAAAGTGTAATTTGGTAGCAAATATTAAATACTCTATTCAATACCCCTAATATTTACTTGTGTATATCATCTTATTCTTTTTGAATTTTGCAATGTTTATTAAATACCTATGAATTTTCTTTTGGTACTTAAATATTTGGATTTAATTTTTTTTGCGTATTTGTAATTTAAGTAATTTTTTATTTGAAATTATTCTAATTTTAAATTAAGAGTTTAATATTTTATTAACAAATTATATAACACATCGTGTATAATTAATGAATTACCCAATATTAATACAAGAAACAACATTGAGAATTTAAGCCATTCAAGTCAATTAAAAGAAGTTTTGAATCATCAAATCTGAATTTAAAATTTTAATTAAACATTTAAAATGATAATGAACAAAAGAAAGAAGGATTACTTTGTCTGGATCATGGCGGTTGTGATTAAATTAAATATTACTACTAGGATTTGGAAATTTTTATGTTTGTTTAATGAAAATTGACTTTCTAAAAATTAGATATTTTCTGTTATTTGAATGATTTAATAGAAATATTTTTTATTTTTTTGATAATTTTCTTCAAAATATGTTTACCATTATTTTTACATTTGATTTTATACGTATACGAATTAATATATTTGATTTTTATATATAAAAATGGGAAATAGTAAAAAGTGACACATGTGTTTTTAATTTTTTGGTATATACTAAATAATACTTTTGTGTGATTAATTAATTTGAAGGGAATAAAGCAAACAAATTATTAGGCTTTATTAATATATGACCTGAGGTGGTATTTAATTGCACACATGGGGGTTAATAAAAGTGGCCAACTATACAACAAAATTTTGATAATTAGAATTGAATTGTGGATTGAATGCCCTTTTATTATCAATTATCTAAACAATACCCCACCATAAAAACTCTCCTTCACCTACACTATGTCCTTCTTTAGCTAACCACTACTCTTAAGATGTTCGTAACATTATATCTGAAGTTTAAATTGCAACATAATTTATTTTTATATTTTCAATCACGGCATTCTTGAATTAGATCAATATCGAGTTTATTATCATACATAATTTGTCTTAATTAATTTATGATCATCTCTCTTCCTTATTTCTTGCGGATCATTAAGGGCAGAGCGCACATCGATTATTAATGTTAGTAGTAATTTTTACTTAGTTTCCCATCACTGATCGGAAGGTTTGGAATGGTTGAGAGACAAAGGAATACTGGAGGAGAGGATAGAAAATTTTAATGCTAGGCAGGCAGGGAAGGGAGAGCTTGCTTAGCAAACTACTGATTGAGCTACATGCATCTGGCTTAGTTGTTGTACCTGCACCCTTTACGTGACTTGGTCTACAAGCCCACATGTCATGTTTTGCCGACACTAACCAATCTTAAGCATAACTGCACACCAAAGTCATCATCTCATCAACCTCCCGTAAGATATTTCTCTTCCATCTCAATCCTCCTATATATATATATATATATATATGCTTTAAAATGTTTGAATAGTAATATATCTTGTCTATGTATGTATACATGCTTTAGTAATATATCTTGTCTTGTATCAGGAAAAGAATGGAAAACTTGCTTGGTGTGAGTAGGATGCATATGAATGAAGAACTAAACACAGCAAAATTGAATCCTATAAAAAGCAACAAGTTTTTAGATTCAAAGTGTTGACGAAAAGCAAGTCCAAGATAAGAGGGGAATAGATATAGGCACGGCAATGCAATGGAAGGGGCAGATGGGAATGGATCGGAGGTGGGTAAGAGGGGTGGTGGTGTTACCATCTGCAGACCCACAAGCCACATGATCTTTCACTCTCATTAGGTTGTGATATCCTAATTTCTCACGTCCATCCAGTCCTTGAGAGACCAATTCCACGACTCCAGGTAGGATTAGCAGATTAGTCAAGAGAGAAAAAGGTATTGAACTAACATTTTTATTCATATTTTTTCACAGTTAGGGCAAGGCCCACCCACCTTCCCTCTTCCCTCCCCTTGTGCCGTTGCATTAATGCTACCTCCTATTTTTTCCAGCCTATTACCTTCCAGTTTGCATTAAAAGCTTTTGATATTTTAAGCACTCTCTTTCTTTCCACAAAAGAAAAAAGCTGTCAATAGAAAGTAACACTCCCCCCCCCCAGTTATATATCCTCTGTTGAAAAGCACTTCAAAGTTGAAAATGTTGTAACCTTCCATTTTCCCACTATCAAAAGCTTCCTAGAAAGGTATCCTGTCTCTTTATCTGCCTGGAGTAAGTATATATTTTCAACTTGAAATTTGTCACCATTCACCCTTATTTTGATACACCCATTACAACATATACACGTATTCTATATATACATGTTTCATGTTTATGGTTTTGAATTTCATCATTAAAGTCAGTCACATGCACATACTTGTTTCAATCTTTGAGGTTTCCGCGCCCCCCCCCCCTCCCCCACCTTCTCTCCCTCCCCATTGAGGAATTCAACTCGATTAACGTAAACCTAGCTTGCAAAAAACTTTGACCCTCGTCTTTATTTGTCATTGGGAGGTGGAGGGGTGGGGGGGACAAGTCCAGAATTTATGCGTCGCATAGAAGTAGAAGATGTGACTTAAAGTTGGATAATCGTGGAAGCAAACACTGCCCCATGCCTACACTTATTGCTACAAAAGCTGCTGGTACAACCTGATGAAGACAGGCTCTCAAGCTTAGTTGTCTATGGAGTTATGGCAATGGCAGCTGACGTGAATATTGACGAGCTTTATAGCAGGAACTGATCCTTCAACCAAATTTCCTTGGAGCCAAACTGACAAAGATCAAACACAATTAGGAGGTAGTTTAAAGAATCAGACTACCTAGGAACGGGTAGAAAATTAATCTAATGATGGGCTTTTGTTCATATTAGCATTCACATTATTTTCGTCCTCTTTTTCAGCCCCATTTCCACACCGCCGTCGTCTTCAACTGGCAGCTTCATGTTGGATCTATTACCTTTTTCAACTCATATTAGTCTTTTTCTTTGTTTTCTCAATGACTAGGCTACAAAAAGATGGTCAATATTCTTTTTAAACCGTTGAAGATGAAATCTGCCTTCAAACTTTTGGTACGACAAGGGATGACTTTTCTACTTGACTACTTACATAGGCATTCCTTTTCAAAGATTTAAGCGTTGAAAATTCTGGCCTGGCCCCTTTTCTTTGAACTGTTCTTTATTACTGGTATATTCTCCAATAAGCAGGATGACACAGGAATCTAACCAATTCATATTTTGGTTAACATGAACCCGATCAACAAGTTCATTCAACGCCAACATATAGTCCTCCCATGGCAAATAATTCCTTTTATATGTATATATATATATATATATATAAGCACACACGTCAGGGAGTCCGGAGATGTCGGCAAAAACTTCGAAAAGAGTTATCTTTTTTGTTTAACGGTCCACTCACCCTGAAAACATCTCTGAAAACATCTCAACTGGAGGTAAGATCCAGCGGTCAAAAGAGCACTGCACGTCGCGTAGTGCCCGGAGCGCCTCCAACGGCCCTTGAAAATCCAGAGGACCGAGTGCTGTCCGCTCCCGATCGTACTTATAATCGTCACTCTATCACTTATAATATCCCGTCGCGTATTTATATCATCTGCAAAGAATTCTACTAATCGCTCGATGGGAATTGAGCTCCAAGGAGACCCATGCGGCTCGTCCGCAGCGGAGGCTGCACCTACAACACGTGTGCTTAGGGGCCAAGGGCCCTTACTACGGGTTGACAATCGGGCGACAGGCACGAACGTCGCTTCTAACCTAGATTATGACTTAGAGGCGTTCAATCATAATCCAACGCATGATAATTTCGTCCATTGACTTTTCAACCAAATGCGATGAGCAATTATGCGAATCAACGATTACTCTCGTATTAGGTTGAATTATTATCGCGATACCACAATCAATAGAGTAAAATTAATTTGTCTCACGATAATATATATATATATATATATATATATATGCATATACGCATAAATTTTATGGTGCTTTTTTTTAATCAGATAAAACCGACTGATATTTCATATCGTAGCCGGACTAAATTCCCCCTCCATCTTCCCAGAACAGCACGCAATGCATGGAACAAGAATTAGAACAAAAACATCAGAGTCCAAAAGCTGGAATGTTGGTGATAACAACCTTTGGTGAACCAAGAAACTGGCTTTTCATGAATCATGATGCGTGCTTTGGGCGAAACAAACATAGAGAATGCTAGTAGTATTTCTCATATCATAATCTTAAGCATAATCCATAATTGAGACACCCCATTGATTGGGGCATTTGTATAAACAAACCAAGCAAAAGTGACGTAAATTCCTGGTAAAGTTGTCATCAAGCCTACGGATAGTAATACCCAGAACAATAAATTCTTTTCTTCTAGCCACACAAAGAGAATCCATAAGACATGTCACATCAATGTTCAATGTCACAAAATCTGGCATGATATTTTTGACCAGGGTAACAGAGGGACAAAACCCCAATTTACAAATTTTATTAATCTGTTAAATGCTGCATGATGCAGTTTTGCACGAGCAATTAAGCGTTTGCTACCCTGTTTAAGCAAAATAATAATAAATTTCTGTTAATGAGCACGTGGACTTTTATCTGAAAATGCTCGAGGATAATGCTAGTTTAACTCCCAAAACTCAAACCCATCTCTTGTTCTTGCTCTCCAGCCATCCATGGGGTAAGTGGTTAGAGAGGCGGAGCAAGGAAAAGTAACGAGTTATGGACCTTTCAGACGATACATGTCATCCCCTATCATGCAATTTAGTAGCCCTAGGGTTTTTAGATAAAACTCCCCTGATGATTAGTCAAACCACACACAACAGGACCGTAATGGGTGATGAGGCTAACGCAGAGTAGCACCAAGTTCATGACAATCTATTTATGGCATCAAATTACAATCAATTCTTTCTGATAATAAAATTTCATTGCCACTGGTACGTGTGTGTACTAACATGAAGCTGCAGTTTTTTGACTCTTGTACTATTCTAAATCTACAGTTTCTTGAAATAAATATACCCAATAAGGAACAAGAAACAAGATTGCACCTATTTGATGCATGGAGAAGGGCTTCAAATAAAAATAAAAAAGAAATGAAAAGGAAGAATACCTACATTAGAAAGAACAAAGTCTGTCTCAACGGGATGCAGAAATTAGCTGCCAAAAGGTTTTGGTTGCAACCAAAATTTTCTCTCTCCCATGTGATTCAGGTTCCTTGTCATTTATGGTAGCTGTCCACCTTACTGCATGAGCTATGCGAGCCACTTTGTCTATTACTTCAGGAGAATCTCGAATCACAACTGTTCCTTGTGGACGCAACATCCGATCTATCTCCACCATTAGGTCAGCAAGGTTACACCTGCAGGAACATTATAGTCGAAAATAAAAGGTACTTGAAGTCAACTTCTAACAAACCATGCAAAAAGTAAACTAACAGAATGATCCATGCAGTAACATTGCAAGAATCCATTCAATAGTGACACAACATGCAACGGCCATCATAGGATAAAAAGGTGCGAAGATTGCTTTTCTATGCTTTGTTTTGCATTGGCTTTAGAAGTTGAAGCTTAAAGGAGAAAAACAACAAAAATCAGGTTAGTTTAAGCACAGAAAAATATTATGTAACCAATAATTTAACGAAGAAGGAACTAAATGTTTCGAGTAGTTGACACGATTTCTTGCATAGCCAAAAAATAGAAGAAACTCGTGTTGCTCATACACATGCAAAGGGGATTGAAGGATGAAGTCAGAGGTTAAATCTACCTGCTCTTGCTTGAACCAGGAAGCTTTATTAGGGATTCAATGCCAGCTACATGGATGAGATCATAAGAACGGGGGTATGTTGAGAAAGGCTCACACCTGCAAACAGCAATCAAGAATATCAGTTAATCTGAAATGTTTTCCCTATAAGACCACTGTATATGACATCATTACCGCGAAGAGAAAGAGGAATCCAGAAGTCAACCAACAGAGACAACTATTTGAGGATAAGGATTAAACATGATCTAGTTTGAAAGTTAAACACTCCTGTACCAAATCATTGCTTCAGTTGAATAATCACTCATCTAAATTACCTAAATCCCAGGCTAGCACAGTTTTCCAAGGGAGATTCAATCAACAGGGAATAAGGTTTGCTTTGCGCTGAAAGGAATGAACATGGTATTCCATTGGGAAGTTTGTCGTAGAAATTAGAAGCCTAGGCACTATAGTATACTCTTGTTTTCAAACAGGCAACAAATAATTAGTAACCATCAGCTCCCTGAGTAGTTACAATCACCAAAATAGAGGCACTAAAGTATACTCTCATTTTCACCCCTCACATGCAGTCCCATTCAATTAGGGGTAATAATGCTTTTACAACTCAAAATTGTTGGCATTTTCCATAAAAAAGGATAGAAATGCCACAGTAGCTCACCAATCATGGTATACTCCAATAAGGCCTCTGTCATATATAACATCAAGAGTTAATGGCTTCCGAGCAGGAACAACATTCATCACCCATACTGGATCGGATGTAAGTGCTGCTGCAAAACCTCCAAAAAATGCATTCATGTCCATGACATTGCGTATTGCTGGATTCCCAAGCTTCACGTTTAAAGTATTCTTATAATAGGCAACTCTCCTCGCCCACCGCCTTGTGTCTGCCTCAAACAAATCAAACCCATTTTTCATGACCAAGGCCCTTGAAGGAGCCCTTATTAGCCTGTTTGGCCAATCAGGAATTCTCCCAATAGCATATTCTCCATTCACAGAAGATGTTGTGGTCACGCATCTTCTTAACTTAAAGTACCTACCAACAAAAAAGAAAAGAAACTTAGAACAACACAATGTTTCTGTTCTAGAAACAATAAATAAACCCCATAGTATAAGTTAGAAATGGCAAACAGAAACTATTCAATGTGCAGCTAAATTAGGTTGAAAATCATGTCTAACTCTGGTTGAAAATATCTTACAAAAAAAAGGCAAATCCTATCAGAATTCCGAATTCTTTGAAACTAAGGATTCCCATCACAATTACCATGCATTACTTGGGTCCATCGATTCATCACATAATTCAAGCCCAAATTCATTTTGGTTTGGTAGACACAAATCTCCATCAGGCTTTTTCCAAATGACTGTGTTTCGATCCACGGCAATCAACTCATAACACAATGCTCTTGCTACAGCCTGGAGGTCTGCCCACTCCTTATCTTGCTTAGGCCACTGTACAGGGGGTCCAGAGATGACCAAATATCCGCCAGGGCGAAGTAACCGATCCACTTCAATGAAATAAGTTGCATCTGAAAAAGCCATATTTCTTCACATTAAGACCAAAGAAAAGTGGTAGATATAGCAAAAGCAATCCACAAAAAACCCACTATAAGCGGTAAAAGGGATCAGGCATCGAGAGCAGTGGATGAAGTCAAATGCAAATGCAGGGAATGGAAGTCTGCGAGTGCCAAGCATTAGAACAAATGCTGGTATTCCTCTTTCCAATGCAAATTGTATTTGTGCTTTGTGCGAATCTCTTGGAGCAAATGAGAGTGTCAAAATGCTTTCCGATAGCAATGAACCCCCAAAACTTGCAACCTGCAAAAGGATTAATAAACATGATATCCAAACAGTACAACCTAAAGTATGGGCATAAAAGATACTACTACGTAACATATCAACTTACCCCGCATCCCATATCAAGGGCAGTCCTAAGAGTTCCACCACTTATGGGAATGTACTGTCCAAGTTTCTCGATATATGGTGCAGCTCCATCAGGGAACATTGTTCCACCTCCAGGGAAAATAAAGTAAGGACCTTGCTCTTTCATCCATCCTTGATGACCTTTCCTATCAGCAATTTTGTTGTGTGGCATATTGGAATGCCATATCTAACCATTACACAATTAAAACACTTTTTAAGTTTTAAGTAACACTAATATTTTACTTCCATTACTGAAAACAGATTAATTTTTGGAAACAACGACGAGCAATTTTATAGCAAATTTCCTGTTATATAATCTCTAATAAAAAAACGCAGGAAACCAACAATTTCCTAACAATTAAAAAAATTACCTTGTGCAAGCTTTCAGGCCACTGAACAGGAATCTTATAGCCGAGAGGAGGGGGGATCAAGCAAAGAGGCATTTCATCAGGCAAAGGACAATGCCTTTCTCTATAAAAATTCATCTCCCTGCTCAGCTGGCTGTTACGCCTGGGGTCCTCACATGGCATATGATCAACGGAATCAGCAGGGCAGGCTTCAATGGGCTGGTGATGGTGGCCCAGTTCCACAAGGGCCACCAATCGATGCCGTTGCCCGGGATCCGACGTGGAAAGCAACAGGGCTTGCCTACCAGAGGCAGCCAAGGAATCACCGAGAGGGGTGAACACTAACAGGAAGAATAAGAATACGAGACCGAAGAATACGGCTGATATGATGTCCAAAAGCTTCCATTTCCGCGGGTTTCGTTTGGAAGCTGGTAGATTTAAATGACCCATGTGAATAGTTTAATAGTTCATCTCAGGTTTTGGGTGTGGATCCAAATTGGTTAGAGAAGTTTGGTAAAAGATGGCGACTAGAATGAAGAGTTGGCTATTATCAGAATGGGGAGTGAAGTAGATTTTTTAGCTTTGTTGCAGAGGGAGGAGAATTAGGAACCCAGGAGCAGTATAAGTGTTAAAAGTGAGTTTGAGGATTAGAGAATCTGGAAACAGAGAGTGAGATGACTTTAGGCGAAACTTGAAAGTATGGGATGGGAACGTGTGGCGTGGCGTATGCGGTCGAATGTGTGAGCTGTCAATTGGTGGCAGCGCAACCATTGCCTTGGGAAGTCAATTTACTTCGTTCCCTGTTACATTGTCGGTCGGGGTATAAAAATAATATATTTGGCAATTGATAAGTATAGATTTTTCCAATCGGCTAACATATTTGGATCTTAGATCAACAAGCTTTAAAAGTGTGCAAATTAATAAAACTCTGGGTGTAAATGTCATAGCTTTTGGGTTTTACTATCTGTACATTAACAAAGAAAAGTATCACAACACAGTTGGAAGTTAGTAGTATCAACATCTCCATTTTAACGCATACATCCCTATAATGATGATGATTCAGAGCAAACCAGTGCAGATTAAATGATAGTTTCCTTCATTATCAACCAAGCTTTGGACGCCCGAAAATGCAATAAGTTTTACCGTTTACTTCATCATTCAGGACCAGGACAAGGAGCCTTGGTTTTCTCTGGTGCTGATGCAAGTGCTGTAAATTTTTTAGATGAAATGGATGCTTTCACGTAGCTAAAGCTTCAGTCAATCAATCTAGCAGCAAAAGGCATCTAATGTGTGTTGAAAAAAAATCACTTAACCTGAACAGTGCAAAACATGAAACGATTGTCCTTTAGTCTGAATGGCTTAATCAATAGGCATGTAACCAGAAAGGCCCAATGATACTATACATGTTACCACCAGATTTGGGGTGTAAAAAGTAAAGAGGGCCTAAAGATATATGGTGAGGCAACAAGCACCACATCCTTCCCCAAAATTGGCATCAACCCAGATCGTGTAGAATTATCCATAATAACACAGCTGGGCATGGGAATTTATCAACAGTGAACGCAACATAAATAAGTTGTAACAAATAAGTTACTCTTCAGAGAATCCAGAAATCATTGCTTCAATAAGATTGCGCATTTAGTTTGCATAGAAATGTTATGGTAATGATATAAAATAGAATAAAAGAACAGAGGACCATGAGCAGAAATTTAAAAAAAAAAAATGTAAAGAAAACGAATAATTGAAACCCATAAGATAAATTTTGAGTATATACAAAACTCTGTATCCCGAAATCCTCAAAATGCAATCCACCACCATGGATCCAATCTACCTTTAACAACTTGCAATAGCGCTTCAGCACATCAGGAAGCCAGGCCCAATCCTTATCAAGAAAATCATGGTCATGCTTCAGTCCAGAGTTCAGAGTTTCCTGGAAGCCCTAAGATTGTAGTCATGCTTGAGAAGATTTGCTCTCAGCAGCATTGCCCTAACATCCCGATCAAATTCGTTGCCAGTCTGCAAAACCCGCTGGAAAGTTGCATTCCTTTGATCTGCATGTCGCGCATAAAGAATTTTGTTGTGCGAGTCGATCCGAGCCTGCAGAGCCATTATAATCTTCATTAGAAAAGATACATTCACATCTAAAACCCCTTATGACTGTTTTTATTGCATGGATCTGCATTTGAAATGCCTTACTTTGCCCCAGAGAATTAAGTGCACAAACAAGGATTAACTCTAATTTTCTCTCTAACTATTCTCACTATTGGGAGGGTTATGGTGGATAGATAATTTATAATATAGATCCTATTCGAAAGGTCTAACCATTTTCAATCTAAATAGTAAATTTGTACTCATCAGTGGCTGACAAGATACAGAATAATTAACAACTCAATTTGGGTCTAATATTTGAAAAACAGCAACAAAAATGCATGCCCATACACTGACAAAGCTCGTGAAAGCAAGATACTAGTGCAAAACAATACCTGTATCTGGTTGTCAGTAATCAAGGCTTCAAGTTCTTTCTCTAGTCCAGCAACACTTGTTTTAAAGGCATCAGCCATCATTCGCATATCAACAGAAACAAATGGGTGGGTATATTGGATGAGGGCTTTGTTGCGGATTTGATCATAAAGGGTCTCAACATGGTCATGTAAATGGATGTCAAGCATCAGGTTTGATTTGAGGTTTCCAAGATATTCCAAGCAGGAAGCATAATGGCTGCAATAAAAAAGAGGCTAGAGATAAAATCTAAACCACCACCAGACCACAGTAAGTGCTTCTCATCAATTGAGAAAGATCGCATATGATGACTTGCTGAAAACCCCGAGTCACTATTTGAAAGGTAGGATAAATGCATGTTATTGCTCATAGTTATTACCAGCAAGAATGATACCATCAAACACACTTACCATCTTCCCTCCTTAACACTATTTCCTCCTATTCTTTGCATCAAGTAAGAAGCAAAAACAAAAACCAAACGAGTCCAAAAAGATCCTTTAATGTCCAAAATTATTTCTTTATACCATTGCAGAGAGACAAAAACATGAAGATAAAATACCTTGAGTAAAAATCATTAATAAGCTCCCTTACTTCAGGTACCAACTCCAAGAAATTCCGGAAATTGATATTGTCTATAACTTTGTTCTGAAAAGTAAAAGCATTCAAAGACTAAGAAATCCATCAAACTATCTTAAGACATGGCTGGTAAATAAAGGAGGGGAGGGGGAAATAGAGAGGAATAGATGCCTTCAGCTCAGTTCGATCAAAGCTCGCAAGTGCACAAAGCCCACCATAAGTAGCAACATCTTGAGGAGCAATCACCTCACTGTATAAATTCCCCAATTCTGGACCCACTTCCAAAAACTGCACTTATAGAAAAGACAATCAATCCCGCAATTTAATGGTAATCGGTCAAAATACAACTAATCTCAAAATCCACCTTGTTACTGTAGCAAAAGTAAAATAATCATCAATGCAAGCTGACCAATCAAAGGAACCCTCAACATTAACAAGCAGCGGAGGCAAACTTTAAATTAATTAAACCAACAAACTTTTAGGGGCTACTCCAAATGAAGGCAGCAAAACAAAACCTTCAAGGCACATAACCATTATAATGCATTACCATCAGAAAGAACATTATGATAGTGATTTTCTTTTGAGTCTATTAAACTAGCTAAGTGTCATAAGTTTTAAACCATAATTTATGACATAAACCCAAACTATAAGAAGATTGCAGGATTCCTTTTAGGAATGCAGTGTTCCAAGCTGTGCCTAAAATGTAAATTGTTTGAACTTAGTTCATAAAAACTTACTGGGCACAAGCTAAAGTCACGTTAATTTTGAGCTTATAGCACAAAATAGCTTTTGTGCTCGAGTACTAGACAATGACTTGGTAAAGGATGAGAAGTGAAATGATATCAATTATATGTGAATAACCACCCATTTTCAGAGATAGCCAAATAAATCATAACTACTACTGTTATCTTCCACACATTTGAGCGATATTAAATCCAACACATCTGACCAATAAAAGATGGAATGTGTTATCATCCAAAAGCAAGCAGAATTATACGCAAAAATCAGCAATATCCGAATCAGCCGTGATAACAATTTATAAGCTGACAAACCTTACGAGCAGCAAGCTTGTACTTCTTAGCCTCCAAATGAGCCAACCCGGCAGCACAACGCAGCTTAGCAACAGTGGGAGGGTCAAGTGCCTCAGGTGTCTGCTCAGCCTTACTAACGTAGCTTGTCACATGAGTAAATTGACCCATCTCAATGCTCACAAGAATTGCACTCAAACACATCTGAATAATATGCTTTGACGTAGTACAATAATCGCGAGTACGAATAAAGCTTTTAAAAGCATCCCCCAATGCACCATGAGAGTAGTAAAAGTCCCCAAAGTCGTTGTATCCCATTCTTATACTTTCTTTAATTAAATTTGTCTGAAAATTAAATAAATAAATAAAAACAAAGAAAAACAAACCCTAAACAGTTTTCACAAAAAAATTAAGAAAAATAAATTGAATTACCCTATATGCATTCAGTTCGTTTTCGAGCTTTTCTTTTCTCTGCTCAGCTTTTCGATCAACCATAGAGCACCACGTGGCATCCATCGAATAGTTGGGACCCGATCGACCGTCCATCTTCTGAACCACTTCACGGAAAAGCTGGGTGTTCTCTCCCTTTTTGATTTCGTCGTAAGCCATCCTTAGGGCTTCCAATTGCATCCCGGGATTGTCGCAGTGGTCGGCGATGAATATGAGCCGCATAATCTTGGTTCGGCCCGTGTAAAGCCCAGCGTACGCTTCGATGTCCAGCTGTTCGCCGCTTATGATGGGCCGATTCTTCCTTGTCGTTGTCGATGTCGAAGACGACGGCGCTTCGTCGACCCCGCCGATACCGTTGACGTACATCTCCTCCATCATTGGATTTGAAGCGTCCTCCACACCTTCCATTGCGAAGAAAAAAAAAATAACTAAAAATGGAAGGAGATGGAAACTTCAGGGATTATAGGGTAAGGGTTTTGTCTGTTTACGAGTTTTTTCACAGCAGTAGTGATGGGACTGCTGAAGAAAGAAAAGAATAAGCTCGCACGTGACGTCTTATATGCATTGCTTGTCGATGTAACGGCACCGTTTCAACTACTTTTTATTAGTATTATCATTTGACTAGCTTTTCTTGTTAATACTCGGTTTATGTATTTTTTATATATAATTGTATATTTTATAAATAAATATAGTGTATATTAATTAAAATTTGAAGTTTTTTCGTAAATTATAATTAACTAGTATAAAATTTATATTTTAATGTTAGTGTAAAATTAAAATTATGAAAATAAAAAATTTAATGTAAACTTTAACTCTTTTTTATTTATCAAATAATTTTATTTACTTTTTTAAATCAAAAAATTTTTAAAATCTAAAAAAAAAAAAAGTCAATATAAATTTTTTATTTTTAAATTAGAAAATTTTTATTAAAATATTTACAATGAAAATTTTAAAATACAATGAACAGTTTTGATCAATTCAAAAGATTTTTCTTATCTCTCTTTTAGATAATATATAATAAAAACAAGTAAATTTAGATTACTAAAATGTTTTTTTTTTTTTTTCACAACCTAAAAAGATACATTGATTAGTTATCTGCTAAATAACAAAACCAATTAATATTAAATTAAATGACAAGAGTTATATATATATATATGAGGTTACAATATGAAAATAAAATTTTGATACTTTTAAATTGAACCCATTTTGTCCCAACATAGAGAATTAAGTAAGTTGCAAGTTTAAAATTTTATATACGCTCTTTTATCATATAGTTTTTTTCTTGGTTTTTTTTAAATTTTTTATAAACAAAAAAATAAATATAATTTAATAATACGTATCAAATGTAATGGAGTATACCAATTATTTCATAATATGTTTAGATAGGGAATTTCGAAATTCTACAAAAATTTGAAATGATTGCATCTTAAAATGCATGATTTCAAAATGTTAATATTTGTAATTATTTTTTTTGGATAAATATTTTTTAAAAAGAAATTTAGTTTATTAAAATTTGATGAGATAAAATATTATAAAAGAGAATAATGATATTAAAAATAATAAATACATGTGTATAAATAAAATATGTAATACGAGTATCATTAAATTTGTAAATATATATTGATATTATTAATAATATAGAAAATATATATTAGAATTAAAAAAATGATTTTTTTTTTTTTGTATATTTGTGGATCATGTGTAGTAAATAAAGAGAATTTGAAGAAAATTTGAAAAACATCAATTTAGGTAAAATTTAAAAAGAGAATTCCAACACCTTAAATTCTACTTAAAATTTAAAATTTATTTTTATTTTTATTCGAATAAGTAAATTTATTTATTTTTTACTTTTGAAAACTTTTATTAAAATGAAATCACTCCTTTAAATATCTCATTTAAACACACTTTCGTAACGAAAGAATTATTGAACTATTCGTAGAATTTTTAAATGTTAAATTTTGATTTGCTTTTACATTTATAAAGGTATCTTCACCTTTTGGTGAACAAAACATTAATCAAATTTATATATTATATTTCACAAATAAAATTAATAAAATAACATATATCTATTAAAATATATTAAAAAATAAAATATGAGCTAATCTTTTAATTTCATTTATAAAATTAAAAAATTATACTCACAAATATATAAAAACAAAATCTATATATTTAGCTCTTTTGATAAATAGGTTGGGCAAATCAGACTTCAAGTACGGCCCACAGTTTGTTTTTTGAAGCCCATTTCATTCCTAGTGGGCCATTTCGGAGGTCATATTCTCGCCACGTGGGGTACCTTTAGATCAATAAACCGACAAGAGTTGAAAAAAGCGGCGAAGCGCGAATGGGAGCCCACCGAATACGTATAAACATAAAAAATACGTACCTCAACAGTCCTTTATTTTGTCTCCTTTTTTTTTTCCCTCCCCTTCTCTCTCACCTTCTCATGTTTTTTCTTTTTTCTTTTTGTTTCTCTTTATCTGTTCATTTTTCTTCGAAAAAGAAATTGAAAATTGACGGAAAATTTTGCAAAAAAAGAAAGAAATTGAAAATCGACGGCAATGTCGACGCCAATTCGAGATGCAATCGAGAGTTTCAAGAGCATAACTGGGGCGTCGGAGTCGGTTGCTTTACGGAAATTGGAGGTACATTTCTTTATGTTCCTCTGTTCACTTTTTTTTTAATTAACTTTCCAGATCTAGAATCACAGGTTTCTAGGGTTTATACAATTTGATTAGGCTTCCTGATAATCAACCAGTTCATTTGTGTAATGCAACGCATAATGTGGAAAATAAAGCTTCCAAAGTTTTATTTCGTGTTTTAATTAATTGATTTTCCTAGCCAAGAATAATTTTGCTTTCTAGGGTTTTCTAGTGTTGTTTGAAAGTAATTATGTGTTATGGTGTTTCAAAATTACTCTGATAATCCTGCATTAATTAGAGGATGATGTTTCTTAAGTTAAATTTATAATCATTAAATGTTTTGTTTGGTAAACAGGAGTATGGAGGCAATCTAAATGCAGCTGTCAGTGCACATTTTCTTGAATTGGAAAGAAGCATGTATGGCTCCATTCCTTTGTATTATTTTCATTTGTTGTTAATTTATAAGGGATTTTAACTTTCCATTTTTTGGCTGTGTTTGCTCTTTCTTTTTCATGTTCAGTACGAATCCAACATCTGCTGTTTCTTCTCAGTATAATTCTGTTGATACGAACAATCAAAGCAGAGTTGGATCACGTGGCATTGTTCCATTTATCTCTGCAGTTAGAGGATTTAGGCCTTCATTACTGCTTGATTCCAATTACAGGAGGAATTTGCTAAACCAGATTGGTGGTTCTAATTTCAATCACCATGCAACATCTCCTCATATGGGAGAGGTGACAGGGGTCCCTGTAGGGTTTAACAGTGGAAATGAGCATTCTCTTCATTCAGGAGTGAGACCTCCCATCATGGCTTCAACAGGACCACCATCATATTACGGAGGGGGGGCTTCTGGGAATGTCTCGAGAGATGGTCATCAACATATCGATGATATAGAAGCTGAAATGATGCAAGCTGCAATTGAGGCTTCTAAGCGGGAGTTTGAACAGACTCATATTAATGAGCATCGTGTTTCTTCCTATGTACACACTCATATGGACAAACAATGCGGTTGTTCCTTTGCTTTTTTAGATTCTTACTTCTGATGTTTCTTTGATGCAGGATTCATCTAGAGTTGGGCTACCACAGAGGCTACTTCAGCAAGAAGATGATGAGCTTTCTCGTGCAATTTCTCTATCTTTGAAGGTTTTCCCTTCTTTTCTTTGATTTCACATTTTGATTTTGTCGTGTCTTTTTGTCCTGGGTTCTCTTTAACGTGAATTCAGTTCAGACAGCAAATGAAGAGAAAGCAATACATATGATGAAGGATCATTATGAACAAATGGGAACATATGATTCAAGTTCAAGAACTGGGGCAACAATGAATAACAGCTCAAAGGTGTGTTTTTTCTGCTGTTGCTTCAGTTTGTTACAAATAAAATTTCTGCACAGACAATCACATTCTCTTCAATGCAGTGATCTGCAGTTGAATAGAATTATTTGTTGAAACTTATATCCAGCATTTAGTGGAAGCTTTCCTCATAATTTCATCTGTATTATTTAATTTGAGAATTAATGTCTAGAGTTATATTTTGTTGTGTACCTTAGAAACAAATCTATTGCATATTCTTGTGATTCTTTGCCTTTGTGGTGGTACAAGTTGTTCAAAGAACCCAAAATGTATAGCTTAATCTTCAGTTTACTTTAGTTTTGCTTTGCTCAGAAAATCAGAATTTATCTTTGTTTTAGCTGATTTGGTCCAAAGTGGATATAATGACTCTGTGGAACAATAAGATAAGAAAAGTTTCAAATTCTCTATTTAAAAAGTGTTGTGTGCTTCTGGTTTCTCATAGGAGCACCTTTTCCTTGTTAACAAGAAGTGTGCTGAATTGAAGGCAGGAAACTCATCATTTAGAGAACTACCAGTGAATCATGAATCCAGCCATGATAGTAACAATCATCTTTTCCACAGTAAATATTCCTTGAATTCTAATGAGGTAATATTAACCTCGTAATGACTCAGAATTTTCTGCTTCTGAAGCCAAGGACCATGTTACTGTTTTACTAAGTATATCCATTTCATCCTTTTTGGGAACATTGAAGTGGGGTGATATTTCATCCGAAGACCTTGATGAAGCAATTATGCTGGAGACCCAACTTTTTAGCCAGATTCCTAAAGGTCCTTCGTATCACCCTTCCCATATATCCCATGAGCAAAGTGGTCCAGGTAGAAGTGCAAGTCCTGGTCTACAGGCTGTATCTCATCCACAATCATCCTCTTTAGTGGATCTGCGTTTACTGAGGCAACAGCAGGTTCAAGATGACTCCTTGAATACACATTACACCTTATGATGATTACATTACCTTTGACGAATTGGTCAAATTTCCACTTGCAGGATGAGGAGTATTTGACATCTCTTTTGGCTGATAAAGAAAAGGAAATGACTGCACTCAAGAAAGATGAAATTCATAGTTTGAAAGAAAAAGAATCTTGCAGCAGGAAGCTTGAAGGAGAGGTGATATATTTTTTTTACTATTGGCATTTCTAATTGACATGGAATGGAATCATTATTTGCAAAGCTCTGTTATTCTTTCATTTTGTATTGAAATTTATTATGTCACCTACTTATGTAGGATAACTGATGTATTTATTATTCTTGATTTATTGCATTTGCTTTTACGTGCTGCTTATTATATGGTTTAGAAACTTGTGGTTCATGTTTGAATAAATGTAGATGCCTATAAGAAGAAATATTTACCAATCACAAAAAAAAAAAAAGAAAAAAACCCTATACCCAAAAAGTCTTCTCTCATCCTAGATTATCTATATGTTTCTACCATTCAATTTACCTGCAACTGAAGTTAAGAACTCGTTTACCACAAAATGGATATGGATATATTGGATTCCTCTGCTAATTTACTGACAATGGGTTTGCGTCTGAAGCCAGATTGATTTTGGATCAACTTAAAGTTGAAGGGTTATTGAGCTGTTTTATCTTTATTTTATCTGTTTTTGTGATTTACATTACAACTAATATATGCATCTGTTGTTATGATGAATTATTGCCTTGTCTATCATTAAGAAATCTATTAGGCTCGTATTCGAATAAAGAGTATGAAATGCTGTTCTTAACATGGATTGTGAAGCACATAATTAGGCTAGTAACTTCTGTATTTCACTGAGGGCAGGAAGTTGAAAAGGCAATAGCTGCTAAAATAAATTCACTTCCTCCAGAGCCAGCAATAGATGATAAGAATGCAGTAACTATACTTGTTAGGATGCCAGATGGCACCCGCCATGGACGTCGCTTTCTCAAGTCAGACAAGCTCCAGGTAAATTTTCTGAAATTTAAAAGTTTGCAAATACGTTTATTTGCTATGCTGATTGTGGTTTTTTTTCCTTTGTAGCTTCTTTTTGACTTCATAGATGTTGGTAAAGTGGTGAAGCCAGGCACTTACAGAGTGGTGAGTGCTACCTACTTTTCCTTTCTACGAGCATTCTAATTAAGACCTGCAGCCTTAATCACTTCAAATTATTGGCTGTCTCTTTCATAGTTATGGTTGGTGATGATGGCTCTTTTTTTCTTTTTTTTTTTCAGTAAATGATTATATCTTATTCCGTTTAATCTCTTTATGTGGTGATTGAAGACAGTTATTGTAATCTTCATCCCTAAGGTCGCCTTTTCCAATTCATCCCCGCAATGCTAGTATAAACTTTATAATCATATGATAAAAGAATGCATGAAAGACCTTGTCAAAGGCGGCCAACTACCTGAAGCTTGCTTAGAGTTGCCTGAAACTGTTTTTCAAATTGAAAAGTACCCATTGCTCAGCATGAATTGGATTAACATGTGGTGCTGAGACACTAATTTTATGTTCTCACTTGTTGCTCGCTTCGTTGATGAGCAGGTAAGGCCATACCCTCGACGTGCTTTCAGTGCTGGTGACTTCTCTTTAAGTTTGAATCAACTTGGTCTGACGGGCAAACAGGAAGCTTTGTTTCTGGAGTTCATATAGCATTAACCGTTCGGCTCTTATCCTTGAGCTTGTGGCTTTTATCCAGGTACCCTTACTCCCAGAAATTTACCCTGTTGACTTTTTTTGCCTCGAGGTTTGGGTTTTTACGTTGATGTTGGAGAGCTGAGTCCTTGGACGAACTTGATGGGACCATAAAAGTTTGTGAACTAAAATCAAGAAAGTTATCAAGGTAGCCATGATAAATTCCTATGTTCTTACAGTCTGAAATGTTGATTAGAAACACCCACTTGCCCAAATGTTGGGATTGATCCCACATCCATATAATTTTTTCTTTTCTTTTTTGGTATTCGTTTGATCACAATTATAAACCGGGAGAATCCATGTGAACCAAAGGGAAAGGACAACGATAATAACGGTGATTACATATAGATTTTATATTTTACTAGAGCACCTTCAACAATGGAAATTATCATATTCAAATATGAAATCGACAAGTATAGAGACATGACTTTCTTTTTTTTTTATTATCTATTCGGACGTCATGATGATGAGGGGAAAAAAATGAGGTATAGTAAACTAAAAAGAAAAAGAAAAAGAATAAATAGCAGTTCAAGTTTGTCATCTTTACGAAAGTGTTTTAATTCCTTGTTGATTTTGTTTTGGTGCAGTCCAATATTGCTTGACAGCAAAAAGAATCTTCTCTCTTTCATGGGGTCCTTTTTCATGGTCTACGATTCTACCATCCCATTGCATGACATCTAAGATGTTCTTGATCTCCAACAAGACATCAACATCGTCTCTAATGATTACACTGCCTTCTGGTCGTAAAAACCTGTCCATTTCTATAAGAATATCCTCCATTTCACATCTGTAAGTAATATCAAACAGAAATATGAGCATCTTCGTTTGATTAATGAAATGATTTAAGTTAATTTTTATTACCTGTCTTTGTAGAGGCTGAAAATGGAATCAGCATGAATGAAATCGTACGTCCTAGGATAAGTAGACATTGCCTCGCACCTATGAAGAGACAAACACATCATTAAATACTTACCCACCACCACCAAATAATCCGATTCGAATTGGAATAGCGACAATTTATGTAGTGAGAGAATTTCCAAAGCTGCTTTTTTTAAGTTACGGAAGCAAATGATTAAACAAATAAAAAAAGCCAATAAAAATGGAGGGTTAAAGAAAATAACATACCAATTTTGATACGTTCCAATTAATCCACGTTCATAGACAACTCCAAGAGTGTTGATCTGATCAGCCTCAACTGGGACAACGTTCATGACCCAGACAGGATCATCAATAACAGCTGCTGCAAAGCCTCCCAAATAAGCATTCATATCCAACAAGTTCCGGTACCTCCCTGTCTCTGCCAGCTGATAGTCTATTTTCTTGTAATATGCTACTCTCTTCTTCCAAACCTCTGTATTTTCTACGAACATTTTTTCTGTAATTCCTGTCAAACTTCCACTACTGATCCTGGGAGGGATCGCATTCAATCTCTCAGGCCATTTTGTTAATTGCCCACCGGCTATTTCCTTTATATTGAATACTTCAGGCAGTGGGGTTAAACAGGTCTCCAATTTTGTGTACCTGCTCCAGAAATACAATTTGTTAAGTAGAAGCTTTTGGTGGAGAGTAGCTACTAGCTAGAAAGGGAACTGAAAAAGATTGGAGCTTCGTTTAAAGAAATAGGCAGGAAAAAAAAGTAGGTGAATAGTTTAACCAGCAAAAAAGTTGTGTTTGAAAGTAAATTCAACTGAATTTACTTTTGGACAACGCCTTTATCATTCAATTGGTTTTGGTATCACTGCCAAAGTGTTCAGTGGTTAGCAGTGGGAAGAATTTACTTTCTGGTTTTGAAAATAATTCTTTCTTCAATCAGAAGTCAATGTCCTTTACCAAACAAAACTTGGATAGCGTGAAGATTATTGACACTGACTCTGATTCTTAAACTAAGATTTCAAATTGAAAATGATCTCACCATGCCATGTCAGGATTTTGAGTCTGGCAAAAGCGTGGCTGCTTGAAAACCTTCTTGATAACTTTACAATGGATATGATTAGTTGGTTTTTGCCAAATCGCAAGGTCATTTTTCTGTACAATTTTTTTCCAGCATAATCTTTTAGCAACAGTCTCAATCAGGGATTGTTCTGCTTTGAGATCATCAGCCGTCCTATTCCAACCTTTCCAATGATTTTCCCAGTTTATTGGTGGTCCAGACAGAATCCAATAACCACCAGGACGTAGAATTCTATCAACTTCAATTAAGTAAAGCCCATCTGCACAACAACATTAATAAAAATTAATAAGCAGTTCGGACTCTAGCAAAGAAAATGAAATAATAGCCACAGCATTAAATTGAAGGACCAAGTTGTACCATACTGGCCCCACGGTATGAGGCAACGAGAGCAGTGAGCCATGTCGAAAGCTCTTGAAGGGTAAGGAAGCCTAATGGAGGCAAGGACTCCGATCAATGCAGGCACTCCTCGTTCAAGAGCAAATTGAACCTGAGCTTCATGGGTGTCTCTTGGTGCAAATGACACTGCTAGGATGTTCCGAGATAGAAGGTAAGCTCCCCAACTCGCAACCTGAATTGGTTCAAACAAACCAACAATACAGGATCAATAATCCATTAATTGGATTCCTAAACCATGAAAAAGGTACAAAATTGATGATATGGTGGCAGTTTTCGGATAGAATTGCTTGTAGGAAATAAGTTACAATATGATATTATGATATTAAATAAAATAATTAAGAAATCCAACTAAGCAAATATTGGAATATGATTCTTGTTAGCAGGGGTGACTTGTAGATTAAGAGAGGGAGTGGTGGTTAGCAGAAGAGCAATAATTATATAACTGAACGTTATCTTGTTCAATGTTAGCCTGAAATTTAATACAAATTCAAAGCACAATAAAGATAATAACTTAAGAATCCAAAACTTAGTTCAATTAATTTATGTAAACATTCTTAAAATATGACATCCAATAATTCTTGATTTGAGTTTTAACACTTGCAATTTCTTTTCTTTTATTCTTAGGCTAAAGTATTTTTTTTGTTAAAAAAAAAGAAGATAGTACACTTAACGACAAAGTGAGTTGAACTAGCTATTTATTGTAGATTTCTTAATCATGATGGTGAATTTTAAGATAAGTAAACATATATGATCCAACGGCTTTTCCCCATTTAAACTATAAGCTATAAGGTCTAAACAAATTATTGTTCTTGGTGAACCACTTTACTTGAAAATGACGACTTCAAACTAACCTGAAAATCTACCATAAAATATCCTAACAAATACATATAGAGTTGAAAAGGAGAAGTTTGACATTGGGTTGCACTCATCTTGCTGATTGGGGTTTTCCTTTTATCTGCCTAAATGGCCAAAAAACGGCATGGAATTTCCATAATCCTCAACATTCTCCCTAATTACATCATTTATAACAAGTTTTAATTTGTACATTTTCCATTAACCATTGTCATGTAAACTAATACCTGGTTTTACAAAGAATATGAAAAATTCTTTGCTTGCAATATCAATCCAGCCAGATTTTCTCTCCCAGTTAGATCACCCCACAAAGGAAGTTTAATTAATTTGAATTATGACTTTCTCTTTTCTGGGTCTTTTAGCCTTTCTTAGTTCCCAAAATCTAAAAGAAACAAGATTGTATGTAACGGTTCTCCATAATGGCATATCTCTTGTATTAAAATCATGCGATATAATCGTATTATTAAAAAAAAAAAAAGGTAAAACTCTCAAAAAATAATTAAATAAATGTAGAATTCAATAAATTAAAAGTGTATAGTAGCCGACAAAAACTGATCAGAGAATTCAAGTTCAACCCCATGGAATTAATGCTAAAAGCAAATATCATGTAACAAGAAATTCCTTTATACAAAAGCAACAAACGTGCGGATCAAAAGGGAGAAAAGAACAAAAAAAAAAAAGAAAGAAAGAGAGAAAGACTATACTCATCACGTATTTGCCTGTTTTATTAATTTTTTTTAATATTAATCTTAATCCAAACTCCTTTTCCTTTATCATATAGAATATTATCTATCACTATATTCTTGTAGTAAAACAAAAGGAAACAATCAAACAAATAATTTGTATGATCTATCCCACCAATCAATTCCCTTATTCCTTTTTCAGCGATTTCCTACCCACTTTCCATCTATCCAAACAAAATCAAAAAGTTCAAAACCCCATTTATTAAAAGAAAAAAAAAAACTTAAGCCGGCAATTTCGATCCTGTTTTGATTGAAAATATTAAAAATTGAACGTAAAAAAGGGTAGTAAAATAGAACGTACCCCGCAACCGGTATCAATGGCGGTCCTTATTGAGCCATCTTTGAGATTGATCAACTTATCGATATCATCAATATAAGCGTCAGCGCCACGTGGGAACATGGTGCCGCCGCCAGGGAACGTGAACCGCTCTCCTTCGACCTTAACCCAATTCTGGTTCTTTTTCTCCACGGTCAACTCTTTATGTGGCACGTTAGCGAACCATGCAAACTCTCTACTCTCAGGCCACCTAAAGGGAACCTTGTAACCGTACGGAGCCGGAATTCTACAATTCAATAACTCTTTCTTCTCAGGGCAGTGCCTCTGTCTGTAGATAAGCATGTTTCTGTCAAACTTCAACGATCTTTGAACGTCCTCGCATGGGGTGTATTCAGAGAAGGAAGGGTCACATGGAGGGAGGTGAGGGACACGCGCCCCCACGGGAGATGGGTCAGGGGGAAGGTGGTGGGGCAAGAAGTCGAGTTGGTTGGATTGGAGCGAAGAGCAGGGGGCTGATATTAGGAAGCCAGCGGCGGCGGAGGAGGAGGATGAGGAGGAGGAGGAGTTGGGGATAGGACCTAACGAGTGTTGCCATATTCCAACAAGGTAAAAAGTAGCGCAAAGAATTGCTATAAGAGTGATATAAAAGAGACTGGGCATTTTGGAATTCCATAATGTGCTGGGAGAGAGCCTTGTTACGGCCATTGACATATTGAAACCAGTCGAAGAAGAAAGAACGACTAGCACAAAGACTCAAAACAGAGAGAGAAACCTACATATAGGGAGAGGAGAGTTAGGGAGGGGTTGGGGGGGGGGGGGGGGGGGAGGACACGCGCAGATGCACTTGGCTCGTGAGAGGATTAAACAGAGGGTGGCAGCGAGAGAGCGTGTTGCTATCTAAGTTGGATTCGTTGTGATTTCTAAATACACGGCTGAATAATGGATGTTGTCCGATATAGCTTGCCCTTCCAAATTCTATAGTATTTGCTGACAACAGCGAAAAAAGAAATCCTTGTTTTGGGCTTTAATGATCGGACAGGGGTATGGATTTGGCCGTTTGGGGGTTAGTTTTGAAGTGGGTTGAAACAGGTCCCATCCAGAGCTAGGATGGGCCATTTAATTAGTTGCTAGCTACCCCAAGTAGGTAAAGCTTTTGACTTCTGCAAAAAGCCTTCACATTGAAAGTGATCATGATTTAAAATGGATTAAATTTGATTGAATTTTTTTAGATAATATATAATATTATAAATTTTTAAAATTTGATTTAAATTTAAATTAAATTTTTTGTAAAATTAATTTAATTTAAATAGAATTTTATTGATTTGGTTTAATTTATAGATTTTTAATTTAATTTTTTAATTTTTCTATATTATTTTAATAAGATTTTTAATAGATTTATATATAAAATAATTATTTTATTTTATAAAAATTAAAAAAATATATAAATTAATAAAAATATATAATTCAATTAAATTTTTTTTAATTTTTTACATCTTGATTTAAAATTTGATTCGAATTTAATATATAAATTTAATATCTAACCTTGATCTAAATCGAATAAAAAAAATTGATTCAAACCATTTGGTTTTTTTTTATTTTTTTTGATCCCTAAGAAAAATTTGGATATTTGTTAAGAGTCACATGATTTGTTAATGAAATATTAATTTTTTAATTTAGTAATTAAAATTAAATTAGAATTTATTTATACAAAAAGTTTAGACATTTTGTGTTTTGACACAATTTTTTTTTTTGGTCAATTTGAGTGTCAGGTGATCTTTGTAGTAGGATTAATCAAATAAATTATTAAAAATACTATCCTAAAAGGTTTTTTTTTTTTTAAATAAAATTTTGTGGCTTTATAAAATTTAAATGCAAAAGAAAATTACTTTTGGAGCAAGATGATTTCTCATTACGCTTATAGACAAAAAAAAAAAAAAAAAGTAGAGGACGGTGAAGATGAGGATTTAATTTGGATGCTCCAGCTAGGGCCATACTTGATGGGATGGATGTGGGTCAAAAACTGACTTGAAAAGCTTTCTTCAAAACGAAAACATGACATGGAATGAACTTCGTGTGTTTAAGTCAACCCACGAAACGAGCGTGCGAACGTTTAGTCAGTCGGAGGGGTATGATGCGCAAGCCGGAGATCGGCCCGATCCCTCCTGCGTGCTGCTGCCGATCTCGCTGCCGGTCTAGCTGCCGCAACCCTCGGTCCGGTTGGAGCTTAGACATGGAATGAATTCCGTGTGCCTAAGTCAACCCACGAAACGAGCGTGCGGGCGTTCAGTCGGTCCGGGGAGGCATAATGCGCAAGCCGGAGACCGACTCGGTCCCCCCGCGTGCTGCTGCCGATCCCGCTGCCGGTCCGATCTCAGACCGGGAATGAGCTCCGTATGCTTAGATCGGGAATGAACTCCGTATGCCTAAGTCAACCCACGAAACGAACGTGCGGACGCTCAGCCGATCGGAGGGGCATAATGCACAAGCCGGGGATCGACCCGATCCCCGCATGTTGCTACCGATCTCGCTAGCTGTCCAGCTGCCGCAACCTTCGATCCGACTGAAGCTTAGACATGGAATGAACTCCGTATGCTGGCCATACTTGATGGGATGGATGTGGGTCAAAAACTGACTTGAAAAGCTTTCTTCAAAACGAAAACATGCATGTTTTCCTCCATTATTCAACGATTAATTAATATAAAGGAAATTCCAGAATCACATGTGTTCTATAAAGGGGGTGTAATTAATTGCATTCGTGTGGTACAATGTTAAAGTCGATTCCGATTTTAAATTTTAAATTTTAAAATTTAGTTTGAATTCAGTTAAATTTTTTATAAAATTTAAATTTGATTTAACATAAAAATTAAATTATTTAAATTTATTAGATTAGATTTTATTAACATGTTAAAATAAATTTAATTTTTATATTAAATAAAAATTTAATTATTTATATTAAATTTGAGTTTAAAATATTTTATTAATAAAAATATATTAAAATATAAAAAATTTAATGAAATTCGTGAATTATTTAAGTCAAATATCAATAAATTAAATTATTTAAATTTAAATTTGATTCGATAATAATCGAATTGAATTTTAATTTTATTTAAATCGAATTCAATTAATTTACGAATATTAATGTATCATTTATATGTAATTTTTTATTAAAAAAATATTTTTTTTATTTGTACCAGGATCCATTTGAAAACTTTTGACTAAGCTAGAGGTTTGGAGACGAGTTTATTTTCATAGCCCATTCGGCTTCATCCATTGCACACCATAAATTTCATAAGCAGACAATTGGAGAGGGGAGAAAAGAGAAAAAGGCTGGGAATTGATTGGAGAAATCAGATAATCATAACTGCAGAAGTACTCAATTAAAGGCCATTGTAGCAGAATTCTGTTTCTGCGCTAATCCCTTGTAATTTGCATCTTCTTAACTCAAAAGCTTCTCGGCATGGCCTGCTTCTCCGAGATTTTGATGTGAAGTCCATTTGGAAATGTCAGACCAGGCTTTCGAGCGATGTCCCCTCCTTTCATTACTGTCCACCTGATAATTAATACTTTATATTCGTTTTCAATATTTCAAATGATCTTGGAATATTATGCTTCATTGTAACTCGGTAAGAAAGTAAAACAGAACGAACCCTAAACAAAATTCATTGGACTTGAAGATATTAAACGAATAAATACCGGTATTTGGTGACGATATAATGGATGAAAATGGCCATCTGAAGCTTCGCAAAGTCAGCTCCAACACAAAGCCTTATACCTCCACCGAAGGCCATGAAAGTCTTGGACCCGACGTGCAACTCTTTTCCCTGTATTTGCTTTTGGTTTCGTAAGTTTGGAAATGGAAGATTCAAGAGGCATGCATTGACTTAATATATCTAAATTATTACCTCCCATCTCCAGGGGTTAAATTCAAGTGGGTTCTCGTATTTTCCAGGACTCAAATGAACAGCTGCTGGGACAACCATCACCGTCCAACCTGCTGGAATCGTGTAGCCTACAAAAGAAACAAATCCTTCAGCTTAGTTCTTATATAGTTTTTCTTTATACTTAAATCATTAAAATTAAAAATTTAATACTGTATAAACAGATCAAGTGGCTACTGTTATATTGTTCTTATAAAATTATAACTTCTAACAAATGATGAAGTAAATTTTCAATATTCTTGCTAATTTTAAGATTTTCATTTTGGAAGTATCTGATTGATTTAGAACTTAATTAGAAACTAATTACCTTTCATCTCGACATCTTTCATCACTTTTCTGAAAATTCCTGGGACAATATTTGCTAGTCTAACTGTTTCATTGATAACCTGATCAGTTACAAATAAGATTCAAGCATGTCATCAAAATGGGCACTATTAACAAGAAAATTGATCGATATTAGGAAAGGTTTCGGAGTAATTAACAATCACCATATGTGTGAAAGTCATTGATTTATACTCCTGCCATGTAAGTTCAGAATTCTCGTTATCTCGGCTTCTAAGAATAGCCTCATGTTCCTTCTGAAAATTAAGATACAAATTGATTATAGTTATGAATTTTATCTATTATAAGAAATTTTGAGACAAAAACCATTTGTTGTGTCCAAACCGTCAATTCTTCCAGGACTTTAGGATGATCAGAAATAAACTTGATTGCTAACGTGATGGCTGCAGAAGTAGTCTCGTAAGTAGCGAAGAGAAGGGCAAAGACCAATTCTATAGCCATTTGCTCGTTTAAATATGAGTCTTGGGATTCAACCTCATTGAGTAAATGATCTAAGAAATCATTGTGAGGAAATTTTGATGCCTTCCTCTTTTCAAATATATCTTTAATCACCTTGCATGCATTTTTACGACCCTGAATCAATGAGAATCGAGAAAGTAAAATATCTGTTAAGGTTTAAAAAAAAAAAATACTATGTATGAATTAAGAAGGAAGTTCATGATCTAATACCCGCAAACATGCATGATAAACAGTTCCGGGGATGTTTAAAGGAAATGAGATAAGACCATCAATGAAGGCTTGGAAATTATTTCTCAGTTTCTTGTTTGAAGCCGTTTCTTCTTCATAGCCAATGAGTTTCTTGGCAAAATATTCAAATATCATCTGTCAAAATAAGAAAACAAAGGTACGTTGTCAGTCACGACAAAAATTAAACATAGGAACTAACAAATACAAATATAAAAAAAAAAACCATGATATCGCTGAGCATTGCATATATATATATATAAAAGATTTGTTCAAAAGTTCGCTTAAAATCTGAAAGAATTTGGATATGAATTTTAGGCTTGTCAATGAGTTTGGACTTAAATTTTAGTCTTAAATATGAAATTTAAACATGAAATTTAAGACTTAAGTCTAGCTAAATTACTATTATATATTTTTTATTTATATTTATATTATATAAAAATAAATATAATTAAATAATATAGATGTATATATTAATATCTTATGCTTATATATATTAGTCATATTTAAACACTAAATTAAATTAATAAAATATTTTTTTAGTTTTAATTTGTTGATTATTTATTTTATCGTAGTTAATATTTATTATAAAATTATTTTTATATTTTATTCTAAAAAAATAAAATATGAATGGATCTAAGCGAGTTTAAATAGATTATTTTAAAAATGAACTGGATCTAAATAATAATGTGAGACCCATATTTTAGATTAAATTAAGTTTTTAAATTTTGTTCGATCTAGGGATGGCAACGAATCGAGTCGAGGTAGGTTTTTACTCGTCTCGAATCCGACTCGATTTTAAACATATAAAACCGAACCCGATCCGATATTGTATAAAATTATATATGACTCGACCCGACCTGAAATTAATAAAAAATTATTTTAATATAAATAAAAAATTAAATATATATATAAATAATTATAAAATTAAATAAATAATTTAAAAAATTATTTTATATATATAGGGTAGGGTTTACTTAAAACTCGACCCCGACTTTTCTTCACCCTACCCGACCCGATATCTAATTTTTTTAAAAAAAAAAACTCGACCCCAAAAATTGGGTCATGTCGTCAATTTCGAATTTTTTGCCTTCTCTAGTTCGATCTCATGCATGGACAGGAATAAAATATACCTCGCCAGATCCTTCTTTCACATCGATGGTGCCAAGGCTAGCCCAGGAATTAAGATGTTTGCGGGTCGCTTTGTCGATTTCATAAAGTAGCTTTCCCTTGAGGTTTTCAGGGCTAACAAGCTGAAGGATCAAGTTCTTGAGGTACTTGTGAACCATCCCATGGTGTGCAACCAGGCTTTGTTGGCCAAAAACTTCTATGAAAGTCTTTGTATACCAGATTAAGAAGGACTTGTTTTCTTGTTGAAAGATTTCATGGTTGATTTCAGGATCGGTTGATACAATAACCTTTCGACCAACTAAGCTAGTCCGAAAAACCGGCCCATATCTGAAAAAAAAACGTTAATTTTATTAGTCAAATTGCTTGAAACGTTACGCTGTAATTAAAAACAAACTCTAAAGTCTAATCTTACCTTTGCATTCTTTTCTTGATGAATGGTGGGATATCGTAAAAAAAATAGGGAGAGAAGAACTCAATTGTCTCGCCAATGATGGGAAAGCCCATTGATCCGGGAGGCAGTATCCCATTCTCACACTTGGGGTTTGCCCAACCATGCAACCAACGGCTAATCCCAACAGCAAGCAAAGCTATAAGGCAAAGAACCGCCGCCCACATTCTAATTAGCTGTATATGGCTAAGAGTCTGACGATTAGAACTATGGTTCTGAGGATTTGTGTGGACATATGGCATTTATCTGCATCGGTCTTATAGGTGGATCGATCTGAGCAAAAGCCAGGAAGGAAAAGGACCATTTTGTATTACCTTAGACGGTGGGAATCTTTGACGGCGACGGCGAACTCATTTCTTGTCACGTTTTCCACAAATGCATACTGATTTTTTCCACAACTCTATAGTAACTGAGTCACTTTTTCCACAAATGCATGCATAGTGACCGAGTCAATAATATTTTAAATATATTTTAGATTAATGATATTATTTTAATAATATTTTAAATTGATTTGATATTAATTTAGAGAATATTAAATATTAATTTAGATATTGATTAAATAATTATAAAAATTGATTTGAATTTATTTAATTATTATTATTATTTATTATATTTTTTATTTTGTAATAATTTATTTTTGTATAAATAGATTTTAAATCTCATTATAAAATATAAGATATTAGTGGGTAGAAAATAATGAGAGTTTGATAAAATATTTTAAAGCTAAAAATTTAAGAAGGTATTTGGTTAATCAAATAAGTTATAGTGATGATAATTTTTATCTAAAAATGCATTTGTGGAAAAAGTCCTATGCATGCATTTGTGGAAAAAGTGACTCAGTCAATATAGAGTTGTGGAAAAAATCACCCTGCATTTGTAGAAAACGTGACAAGAAATGAGTTCCACAAATGATGACGAACCGAGTTTCCATTTTGACGGACAAAACAACTTCCAATAGCGTTTAATTGCTTAGATGAAAGTGGAACGTGGAATTGACTGTTGCAATTATGGAGAGTTTTTGTTTTGCATTTTCCATACAAAAAAGGAAGAAGAGAAAATGGAGTGAAAGTATTCGGTGATTGCTTATCCAACAAGTCCGGAAGGAAGGGAAAAGGATTGATTGGACTTTAAAGGAAAATATCTCACCGACGGTGGACGGTGAGGGAAAATGGAGTGTTAGGATTGGGTGCTTGCTTACCCAACAAGTCCAAAAGGGCAGGAAAGGAAAGCAAAATTATTGATTATATTTTGAAGGAAAATATCTTAGGTACTGTGGATGTTGGCTGACTTTTAAAACTCCACTAGTTTTAATTCTGTGTTTTGCAGGATATAAGCAAATTAAATTATGATTTTATTATAGATAATATTTTTTAGTAAAGATTTTGGTTTTTTTTTTTTCAGAGAAAAATGTTCCTTCATTCATTAGTAAATTATCATTTTGAATGTAAATGATTAATCATATATTTTGCCTTTTTTTTTTACCGTATGTACACCTACCTTGCCTACATCATTTTTTGCTTAATTTTTTTTTATAAAAAAAAATTTAAAGTAGATAAATTATTTAATTTCTCAAGTTAAGATAAAATATATCGTATCTGATAATCTAAAATAAGAGATTATAATTCATACATTCGAGATTATCATAACAAATTATTATCAATATAATTCAAACCTAAAATTTTTTATAAAAAAAATGATCTTAATCAATTGAATTAATCATTTATTAATTTTTTTGCTTAATTATATCAATTCATCGATATCTCTATTTTTTGGTACGTTAAAAATGTAGTTTCTGGACATGTCATTTTTTTTCTCATTTTTTAAATTATTTCAAAATTCTCTTTCCATTTTTAATCTTTTAAGTGATTAATACAGTGATTTTATTACATTAATTTTATTTATTTATGAAAATTGAAAGAAAAAAGAAATATTTTACAAATAAATTTAGAAAAAAATAAAAATAAAGTTCCTTGATTTTTATTTTTTCTAAATCTGATTAATAAATTAATACTCTTTCTGTTTTAAATTATTTGGGTGCTTGAATGAAGTGTGACTCATGCATGCAGATTTTAAAATACATATGTTAAAATATATTCAAAACATTACTCGGCAGGTAGCATGTTGGATGCAGATTCTGAAAGACAGGTACTTCCCAAATTGCTCCTTCCTTGAAGCAAAAAAAGGGGCCGGAGCATCTTGGGCTTGGAGCAGGATAATTGCTAGTGAGGAGTTTCCGAAAAGACATGTTAACAGGCAAGATATCAGTATTTGGTTTGATAGATGGATTCCAGGGTTGAAGCCATGCTTCACGTTTAGCCGCCTTTTCGAAACTATAAATCATTTAGGAAAATTTAGAGTTAGGTGTAACAAAATGGAAAATAATTGATGGTCAATGTTTTGAGAGAATAATTTGGATTGAGTGTAAACATTTTGAATTAAGGGTAAGATGCTATTTTGTAAAAATTCTTTATCATTACAAGTTGCTTTCATTTTTCCGTTTCATTTAAATTCAACTTTTCATTTATCTTTCCCTTCATACATTTTTCTATAATTACCTACACAGGCCCATATTATAACCCATGTGACCACCCATCTAACCCATGTGACTCATCTGACCACCTATTTAGCCTATCTATCCCATATTCTTAGTGCCATCACCACCACCACCACCTCTCCCACCACCATTTTCACCTCGTTTGCCATGATTAATAACATCAATGTCATCAAATCATTTTTAATTTTTTCCATCTCATTGTCCCTACAACCATTTTTGCCCCTGCCATTTTTAGCTCTATTGCCATTATTGAGTTGGATAGGAAAAGCTAAAATAGAATTTTTATTTTCATAGATTTATCAACTATTATTAGTATTAGTTCTCAACCTTCCATTTCTAAATTTTTTTTTAGTTTATCTTCTCCCCCTTCTCTTATACTTAAAAAATCTTCTTATTCTAAATTAAAACTTTTATATGAAGTAGATTATATCCCAGAAGAAAAGAAAATCTAACAAACAATTCTTCCCATTGTAAATCCCTATATAGCTTTTTCAAACTCTTATGTTTCTCTTACCAGATCCATAAAAACCCTTCTAAAACCAAAATATCAAGATCCAAAAGAATACGTTCAAGCTACAAAAATTTGATCAATGTATTATTCTAACAAGAATTCAAGAACACTTTGTTACTTTTTAGATCCCAAAAGAATTTTTTCGACAATAGTTAGAACAAGGATACATTCATCTCCACTTTAGTACTATTAGAGTAACTTTGACCTTTCATGGCATAAATGGTATTCTTGTATGTATCAGAATGGCCTTATTAGACACAGGATTTAAAAAATACAAGTATGTAATACTTGGCATAGTTGAGACAACGCTCAATGCAAGAATCGTTTTTTTTACAGTCTTTTCATGATCCGACACTGTTAGATGCTTTAAAATTTTAAGTTCAAATTGTAGGCACTAAGATGAAAGAACTTCAGGCAACCCTCTACTACTAGATGGCATATAGAATTCAAGATCATACCATTTACTTGCCTCTTCCTCATTCTGATAATGTTGTCTTTGTAAAAATGAAAGTAGCAGATAAGAATTCCAAATATGTTCATATTTCAAAGCAGATCTCTAATAAAGAACTTGCTACACTTTTCCTAAAGTTATGGATGACAAGTTATCAAAAGATTTAGAAGAAAGATGAACCCATTTAACACTTTGATCTAACTTACAAGACCAACCAGGATGGCACTATGACGATTGAGTTTGATCACAATAAAAGAAAAGATATTCCTTCTCCAACAATCTTTTCAACACAATTCATGATGCAAAGATGTCAAGCTGAGCCACATATTTCAATCACACATTTTCAATATGATGAAAAACCTGTATATGCTTACAGATTTTGATAAAGACATTGCTATTGAGACATTAATTACAGATGCAAAGAATTTCAAAAAGACACATATAAAAGCTTCTTTGATAATGATGATGATAAGAAAGAAAAATAACTTCCCACACCCTGCAAAGTTCAAGCTTCACAAAAACCAGATTCAAATCACCTTTATCTCATATATGTATGATGCAACCAAGCTACCCAGGACAGTTTTATAACTCGAATTTTTTTTCCAACAATTATAAAAAGACCAACACAAACACATTTTGAAAATCCCAAACCTTATTAACAGAGATGAATATAGAAACTAAAAAAATATTTTTCGTGCTGAAGTAGTTTTAAACTAGCAAACTGAAAATTCTCTCCAATAAAATGCATACCTGTATAGAATTGAAAACAAGTTAGATTAAGTTAGTCATCACTTTGATCAAAACTTAGTCAATCTTCAAAACATTATTCTTGAGATCCAATCAAGGATATAACTTTAGATCAATAACTCAGATACATGTCTGAAATCAATACTCGATTCACTTATGCTTTCACAAAAAGAAAAAAAATGAAAAGTCTTAATATTTAACTTGCAGATATTTAAAATTAGCTCTATCAAAAACAACAACAATAACAAACACCCTTCCAGTTATAGTATCTTCACTCAATAAATACTAGAATGTATGATATTCCTTACCAACTATACAATCCTCCAACCTCACTTTCAAAACTTCTTTTCTCACCTTTTCAGTATAAGCCACCTCTTACATCCACACCAACATCTTCATAACCAAGAAAATATTTCACCCCTATGTTAGACCAACCAAATAACCTTCATTTGGTATAACTGAAAAATGGATTTACAGATTCAAAGAAAAATAATCGGTTGATCCAAAACCCAAAAGAGTTACTGAATAACCACTTTCATAACCTTCAAAACTAAAACTAAGTTCAAGCTCTACTCCTCAACATCTTGCATCCCAAATAGACCAAAAACCTGTACAACTCATGATTTCTCCTACATAAAACCTTTCAGAAATATCCATCAAATGGCATAAGAAAATCTCTTTCAAATTTCCATTAATGATATTTTTTTCTTCCACTTTTAAGATAAAATCTCAAAATGGAAACCATTGAGTTAGATGATACAATTGACACTGATGATTCAAATGAGCCAGAACTTTCTCAGATTTTCATGATAGAACCAATAGTTAAAGTTTCAAAAGAAAACCCAGAAGTACATAATCCTGATGCCATGAACACTGAGCAACACCCTCTTCCACAACAAACACATGTTTCTCTCTTTACATCAAAGTTCTTAATCTTTACAATTGATAACATTCCTCATTCAAAATGGCCTTCAAGATTTCAAGAGTTTCTAGCATGAGGATTAGTATAATTGAACTCCAATCCCAAAGTTACGATGAATACAATCTTGATTAGATTTATTTTCAGACTAGTTAAAACTCTAAAATTTTTTGAGATAATATTGGTGAATACAGGCAATTACAATTTTTTCAATGCCCAACAATCACATAAGCTGTATCTCAGTTTTTAATAATATTCTATAGCCAAGATACTTATAGATTGGAAAAGATCAGAGAATAGTTCTTTAAGCTAAAATGTTGTTCCCTACATCTAAAAGACATTGACAAACACTATCAATAATTTTTTGAATATTTTTACGTACTTGATGGATTTGATGATGTCAACCTGAAGCAATCATTTTTAAACTCTGTTTCAAAAAACTTGCACAGCAGATAAGGATACAACTAAACCTCAAATCTTTTGATGTCAAAATCATGAACCTTGGTAATATTTACAAGATGATGTTAAAAGCCCCTAACAAGATTTACAAAAAACACAATATATTACAAACTTGGTGAACAACTCCAAAAAGCTAGAAAAATCCTGTTCATTTCCTCTGGACTCAAAATCAAATGTTTTTCCAAGGACTCTACATGTATTTGCAATCACAGAAAGAAGAAGCACATCAGAATATTCAAATATTCCAAAAGCTCACACTTTTTTAGAAACAAAAAGCTGTTCAAAGAATTAGAAAAACCTAAAAGATTCAAACGATTCAAATTTGCAAGAAAGAAGGGTAACCCAAAGATGAAAAATGAAAAATATTTTCTCTGTGAAAAACCAAGACATTTTACAAAGAACTGCCTAAAGTCAGATAAAAGGTCAGTAAATGTGATACAAGATATTTCTAATATCTCTGATATTAATCTTTCTGATGATAATCTTGAATCAGTCTTCTCCCTTAATGATGTCAATGTTATGAGTACATGTTAGTCTAAGAATTTTAAAAAATCCAAACCATTTCACCTCCAAAATTACCTTTAGTCCCAGTTCAGATCTTCACTCACAAATACCCTTTTCCCATAATAGTTATTGCATTCTTTGACACTGGTGCAGCCCAAACTATAGCAAATCCCATTATGTTACCTAAAACCCTTTGAAAAAAACAAAAAATATTCTTTAAGACCGTTGATGAGAATGTATTCTCTACAGACTTTATCAGCAACCCTATTACCCTTAAGATCTTCTCAGACTGTCAAATAACTCAAAAGATTTTAAGATTTCCACTACCTTAAAAAGACTTTGTTATTGATTTTGATGTCATAACCAGTATAGCAGGTTTAATACTTAGTGAAAAAGGTACAAAGTTTGAAAGTTATTTCAGACATTGGAAAAGCCTTCCCAACCTATTCACCTTGATCGTTCAACCAGATATTTTCTAGGAATTTAGACAAAAATTCATTCAAATTTCATGTGCAGATACTCATTCAGAATTCCTTCATAAGTGCAACCACCCTCTTTGAAAAAACCTTGAATTTTTCATTTCCCTTCCTTTCAAGAAAGATGAGAATGCTAACTCAACAAAAACTAGTCATTCAAGTATGAACCCAGATCATTTCAAATTAGTAACCCAAGTTTTTACATGGGAGTTTAAAAGGAAAACCAGTATATAAACCAACCATGGAACTGGTTTTTACATGGGAGTTTATATTCTCTGCCTTTGGAAAATGGAGTTTCCGTAAGAGCAGGCGGGGGATCGAAAGTTGCCAGTTGCCAGCGCTCTAAGCCTTTCTCTCCCCCAAGCAAAAAAAGAAAGAAAATGATGGATTCAGCATTTAATCGACAAATTAGTTTGACTTTAATATCTTAAAATGGAAAATTCAACGGATAATGCTAATGAATGATCTCTGTCATCAGCCGAAATGTGTTGGTGGCCGCTCAAGCCCCATGTTTGGTCCATATCTTCTGCTGACTCGGTTCCACGCAGGGAGAGATTGGACTCTTGCTAATTGTTAGTTCACCTAAGTTGTCATTAAACAAGATAGTGGAGAATATTTGAGCATAATATTAACAATGCATTACATTATGCCAAAGAAACAATTCGGTTCTTTTTCGTTTAATCAAACCAAAAAAGGAAATCTAGCTTGTTGCTTTTCCATTTGTTTAATCTATGAAAGAAGTGGCTGAGAGGAAAATCAGGAAGTGGATGACACTTTTTGGCAGGGAAGTTTTAATCATGGAACAAAGAGCGCTTTTCCCAAGTGAAAATGCAAGTAATGGTTAAAGGTAAAAAAAGAAAGGTTATTGACTTCTAATTTCTATGTTGTGAAAGCAGCCTTCTCGTTGTCTATAGTTCATCTACAATCTCAACTGAAAATAGATGACTAATCCTCCCCATGGCAGCTAGTCATAAGTAGAAGCTGACAATATCGTATGCAGTTTACTGAAAAACGGATTCATCCACAAAAGCTTATTCGGATTAAGGCGAAAAGACAGGTTGGGCTTTATGGCTAGTAGTACAATTTTAATCAAATACGTATGTATCCACTAAAGCTTATCCAGCCTTATCAGAATTGCGTGAGTCATTAAACAAAATGATCCAGGATGATTGAAGTGCGTATCCCAGGCGTCTCTGAAACCTTGGAAGTTTGATTTTTCAATGTTTTACCGTATAACATCTTTTTCAAGACCATGGAAGCAGTTATAATCAATCCAGTGTTTAGACACTGTACTTCTGTACTTCTGTTTACCGTCTAGAATCCCAACATTCGTGTTCATGTTCTATGTTTTGGGCTCCAGGGTTTCCCTGCAAAATGTACTACTGCATGATTTAAACAATCTTAACCCATAAAAAAGAGTTTGTTGGAGTTGGACAATGACTTCTGAGTGCCAACCACCACCTTTTACAAATAAAATTCGATGTTTGTGAGTTGGTAAATGAAGGCTTTAAAGCCTCTAAATATTTTAAGGTTAAAGAAAAAGTGAAAATGATTAGGGTTAATAAACTATCAAGGGAAGTCATGATCCTAATCAATGCAAAAGGAAAAGAATTCTTGCTTGTTGCCTTTGTTTTCCGTAGGTAAAAGATTACACTTGTCAGCCACGAAAAAAATACACCATTTCTGGAACAAAAAGGGTGGCCCAAACCTGTTAAAATGGATAAGGGCTTAGATTAAATTAGTGCAAAATGACACAGCAATGTGCTTGGTTGTAATTATCTTATGAAAGCGATCTCATTTAAACAAATAGTTTCAAATTAAAAGTATAATCGATCAAATTTGAATTGATACAATATTAAATTTGAGTTTGAATTCGATTCGAAATTTGAAATTCAATATTTAATTTAAATTCGATCAAGATTTATTTTTTTAATTCAAGTTCAACTTTAAATAAAAATCAAATTATTCGAACTCATTCGATTAATATGTAAAATTAAATTTGATTTTTATATTTTATAAAAATTTAATTATTTGTGCTTGAGTTCTAGTTATTCTATTAATTAAAATAATAAAATATATTTAAATATAAAAATTTGATTAAATTTATGAATTATTCAAATCAAATATAAAAATACTCAAATTTAATTCGATTGATAAATTAAATTATTCAAATTTAAATTTTATTTAATAATAATTAAATTAAATTTAAATTTTATTTAAATCGAATTTAAATAATTTATAAATATTAATATATTATTTACATTATTAATTTAGATGCTTTACGTTGCAAGTACATGAACATGAAAATGAAAGAAAATACTGTACCTTATTTTTTTTACACGAAAGAGAATCGAGTGACAGAAAAAGTGAAAAGATTTTCAGTTTTTAAAAGCCAATGAAATGAAGAGCAAAGGAGGACAACTGCAATTAAACTAGTTTATTCTTTCTTTCAGTTGCTGTCACTGAAGGCTCATCTTATTATTATTTTTTTATTTGGAACAGTAGTATCACAATTTATCAAAAAATACTTAATTGTACAGACAATTATTAGATATGTGTGATGGCCTCAAATCTAATAGGGTCTTCCTAGGAAGAGGGTCTTCCTAGGTTGTCTTTATCCAAACCATTTTCTTAATATAATTAAGTTTATGAAAGTTGCAAGGTTTTTTATTTGATTTCTTATCTTTTTATTTGTTTTAATTTTTTTATTTAAATTTAAATATCAATTTTTAAAAATAATTACATTAGTTAATTGAATTAAAATTTGATTTCTGTTATAATATTCACACATGAAGTATAATTGGGTTGACTTCACTTAGTTGTTTTGTAAAGGGAAGATGGAGGAGGATTAATTTGAAGAATTTATCTATAAAATTATAAGATAATTCCGATACCGTTAATCCAAATAGCATACGCAGCAAGCTGCAGCGCGTTGGAGCAAACATCCTTATAATTACCTAACCTAGGACTACCAAACCAACTAGACCCACCGTCCCTTTGGAATGTTGAAGTGGATAAGATCTTGTCCAGCTCAAGCCACCTGAATCTGATTCAGAAACTCCTTGTCTCAAACTTCTTAACCAAAAAAAACAAAACTCTTTTCTGGATTCTTCTCCTTTTTCTTAAAAACAGCAATCTTGATGCGTGTACACATACTTTAGGCGTCTTCATCTAAATTTCTTCTCTCTATTTGCTTGCTTCTGTGTTTCTGTGTAACAATGCATTGTTCACAAGTACCAGACATAGACATAGGCACATAGCTTCAGATTTCAGGGTTTTTTTTTTTTTGCAGTTTTTTTTTCCTCAGATTTCAAATGACAAATTCTGTTTTATGTTTCTCTGCGTATCTATACATTTTTCTTCTTGTATTTGGTTTGACTTAACGTCAACATCAGGTTTATATTCAGTGGTTAAATTAGGCTCCTCTTTGCAGATTCTTTTTGTTTTTGGCCAATCAGATTCTTTTTGTTTAATCTATCTGATTAAAAGACCCCAAAATTTTTATCCTTTCTGTGTCTTTTGGAAACCCAGATTTGAGAATAAAACTCTGGGTTTTGGGGGTTAAAAGGGACTTAATGGGTGCCAACATATCTGGTGCTGTAGTGGACGGGGATGAAGGTGGCCCTCCATGGAGGCCAAAACTTGGTGACATACCAGAGAGCTGTGCGGCCTTGGTTTTGGCGCAGTTAGACCCACTCGAGATTTGCAAATTGGCTCAGTTGAACCGATCTTTTCGCAGTGCTTCGTCCGCTGATTTTATATGGGAATCGAAATTGCCCTCAAACTATAGGTTCATTGTAGAGAAAGTGCTAGGAGATACAACTTTGTTAAATCTGCCGAAGAAAGATCTTTATGCCAGGTTGTGCAGGCCTAATCACTTTGATGCTGGCACAAAGGTTAATATTATTTAGTAGTAATTCTTTTGGTTTCCCTGCCTCCCCCCCCCCCCCCTCTCTCTCTCTCTCTCTCTTTCTCTCTTTGTGGTTTGGTTTAATTAATATGACAATGTTGGTTTTTGGCTATGCGCAGGAGATATGGTTAGATAAGAATACAGGTGGGGTTTGTTTATCAATTTCTTCCAAGGCCTTGACAATCACAGGGATTGATGATCGGAGATATTGGAGTCATATTTCCACCGAGGAATCTAGGTGTGTTTATCATTGAAGAATAATTAGTATAGTCTTGTTCTATGGAATTTTTTCCTTTCCTTTTTTGGGTCTTGGCAATCATTAGGACTCGCGACTGACGAGATCAGGAAGGCTAGAAACGAGGATTAAGACCACAAAGTACTGTAGCTTGGGTCCCCTGCCTCTGGCCTAAAAGGCCATTGGCAACTCTTGACGTTTGATCCTCGGATTTTTTGTTGAGAAGGGTCCCAAAAAGCATTCAATTTTGATTGATAAATTGACCTCTTAACTTTAACAAGGACAAGCGTAACGCAGTACAGTTTTGTTTGGTGAAATTTGTAGATATTGGCAAGCAAGATAAGATTTCTTAGTCTCCGTTTGGATTGGTACGGTACAATTAAGCTTATCGTATTTTTAATTGAATCAAAATATCAATTTTAATGAAATTAAGTTAATATAAATTTTTTGTTAAAATTTTTTTTCAATCGTAATTATAATATTTTTTTAATTATAACTATAATAATTTTTATTACTGTTTTTAATCTCATAATCTCACTGTCCATTCAAATAGAATCTTACACAAAAAACTTAACGTGCAATTTGAGCACCTAGACCCAAAAACGAAACAGGCTTAACCATGAATAATTGACACTTGACAATCCTGATAGTGGATATTAACATTCCTTTGGTGACTAATTGGTAATACCCTATGATCGATGTTATGTTAGATCTATTTTGAGTGCGGATTCTTGTCTTGATAATGATTTTATTGCATTATGTTAAGAATGTGAATGGCAGCCAGAGAGTAGTCTGACTGATATAATAACTTCCCTTGATTTGGTGTGCAGATATCCTACAGTAGCATACCTTCAGCAAATATGGTGGTTTGAAGTAGATGGAGAGCTTGAGTTTCAATTCCCGGCAGGGACATACTGCCTATTCTTCAGACTCCAGCTTGGGAAATCCTTGAAGAGACTCGGTCGTCGGGTTTGTAAGCCTGAGCACATCCACGGATGGGACATAAAACCCGCTCGGTTCCAGCTATCAACTTCTGATGGTCAACATGCTGTATTTCAGTGTTATTTAGACAATCCTGGGAACTGGGTTCTCTACCATGTGGGAGATTTTGTTGTTGAGAATCCTAATGCATTGACAAAAATCAAATTTTCAATGACCCAGATTGATTGCACTCATACCAAAGGAGGCCTTTGTGTCGATGCTGCCTTAATATACCCCAGTACTGTAAGAAAAGAGGTTAGATCATGCTCATGAGAAATTAAGAGCTGTAAATACCGAATTGTAATCAAGGTTGGTTTCCTAGCTTTCGGAGTGTTTCTGTTATGAAAAAAGTACATATAGATAATTTTCTCTTCCGGTTATTATTTTTCTTGAAATAATTCATCAAATTTTAAGTGTTTTATTTGTAAATCAAAATTTCTTTCCGATAATTTTGTATAATATACTTCTTCTTGGTTCCAGTAAACTTATTTATACAGAATCCCTTTCTTGTCCTGCTGCTTATTAAGAGGACCTTTAAGCCTTCAACAACCCTTGATCTCCAGCCCCTGCTTGCTTCTGAGGGGCTAATGGAAACCATCCTAGGAACAAAGGTATTCTTTCTTCTCATGATAGGGAAATCAAATTAAAAGTGGTCTGTTCAGCAATGGTCCTTTCTTTTCCAACATCACATTGGAATTGTGTTCTCGACACACTTATCAGCAGCAGCCTCATGTGTTTTTTTTCCTGGATGTTTTGTGTACTCTTTTTGCATTACGTTGTGACATCCGGACGTGTGCTTTAACCAAAGCTCGTGTTCTCCCTCAAGGGTCACAGGTAATGGGACACACACAAACATTGCAAAAGTTGTGTGAGTTCATGGAACTTGGAATGAGGTTGTCAACTGGTTTTTAACTTGACACAATTAACAGCAAGGAGCAAATTAAATTGTTTTGTCCCCAAGTATAAGATTGTGGCATGTTGAGCTGGAAAGATATGTACTGACCTGATCGAATCCTCAGTAGTAATTGCTTCAGTTTTCACATATTGAAGTTTCTTTTGATTTGACTGCTTAATGTCTTAGTTGTCAAATTGTGTCGAATCCATTTTTTAAAGTTAGATGATCTTTACAATAAGTTGATATTTCTTAAAAGGAGAATATCATCCGTAATTATTATAATAAAATTAATTAATTATAATTTAATATTACATAATATTTACAAAAATTATGTAAAATTTATACTTTTAAATGATAGATCATTATATAATATTTTATTATAATTTATCGATTACAAAATTATAAATAAAATATTCTTTTTTTTCTCTTAAATTATTATGAAAATTTACATTTAATTTATGATATACTATTTATTTTAATTTGAAGATTTCAAATTTTATGTTACAAAGAATATTTTATAAATATAAATTTAAATTTTTACATACATATTATAATAATTTTTAAAAATTTTATTGTATTTTCTTATTTTGTTGTATGTGTTATTAAACGTAGCTCTAATGATAAAAATAAAACAATTTTTGTGGTGTGAACCATTCACTTGGTAGCCATCCTTTTTAAAAATTCCATGTTGGTAGTCCGTCACTTTCCTAAGCTATTCACACTGTATAATTGAAAAAAAAATGGTAGGCATTCGATAGATTTAGTCCGGGTCATATTGACTTAGAGCTAGCTTGGATTTTACTGAATCTCTAGCGGGATTTCGATTGTTATGAAAAATCATGTCAAATGCATCGAAGAGATCCAAACGAAGTAGCATGATATAGTATGGCTGATCACGATAACCTATTGGCCAATTTTGCCCCAGTTGCTTCATTGCACTGGGCTGTTAACCTTTTTTTTTAAAAAAAAATTTTAATTATAAAAACAAAAATATTCTTACAAATTATAAAATAATAAATAAGTAAAATATATTAGTATATAATAAATAAATACATCTTAATTATTTATGATCAAAATTATTATTTTATATAAAATAATTTAATAATTTTAAATTATTTATTATTTATAAATTTTAAATAATTTAACACTTTTATTAAATAAATATTTTAATTTAATGATTTTTTTTTATAATTCATTTAATCACCACCATTGTATTTATATTTAAATACATATTTTTATAATTAATTTTAATTTTATCATTATAATAATTAATTTTATTTCTACCGTCATTTTTAATTTTATTGGCTATCTAAATGAACACTTAATATGAATTAATTTTTGGTTAATATCTCTTTCAAGCTGTTTCCCTTCAATTCTCAGCTCGACTCTCCAAATTGACCTCACTCGTATTCGGGACTTCTCATCATAACATTTTATTTCTTCTTATTCTTGTTCTTCCCCAATATAAAAAATAATTTTACATTTTTAATACTTAAAATTACAAAAAAATTAAGCTTCAATTATTAAAATTAAAAAATTAATATTTTCCAGTAAATCATAATCTTTATTTCAGCATATTACATTCCTCTGATTCTCTTTCTTGAAGATAAGAATGATGAAGATGAAAAAGCATTCATGATAAAAAATGGCACTTGCATTGGATAACTGCTCTAGATTTTCGCGGTGTATTTTTTTTTTTTTTTTAATTAGAGTATTCATTAAGTAAATTTATATGATCTTTATTTATTTTCATCTTGTTTTTAATGTTCCTTAAAATCAAAGTAACAGGTCGTAGCTTCTAGAAATTACAACATCATCGGCCTCAATTAGTGCATGAGCACCAGATGTCCGCCGGCATCAAAGACAGTCGCCGCGTGGTTATTTATGGAGCAAACGACGATCGAATCTCCTTTTTTTTTTTTTTTTCTTTGTTTCTCAATATAGTATGTAGTTTTTTTAAAGCTAATTATATTTACTTTTTATGTTAAGAGAGTGGAATTTACTGTCAGTTCAACAAAAAAATTTTTTTTGTACCATACAAAGAAAAAGTTGGTAGGTGAGATATGATTCACGTTAAAGGTAGTCTAATATTATTTGCCACCTTTTCAAGGTTAAAAAATTAAAGTTTATGAAAGTTGTTTCCTTGCAAAAGCAAATTCTAATGTTTATCATTTTAACAAATTTTTAATTACCAAATTTCTAATGTAAAATTTATGGACCGACAGCCACTTTATAAAATTATATCTAATTAATTTGAACTTTAAATTTTAATATTTATAATTTTTTATTTAAAATATTAAATTTTAATAAAAGTATTATTTAATATTTAAAATTTTCAACTACTAAAAAAAAGAGACTCAAATATGTTAGGTTAAGTTTTCATGTAATAAAAAAAAAAAAAAACAAATGAAAAGAAGATAAAATATGACTTAATTAATTACTCATGAGTAATTAAATAACATTAATCATTATCCGTAAATATAAGGTCAAATTAAAAAATTACAAATTATTTTTTAAAAGGAAAAAATTACGGAAAAAGCTACGGCCTTGTAATCTCCATTTATACGCTATCGTTCTGTTCCAATTATCTGCGACAATCCTTTCTTTCTCTTTCTCTCTCTTTTTCCCCCACTCTCGGTTTCTAGGGTTTTCCTCTGTTCGGGAGATTTTGATCTCATGCTTTTCTTTTCTTTATTCTTTTTATTTTTCCCTCTCAACAAAAAGGTGAGAATCCTTACTCTCTTCTTTGCTTTTCGTTTTCTTCCCTTCAAAAACTCTCTCCCTTTCCCCCAATTTTTTATTTTCTGAATTCATGGAAAATTGGTTGAATTCTGGTGTATCTTATTTTTATTTTTGTCATTTTTAAGTTGCCAATTTCTATGTGTTTTTATTTTTTAAAAATTTATTTATATATTATTACTCGTAATTGCAATTAAACTTGGATTATTTGGCACTAATATAATTCTGTTTAGAATTGGCCTTTCTGAATAGGTTTTATTCATCAATGAACTGTAAATTGCTGATTGTAATTTCATGGTCATAGAAGAAAATGCGATCAGAAACCTTACTAAATAAATTATGTTTGTTTTACGGGAATTACTTCTTTAGCTTTGTCAGATTAAGGTCTGTTAACAGTGTCATAGTCGGATTTCTCTTATATATAATTTGATGAGCTCAGTTTGCTGAAAATAGTCTCTTGTTTCCTGTAATTTTGAGCTTGGTTTTTTTTTTTTTTGCTTTTTTGCTTTATTGTTTTTTTTTTTTAAGTAAAAGAAAAGTTTAGAATGTTTTTGGATACAATAGCGAAACATAGTTTGACGGATTATATCCTGAAAATCGACTTGCATGAATAAGAAGCATGTTTTACTTCTGTTTCTAACCACTATTTCTGCATTGATGTGTTTTTGATCTGTTTTAATCACATGAAGATTTTATCCTTACTAATTTCTTTTTTTTTACAGCAAAATTTGAATAATTGAAATGAAAGTAGTAAAAATGGGTATCAAATGGAGCTGAAGATATTATTTTACTTCATTCGTGAGCTCTAACATTGTGCTTTTTTGCAGTGCTAAAGCAGGACTTGGAGTTCAGAGCTGGATAGTTGCTCGACGCCTTAATAGGAACTTAAAAGGAAAAAAAATGCAAAACGATGTGCATTTCATTAATTTCCTACCTGATGCCTTGTCAATAAAGATTTTCACATCTTTAGAGGATCCGTCTGATCTTGTTCGCTTCAGTGCTGTCTCACGCTCCTGTCGACGTTTTGGTGAGCTAGAATGTTTTTGTATACTATTCTTCTCTTTTAGCAGTCATTGCTTTTTTTAGTTGTTAAGCTGCTATAAAAGCTCATGACATGAAGACTGAATTTGATTTTCTTTATTATGTTGGGAAAACTCTAACAGACCATAGCATCATCTAGAATTAATAAGTGGATAATATTCTCAGTTTGCAGTTTGGTTGGTGTGATTTCAGTTTAGTTTTGTCATTTGATCCTTTGTTTCCAAACCGGCTCTGCTTGTTATCAGGTCTATGTATCTTATTATGCACACTGTTTTTGCTTCTGTACGACTCTGAGATAGTGCACATTTATTCTTATATATCCATTATAGTTTCAGACTTCAACCCATTATTCTTCTTTTAATGAGATATGATACAACCATTTATCCACCTAATGTTAATTCAATTTTTCCCCCTAATCATGTGTATTCAATTCAATGCAGATATTTTACCAATTCAATTGAAAGGCACTAATTCTTCTTGTCATATATTTCGTTTGATGCAATTACCCATATTGTTCATGTTTTTCTTTTCATGCCAAACTAATTAAATGTTTTTGCTAGGTCTTCCTTTCCTCATTCCAGCATCTCTATTTTGATAACTACTGGTCTTAATAAAACTGCTTTATTTGTAATTGGTCTTGTATTCTTCTGTGGATTTGCTATTATTTAATCCTCTTTTTATGTTCAAGTTTTGAAGAACTGAAACCCAAACTTGAGTATCATTCTAGGAACTTGCTTCAGCATATGCTAACTTGAGGGGAAAAAAAAAAAGAGGAATCCACCTAAGCAGCACTATGTTGTCTGTTGTTCTTTGTAGTAGTGTCACAATTTATATGTTCAAGATGATATCAATCTTGCATCACTCATCTTTGGTTGTTATGCGTGACAGTTTGCAGCCATTGCTGACATTATTTTTCAATGGTTTGCAGTGATTACAAATGGTCTATGTAAGCATCTGTGTCTGAGAATGTTTCCTCAGTTATCTAGAGTTGATCATGTCAATGAGCTAGGTGTCACTCTGAATGGGCATGCTGAAGCTGGATCTAGCAATTTTATGGAATGGGAAGCTTTGGAGAGGGAGCATAGAGTTTATGCCTCTTTAGCTCGAGGTTTTTTGTCATTTGCTATCAGGGAGTGCATCTCAGAAGCAATCATTGCTTCTAGCACTGATAATCATCCAGACGAAAGCATAGATAATACGTTGGATCCAGGAGATAGGGTGAGAGGGAGAGCTTCATACTGGTCAAGTAGCGGACAAAGTAACCCTGCAGTGCCTGAAACATTGACTTATAAATTGAATGCTGATTTGTGTGTTATTACTGAAATCAATATAAAACCTTTCCAAGGTAATTGTTTTGATTTTCTGGTAACTTGGTTTTCCTTCTTTTATCTATCTGATTCTATCTCAGCTTGAAAATTTTCTTATAAGATTTGTTTTTGATCCAGCTTACTTCCAGTATCATTACCCTATATACTCCGCAAAATCTGTGAGATTCCGCATGGGTCATATCAAGTCCTCCATGGAGAATCATGTGGATGAGTTTGTATGGACTTACACCTCACAAGAGTTTCCTATGGCTCAGGTGGGTTCAAGTAGCTGGATTTAGTTTTTGATTATGTCTTCTTGATTGATCTTTCTCTATTTGTTTACAAAAATATCAGATTTTTTTTTAAGATAATAGAATATCAGATTTGGTTATTCTGTGAGCATTCATTGCCTGTACTGAATAAAGTGATTACGTGTGATACTAATACAATACTAAAATGGCTCTTAGCAGTGTCATTCCCATATTCATTGTTTTCATGTTTCATAATGCATTTTCGGTGAAGTTAATTCCATTTTGATTCCTATAGTTTTGTAAAAACTCATATGGGAGCACTGATAACATTAGGCTTTTTTACATAAACAGGAAAACTGTTTGCAGAATTTCAAGCTTCCAGAACCTATTCTATGCATTGGTGGAATATTACAGATTGAGCTGCTGGGTAGGGTCCAGAGACAGGAAATCGATGGCTTATTCTATATATGGTACTGTCAAATGCACCCCTTCTCTGTCTAGTTTGATACTTGTATATTGCAGTAGGGTTATGAGTCTAGATTTGCCAGTGCTCTAGCTATCATGCTTAAATTGATTAGATTTCATCTTGGGGGACCAAAAAATTCAATTTATAATATTCATATATAGGTTTGCTTAGGGTTTTGTGGACATTTTTCTATGGCCTTGTTTTGATGCTCTATTTGTTGGATTCATTGCAGTGTGTGTCATGTTCAAGTTGTGGGAGTCCCTCTATCTCCTTTTGGTATTCAGATAATTGAACCCTCAGAAAAATTTGTGCTGGAGGTACTGAGCTATACACAGCCACCTTCACCCGAAGAGACCAGGTCTGTATCTACTCTGCAGATGCGAGTGAGAAGGGGGAACGTAGTTGACGTTGTGGAAGATGGTGATGGATGGGATTTATTTTATGGAGAATTAGTTGAGGATGAGGATGAGAACGAGGAGGAAGAAGACGTGGACATAGAATGAAATTGTGCTGTTTGTCGGAAACACCAGGGAATCTATTGGGCAAGTAGGCTCTTCTGGAGTGTCGTGTAACCTTTTTCTGGATTAGTTGTTCTGGCTTAATATTTTGCTAGTGTTATCAATAATTATAAGCTTTTATGGGTTTCCAGCTCTGTTCACTGTGTCCATATATATATATATAACCTCGACTAAAGTCCGATAATTAGCAAATCTAACGTCTTGCTTTTTGCAAGGCTATGCAGAGGAAGGGGCTTGGCAAGACCTTTTTTATATAAACAAAATCCACTTAATAAGTTTTATAATTTTTTAAAATAGTTAAATGCAAGTATTATAGATTTAACTTGATTTAAAGATTAAAAAATATATAATTTTTATATTAGTTTAAATGAATCTTTACTATATATATATATATATATATATATATATATATATGTATGTATGTATGGGTGAGAATGTAATTTTAATATTTTAAAAATTTTGGATTAAAATTAAATTTGTTATTCATTTAAATAAATTTAAGCAAATGTTCTCTCTATATGCAAATATATGTCGGTGGGTGGTTCTCAGATTTGAGAGTTAATTCTTCTCTCTCTCTCTCTCTCTCTCTCTATATATATATATATATATATATATATATTGTTGGGTGGTTTTCAATTAGATTTTGAAAATAATATTTATAAAAATAAAATTTATATAGAAACTAATAAAAATAATTAAATGTGATAAATTTTTTAAATTTTCATTTCATCATGATTCAAAAATTAATTTAAATTAAATTTAAATATATAATAACTTATTCGAATCAAATAAAAATATATATATCCTTAATTGAATATTGCGATTTGATATTGATTTCAATTTTCTTGCTTTTTTTTTCCCCTCATTAGACCTACCTTTCACTTGTTATATATTTAGGGATATTTCATCTAGATGAGTATTACCTTACCGTTACATTGGAAAATTTTCCAATCGCATTCAGAAGAGCTAGTATTATTTTCTGCTAAAATGATTTTGGGTTAAATGCATATTTGACCCTTGAATTTTTAAATTTTGATCATATTAATATCTAAATAATTTTTTTGTCACATTAATATCTGAACTTTAATTCTGTAAGTCAATTTACTTCAAATTTTGAATCAATTTCTCATTTTATGAATTGATTCTAATGTTCCTACTTGACGGATCTTTAACCCACACTATAACTAATTTAAACTTCCAAGTTCAAAGACCCATCAATTGCCCTATACACAAAAACACTAATCAATTGCACTTTTTAAATCAATTACCCTAAACCCCTAATTTCAAATACCAATTGGCTGTCCTAAACATAAAACCCTCATTTGATTCCACTTTTTGAAACGATTACCTACATACCATACTCCAATCATACAAAACCCCCCATCAATTAAATTTTTTTTCAGAGAAAAAACTTTTTGAAAATTTTTTTTATCTCAGTTAAAAAATTAAGTTTTAATTTTTTTTTTTAGTTTTATGATTGATATCTAATATAAATTTTGAATGACGTGAAAAAAGAAATTGGGTTGAAGGCAGTAAAATTTTTGTTAACAACTTATTTTATTTGCTTGATCATTTAAAACACTACAATTTTTTTCTAACGGAATTAAATTTTGAGATAAACTGAGTTACGAAATTAAAGTTCAAAGTATCAATCTTATAAAAAAAATTTTAAGTATTAATATGACCAAATTTTGAAATTTCAGAGATAAAATATGTATTTAACCCCATGACCTTTAACTTACCCTGTAATTTCTGCATAGGGTTGTCACTAAATTGGGCACACACAAAACAGAGTAGGCTGTCTGTAATCATCAATGTTAACAAATGACAGCAATATATATATATATATATATATATATATATATTAGTATTATTTTGTTAAGTTCCTGAAAGAAATGCAACAAACAGTGAGGCTAAACAGGAAGAGGATTTTCCAGGTCACTCCGGCCCCAAGCTGACAAATTCTTCAAAGCTTACATCAATATGAACTTAACTCACAAGTTCAATTAAATTATTTAATTGATACTCAAGCTTGTTGAGCAAAACAGTCTTCCAACTTCAGTGGGTCTTGGATTTGGGTGGTGATGGAAGTAACTGCAACACAGCAGATTCTTGTCAACCTCCAAAGTTGTTAAATCCAACCAAAATTCTCATATAATTGGTGTCCTATTCTTGTCACCGACAACAGATGTAATACCCTTTTCCCTATATCTCAGCTAGGATTTGATAGCAGCTATAAAGGCTCCCTAGTAATTTATCCTTTTTATTATAAATATAAAGGCGGTTCTATTTTTCTTATAGCTAATAACATTTGAATTTCGTATCTAGCATGTCCTACTTCATAACTTGAGCTAATTCCGAAAGGGCAAGATTCATTACATGATTAACACCATATCTGTAAGTCATCTTCATCAATTTACATGCTAGCTTGTATAATTTCTCTACTTTTCCATTAACCTTTTAACTCTTCCTCGACAAAACTAGTGATTCCTCATATATACATACATTCACTGCTAACATCCAACTGTCCGGTGAGCAAAAAAAAAAAAGATGCCCCATTTAAGACTAAAAGCACGGAATTGAGTACCTGATAACAGGAAATGAGAGACGAAGCAAATCCAAAGGCTCCTGTTACACGAGGTGTGACTTTCTTAGGTGCCAATTGAAGAAGCCCAACTGCTACAACTATATCCATTCCTGCTTTAACAAGAGCTAGAGTCCTCCCATTTGATTTTTGGAGCTTGGTAAGGTATTCCTCATCCTGAGTTTATTGAAGCACAATAAAGTTGGCAAATACAGGAAGAAGTATCCTAGAAGGGGGAGGACTAATTATAAGGACACTTCAATAAAAAAAAACTTACTGCACATACCTTGTACTTATCACTATTCTTAAGATTCTTTTCCAACTTTTTCATTGATGCAGATAGCCTTTGAAGCTCCCCAAGCTGATAAAAAGATGGTACATTTCTTGAAAAAGTGGACATAGCTAATGAAACATTATAAGTAAAAAAAAGGTTGTAGGTAAAGACTCGTTCTCAAATTAATGAAGAGCAACAAACCTCAACCAAGGTGGAACAGATTGAGGAACCCATCCAACAGAAAAGGGATATTCGTCCAATCAGATCAGCTTGTTCTTTGTTCTGTAAATGGCTTTTTTCCAGTTCAAATTTGTAAACCAAGACAGACAAATTAAAAAGAATACCAAAATGAAGTGTATTGCATACCTTATAGATACCTGTTCTGCCAAGCCAGACAATTTGATCGAGAAATAAGAATGTTGACAACAGTGCATTTTTTGACTGAAACAAGTATTAAATTAACCAACAAAAGGGCATTAAATTAACTAAGTTAAAAGGGTAGAGAAATATCACAGAAATTGGAAGTTTATCACACCTTTCCCAGCAGAACAAGTGGTAGGGGAGTTCCTAGAGGAACTGGGCTAATAAGACCATGCAAATCATTGACAAACTGCAAATTCACAGTGAAACACAAGAATCAAGCTATAATGATAATATAAAAAAATTTGTGAGAATTAAAGTTTGATATCAGATGCCTTTTATAGGGTACCATGTATTTGTTTCATGTTATGAGAGATGAGTTCATTAACTTCCAATCTTTTAGAAACCAAAGAGAAAAAAAAAAAATTTTTCCAAGCATTAAGTACTATTTTTTTTTTTCGCCAATCCATTAAGTACTAATTCAGAAAGCACTTTTTTCACCCATAAAAGAAAGGATTATCTAATAAATTAATAAAGTTCCCAGGATCGTTCGTCCTTTTACAACATAAACCAACTGTGATTTTAGTATTTGAAATTGAGAGATAACCTTAAAAAGACGGAAAACTTTCCGAGCCAAGCTGGTTGATTTGTCAACGTTTTGGGCTGTTCCAGGTTGTCCGTTACTTAGGAATTTGGAGCCGTATTGTATAGCCCTGCATATCTTATCCCTTGCGTCAGCCTTATTCAAATACAAAACAATAAGAGCAAGTTCTGCTCTAGTCGCATCCAGTGTACTCATCTTTTATCCACAAGACACCTGAAAAGCCACGATAATTACATTTTCACATGAGATTATGGGTCAAATGTGAAAGCACCTATGAAAGCCAACATTATCAGCCAGTTCAAGCAAGCTACTAAAAAGGAAGAAGAGCTTCTACTTTCAAACAAATACAAAGTACCCATCAAAAACTTGAAGCCATCATCTGTGTGGGAGATCATTCACACATACATTCTTTATCAGTTCTTTTTTGGGGCAATGCTATAATGCTATATTTATAGAATAAAACTATGGGCATTTGTTATCGATGTGTGTTTCTGTGTCTGTGTGTGTATAACTCACCAAAACTATCTAATCATAAGATGCAAGCAGAGAGTATGTCGTTGCTTATACAACCAAGCTCTAATTAAATGGTATGAACATGCTCAACAAATTTGCAATTCCTAAATGGCACGAAAACTCTAACTAACAGCTTAAACGCAATCTAAAATATCCAAAAACAAATTAAAATTTTGTTTGAACTCGTTCACTGAACTCTTTAAAATATAAAGCACTCCAAAGCATCAAACTCTTCTAAAAAATTTACTATTGTCTGATGTCTCTGTGCTTGCATCAGAAAATATAAGGAAGCTTTTAGCTTGAACATAGAATATGTAAAATCATAATTAGCTGAGTCTAGTGCCTATGGTTTAGTTTAGTTTTAGAATTATTTCCATAGAATCCATATAATAACAAGATAGGCAGAATTTAATTTCCACTTCCCCGCTTTCTATCAACAAGCAGACCATATGGCAATGACCCCAAAAAAATGTATAAATTCACAAATGATTAAAATCATCAAAACCAGAATCACCCAGATTGAAAAAATCCTAAAAAACTAACAAATCAAACAAGACAATAAAGATCATATAAGCAAGAAATAACGAAAAACAAACATTTCATACAAGTATCAACTACAGCCATAAGAACAATAGCAGCAACATACAGTCAAAGAAAAAAGGAAAGCTTTTTCTTCTTTTTACAGTTCAAAACACATACGAATCAATCAAACAACTGGGTTTTAGGTGAATCCAATAAGTACCCACATATAAGGAATAGAAAACAGAGAAAGAGAAAGAGAATAATACCGAAGAAAGTGCCCGATGTTTTGGCCTCGAAATCCACAAATCTTTTTTTTTTTGACCTTTCTTTAATATAAAATCGTTCTTTGTTTTAGGGGAAAGGCAGAGTAGAGTTTCTGGGTCTCAGACTTGGGCTCTCTCCAGCGTCAGCTCGATGTGCCGTTTTTTCATTTCTCTGTCTCTATATCTGATAAAGGCTTGTTCGGTCCAATCCTTTCCAAAATAGACAACGTGCTATGAATTTTTTTGGATTTGTTACCAAAATTAAAAAAGTTACTAAATAGATTTCTAAACTCCCAAATTGCGTATCAATTTGATTCAAAAGGTAACTTCGTTGTCAAGTTACCGATTTGGCTATTTTAATCGATTAAAAACCTCTATTTAGATATAAAATGACATGTTAATTTAAATTACTATTTACATATAATGTTTATGTTATCATATATTAATAAATTTAAAAAAATTAATTTCAATTTTTTTTTAAAAAGTTTTTTTTATCATTTTTGCTTGTCCCTTTCTCTCTCAAATGTAAAATCTTATAATTTGACAATTGAATAATACAACCATTGGATTTATTCATTTTCTAAAGATCGATGGCTAGCTACAGTTGTCAACCAATTTTCGTTGACATCCAAATTTCATCATGATCTTCCTCTTGATCTCTTCATCTCGAATTTAGACTTAAATTTTCACAAATCGACTTTTAATATTTTAGATCTAGAGTTAAATTTGTAATCTTTCAAACTCTTTTTCTTTTTTTTTAAAATAGGTTTTCAAAGAATTCTTTAAGAATTCAAGATCAAATTTTGAAAATTACAGCTTTCGCTACTATTTTTGCCACTGAGTTTGCTACTAACATAAAATTTTTCTTAAGAACAAGACACAAATCTTACAATCTTAACTTAAAATTCTAATACTGAAACCTTACTCTTTTTCCTTTTTCTTATGCTTTTGATTTTATGTGATTATGGGTGTCGATTGTGGTTGTTTTTTGTTGGGATTGGATATGGTGTGTTGGATTTTTTTGTTATGTGCAAAATTTAGGTTTAAGATACTAAATTGTTTGTGAGTGTTGTCGGGTTGATAAGATTTTTGAATTTTGATTAATGAGTTACTTGAGTTTTTTTTTTTTTGTATTTGTTAGTGACTTTTTATTTTTGTTTGCGAATGATTTTGGCTTAGAGCTACTAATTTAGCTTATGGGTTTTTACTCGAATACTTCTTATGTTTGTGTTGAGACTTGCTTTGGGTTGATTTGATTTCTGAATTTGGATTTTACTTTTTATGTTGTTGAGGCTATGGCTTTTGCTTGGTTTTTTCGATATTTTGATGTTAAAAGGTTTTTTATTTATTGATTGATTGAAAATTTTTGATTTGTTTTTTTGAATTCTTTTATTAAGAAATCGAGTTTTTGATTTTGGAAAGGAATATGATAAAGAAAATATTTTAAAAAATTTCAAAAAATTTTAAAATATTTGTAATTTTTAAAAAAATTTTCTTTAAATGTTGACATGATATTGAAAATATAACATTAATTATATTTTTTAATACATGTTAAAAATATTTATGTTATATCAATATTTAAAATTAATAATGTTAACGATCGAAACAAATTAACATATAAAAATATAATTTAAATATATAATTATCACATTAAAAAAATATAGTAGTTCAAAGCCAAATATGATATTATCTCTTTCCAAAACAATCAAATAAAAAGAGAAAACGACAGGAATTTTCTTCAAAATTTTGAGCTTTTGTTAACCGTTTTATTATGATACCTCGGGACCCATTGTTATAATCCGGGATTCTTGACCGTCGGCTGAGACATTCTGACAGCTGTGATGGTGTGAGTGATGGATACCTTAGAAAAAACTTAAACTTGACCGAGATTTCGGCAAATCGGTTGCGTAGCACGCATCTCAACTCTCAAGCATGCTAAATAAGACAGCTGCTCCGAGTCAGTGCCTGTGTTATGGCCTTATCCACATCCTAGATAGTTGAAATCGTTGTCTTTGCTCCGGGGGTCCAAATGCTTGTTTGAGTAGACAAGCAATCCTATTCAAACATGTAACTTTGAAAAATTGATTCGTCATTCTTTATGTAATCGATATTCTGGTAAACATCACTTTACTTCTATTCAATTGAAAATCATTTTTCAGTCGGTTTTCACGTAGCATTTAAGGGTGATTTATGGAAACAATTGGAGATGGTTTTTTTTTTTTTCAATTCGTTTGGAAAAGAAGTAAAAGTGAAGGGTTATAAAAAAAAAAAGAAGGTTGTAGAGTAGTAGTTATGGGGTTGCTGTTATCTCCCAAAAAATGCAGGTGGGTTTTGCACTGGCATACCATGTTGAAGCACATTCATTTGATGGCTTTGATTCTGACAGATGCATACACCCAAACTCCCTAAGTGGTGGGGTTTGGAACTTTCAGGTGCTTTAACTGCTCCTTATAATAAACCATATCTTCAATTACGTTTATGCTACTCTTTCAATCCTCAAAGTTTTTGCCCTTTCTCTTAGGACCATTTGTAGACAGGGCTGCTGTCTAATAGAAAATTTTCCAGCATTAAATGTTCAACAGAGTAATAGGAACACCGATTTCCTGCAGAAATCCCCTACGGCCTCAAGCATGTTTAACTAAACTGGGGAAAATCGTAGTCATATGATCCCCAAAGCAAAAAAGAAAGCGAAATTTAAAACTACAAAGATCCGAGAGATAGATGAAACATAAACACGGGGGAATCTTATAGTTATCTTGGAATAAATTTTAAAACATTGATTGATAAATTTTAAAACATTGATTGATAGCGCTAGGAGAGCTTAAGCACATGGGTTTCATACAGACAATGAAACATAGGTCATATGTAAGGAAGAGCTAGGAAAAAAGGAGGGAGTTTCATTTATTCTCTCACTTCCGGCTGAACAAACTTCTAAGCTTTCCTCTTTCCAACTTCTCTAGTAGCTTCTTGGCACCAGGGATGTCCATCTCTGAAAGCTTCTTGAGATACCCAATTGCTCCATATGAGATCATAAGCTTCTTGCATTTCTTACTTGACGAGAGAGATGAGAGGCAGGAAACTGCATACTTCTTTGCAGTATTTTGGGGGCTTGGATCAAGCAACTGGACCAGATTTGGCACACTTTTGTCATCCTTTTTGACTTCTCTGCAATTTTGAGACACAGCTACCAAGCTTGAAAGGGCTTGAGCAGCTACCTCTCTAGCACTGTTTGATTTAGCCTCAAGCATTCTAATAAGAAGAGCAATGCACCCAGCTTCACCAACCAGTTTTTTCATTTCACTCGAACTGCTAACTCGACAGATAGCTGATGCGGCATGTTGTTGTGCACCCAGCGATCCAGATTTAAGCACATGAAATAATCGAGGGAGGAAACCAAGTGACACCAGAACTTCCATAGAAACTGAGCCAACCAAATTCCTCAAGGCTCCAACTGCAGATTCTTGGGGCAAAGGACCATCAAGGTATACCAATAGACTTCGAATTCCACCTTCTGAGATAACGGACCTTCTAAGATTCTCATTGCTGGCTGTGAGATTCTGCAAGCACTCTGCAGCATATTCTTTGGAACCCAACAGAATTCCACAATCAAGGAGATTGATCATGACCTTTATTATTCCTTCCTCTGCTAGTATTTGTCGAACCTCAGGAACAGCTGATATATTTTTTAATGTACTAGCAGCTGCAGCCTGTGAAACAGAGTCTCCAATCTGGCAGATTTCAATTAGTGGTCGAACCCCACCATGTCCGACAAGTGCTCGGGCTGTTTCTACAGTCATTGATAATCTCTGCAGTGAAATCGTTGCCTTCTCTTTACCAACTGTGCTGCCAGATTCAACAAGCCTTATGAGAGGTGGCAAAACACCTTCTGAAACAAGCCAGCTCTCACAATTCCCAGATTCTGCAAGTGAGCAGATTACAGTCACAGTCTTCTCTCGGATACGAGGAGAGGTCGCTGTCAACAACTGGACTAAAGCAGCAATGTTACTCCGTCCCATAACAGACAATACACTCTTTTCATCCTCCTTCATGACCTCAACTAGGTTGTCAAGAGCTTTGTGCTTTGCTTCCAAGTGCCCAATCTGAAGCCGTGCAAGCAATTCCTTTAGATGGCCATGTGTTGCAGTCTCTGATTCTGATGAAGAGCCAACAACAGATAAAGGCAAAGTCGCTTCACCAAGTACACCGGTCTTGATCAGTAGTCCACAATCCCGTAAATTCAGATCCAATTTCCCTGATAATCCATCGAGATCACTTTGCATCTTAAGCTTCCCCTCATACTTCTCCTTTAGACATAAATCTGCCAGTTCAACTGCTTCCTTCAATGTCTTTGACACAGCCTGCAATTGCTCCTTACAAAGAGCATTTTTGGAAAAGAAAGGATGGCTCGACAAGTCTGATAAGCATGAAGGGATCTGCTCCAATTTGGAAATTATCATCTTCCACCTACCAGGGAACCCCTTCACCTCCCTTGCCTTATCAAGTGCCATGGGAACAAGCTCTTGTGCATGCCATAACCATTCCTCAGCGGACCGAGTATCAACCAAAACCCCATTTTCAGTACCTTCTCCCATGATTCAGATACGAATTTTGATCAAAATGATCACTAGAGCTGTATCAAGTGAAATTCATGGAAACCCAAACCTTGAGCAATGAGCCAGATGAGAAAAAAGGATAATTAATAAGGAAGAAATGATATTTTGATAGAAAATAGAAAGGCAGTGGAGCAGTTGCAATCATCAAACATTTAAATTATAAATTAATAATACAATTAAATAAATCAAAAATAAAAAAACATAGTCCAGCACCGAAGAGTTTCGAGAATCTTGTGCGATCACACAAAGCTTGTTTACTGAAAACAAGAACCGACCAACAAAATTGAGGTGCCTAAAAGACGCCCACACGAGTTCCTTCTTTCCTTTGCTTTATGAAGTGATCATTAAATGCCAACAAAAAATTTATGATCTTAAAAAAACATGTTATCATCCACATATTTTAAAAACCTTTAAAATATAGTTGATGAAAATGAAAGAAGCTGCTTTTTAACTACTAAAAATTGGCAGTCTAATCAAGAAGCCGTCAATGAATATTTCACTAAAGTACCAGAATACCCTTTGGCAAACCAAGTGAAATAATAGCACTGTGCAGGACCGTAATTTGAGGGGTATATTGGTAAGTAAATGTAAAAATGATAAAGATCAAAACCAACTATACTTTTAACCATGAAAATCTTGGTATCAGATTTTGGTAGATATCTTTGATATCTTGACTTGTCCTAAAGCCAAAGTCAGGAATTTTCCTAGCAGTGAAAGCAAAAATTGGATTCTTAGCTGCATTACCAATTTTAACCCCATAAATAGAGTTAGCTGGTAATGGTATGACTTATGAGCCATGGAAGAAACTTCCCTTTGAAGAGAAGATACGTCATAGGAGTCCCTCTCCAAAGTTGTGTATGTCGAGTGCATTTAAATTCTCCAAGGTGGAGCAACCCCACTAACAACATATATTTAAGAAAATTCAAAGCAATAAATCCTAAAAGAACAATACCTCCAATTGCTTTGACTTTCCTTGAAATTCACAGCACTCTACCATTGACAGCCACCAAGTAGTCCCCACTGTTGTTCTGTGTAAGGCTAAGAGCACAAGAAAAGAACATTAAGAAAACATTCCAGTCCAATTACAACGATCAATTTCTGAGATAGGAGAGCCAAAGATGAAAGAAAGATGAATAATTGCATCAGAAAAAAAGAGAAAAAGAACAAAAATAAAAACCACTTTTTTTTATCTTTTATCAGGGTAGGGTTCAAAGAAAGCAACCTAAAACAACTTCAAGGAACATTGGACTAACCTTTAAGACTCAGGTACTCCAAAACTTGTCCATTTTTCTCCAGCAAGCAACCCACTGTAGCTTAAGCCTCAAACTTCTCTTTTCTCTTTCTCTCTTAATTCCAACCCAGATAATGCTTTTCCAAGAATCAGCAACAAACCACAGCTTTCAAAAAGAAAAAAAAAAAACTCTTTCTTTACTCTAAATTGGAAACCTGCAGTGCAGTGATACTTCCAAAATCAACAATGAGGTTTGAAATACCCAGAACCCATTTTTTGTTTATTAATCAAAGGCCTTAAATTATGAAGACAAACACCAGCTCAAGTTTGAAAACCCAAAAAAAAAAAATGAAAGACTCAGTTTTTCTAAAGTATTCAAGCTTTTAACAACAGCAGAACCAAACAAAGAAAAAATAAATACACTATAGCAACGATCACAATCAGATTCAAAAATCAAACCTTCTTCAGATCTCTCTCTCTCTCTTTATAACATATAATAGAAGTGTTGTGTCAGAGTTTTCAGAATCTGGTTCTTCTCTCTAAAAAAAAACGCAAGTATTCTTTTTTTAACTCTTTGCCAGTTGTGACTGGGGTTTCGAAAGAGAGAAAGACAAGCCAGACAGAAGTGTTTAAATGTCGAGCAACTTTGGGGATTGTACGGTTGTGATTCTGGTTTAGGACAGACGATTCGACCGTTGGGATTGGAAGAAATTTTGAATATGGTTTTCCTTTTCCGAAATTTTTTACGTTACGACAAGGAGTTTTATGCCACGTGTGATGAGGGGACGGTTAAGACTTTTTATGAAAAAAGTAGCCTATGGTTGATATTGGTGTCACGTGTTAGAAGACAGCTTTTGTGGAAGAGTTGGGGGTTCGTGTTTCTAAATGCACTTGGTTTTTGGATAAAATTTCGATGGTACCATTTCACTTTTGTTGCAATAACGATTAGTTAACCTCTGATTTTTTTATCATTAAATAAATTAATTTAATGGGGTATTTTAATTTAAAAATTTTTAAAATAATATTTAATTATAATTTTATTAATTAATATGATTATTTAACTTAATTAATTTTAAAAAATAATACGTGATGAATAAATATTTTTTAAAATATTATATTAATTAAAAAATTTTAAAATTTATATATTATATTAAAAAATTTTAAAATTTAAATATTATATTAAATATTTCATTATATTTTATAAGTTAGGATGTTAATTTTTTTATTTAAAAATTTTGAAATTTAATTTTTTAAAAATTATGCTATTATATAGTAATTATTGATTTAAAAGTTAAAATACTTTTTTATATCAAAATTATTGTAATTTAAAAATAAAAATAATTATAAATGTTAAAATTTGACCTAATAAAATTGAGTAATAAAAATAACTTTTAAATTATTTTTTTAATCTAAAAATGTTTGATGGGTTGATAATTGAAATAGTTGGGGTTTTTTTTTTTGTTTTATATTTTTGTTATTGATAGAGACTCAAATTTTGAATAAGACGATGAAAGAGTGGAAATAACGTGTATTGGGATCTTCAAATCATCTCCAAGTTTTAATAATATTCTTTTAAGGGGTTTTGAATAATATTTTTAAATCTCATTATGTATAAAATAATATTTTTTATATATGCAAAATGATTAAATTTTTAAATTGACACGTGAATGTGTTTAAACTTTGCACGATGGATGAAAATGCCAAAGGCGCCGAGACTCTGTGAATCAAGTTTTGTAATCTACACTGCATAAATAAAATGCATTACTTATTATATTAAATATCTAATAAATACAAAAATTATTATATTATAATTTACAATAAATATAATAAATATAAATATATTTTTATATAAATTATATTAAATTTTTAAATTATATTATTTTTATATTTTTATAATTTTATGCTATATTATTATGTCATGATTAAATTTGTTAGATTTATTAAAAAACTTTGTGTAGCCTACCTCGGATGCTTAAAAGTGAAAATGTGCGTTTTAGGCATAAAAGAAATCAACGCAACACTGTCAAATCAAAAACACACAAACCTTTTTGTAAATAAAAATTAATATGAAAAAAAACAAAAGTAGTAGCAAGAAATGAGAAGCAAAACGAGGCTGTCAAGACGCGTGGGGATAGTAGCGTCGGCGTGGCCACTCTGTGACGCTGTCGTTTGTCGGTTACGCTAAGCTATTTACCTTTTCGGTTTTTCTCATTGCAATTTTTTTTTTCTATTTTCCAATTTTATAGAGGCCCACTTCTGCTTTTGTCATTTTGTATGTTGTACACCAACCCCGCACTATCTAAAGAAAAAAAATGACATTTAAATTATAATAAAATATTTAATATAATATTTAAATTATAAATAAATAAATTAATATAATATATAAAAAATAATGATATGTCATGTATTATTATTTAAAATTAATATTATAGTAATTAATAAATTTAATATTTAAATTATTATATTATAATTTTTTAGAATTTAAATATGATTTAAATATTTTATTATATTTTAAAAATCATTAATGATATTAAAAAAAAAACCCTGTATACTTCCGTTCCCATTGAAATTTGTACTTTGGTTTACATTAAGGACATAGAATTGATGCCTTACCAAGAGTCAAAAGATGTTCAAATATTGTCATTAAACCGACAAAGACCATAGGGAACTATGGAACTGTTGAAGTAAACGCTGAGCCACCTGTTACCAAACAATTTTGTCTTGTAATATTAATAGAGAAGGAAAATAGAATAGCCTATAGGACTAGCAGGACGGACGTCAAATTGCACGGTCCTTTAAACTGAAAGCATACCAACTAGATCATGAACCGACAAAATCTCATGAATCAGTCTAGAAGACGATGCCTTGAGTGAGTGAGTCCCGTGTGCTTTGAATCAAGATATACACGTAAAACCAGGCCCTAATATCTTCAACCTCTCAATTTTCTTTTATGGGCACATGTCCCAAATTTCAGAAAAAAATTAATGGTTCTCAATTTTCATTGAGGGATATCACATATTCCACAGCATGTTTAAATTGGTGTGTGTGTGTGTCTATATATATATATATATATATATATATATATATATATATATATGCTGTTTTCGAATAGCTTATCTAGCAGCAGCAGTGAAGGAACCTAGGCACATTCTGAAATGTTCAAATTCTGTTTGCAAGATGCCATTGGTTTTGACAAAAAATGTTGAGCAAAATCCAATCAATCATATGGAAAACTGCACAAGAAGAGGGTGCTCCACAAATCCATGATGGCAGCTTTTTGCTTTTCTATAAAAGATTTATGAAACAATAATGCTATAATAATTCCTTTTTCTTTGGATTAGTAACTAATAATTAATGCTACAATCATCATCTTCCAACTTCAAATTTGCAGCTTCGTAAAGGCGCACATTGAACTTTGGCTGGCGAGATTAGGATTAACGATGACAGTAAGCAGTCTCCGAGCATTTCGTTTGGGAAGCTGATTTTGATAGAAATTAAACTCTGCTCAGCACCAAATATTGCTTGCTCTAATCTAGGAGTATCTTATTCCATAACGGAACAAGAATTCTACCTATTATATGTGAAACCTGTCATGGAAAAGTTAAGACACCATACATCTTCCCACGATGTCATTAAGGATTGAAAGAACCATAGGCTCTCCAACTCATCTTTAGGTTGGATTTCTATATCAGTTTCATTATAGCACCTTTGTTTGGTTTATTTTATCAAGCTCTTTGACATGATAAACTTTGTTTTATTTTAGAGAACTACTTATCAATTCTTGTACTAATTAGTTCATCAGCTTTCTTCAATTTATTGACAATTTGACATCCAATGTAATCGAGACTTGAGAGGGTAAATCGTCATAAAATGAAATAATTAAAATATTAAAAATCAATCGATAAAATTTAAATATTAAAATATTTAAATTCAATTTAATTTATTATTCAAGTAATTCGAGTCTAAATTTAACTTAATAATTAATAAATCAAATTCATTTTTTACCAATCAAAATCAAGTAACTCACTAAAAGCTTTACTTGCATAATTTTTACCTTGTACCAAGAGTAAAAATAAAAAATAAAAAAATTCCTCACTTTGAATCTCACCTTCTTGAAAAAAACAAAAAATCATATATTAATCAACACACAATTCAATCATTAAACAGAAGATTTCGATAAACACATTCAATGAAATAGTGTATATATGTTTGCTTTCAAATTCTTCAAAATTGACGTTCACTTTCAGGAAATGAAATGGTTTTATGGTTCCATCATAATAATAATCTCTTCATCCTTCCGCCTACAAAGAAATATCTACTAGATAACAACAAACCGTATACGACGTTCACTCCAATTGCGATTGACAACTGCAATTATTTTTTTAAGTTATCAAGCCGTTTTCCTTAGCTAGAGGGTTAACCGTGATGAAGATTGACAGAGCCATGTATGTTTGTGAAATAACCTTGACACCAAAGCCCAAGCGGCAGAGAGAACACAACACTGATCTCTTAATTTGTCCTTTATGTTGTTTGTTCGATGTTGATCCTTTGCTTCACATTGTTTCTCCTTTGCTAGCCTAGCCTATAGCCCAGCAGAGATTATACCATGCATTGTACAAAATTTACTACTGCCCTTAGAACTTAGGTAATCATTACAGTCGTGCAATTGTTAATCAGTAAAGTCTGGCATTCATTACACTCAATAATATGAATGTTATCGAGCCCACATCCATACGGGACCACTCAACTTCTTCCCTTCACTCAGGTGTACCAAAGACCGGAAATAAGAGGAAATTTACCGTAGGAATGTGATTTATTAGAAGAGTCTTAGATTTTTAATTTTAATAATCAGAATTTAAATTTTAATAATATTAAATTAAAAAATTCCTTATGAAAAACTCCAAATTAATAAATAATACTGTTGCAGCAACTCGGATTAATAATATAGTAATTAACTAACGAGTTGTGTTCACTGATGATAGCATACAAAATTGTACTATATTATCCGTGGTAGCTAGATCTATATTCATTAATGCATCAAATTAGAAAATCGTTCTTTCACTTTCATCAAATAGCGCTTTTAATAGGAAATGAGAATAAGGATGGGAAAGAACACTGAGCCTTCTTAGCTATATCTGACTTTGAGTGATCATATGCATAACATTGAGCAATATGAGCTTGAATCAAAGCCACGTGACTAAGCTTCACTTTCCTAAAACACCAGGAAATGGGTATTGGCCAAAACGCTCACGTGACCTTATATGCATATATATATATGTGTGTGACTTCAGATACAGCATGAACCAAATCTTTCTGTTTGTTCCTGCAAACAAAGACCCATATTCAACATGTGTACTTTATCATTTTGAATATAATCACATGACCATTATTAGCCATACTCTGTAAAAACATGCATAGAGAAGTTTCAGCGCAAAATTGATTTATTACAAGGGATCAGTCGCTTATGATTGGTTTATGGACTAGCTACAAAGTATCAAGGGTACAGTGTCTTATGTGACTTCAGATACAGCATAAACCAAATCTTTCTGTTTGTTCCTGCAAACAAAGACCCATATTCAACATGTGTACTTTATCATTTTGAATATAATCACATGACCATTATTAGCCATACTCTGTAAAAACATGCATAGAGAAGTTTCAGCGCAAAATTGATTTATTACAAGGGATCAGTCGCTTATGATTGGTTTATGGACTAGCTACAAAGTATCAAGGGTACAGTGTCTTATTACGGTAAACTGTAACCTCTCTCTTTGTCCAGGTATAGTCTAATACAATGCAAGGCTTCAAGGAACTTATCTTCTATATCACTCAAAACAACAGCAAGCTTTAATTATGGGTAAGCTTCTAATGTTTTTTTTTTTTTGGAAAGCTTAATGCTTCTTTTTTTTAACAAAAAGTTTTGATGAGAAACAATTATTCTATTTTAGATGTATAGTAGGTTTCAACAGAAAATTTATAAATTTACATATCATCTAGCAAGAAGATTATTGATACGAGAATCGAACATAAATTCTATAAGTATTCAATCTTTATTAACTCCAATTAAACCCGTTAGGGATTCATACTATGCAGCATCTGACATGCTACGTAATTAAAATTAACAAACTGCTTCTTAAGCCCTTAATTGTCTCTATTGCAGGTGGACCCAGTAAAAGTTGGAGGAACCACCACAGAAGAAGAAACCTTGAACCTCTTGCTCCTTGAACCATGATCATGATCAGTAGCATTGATTCTAGGACTAATCTCTGGGCTATCGATCCACCCCATCATTTCATCAGCAAATCCTTGATCACCAAAACTCACTTCTCCAATATCTGAGCCATCTGAATCCAACCCATGTTGCCGAAGCCCAATCCATTCATTGCTACAATCTGAAACGCTGGAGCTGTCCCAATTAGAAAAGGAGGGTGGCTCATCGGCCACATAGGGCACAATGATGCTTGGTTGCACCACTTTTTCAATATTCTTCATGTCAACTGGGTTCTGGTATTGGTAGTTTCTGAAGTGGAATATACTGGCAAAAGTGAAGTGGTCACTCACTCTACTTTTTGTCGACTTGTTTTCGGTTGTCCTAGCCATGATACTTTGTAGGTTCTTGCTCAATTTGGCCTTCAATGAAGAGAAACTAAGTCCATGCCGCCCATCAGATTGGGACATAAAACCTCCATTAGAAGGAGAAGAACCTGACTGTGTCAAACTATGATTAACCGATGCAAAATTGGTTCTAGCATTTTCCCCACGTAGAGCACGAGCTGCTTCATCATAAGCTCTAGCAGCTTCTTCAGGAGTATCATAAGTCCCTAGCCACAGTCTCACACGTTGAGATGAGTCCTTGATTTCTGCCACCCATCTTCCCGAGGGTCTTTGCCTGACTCCAACAAACCTTCGAACCATTGGTTTGGTTGGTTGAGGCATGGTGTTGTTGATGGTGTTGTTGACAGCTGTTGTCTTGGCTGTTTCAGATCCTGCCATTAGCACCAAAAGTTGCAAGTAGAATTATAGCACAACGAATTGTTTAGCTGAGAAATTAGCCTTCTTTGATTCAGTGAAGACTAGTTAATTAATTGCATGTAGCATGGATTGTAGTAACCTGCTGCAATATATATAAGCTGGCTCCAAAGTAATGATGTCAGTGTTAGGTATATACCCATCTCTATTATCAGCTTCTTCTTTCCGTATTGCATTTTTTTAATCTCTAATTGTCTTCCGGACGTGCTTGCAAATTGCCTTCGGCTTCGGTTATAAAGATGCCCAAAGGCCAAAGCTCAACTTGCCAAAATTCCATTCACGGAAAAATCTATTTATTAATTATTTAACTTGTCTAAATTTCATCGATGTTGAAGTATTAAATTTTGATTATTAAAATTAAAATTTTAATATTTTATTAATGGATTGAATAGTTATTAACAAAAATCTATTTATTTGTAGTATAATTGATGAAATTTAACTTCTATTAGGGGTAAGCAAAAGTCGGTTTGAACTGACTAAACCGACTAAAATCGAGTGAATTCGGTTGAATCGGTTCGGTTTATTAAGTTTTAATTATAATCGATTTTTTAAATCGGTTAAATTGGTTAATTCGGTCGGTTTTCGATTTTTAAAATTGATAATCATACTGATCAAATTAATCGACTTTTTAATAATTAAAAAAATTTTGAGATAAATATTTTTATTTATATTTTTTTTGGTAAAATATTGTTGAAATTATTAAATTCTTTAGTAATTTAGTTTGAATGATACTAGAGTTTGAATTTTATTGAATTGAATTTATGGTTAAATAATTATTCATAATAGAAAGAAAAATGATAAAAAAATCGATTATTTAATCGAACCGAACCGATTTTGATCGGTTCGATTATGATCGATTATTTAATAATATTTGATTGATTCAGTTATTTGTTAAATGAAAGTTGATTAAGTCGGTTATTGATTTTTTCAAACCGAACCGATCGAATTGACCATTTACTCACCTCTAACTTCTACTTAATATTAATAAATTTATAAGTTTTAACGTTTATATTAATAAAAAATAATCATAATTTTTCCAATAATGGCATGAATTATTAGTAGAGCATTGAATTTTTATTTTTAATGATTAAAATTCAAATCTCGATAATTTTAAATTTATAAAAATTAATCATAAGTTATTGAAAATCTAAATAGAATCATGTAAAATATACGTCTATTTACTTGATTTTTGTGAGATTAAATAATATAAGTTACAAATCATGTAAATTAAATTAATATTTATAAGCCGTGCATGAACAGAATTAAAAGCTGAAGAAAAACGGCTTAATAGAAAAATTACGAAGGGAAGGGGACAAGAAAAGGGGCGGTCGGAATTTGGAAGCATGTAAATGAAGAACGGATGATTAGGAACGTTGGATACTCAATATTAAAATCCGGCGGGAAAGTTTAGTTTAACTAATAGTGACGTGGAGGTTAACCGTTGGTGTTTAGCACTTGTACATAGAATGATTCGTGGGACTCCCTTAGCTCCGTACCGTGTCCTTCGTGTTGGTTGTATTTTCCTACCCGAATTGCCCCACCTCCCACGGCTTAATTACAACAAAATTATGACCTTTAATCATTAATTAAATCAATAATCTTCGTCTTCATTAGCCATTGGATTAAGACTGTTGTCATCAAATGCGGCCTTAGATTCCCCTAAACTCCTTTCCTCGAAGGAAGTAACCAAATTTGTCCATTAGCCCGTGGATTTTGCACATCGGAAACATGTGGAATGACACGTGACATGTTCCACGTGTGCCTCTCTTCACCTGAGGCCAATGGGCTTTGATAATTTCTCTAATTTAATTATAAACTTTGGATGTTGACAATTATAATTCTAATAAAACCCTTTTCTTAATTGTTGTTTAACTATTATAATTCATGGAATCCGAAGTTGAAAATGTTTATATTAAGGCATTCTTAATCTTAAACTACTATTAGAGAAAACATGTTTCTTTTTTTTTTTATCGTTGGTTAGCAAATTAAACTTCAAATACCTTTCCGATGAAATCAATACATGATCTCCTCCCATTAATTAAAACGAAGAAACATAGTCAAAGCAAACTTATTCTAATCAGATGTATCATAATTAAATAATTGTTGATACAACAAATCAATACGGTTGATGTAAGGGTTGTTGGAATGCATTTGTTACGAAGTACTATATGTTTTAAGATTCGAAAACATGATTTCATAATTTTATTTAAAAAAAAATCTATATTGATAAATGAAGAATAACCCTTATAGTTATAGTTCAGTCTTTACCTATTAAATGTGAGATCCAGTAATACTATAACATATATATCTATATAATATTTATTTATTTATTCATTCATTGATGGACTATGCCTTTTTTTTTAATCAATTGGAATTTTGCATATTCTATTTGCCTATGGTTTAAATAGAAAGGAACGTTGGAAACTGCTTCCAGTCCAAGATTTAGTCTTCATTTGGATTTAATCATACTTTCGATGCGGTATAATTAAACTCATCTCATTATTAGTTGAATCAAATACTAATTTTAATGAGATTAAATTAACATAAAATTTTTATTAATTTTTTTTAATTACAATTATAGTAATTTTTTTTTCAATTACATATACAATAACTTTAATTGTTATTTTCAATATCGTTATAACCAATCTTATTATCCATCTAAATTGAGCTTTAGTGAAGTTTTTGTTAAGAACACCTGCTTCAATTGTAACGAAAATGTTAAATAGAATAATTCAGTTATTGTCTTTTCTTCATTTCTTACTTAAGTAAAGAAACAAAACACAGATGGTGACAATGAAACCTGAATCATAATTTGAAGAGAAGAAACCTGGTGATTATTATTGGAAGTTTTTGATATTGGTTTAGTTTCTTTTTCTTTTCTCAATTAAAAAAAAAAAAGGTCTAAAAAAGTATATACGAAATTGTAATGGGTGTTTTATTTCTTTTTCTTTATCGGATGCAAGATTTCTTTACTAAAAAAAGAAAAAGAAAAGAATGGGTGGGTTGCATTTGGGGGATAAAAAAAAATCTAACCCATATTTAATCTGAATATCTGATCAGGTAAGATTTGAAATATGTTTTAATATTTTATATATTTAAAATTATAAGAATTTAATTTTTAATCATTAAAAATATTTTACCAGCACACTTCATGATTGTTTGTAAAATATGAGTTAATTTAACTTGGCATTTATATATTGATCAATTTCTTTAATTTCTTATCTTCTTTTAAGCAATTTGTATATTTTGTTTAGGTTTCTAGTTGAAAATGGAACCATTTTAATTTCCATTTTCTTTATCCAAATATATTGTACTAAATAAAATGTAGTGGTAATTGGATTTGAAAGTGGATATGATTTGACATATTAAGTGTGACACTAATTTGACGAATCTAGTCATAAATCTCAGATGTTTCTAAAATGGCCATTGTAATCTCTTCAAAAATAAAAACAAAAAAAAAAGGCTATTCTGATTGTAAAACAGGTTGGAGGAAATACCGCAGGCAAGCTGCTGGTAGGCCGATCCAATGCCTTCCCAATCATCAGAGGAAGAGCGCAGCCACAGAAGCCACTTGGGCCTGGTAGGTTTGCAATGGTCGAGAATGGTCTTGGGTCTTGTTGTGAGGAAGAGAATGGCCATGGGTCTTGGAAACAGTTGTTTTCAGCTCATCCTTCTCAACCCTATGAGAATCCGTTTCCGTCCTGCGTGCAAGGAATTTAATAGCAAGGGTTTTCATGTTAAAGATTATGTGGTTTTAGAGCACATGCAGTTAAGGGTCAAGAATAAAATGAACATTATCCTCTCAAATTTGTTATAATTTTGACAAAAAAAAAAAAAAATCCTGATTTTGCTACCTCAGATCAAAAAAAAAAAAAAGAAAAGAAATGAGAATTATTTCAATCAGAGATCATTATGTGCTTGATGAACCCTTTCTTGCTTACGAGGAGCTAATGCATATCTTTGCTCTTTGACCAGGCAGACCATTCTCTTTGCTTAATCAGTTTCAAGTTTCTGCTTGTCCTGCATTCATTTCAGAATTTCTAGAAGCAGAATCAGGCTGAGCTTGGTTTATTTGATTTCCTATGGAACGTTCAGGGCCTGGTAGAAACCACTGTCGAGAATGATCAGTTAAAGTCTCAGGACTATCCATAGATTGAGTTATCCTGAATGTTGCTGGTCTCATATATTTTGCTTCAGAAGAGTCCTGCAATGGTAAACGGCAGAATGGACATGTGGATTGCTTTCTTAGCCATACGTCGATGCAAGAAAGGTGAAAGTAGTGGCCGCATTTAGGCATGATTCTTAGAACTTCTTTCTCTTGGTACTCACCCAAACATATGGAGCATCTGCGCAGAAGGAAAAGTAGTCAACCTTATTGTCATCTATCTTCAATTTTAATGCGAAAACTCTATTCCCCACGTAAAAGGTTTCCTCAACCACTTGGGGAATGGGACTTTTGGCCATCATTGACAAATGGAATGAAGTTTCCACTTATAAAAGAGACTGAATGCCTGAACTTACTGTGCATCTTCTGTAGAGCTGAACGCCTCACTGTTGAACCTCAAGGTGGGTATTGCAGCAACTACAATAGGTTCAACGCCTCTAATCTGTTGCTCTGGCTGCCAACAAAAAAGAAATGGTGAAAACCCAAAGCTCAAAACTGAAACATCTATCTGATACTTTATCCCTCAACCCAAAAAAGAAACATCTAATCTGATAAATAAATAAATAAATAAATATATATATATATATATGCAAGGAGGAGGAGCCTTTTGGCTATATATGCAAGGAGTTCTGAATATATGAATGTTGTGAGGACAAGGAATCAAATCCAATTCAAGTCCACTGCTGGTTCTTTTCTGCATCAACTTTAAGAAATTGATTTTCAGTACCTATGCTCTACAATTTTAAGAAACTGCTGATCTGAATATAAACAGGCCACCTGACGTCACATACCATCTATACAAGAACTCAGAGGGGAACCAAAGAAAGAGAGGAAATTAATGAACAGAAAAGTTCTTTTTATCAGATAAAAAAATCAGTTCAGAGAATGAAATGTACCTGTTCAAGATCAATCCTGGACTCAGTCCGAAACATTTCCCTTGACAGGGCCCCTCTAATCCTCCCACAAATTATTCTTGTGCAAACAAACACAATAAAAGTGGCACTCATTCCAAAACCAATGACCGTTGTGATCAAATTCGTGCCTGAACTGAACATCTTTAACTGCCTGTTTCTTGAACCAACTCCAAAAACAAACCAATAGCGGCAATCACAAGACCAAAATAAGATGTAAAAACAAAGGAAACCAGAACAACACCCCCAAATTCCTATAGCTATAACAAGATAACATACAAAAGAGATTGTACGCAAACAAACTACTAAGGCCTAAAAGAAAAATAGAGAGGCAGAGAGGGAGCAATGAATACAAATAAAGAAAAAAAAATAACAAAGACCCAGATCAGAATTTTCCGAGAAACGGCATGTTTCAAAGCAAAACTAGGAAAAATGCCTGTTTCTAATCACAAAATAAACCTACCACATGGAGTTATATTGCCTTGGATGGAGTCAAGAGTTAATATTGAGGGGCCATGAATGGATAATGGGGATGACACTTGAGAGAAGAGAGTTGCGAAAGGAAGAAGACAGTTCGTTTCCTTCTTCTTTCATCTTTGGAACTGTATTCAAGGGGTCCAGTTTGTAGCCGTGGACCCTCCAAAGGATTTTAGTATATCGGACGGTTGACATAGAAGCAGGTAGTCAGTTTTCGCGGCAAAATTCCAAGAGAATCAATGGTAAAAAAAAAGTGGATATAAATCTTTATTGGATTCTTTTGCAAGGTGATATGTTTCAATTTCAAGGTAGAGAATCTCATTGTCTGCTGCTTTGCATCTCTTTTACATTTCCTTTATCTTACTTTGCTGCCTTTGGATAAGCCTAGTCTAAGGTCCAATGATTAGGATTTTTTATTTAGAGGGCATAGCTTAACGGTGTCGTCTATGCATTTCCACCTTCCAATGATGAACCAGGACTCAATAGAATTTGTCTAGAAAAGGATGGATTCTTTTTTACAGTATCTGGTTTAACAATTAACAGCTCAGAAGAAGAATACTTGGAACTCATCTGGGATTGTTCTTTGTTCTAAAAATACCATTTTTTAATCTGTGAATGTTGCTTTGCTTGCTAATGAGATTTTCTTTCTATAAACAAAGAACATCTGATTCGAAGATGTTTGCCTTGCTCAACACGCGCATTTTCTTCAATACATTGGTTCCACCAGACGTCCCAGTTTGCAATTATTTTCTCTATTTTCTTAAATCAAGTCTTAATCATTCAAGAATAATGATGATTAACATGCACGCTTAATGCACGAACATACCTGGCATATTTTTTTACTTTGAACTTCTTCCTTGGATTAAGTCCTTGATAGTATGATCAATAATTGACTTTCCCTTACACCAAAATTTTCTATATATCTGTGATTGATTTGAATTTTGGTCCTATAATTGGTTGTTTAAGTAGTGGACCTTGTGTTTCGCAACATCATTATCATCAAGCCACTTCTTTCTAGGCATAACATGTCTTGAAGAGTGATCATATTCAGCCTTAACATCATTTAATTTCAATCATAACAAAGCAGGATGATTCCCAATTTGGGAGGGTAATATAATGAAGTAGCACCGGCATAGAGCAAGATGAGTCCTTTGCTCGATGGGTATCGACCCAATATTAGCTCAACCAGAGTCATTGCTTTCTGGTGGCATGAGGAACTTTTATCCTTTGATTGGAGGGCTAATGGTTTCAAATAGGATCTAGCACCTTGGAAGCTCGTAGAAGTTGCCCAAATAAAGTTGAGGCCATATTTTCACGGCTGAAGCAGCAGCTGTGTGCTTTATAGCAGAAATGCAAGAGAGAGGCAGACAAAGCTAATCACTGTTAAGTTGTGGACTTTTGCCGTATTGTGAGCTAACCTCAAAGTTTAGAACTTGTCATGCAACTTAGCATACCTAGGGCTACCCTTCCATTCTCCATCCAACTCAGGTCACTGAAGCTCTGTCTATAAGCTATAAGATATTCACTAAGCTATACCAACTAAAATCCAAAAACCAGGGAGAAAGCAGAATGAATCAATCTGTTGGCCAGTAAGAGCAACGAGTTTCCTTGCTACTAATCAATTAAGAGCAGTAATGATACATACCGTACAATTCAGTCTTCTCCTCCCATATTTACAATTTCACATCTTTTATGGATCAGAGACCAAATATACATAAAAGTTGCTAACAACTATATGACATTGCTGAATGCTGTGTGTGAAGCCAAAGGGGATTTATTATCAACAGCCAAATAGAGTACAAAGTACAACTTACACCCCCATCAAAACAGGATAGATTTTATTAAATCACAATTTGAGGATTGATACTTCAATTCAAAAGTGCAAAAACAAAAGTCACTTAAAACACCCAACTCACCATAAGCAGGAAGCCAGGTTATGAATCAGAAGAACACTCCACAGCTGTGGCAAAAGGCACCTGAATATCCTTATAGAGGCAAACATAGGGTGCATCACAACCAATGTATGGCCCAGTCCATCTCCCTTCAGCAATGTAGCTTGCATCCCAAACTGAAGCATACAAAAACATAGGTTTCTCAGGAAATGCCTCACCTTCCTTCTTTTCTGCTCTCCTCACCACCTTCCCATCAATCAACCACTCTATAGAATCCGGATTCCACTTCATAGTGTATTCATGGAACCCATCAGAGCAATCAAAACCCAGATCATGAATTTGCTCTCTATTCCCAGTTCCTACATCACAATTTATACACAACCTTAGGAACAGAGCAAATCCTTTTAGTACATAAAAAAGGGTAACTTTTTCTTACTGCAAGAATCTATGAAATTCAAGATAGGTATTTTACAGAGAAACAACATGTTACTATTTTCAAAATAAGTGGAAAGGCCGAGTCTTGAAACTTAAACCTGTAGTGTAGTAGTTGGTTTGGACTATAGTTTTGTCTTTGCCGAGGAACTCGAAGTCTATCTCGTCTTGGGATTTGTCTCCTTCGAGGGAGGAAAGGTAGATATTGAAGTTTAGACCACTGGGGTTCCCTTTGGGGCATTGGATGAGAGAACTGAAAGTGCCATAGAGGAATCGAGTGGTGGAACGCCACCTGGCACCTCCTCGGTGATCAAAGGTGAGTGTGATTGAGTTGGAGACAGGGCAGTGAGTGCAGGCCTCCGGGGTGTAGTCTATGGCAATTTCTTTGATGGGTTGGGTTTGGTGGTGAAGTGCTGGATCTGCCATTGCTCGCTATCAAAGGAAACGGAGAGTCTTATTTGGTGGGTCAATGCTTAGGTAGCAAGTGTGAAACCGAGTTCCTGAATTTATGATACATCCCAATAGACAATATGATATTTGGCCATGTTTGGGTGGGAACTATTCTGGGGTAGGACAGGAGAGCCAAGATGGGAGGGAAAGGGCAGATTTTTATTCGGATTTCAAAAGGACAAGAAGTGTTTCAATTCCGAGAAAAGTTAAAATAAATAATTTTTGAAAAAACCATTTTTAGTTTATTTTTATTTCGAGAATATAAAAATATAAATAATATTCGTCCAAGGAAAAAAAAAATGACAATATCTTCCGTTTCCTTTTGCAGTAACGACTAAGGACAAACTTGAATGGCTACCGCATTGTATAAAGGTTTAGGGTTAAAGCTCTATTTAACGTAACCAATAACAACCTGACACATTATCAGGATTTGGGACAGGAGTACCACTCTAGTTGTCCGTGAGAGTAAAGGAAAAGCAGAAAGAGAGACAGATTGTGTAGTCTTGTAGATAATGGTAGCACACGTGGGATTTATCTCTCTCAGCGTTTCTTTTCCGTCTATGCCTTGTATTCCTCGACTTAGCTTCACCAGACGCAGACCATTTGCCAGTAAGCCACATTACACCAACACCGCCTTTTTTTCTCGAATTGTTTGTTTGTGGCTGAATTTAGATGTTTCAGGACATCAACGGGGTTTGAGGAAACCCGCCGGTATTGATTGAATGCTTCTGTATTCTGAACTCTTTTGCATTATTCAATTTGGTTTGAGAACTATGCGATCGTTTCAAATTACAATATTCCCACTACCCACCATTTATTTGTTCTTGTGAAAGATTTTAATGTCTGTTTCTGCTAGAAGTTGCTTTAAACTGTTTTTCCTCCTTCGCAGCTTTGCTATGCTAAAATTTCTGTTTAGACCCAAATATAATCATCTTTATTAGACATGTAGCAGTAGTGCAAAAGTTCAACTTTTCTTGGATGAAAGTGAAAATTTATCCGTAGCTTTGAAAGTTTTGAACTTTAGTGGAGCTAGTGTAAGTGGTCTAGAAAAATATCGAAACTTTGGTTTGTGGATGTTATGAACTTTACTTTTTGGTTTTGCCTGTGTACTATGGAATTGCTCTTGAAAGGACTTTTGAAATTGGTTGATAATGCTTAATTTTTATGGTTATCGTACAGTGGCAGCAGTGAGTGATGATCCTATCCAAGAATGGATTCTCACGGAAGGAAAAGCAACCCAGATTACAAGGATTCGTCCGGTAGGTGGTGGTTGCATCAATCTTGCAAATCGCTATGACACTGATGCTGGTTCTTTCTTTGTTAAAACAAACAGGTGTGGTGTGCAAAGTTCAAAACTTTTGATGTATTAGGCATTTATAATTCAGCTGAGTTACAGCATGTCAAAGGAATGAAAGTTTTCATTTTGTTGAAAACACTGGATCAGGAGTATTGGTCCATCAATGTTTGAGGCAGAGGCTATTGGTTTAGGTGCCATGTATGAAACTGGAACAATTCGTGTGCCTAAGCCATTTAAGGTAAGAGTCTAAGTTTACTCTAATGCTGAATATTTTGTTTCTTAAATTTCTCGAGTGTTAAGGCTGGTTATCTACGCAGAAAAACTGTAAGTGTACTTTGTTAATCATTCTAGGTTGGACCCCTTAGAAACAGTGGATCCTACATCATTATGGAATTTATTGAATTTGGTGCATCAAGAAGCAATCAGGTCATTCAGTTTTTTTATTTTTTTTATTTTTTTTGTTGGATAGTAGTTAAAATAATTTGCCTCCGATACTCTTAACTGGTCATCATCTTTTAGTCTGTGTTAGGAAGGAAGCTAGCTGAAATGCATAAAGCTGGGAAATCGGAAAAAGGCTTTGGTTTTCCCGTTGATAATACTATTGGCAGGTGCATCTTTTAAAGGCCATTATCATTGTCAATCTAAATGGTCATTCGTCTAATACCATTTAAAAGAATTTTGCCATGCTTACCATTTTACTTTGATGGTGTTGAGGAATTCAAGATGGTCTCTACGCTTCGGAGCTTCCTTAAAGTTTTAACAATTGAATATGTGCTGCCTTTGTAGTACTCCGCAGATAAATACTTGGTGCTCTGATTGGATTCAGTTTTATGGAGAGCATAGATTAGGTTACCAGCTGAAGTTAGCACAGGACCAGTATGGTGATTCAACCATTTATCAAAAAGGTTTTCCTTGTTCAGAACACTTTTTTCTACTTTTCTTATGTACTTTCTATGTCAAGACTTGCCATATATACTATAACACAGATGATGGATTAAGTTTATCTACCTTGAAAAGAATGGTGTTTTGAATATTATATCTATGGCTGCATTTATCAATGATGTTGTAACATACAAGTATTTTAATTGATGATTGCAGAGTATTTGCATAATTTATGAAAGAATGTCTCCTGGTTTCTGGTTGTTTGCATGCTGGTAATGACATTTAAGCTAGTTCAACTTAAGTTATTAGTGATGACTACCTTCTTTTATCTACAAGTTATGAATTAATGAGATGATTCAAAAACATCTGAATGTTGAAGTGCAACACTTTTTTTTTTCACAAACAATTAGGTGAAATATTGGCTTTTAGGAATTCTATATCAAATGAAACATTAGCATGTTAAAGTCCAAGTCATTCTCTTTTCAAATACCAATGAAAATCTTATTTACAGGACAAAGGTTGATAAAGAACTTGGCACCTCTTTTTGAAAACATTGTTATAGAGCCATGCTTGTTACATGGAGACTTATGGAGCGGGAATATCAGCTCTGACAAGAATGGCGAGCCAGTTATACTTGATCCTGCTTGTTACTGTAAGTCACTATTTCTGTCAATAAATCACTGTTTTGATATATTTGTTTTTCCTTTTCATCCATTCGGAGTTGGATAAACTTTAATTTGTCCCAGCAGCCTAGAGCTCCTGTAGGAACTAATATACTTTTTGGTGGTATTGTGCTTGAATGTAAAAGAATTTAAGTTCAAGATACTGTGGAGTTGAGTTACCTATTGTATCAGTGGTAGCATGAATTCATGTGGAGATAGCTTCTTAAAGAACTAATTCACCATATCATTCTGCCCCCTACAGATGGACATAATGAGGCTGAATTTGGAATGTCATGGTGCGCTGGCTTTGGAGGATCTTTCTACAGTTCTTACTTTGAGGTAATGTTGTTTTCAAAAAGCTTTATATGTTTTTGTTGTGTATAAAGCTTTACTGGTTACATAGTCTTTCTATTTGCAAGTTTTTTGGTTGAGAAACTTAAATATTAATCAAATTCCTGTATAATTGCTCTTTGCATTGAAAGACATCTTATTATCTTGTGTGGTCACTAGCACTTGATTTCAAAAAATTGAAAGGTTTTGCAGCAGCAACCTCCAAACCCTACAGTCATTCAGGCCTCCATTCGACTCATTCGATGCCATTCCATCCCACGAAACTGCTGAAGCATAAACCTTAATGATTGACTACCCCTTATAAGTCTCTTGATGGTATTGAGTTAGAAATTAACCAGAAACAACATTATCTTGATTTAAGTGTGTTATAGAAAACCCCATCACTACAACCTGAGCTTGATTTTCACTTTCTCGTCCTGCTTCCGTTTACCAGGTGATGCCCAAACAACCAGGCTTTGAGAAGAGGAGAGATCTTTATCTGTTATATCATTACTTAAATCACTACAACCTCTTCGGCTCTGGTTACCGCTCATCTGCTATGTCAATAATAGATGACTATCTGAGAATGCTGAATGTATAGAGACATCGAGACTGAAAGTGTTTGGCACACATCTGTAGGCACAAACTTTGTGTGAGAAGATTATTATCTGAGGAACAAATTCTAGTAAATTGTATATGTAGCTTTTGGTATGAGGAAGATCAATACGAGTAGTATATGCTACTATTGATTCACACCTATTTTGATTAAGATGAACATTCTATCAGAATGGTGTTCGTTTCCTCTGTGCGCTTGTGTATGATGGTGCATGCTGACACAAGAAACCTGGTGATAGTGTGTGTAAGTATGTGCGTCTGCCTGTGCCTTTGCCACCGCACAAGCAAGTCTGTGCTATGAATCTGATAGTTTAATTCCCCAAATTTTCAAGTAAGGGTTGGGTAAATCTTTTTAGTGGAAACAACCAAAGTGACAGGAATGGATGTCATGTCAACATGGCAACAATATATGCTTCTGCCAAAATGAAATATGAGCACTGCATTTAACTATTTCTTTCTCTGGTGAGCTCATTAAATCTGTTACTATGATTTGGGCAAAAAATTTGTTACAGGGTAGTGCTACTTTAATCGATGAATCCTTGGCTGTACCAGGAGAAAATAATGGATGGCCCCAATCATTTTCCCCCCTTTTTTATCTGAAAGCCCCCCCTCACCCTACTCGGTTCACCATCTAACCCTATGGAAGGTCATATTTCACATTCCCATTGTTTAGATAATCTTCCACCGTCAAATTTGGTCGGTTACCGCGGAACCTTCTAGAATTTAGTTCATTTGCAATGATCACATACGAAAAGAAAAGGAAAGGACAAATTTTTCAGAAATTATTCACTCAAAGAAAACACTACACAGAACTGAAAAGGTTTAGATCGTGTCCTGGGCTTGTCCTGTCCAATGAAAAATAGTTTTCCACATTTTTGCTCATTAAAAAAGAAGTTTTCTACATATTTCAGAAAACTCCCGAGAACAGGACACAATTGCTTGACATAAGAAAAAAGCAGTGGTTTTTCTGTTTTGTACTTTCATATAATCCTCAAAATCCCCTCAACATTCTCTCATATTAAAAGAAACATGGACGGTAATATGACCATGACAGAGCCAGAGCCACCATCGCAACTGCTGCCACCGCCAGCGGCGGCAATACAATTAACAGAGCTAGTATTTTCACTAGAGCAGGCAACCCAGATGGCAAAACAACTCCCTGCCACGTCAGACCCAAGCTACCTCTCCCAAATCTATTCCTCTCTTCATCACGCCAATCATTCTCTCTCCTCTTTCCTCTCCGCTACCCAAACTCAATGTCCTCCATTTCCTCAGCCTCCTCTGCCACTGGTTGCAGCAGAAAACTCTCTCTCCTCCGCCACTGGCGCCGCCAATGAGGATGGTAGTGAGCCGATGCAAGTGGGCGATGATAATGAAGCTGAGGCGGAGGGGAATTCAAAGACATCGATTGATAAGGTTGAGGAGAGGATGAGGGAATGCTTTATCATGAATAAGAGGGCAAAGAGGCAGCTTTCGCCGTCGTCTGCGGCGGCGGCGGAGGAAAGGAGGATTAGTGAAGATAGATTCGTGGGTGGTGTCAAGGGTTTTGATCCTCTGGGGGATAAGTTACGGGCTTTGGATCTTGTCTACAAGTTTCATGGTTGAAGTACAGACTTGGCTGAAACGGGGGAGAAACAGATCAGAGTTTTTTTTTATTTAATTCAGGCAATTTAGTTTTATTGCCTTTTAATTTATTCATTTTCTTCCTTTAATTCATTTTTCCATCTTTCTTTTTATCGTTTATTAGGGACGAAGGATGAATGCGAATTTGTGATCTCAAATTTAAGAGGAAATTAGAAACACATTAAATGAGATTTTTTTTCAAATATAAATATGCAACGAGCATCTCAGTGATTTTCTTTCAAAAAATTATGTATGGGTTTTGGTGGCTTCTCATAAATGTATAGTCCTATAATAATCCCTGATTGCTTTACTTTCATGGCGTTTGGTTCCACTTCTTGTTTTTCTCTGCTTCCAGTGACTTATCTCCAATCTGATTTCCTGTCTGCATAAAATTGAGAAAAAGATGGGAACACTCCCCAGTTGCAAGTCCAAAATAATAAATAAATAAATAAACAAAAAACAAAAAATCGGGTACTCAATTTGATGTTGTAAGATATACAGTAGCAAACCCAAAGCACATGTTTTCCTTACAATTGATATATGTTATGATAGTTGGACCTCTAATATTGAGATTTAATGAATTAAATATTGGGTGAGGTGTTGAAACAGAACTTGTAAAAAGACTTCATTACACTAGATATACCTTCTGCCGGAGGCATTGCTTTTGAGATGGACTGCAGAGATCAAAGAGACTTCTACTGCACTGTCCTTCATTGATGAACCTGGGTTGCATTTTTCTTCTGCAAGACCATCCATATGGTGTAAGTGTCTGCATCTTGTGCCCATGCCATATGGCTTTGCGGAAGCTAGCAGCTCTTAGAGAGTAAATGGACATTTGCAATGAATAAATGTCCAAGATCTGAGCAGCGTTACGCTCTCGCAATTATATTATGCAGCTTCACAAAATCATCTAAGGCGAGCTCCTCTGGTCTTGACTGCATGATGATTTCGAGTGTTAACTCTAATGCAGAGGTGAGATTAATGCCAATTGAGCAAAATGGCATCTAAAAGAGAAAGAAAGTGTCAATTTTCATTGAAACTCACCGTAGTTGGAATGCCAGCACCTTCAAGAGCTCTTTCAATCTCATTGGATGGGCATATGTGCTGGAGTGATCTCCTCAACATCTTCCGTTTTCCACTGAATGCCGAATTCACCTAAGTTTTCAAGTAATAAAAGTTCCTAAATAAATAACTTCAAGATATCACTTTATTTAAGTAGTAATTTATGTTTTATCATCAGAAAACATATGGACGTCATCCCAAAACAGGTCAGAAGCCAAGCTTGAAGATTTAGTTAAAGTCCTCCATGGACTATTCAGAGTTTTACTAACAATAAAAACTAAAGCAGCCTCAACATGGAAATTGACTAACCATTGAGAAAAAGCTTTTCGTGGAGACCACTGAAGGATAGTCTGAAGCTTGCTTCAGCTTAAATGTAACAACAGCTGCATCAACCTACATAAGCATAAAAATGAAGCCTTTGTATCCATCCTTTCAGTAAAGTTAAGTCAAAGATGGTTCATGATAGTGGACCTTGTTAGAGAGAAGGAACTTTTCCAGGTGAAACTAGATTAGTTTATAATGTTGAGGACTATGATGCCTCAACGTTGATTAGATGACTTACATTAGGTTGAGGAAAGAAATTTGTTCTTGGGACACTGAACTTGTATTCAGGCTCTGAAAAAATAGTCACAAAAGTTTTTAGAAACAATCTAACGATCAGGAATACGACAACAAGATTCTTCCCAGCTGCATAGAGTTTGAAAGCTCAAAAAGCAATGCAATTATCACCAGGCACAAGAGTTCAGTAAATCAAAAGCAAATGATGCAGTTAAAAGTACAGTTAATTTACATAATGTAATCCTGAACAAAGGGTTACATAGAAATACCTGAATAAAAATTAACAAATATGTTGATGGGTCGGTACTCTGATGTCCGCAAAGATGATTCCACAAATCTCACAGCTGTTTCCTCCTGGAATTATTCAAGCATTACAGTCAATAAGCCAGCTTGTGAATACGATAATGACTCCAACAGCTTGAGACAATCAACATAGAGAGTTACAAGAGTTTACCATCCTCAACCTCATATCTAATTCACACATGATGTGGATGATAACCCAAACATTTGAAGAATTTGATGTCAAATAAGTATTAGTTTTACAAACAAAACATGGTAAAAGTAAAAATGTTACCAACCTGGAGCAAGAGAACAACTTCAGAGAAAATATCACCCATAGGAAGAAGTAGTTTAACTACATCTGTACTTATGTTAAAGGGTAGGTTAGAAACTACCTGCAAAAAAAAAGGTAAAAACCCTCAACGGATAAGATTGATATGGGCATTTTTTTATTAAAAAAGATAATCTGTTATTCATAAATTGAGCTTCTCCTAATTAGCATTTAGCATCACATTAAGGTCTAAAATCTAAATTTAACTTAGTTTCAAATATAAAATCATTCAAAAGACAATAACTAAAGGAAGCACAGTTCTTACTTTGGCACGAATGGAGCTCGCATTCAAAGCATTTCTACTTTCCAACATTGGAAAAATATGAGAACGAATGTGACATTTGACAATATCCTCTTGTAAAACCTATAAAATTTTCATATAATATTAAAAAATAATCAAAACCCAAAGAAGATAATCAGTATAGAAGAAATATCTGTCAGACAATATCCTAAATTTACCTTGAATCTGTCCGAGCTTTCAAATCTTTCTCTTACAAGAGCCACCATATGAGGATCCTGCATCACATAAGAGAGAGAGAGAGAGAGAGAAAGAAACCCCTGAGCTACATTCTTTAGTAAAATTTCATTACCACTAATTGGACGTTGAAAAGAACGGACCTTTTCAATGGCCAGAACGGTGGCGCCGCAGTTTATAAGGACATTGGTTAAAGAACCAGTTCCCGATCCGATTTCTAATACAACGTCATCTTCCTCTACATTGGCCGCACGCGCCAGTTGCTTGTTAATCTCAGAATTCAACATGTAATGCTGCGTATGTTAAAAATTCCTCAATTAGTTTAAGGCATCCCAATACACAAAAACGAAAAGGACAGGTTGGGGGGTGATTAGACCTGGCCGAGGGATTTTCTAGGGAAGCGGCCTTTGGAGTTGAGAGCTTTCAGAGTGGCGTGGTAGTCATCATCTTGGCTCCTCCTCGAAGCAGACGCTATTTGCAACGACGTCGTTTGGGTCCGTCCGCCGGCACCGCTAGTGTTCGCCGGGACTGCAAGGGTGGGGAAGGAAGCAATTGGCGGGAGAGAGTTGAGAAGATGGGTCATGCTTTTCCTTTGCGAGAAACTTACAAGTGAAAAACGCTTGGGTCGGTTTATCTCCTGATAATTTTATTCCAAAATTACCCACAGGAAACCCATCATTTAAACCATAATTATTATTACTATAATAAATAAAAATAAACTCTTTAATCTATATGTATTTTCCAATACAATCAACGAAGAGCAACAACAGCAATAGAACCAAAATGTTTGATCTGAAATACTAGCTGTAAAACCCCTAATACTGGATGTTGTTTTACATATTGTACTAGCCTTGATTTCACCAATCAAGCTTGCACCAAAAACTGAAGCATTCAAGGGTTCTCAAAACAAACCAGGTTATATCCCTGGACATGAAACTGATTGATCTACCAGAAACCATCAAAATCGTAATTATAGAATAGTTGGCTTGTTTCTTTGCCTATGGTAAACAACTCATTAAATTCTCTCCCTCTTTCAGTGCCAAAAATATCATGTTCCTCCTGATCCTGGGCAGTTCCAATGGCTGTGGTAGCACAGATTGCAGTTTTTTTTCTTGTAAAGAACCATTAAAATCGTCATTATAGAATAGTTGGCTCGTTTCTTTGCCTATGGTAAACAACTCATTAAATTCTCTCCCTCTTTCAGAGCCAAAAGTATCATGTTCCTCCTGATCCTGTGGTAGCGGAGGCAGTTGCAATGGCTCTTGTAGCACAGATTGCTGTTGTTTTTCTTGCAAAGAACCATCAAATACTGTTGGGTAACGTAATAAATTTTCCAATTCAGAATCTCCAATGTCGAAAAGATCAGTTTCTTCCAGCAGAAATTGTTCCGAATTCCCTATCTGATGAAAACCGACCAGTCCTTCATTATTTGTGACCCTGTCACCAGTTTGATTAAATTCAGGATAAGCAGAATCTAGCTGTTCGTTGAACTGAGTCTGTTGCTGAAATTTAATTGTTGATGCGTCATTATGATTTGAATCTACATGCTTAAGCAGATATACAGAAACAGGGGAAGGAATAGGCATGGAACCATTAAGATTCTCCTGAATTAGGACATTAATATGTGGTTGGTCTGCTACCGTCATGGCTTGCATATCTGAAAACTGATGAAACCCTTCTTGTGGACTGAATGGAGACAAAACATGATGAGACGCAACTTGTGCTACAATGGAACCCATGTTCATGATATTCTGAATTGCATCTTGTTCCCGTTTCAAGGAGAGACGATATTTCTGCAAAATTAACATTAAACAAATTTTATTGCCCGAGCACCATGATGTTACTTAGCAACCTTAGGATACGCAAAGATGGGCTGGAAGAAAAATAGAGTAACACATTGCCTAATGCTTTTATATCCAGTTCATTCTGCAAAATTAAATTAAAATTTTAAGAAAGAATATGATTCCCGGATAATAATAGTTGAATGGAATTGAATGATCAAGCTTCAGATTGTTTGCTTTCAGCAAAGTGGAACACATTTGCAAAACCAATCCACTCCCTTCCCCACCTGGTTCTTCCTACTCATAATTAGCCTTTATGTCGATTTGAAGCAAGATTGTGCTACCCTAAGGGTACATTTAGACTTCTGCAACAGATTCCCGTTAAAGAGTATTATAAGAAAGCTAAAGTAAAGTGAGCAAGACAACAAGGGCATTACTATAGTTTACCCTCTTTAGCAGAAATGGAAAAAAATGATTGCAGAGAACAAACCTGAAAATGGCTTGAAACATGTTCTTTCTTTATTCCAGGGACAAAAATATGCTGAAGTATTTTCTTTGGATGAGCTCCTAATAAGAAAGGAAATAAGAATAGAAACCAGCTGCCATTATAATCAATAGTACAAGTCAGAATAAAAATCCATTTGAGAATTCAAGTATGGAAACTTACTATCAATACCAAGTACTTCGACAGCTTGCAAGAATCTATTATGTAGCTCATTAGTCCAAATTAGCTTTGGCTTCTTTAGAGCTGCAGAATCACCAATATCTTCCTCCTCGTCATTTTTCATTTCATGTGATCTTTTTCTTTTCTCATTCTGGAGATTCTGCCTTCCTTCACTGATAAACTCTACATCACCTGACGCATTCTCCAGTGATGATGGCTCCTCAATACCACTTATCTCTTCCAAAGCTAGTCCATTTTCTCTTTCCTTAATGAATGCAAACTGCCATAGGTTTTTAAGATCATCCATGATGATTGGTTTGACAAGGTATAGCATAGCACCTTTAAAGAGGCCACCTAGCATAGCATTCCCATTGCAATCGGCAGACATGACTATGTATGAGATTAACAAGCAACCACAAATAATGCCATCAGTAAAAAGAATTACGTGCTCGAAAAATATTTTAAACTAATAGAACAAGAGTGATTGCAAAATAATACAGGAGGGCACTGCTTACGAATGACAGGAAGCCTAGAGATTTTCCTCATTGTCTCAAGTAGCTCATATTTATCCATATCAGGCAGGCAGCCTTCTGCTAGGATAAGGTCAATTTTGTATTTCCTATCCCGTATGATGCAAAATGCATCAGTTGCTCGTTTAGCAGTCATGTCTATAAGGGAACTCAAAGCACAAACTTTTAGTACATAAAGTGATTGACAAGAAAATCTAAAGAAGTTTAACTGCTATCCAAGAAGAACGGATAAACAAAAACAATCTTCAATTCAAAGTATGGCATCACAGAATATAATAGAAAATTGTTGTAAAAACCAAACTGAACATGATTTCTATATTCATAAAGTTCAATATCAAGGAACTCTTGCGCAAGAGGTTCTCTCAACAATCTTTACTGGAAAGGAAATGGAAAAATAGATCCAAAATACTGTAATTTGGTAGGCTGTCTGAATCAACAAAGGCACAATCAAAATCTCACTCATTGCAAATCTTAGAATCTGAGAATAGGATTATGACCGATTACTGTTGTAACCATGAACCCTAATGATATAACCACCCTTTGTGAAATTTCTATGTGAACTGCTCATACAGTTCCCAATTATGTTCCGAGGAATACACCTATAATCATATTTACCCTTCACAATATAGACTATGTTAGGTTTTTAGCCAAGAATTAGGGGGATTTCATGTTTAATATTAGAAGAGGAAGGAATGGGAACGTGGGGAGGTTGGAAGTTTGGTCAAAAAAAATGTGAGAAATATCTTCATATGGCACATGAAAGCTAAAAAATTATGGCTCCTGCAATAGCATGAAAAGAAGAAGCAGACATCTAGTATATCCAAGGCTGAGGTCAAAGAAGTGATGTCTAACTTCAAACTCAAATACCTTTATAGTCAAACCTGTGAAGCATTTTGATAGTAAGACAGGTTGAATCACCATCCACAAGTAAAACGGTAACACCTGCACATGCAGTGTTTATGCAGGATTCAACAGAGATAGCCATCTTGCTGTTCATGTGTATGGGAAATATTGGTGTTTTTAAGTTCAAGCTCACATTCACACGCGCAGAGAAGCTTATTCTGTAAACATAATATATATTTCTTTGCTACCTCGAGCTGCTTATATATCACAAATTTAACCTTTTAGGCATATTATTGTCACTTTCCAAAAGAAATTTCTGTAACGCACTTTTTTTGTCTAGCTTATGATTATGTTAACAATGATGTAAAACTATTCCCTTCTTTTATTCTATAAATGAGTGGTAATTATAGCCTGCAACTACAAATTGATTCTCGAATGCAGCAAAGAAAACAAGAAAAATGTGCCTGAAAAGAAAAAAAAAAGGTTAAAAAAGAATGCAGTGAATGGACAGTTCAACCAGCATTTTTTTGGCATGTTATTTATACCAATTAAACTTGCCATATAAACTGGATAATCAGTTTCCATCTTAAGAGATTGAAAAATCTATCACATTAAAAAACTGTCAAACAAGTTGCCTTCAAAATTTGTTCCACGTTTCTTTTTCACAATAAAAATTACTTTGACTAATTTGACTGCAAGGTAGTTGAAGTCATTAATGTGCTAAGAATGTTTCCATATAATATCAACGAAGATGATAATAGACAGAAATATCAAATAAAACCTTATTTCCTAATGGCAACCAATATTGATGAGATGACAAATACAAAGCTCATGCACAATATCTTGGTACCTGATTTCTCATTTATCATAGCATAGTCTAACAATAAGGGTCAGATTTGTTCAACAACTGCAATAAATAGGGTTCTATCTTGCACCATTCACAATCACCATAAAGGTGTTAGTATGCTCCAAAGTTTTCATTAATCCAATACACGGCAAAATGAATTAGCATGCCAGTTAGCATTTAATGTAAGGTCAAACAGTTCATGCATACTGAGAAAATCTCCTCTGCTTTTGCAACTCAAAACCTTACAATGTAAACAACCCTTCCCTTGGCTACATTCACTATTATAGAATCAAATTTAAGAGAAAACTAGCCTAATGATACCCATACTAGCAAAATATTCCAGAACATTTATAGAATACTACACCCAAGTTTAAGTACCCACTGAATTTTCAACTGCCAAGTAGCCTGCAGCCCTATACTGATGCAAATGAGCCATTGACAGATTAATATATGCATGATAAAGATATGAATTTTCATTTATCAAACCAGTTTCTATCCCCACTCTGATGAGTAGGGAGCAAGGACACTTTTGAGCACTGCCTAAACTACTTTTTGAATACATAGTTTGGTATTTGGCTATTAGAATGGTTAACAGAAGGACCTCAAACGACGTTTTGTTGCAACAAGAATTGGGATTTGAACTTCAATTCTGAGCTGTGGCATTTTAACAACAATGACATAAATGGTTCTGGAGGAGTAAACCATTAATGAATAGGGTAAGAAACTAAAAGATAAAGTGGCATTATATTTATGCAGGAAAGACGAACAAAATCTTTCCGCAATCTAAGCTATAGTATGTGAACTAAAAGATTAATCAAATGCTGAACAGAATGATAATTCTATGCCCAGACCTCAAAATAATACAAGGACATCTAATGCCTTTGACACCCGCACTCAACAACTTGGAGGTTGGCAGGAGTCAGGGCCTTACTACCAAAGGCAAAACAAATAATGTAAGAGACTATGCAGGACAAACCAGTAAACATTCTGTGATTGTTGCACATGTACATTTCAATGATCGCATCATTTGGAAAATGGTTCCTTATTAATCATGTTGCAGACTTTAATCCACCAATTCCCACGCTTTTTCTCGTCCTTCTCTTTTCTAACCTGATGTTCATACACCATGAAAAGTACTTAGCAAAGAAACAATGAAATTCACACTGCCCAAATTAAGAGTATAGAGAATTCCAGCTTTTAAAGTCAAAGTACATGGTAAAAGATGCCCAAACAGCAATGCAACATATCACCATGCAGTGAGGTAGTAATAATAGTAACAAAGAAGAAAATCAGAAAATACAACTAAGAAAATGAACCTTATCACAGGATGAGCAGTTACACTTAAATGAGATTTTTTGCTGCATGGGTGCCTGCTAAAGGAACAATGAGACTGCTTTGGCTTTCCAGAGCTCTCATCCAAACAAGGTATAACATCATCTGCACATCTAATTTCATCCTGAAATAGTTGTACATTCCCTTTTCCTATTTCATATAATCTACATAAAATATTATGTCGAACAGTTACAGAAATGATATCACCAAATACCCTAGACAACTACAGAAAGCAAATAATTGGACAAGTTTACATGTATATGCACACTTATAAAATATCTCACTTCACTAAATCTTTGTACAAAACGAAACGCCTTATCAAGCCCAATCCCTTGCACCCCATTTAGGTCATGGTCATTTCCAACCAAAAGAGAGATGGCTATCAAATGTATCCCCTTTAGTCCAAGACCAGCTTGGATATCTGACATATTGTAGCATTCAAATGGTTCCTACATATAATAATATTCCCATGATTGACAATGCTTGAAACTAAAAGTAAGGAATCGGCACATTTACAAGAATAAATAGTTGATCAAGTTGGTAAAACTTACTTTTCAATTGGACCTAATGCATTTAACAAAACAAGTAGACCCAAAGAGCAATGCATCACTGTCAGCAGCAATACAAGCATCAACATGACCATCTTTATTTAACTGAGCACACAATGCTTCAGCCTCAACCTTTTCTTTCAGCATTGGCATTCCCAATAGTTCAAGCACCTTCTACAACAAAACCCCTCATTCTCAGTAAAAAAATTGCTAACAAATTGCAGAAAAAAGAACAAATTAACACATTTTAAAAATGCATCGTTCCTCTCCTTGGAAACACCCTTTTTGAACACAGTCAAAGTTGAAGTATCAATGCCAGAAAAACAAAAAAAATCTAGCCATCCTTGCTCAAGATTTCAACGGCGATGGAGTTCCATCCAAAACAAATACCGGAAAGACTCCAAACCATAACAAATTTTTTTGTAAATCAACTTTATAATTTCTCACTCTCGTAAATTGAAAAAAAAAAAAGAGTAAAAGAAAAGAAAAGACATTGGATGTACCTTAGAAAAAAGGAATATGATACGGAAGAAAGTGAGTCTGGGATGAGGATTAGTAGCATGATTCTTGATGGCAGTCTCGTGCTGGACTATCCAGAAGGACATATCAATGGCGACCTTTCTGTCTCTAAGGAAATCGAATCCTTCGAGTCGAGCATAGGGTTTGTAGAAGTACCCAGAATTTGCTTCCCACCCCCATTTTTAAGTAGCCAGAAAAAAAAAACCAAAGAAGACTCCTATTTAAGAATCAATATTTTCAAAGAAAAACAAGAAAAAGTAGAAGACGGAGATGAAGAATTGGCACCATTACGATTTGCATTCCTTATAAATGTGTCAGATCCTTGGTTTTTTACCGTTGGAATATCCTCGGCGGTGCCCATTTAATGAAGCCCAAGTTGAAGTCAATTTAACTGGTCTGACGAAGCCCGATTTAATTTGGACAGAGCTGGCCCAAATTGTCCGGGAGAGGCAGCATTGGATGCCGTCTCGTGAGGTGGTCCACGGATCGGAGGAACTAAGATATCGCAGGTGTCAATGTGTAATATCTGACGGATCAGAGAAGTCTTATCAGATATTATATATTGCCGAAATCTGAAAACGTCTTTTTCACATATACCTCTGTTTGTGTTTCAGTGTTTGTCCTGAAGAACCCTACAACATTAAGTTATGTAAATAGTAAACCTTGTATTCCTACACCAATGATAAAACAGGTTTATTTGATGGAATATTTGTCTTTCCGAACCTGATTTATCTATATATGTTCCAAAATTATATGAATCATATGGAATAATTTGTTTTATGATTTTTTTTGACAAAATTAACCATAATTAATGTTAGGCCAACCAATCCTCCTTGAAAATCCCTGTATTTCTGTAGATGATGTTATGATTATCAATTTCAGAGTGTTATTGATCAACAAATTTTTGAACTTTGAATCTTTGATATGGATTGGTTTGATTTGATGTGATTATACTCAGTGACGCAGCAAATTGACAATTTAAGTGACTTTCACAAACTACAAACAAACTGATTTATCAGTCTGGTCAACCATCATACTCTCATTTCTCCTGGATGACATCAGATCTTACTCAATCTCTCAATTTCATATTCCTTCATCTAAATATTTAAGGTACAAGATAGAAACATCCACGCTTCTGCGTCCTTTGTCATTTCTCTCTGTTTATTTTAATCTTACTCTTATTTTACTGCAAAACCATGGCTTCTTCACCCTGTATGATCAGCTTCTTACCTGGAGATCTCCCCCACCCCCTAGAAGCTACCTCTTTCTTTCTTCTTTTACTTCCCTTCACATATTTATATTCTTGCTTCTCACTTTCCTACGTACTACTTCAGTTCTCTTCAAGTTCTTTCTCTTTGTAATTTTAGTTAAAATCTTGTTTTTTTTTTCTGCAATGGCTTCTTCATTCAGTTCATGTTCTAACACAAATGCTACACAAAGAAAGCATTTCCCATTAGAACGGAGACCCCGAATGCTAAAAGATTTCCTTCTGGATGACTCCAATTCGTGTTCCTCGAATGGGTTCAAATCATTTCCAAGAATAGCCTGCCAGGATTGTAGCAGCAACCGAAATCTCATTCAAATTGATCTCAACTCTGGCCATGCAAAGCCAAACTATGCACAGAGACTTCAAAGAAGCCGATCAAAAGCTGCCTCCACAACAATCTCAGCATTCAAGGCAATGATCAACGCTGTCAAACGCATCCATTTCATGACTTCTCCTTCAATCCTGCCTAGAAGCCTTACACGTAAATTGTCAACAAGGAATTCACGGCTCGACTTTGAAAACAAAGAAAGTGAAATCAAAATTACTGTGAGAGTTAAAGATATCATACGCTGGAAATCATTCCGTGATTTGGTCGAGGAAAAATCTCGACCGTCATATTTTGCTTCGTCTCCTCATGGTTGCACAACCATCACAACAGCGGGATCCACGTGTACTCCTTGTAGAAGCAGTGGCTCAAGCTGGTGTGACAGCGATTTTACCAGGGAATATTTACTTACCAAGGAATATGGTGAAAATGAAGTTGAGGTGGGTAAAAAATTCTTACCATGTGTCGGCAAGGATCCTATGGAGACGACAACAGAGTTAACAGCTAACCAAACAGTGGGACCCAAAGTAAGTAAATATAATTTGGTGCATCGCATCTCTTGATAAAATCTGTGTCTGCTGATGATGGTCCTAGTTGCTTTAATCTACGTTAACAGCTGATGATTATGTTGTCGTTTAGTTCAATTTAGTTGACTTTGGCTCTGACGAATTTTCTCTGGTTGGGTACTTGGGTATACATGCGAACCACCTGCATTTGTTTAATGGTTCGGATTTGTCTGTTTTGAAGACAGAGTGCAACATACTTCAGTTACATAAGACAAAATAGAAGCAATTAGAGTTAAGATTAAGTAACACTAAGTTGGAATTAAAACTTGGAAACTTTCTCATTGACCCTTAAATAGTTGTATTCAACAAGTTATAAGTTGAAACTTATTTTTTCTTCTCAAATTGTGACTTTTTATATAAAAAATAGTAAAAAAAATTCACATCCTTCAGTGCTTTCATTTAATCTAATAATGAATTTGATTATTTAATATAAGTGAATTTTTTTAAATCTATAATATGAATTTGATGATCTAGTATCAATATACAAATCATTAATCTAATGAGTGTTAATGTTTTTTTGTATGCAAATTAATTTTCATGACAATGGTCAGCAGGGAAGGAAGTATGCAAGTGAAGAGAAAGAACAGCACAGTCCACTTTCGGTGCTTGATTTCGAATATGAAGAAGATGATGAAGACTCATTCTCCTCTGTCAATCAAAGCCTCGCCGTAATGGAGAGTATGTGCTGTCTCTTCTCTTTATTTCCTAATGCAAGAATGGTTATTAAACACATTAAATTAATTAATGAATGCTATTAACTACGATTGAATTGCTATCAGGAACAAAGCTAAAGCTCACGCCAAAGATCCGGCGTTTCGAGAGTCTAGCAAAATGGATGTCCTTGGAAGAAGCTGGTGATGATGTAGAAGAAGAGGAAGAAACAAATGAAGTCGAACAAAAGGCACGGCTGCTGCTGAATCATGTCAAAGAAACAAGTTCATTGAAGAGCTATAGTAATATCAGTACCGATAAACTGGTTTTGGATCTATTCAGAGAAGAATTAACAACAGAGTGGAATCATAGTCAAACAAGAAATGCAGACCTGGAAAATGTTATGGTTAAGCTAGCAAAAGCATGGATCAATGGAGAACAGAACGAGACAGCAAAATGGGGAGTAGGGGAAAAAAAAGAGGCGTGTGTTAGAGATATGGACAGGGAAGGAAGGTGGAGCAAGTTTGAGGAAGAGCAAGAAGAGTTGGCCTGGGAAGTTGAGAGAGGGGTAATGAGCATTTTGGTGGATGAACTATTAGTTGATCTCCTACAATTCTGACCGCAAAAGCCAAAGTTGAATTGACACGTTTTTCGGCCATCAATTTAACCTGAGGAACAACGAGAGACACAGTTGGCCAGAGCATGGATCCTGCTTGTCATGTTACCACCTGAACATTGAAAAAGAGCAGGAATCTCTGTTGTTTGACATTATATATGGGCGACGTCCATAATATCGAGAGTTTAATGGTAAAAATGCGTTACTAGAGCTTAAGGCATTGTAACGATGGGGAGAAGAAACCCATGAAAAAGGGAAAATCTCATGCCCTCAGTTTGGGTCCTGTAGTCTTATGAATCAGAATATATGCTGAAATTTGGTAGAAAGAAAATTAAAAAATCAAAGTACTACTTTTGTATTTCAGTGAATATATATGGATCTATAAACTAAAGTTAACTAACTAAAACAAACATGCACAATTACAATCATAGAATAGAATGGCTTTCTGTATCATCGAAGAGCCCACAAATTGCTAGAATTGATTGCTCTGTCATGGGCCATGAACTGCCATTTCATTTGCATGAAAATTGTTAGCATTACAAAATCAGCAAGCTTTTTTTTTTGGACTTAAAAGAGACTTCGAGGCCACCCAAGCCCATCCAAGGAAGCCTCTGTCTTCATTCAACGAATCATAAAAAACAAACAGTTTGATTTTTGGTCATTAAAATTAGAAATTCAACATTTTATCAATAAAGATTGGCGAATAATGATACCAAATACCTAACCCATACTTCCGTTCAGACCGAGAAAGCCTTCCTATGTATAATTTGAAAGCTCTATCAATAAATACACAAATACAATCTTCATGCTTAGCATTTGGCAAACGATAGAAAACAAAAGGGAAAAATGCTGCCGTATGGAAGCCTCGAAGGAGCAGAGTTGGATCTAGGGAGAAAACTAACACTAGCAGAGAAATTGTGGTATGGTTACTCAGCTAAGAAATCAGACTATATTTTGTTTAACCACAACGGCCTTTTCTTGTTCTTGGTATTCTCCTTGGTTCCTCTCCCATATGTGTTGATCGAGCTTTATTGGTTCAACAACATGGAGAAGTTCAAGCTTCAACCCAGAATCAAGAGATCGTCTTCAGAGTTGCTTAAATGCTATAAAGATGTCGTCAACAAGTTCATTCTTGTCGTGGGTCCTCTCATTGGTTTTTCCTTCTCTGCCCTAAAGGTACGTCGACCTAAGTTTAAAGGCATAGAGAAATATTCGAGGGAGCTGCTGCATGGCGGCTTTTGATTTTTAGTTGTTTTGTTGAGGCTTAGGGATGAGGAGGGAAGATACATGCGGGCTTTAAATCCTTAATTGTCATTATTTTTTTGTTTGTTTCAAATTTCAAGCCAAACTAAACCTCTTCTATTTTGTCTTTGGATCAAGAAATTAAAGTATAACATATGGGGCAACACTTAGGAAGCATCAATCACCTGTAAATTATAACAAATTTATGATTCGGCAAACGCATGTAAACAAGTACAAAATACATGTCCTGCATGTACTGAAGCAAAAAAAAGTTTAAAGTATGTCATTTACCTTTCTTGCCAAATAAAAAATAGAAATATTTCCCTTTCCTTAGAACATCTTGCCTATGTTCTTGTGTTGATGCAGTGGGTTGGGATCCGTACAAGCTTACCACTGCCATCAAAATGGGAGGTAATAAGCCAATTGGTGGTGTATTTTCTTATCGAGGACTACACAAACTACTGGATTCATCGGTTGCTGCATAGCAAATGGGGCTATGAAAAAATCCACTACGTGCACCATGAATACAATGCCCCGTTTGGGTTTGCTGCTCCTTACGCCCATTGGGCAGAAATCCTAGTTTTGGGAATCCCAACGTTCCTGGGTCCAGCTATGGTTCCATGCCATATCATCACATTGTGGCTGTGGACAGTTCTGCGCCAGGCTGAGGCCATCGAGACGCACAGCGGGTAAATTTTCTTATCTTTTATAACTCCAAACTTTGCCTTATCGAATAAAAAAAATGCAGAAGCAGAACAATTTTTTAATGTTGTACCGACAAGAAATCGGATACTTTCAATGCTTTTAAATAAATACAAAACCATAGCTAAATATCATCTAGTAAGGTTGAGTTTTTAAAACCTTTTATTATTGATAATGTCATGTATACATGAAAAAAATGTACACGTAATTATTATGTAATGATATTTTTAAAAATAAAAAACAAAAAAAATTATTAAATTAAAAAAATTATTCATACGTGTATATATATATATATATATATATATTATATCTAAAATCGTAAGAATTTGAATTTTATGTAGGTATAACTTCCCTTGGAGTCCCTCCCGATTCATACCATTTTATGGGGGTGCAGAGTATCATGATTATCATCACTATGTTGGAAGACAAAGCCAAAGCAATTTTGCGTCTGTCTTTACCTATTGTGATTATGTTTATGGAACTGACAAGGTACTATAAACGATCCAAAATACAACATTAAATGTGTGAAAAATGCTGCAAAATCCCATATCTTTATCATATAGAATAATTTGTCTCAATTGTTAGAGCATAAATTTTTAACTTTGAAATCTTTTTTTTTTTTTTTTCCTTTTAATTTGTACTTATGTAGGGTTACCGTCGACACAAACAAGCTGTTAAAAAGGTATATTTCACAAACAAGTCAATCAATTATTAATATCTTCTCTTCTTTTTTTTTTTTTTTTCTATAAAACAGCTTAAATTTTTTCTGTAGCTTAAGGAGCAAGTGAAGAAGCAGTTGGAGCGAGCCACAAAATGAAACTAGATGGTAGATTGCGGACAAAATATCTCCATGGAAGAATCTCAAAAAGAAAATGCTTTACGTTGTAGTTATTTTGGAGGACAAGTGAAAGAATGGGAAATAAAGAAAAATATCATTTTCTTTGGAATTCTTCAAGTTTTGATGTAGTTTTGAAAATGATAAATTTTAAATTTGAAATTTAATTTAATTAATTTATATAAATATTTTTAATAAAAATATTTAATACATTTGAGATTTAAATTTTAATACATATAATTTTTTCTATTCACATGTTGCGGCTTTTATTACAAAAAAAAAAATTCAAGACTCAAAAACATTAGCTCTTTTCCTTTTTAGGCTAGAAAAAAAAAAATCATCAATGGTAATGCCTAATTTATCAATAAATTTTCCCTCCTTTTCCACCAAAATAAATACTAGTTCTAATAGCCTACTTATAACTATGATTGGACCATGGCCTAATCTCACAATTTGGTAAATGACCTAACTGAGCATTGAATCAAACACCATTGACCGTTCAAGTAATTAAATACCTACACCATAGACAATATGGCCAATATCAGTTCAAATAAATGAAAATATGAGATAGTGCTTTGCTACTTTAATTAGAGATGATAATAGATTAAATCGAGATAAATTTTTGTTCATTTCAAATTTGATCCGATTTTATATATATAATATTTAAATTCGATTCAACTTGATGATTGTTTTATTTTTAATTTTTCATATATGAAACTGATCCGATCTGATATTGTATAAAATTATATCTGATTTGAAATTAATAAAATATTATTTTAACATAAATATAAAATTAAATAAATTATTAAAGCATAATTTTTTATATATATCAAGTCAAATTTGTCTAAAATCCTATCCAAGCACTATTTTTTCTTATTATTACTTGACTCAATACTCGATTAAAAAAAAAAAAATCTTAAGAGGTCAAGTCAAAACCTGTCGAATACAAGTTGAACTGATTTTCCTACTTCTAATTCTAATAAATATAATTAATTACTTATTAAAGATATAACTTATGCTAAAAAAATATGTAATTTATTAATAAAATGTTGAATAAAAAAAAGTATCATATAGTATAAATGTTTCTTCTCATAAATCTTGTCATTTTTCCCTAACGAGTTAAAATGAAATTATGAAGGCAATTGGAGAGGATTTATAGTTATCTTTTATTTTATAATTAATCACACTGGGTCGACATATGTGTAACAAATGTGATAATCATATTTATGTAAGTTGAGTCACAAAATGATTTCAAAAGCTTCAATTAAATTATCTAATGTCGTTTCTCGTGCATGAGGGTTTTCAACTTGCAGAAACCACCAAATGCAATGCCCAAAATTTCATTCACGTTTAAGTTTCGGATTAGTCCTTTCTGTCGGAATTAAATGGGGTCCCTATGGTCACCGACAATTTTTTTTTAATTTTAAATTGTAAATTTTTGTTTTATTTTTTAAAATAATTATATAAATTAATTAAATTAAATATTAGTTCACGATTAAAATTCTTACCTCCTTATTAGTAACCCGTTTTATTACAAGTAAATCACATTTAATCCCATCTTATTGCATCATATATTATAGTTAGGGGTGAGGAAAAAATTGATTTAGAATAGTAGTATTTGATTCAATTTAGATCAATTTTTTTATTTAATTTGATTATTAAATATATATTAAATTTAGATTAAATTTCAAATAAAAAAATTAAAAATTTAAAAAAATTGAATCGAATTAAATTATATATATTTTAAATTTTTATAAAATAAAATAATGATTTGATATTCAAATCTATTTAATATATTAAAAATCATATTAAAATAATAATATAAAAATAAAAAATTAATTAAAAAATTCAATAAGCCAAACTAATAAAGTTTAATCTAAATCAAATCGATTTTGTTAAAATAACAATTTAAATTCGGATTAAAATTTTATAATATTATATAATATTTAAAAAAATAAAATTAAATATAATGTTATTCAAACCATTATTACTTCTAATTATAATGATATTTTTGGATGTCATGCTTAGCGAATGAAAACTTGTAACTCTTATGTACTTCTCGCCCTCCAAAGATGTGATCGTTACACTTATAAATTGAAAACGTGACTATCAAAGGAATATGAAGCTTTTGTTTTCAAGTGTTATGATCTGATTTTTGATAAGCCCTGCATTCCCCACCACAAATGTGTACATTTGTCACCCAAGAAAAAGAATATGCCTTCAATAATTTATGTAAATTTGTTACACATGAATCCATTTGGGTTCTAAATTAACGCTTATATTGAGAAAAAAAAAATCAAAAGATATACAGATTGTTATCACACTAAGGTCCTAGCTTGATCAATCAAATAGTGAGATTTAAGCATTAAATTTTGAAGAAAAAAAAAGAAATAAAGAAATTCTTTTTTTTTTAATAATTAAATTACTTTTTTTATTTTTTATTAAAATTATCAAACTTTAAATTTTAATTATCAAAATTAAAAATTTAATATTATATTAATAGATTATATAATTGTTGATTTTTTTTTTATCATTTCTTAATAAGTATCATAAATAAAGGCGGCGTCAATGACCATAGTGTATTTATAACCTAAAGTTATAAGGTACCAAATTATATATGAAGTCTTGCAAAAACCAAATTATATATATTTATAAAGTTTTCAATTAAAATTTTTAATCAAAAAATATATTTTTTTATTATTTAAATTAAAATTTCAATATTTTATTAATAGATTATATAATTATTGATAAGAAAAATATTTCAATATCATGTCCTTGTCATACATATATAAACCCTTTCCAAACATTTATTGAGATTAAAAACAAATTTTAATTCCCTAATATTTCTCCACAATTTTTTTTTTTAATAATGAAGGTAAAGGCCAAGGATTTGGAAGTTTTGGATATGTTTCAGTCACCAAACTTGAAATTTCTTAATCAATAATGGACCACAAAAAAAAAAAAAAAACTCAAAGTCTCGTATAATTAAAAAAAGTCAAAACAAACCTAATCCCAATCTAATCTTCTTAAAAAATAAAATGCATTAATCTTTAATCCAGTGTAGAAACCCTCATTTAAAATCCCTAAATCCTATCCCATTGATCACATGATCAACCCCTAAATCATAAAAAGGCCTAAAACTTAGCCCCAAAAGTCTCATAATTCAAAAGGTTTGCCCCAAAAAGAGCTTTTTTCATAAATAGGAACTCCTCAATTTTCCAACTACATAATTTTGGGGACCCTTTTTTGATTACTTCTCTCTTTCTCTGTTTGCTCTGTTTTACTCTGTTTCGGCAAAAGCCAGAGCAGAGTATAAAAATACTTTTACTACTTACAACCAAACAACTACCAAAGTCAACACGCGAGGGAAGTTAATTTTAAGGGGTGTTGATTGGTCGTGTTTTATATGGTTGATCCGACTTCGTTTTCGTAGCTTTCATTAAAGTGACGGGCTTTTGTGTTTTTGAGTTATCAATTGGAGTGAGCGAAAAACAGAGTCAGCAATGAAAAACGAAGAGCAAGCTCGTTCCTTGTTTGGGATTTCGCTTTCTGATAAACCTACATGGAAACAGTTTCTTATTTGCTCTTCTGGGTTCTTCTTTGGTTACCTTGTCAATGGCGTTTGTGAGGTACTTTATTTTTTATTTTTTTGCCTTTTTCCTGTTCTGTCTCTGTTTCATTCTGTTGGAAACGATTTTTTTTTAGTATCTTTTGGTTTATGTCTTTATGAGGAAGTTGTGGGGAAGACGAAAAAACGGAAAAGTTAAGAGTCAAGAATTTTGTCTTTTAGTTGAAGAGACATGTGAGTCACTCAATGTACAAAAGCAACCGATTGAGTTGATTCTTTTCCATTTTTCTTTCTTACTTTTTTTTTAATCCAGTTCCTCAGCAACCAAACAAAGTTTGAATGCATGATTTTAAGAGGATTTTCTGGATTTTTTTTTTTTGTAAATTGTAATGATTTATTACCTTGTTGAAATTTCCTACCCTGAATAAATCATTAAAGCATGGATTCTTCTGAAGATTACATTAAATATTCATGCATTATATCTACTCAAATTTAATTTTCATTATGGTAATTAAATAATTTCTACTTTCCAGGAATATGTATACAACAGACTACAGTTCAGGTAATTGCTATATTTTTTGTTTATCTTGGTAATTAAGATTTCAAATGGAGTTTTTTTCAGTGAGGGCTTGTTGGTTGACAAGTAAGGATGGTTATCTTTTTGTTTCAGCTATGGCTGGTACTTCACATTTGTCCAAGGATTTGTTTATCTTTTTCTGATCTATCTTCAAGGCTTTACTCCAAAGCAAATGGTGAACCCATGGAAGACTTACGTGAAACTCTCTGCAGTTCTTATGGGCTCCCATGGGCTTACAAAAGGCTCTTTGGCTTTTCTCAACTACCCAGCACAGCTCATGTTCAAATCCACCAAGGTAAACAGCAAATTCATGCCCTTTGACCTTAACTGTAGCATTCCAATTCTTGCTGGCTAATTTTCCTTTTCAATTGTCAAGTAATAACTGAATAATTGGGATTATAATCCTCAATGATTTGCTTATCGTTTCTGAATTTACATGTTCATTGTCAAAGTTTAGCAATGATCAGTCTACTTGCATAATTGACTGGTCTACGAATTTCTAATGAATTCTCAGATTTTTTTATACAAAAATCTTAATTTTAGAACTGTTATTGTTGGTATCACAGTGGTTATCAGAAAAAGAACTGATATTTAACGTTACATTGTTCTCCTTGATATTTCTCTTCTTGTTTTGAGTTTTTAACTTCGTTACTGTCATAGGTTCTGCCTGTGATGGTGATGGGCGCCTTCATACCAGGTTTGAGACGGAAATATCCAGCTCATGAATATGTTTCTGCAATACTTTTAGTAGTGGGCTTGATCCTCTTCACCTTGGCTGATGCACAAACTTCCCCAAACTTCAGTGTCATTGGTGTAGTGATGGTAACCGGTGCTCTAGTAATGGATTCCTTTCTTGGTAATTTGCAAGAAGCTATCTTTACCATAAATCCTGACACAACACAGGTGATTTACACTTTCGAAATTCTCTTTGCTAATGCTTAAATGCATAAAAGGTTGTTCATGGAAAGATTGTGACTTCGCATTTAATGCTTTTTTCTTTATATGCATAGATGGAAATGCTTTTTTGCTCGACTGTGGTTGGTTTGCCATTCTTGATCCCACCCATGCTTTTAACAGGAGAACTATTCAAAGCATGGAATTCATGTTTACAGGTAAAGATTTTACAAAATTTTTTCAGTTTTGTCTATCTCCATCCGCATGAAGTATAACCTGTAAAGTCTAAATGATCTTCTTTTTGCGCAGCATTTATACGTGTATGGCGTGTTAGTCTTTGAAGCCATGGCCACATTTATTGGACAAGTATCAGTCCTTTCCCTTATTGCCATTTTTGGTGCAGCTACCACAGCAATGGTACATAACTTCTCATACACAAGCTCTTTGTTCAATTCTGTGAAATATTAAAAGCATAGCTTATTCATGGAACCATTAATGGTTTGTGGTCATACACATTGAATCTCAATCAGTTTAATTTGAACTTTCCCTTTAAAGTGCAATATGGCCTCTAATAAACATTGCACATGCCATGAACTTTAATTCATGTTGATTTTCGGCATTTTGGCGAGTGGTGTTCTCATTGGCTGTTATCACAGGTGACAACTGCGAGAAAGGCAGTGACTTTACTACTGTCATACTTGATATTTACGAAGCCATTGTCTGAACAGCATGGGACTGGACTTCTACTTATAGCTATGGGGATCACCTTGAAACTCTTGCCAGCTGATAGAAAACCAGTTTACAGAAGAGTCCCAAGCTCATCCTCATCCACAAACGAAAAAATTGGAAACTCTTCTACGAGTGAAGAAACGAGGAATCGATCAGAAATTGAAGAAGAAGAAACTTCCCTCGTCTAAACTTGATTATTACTATTGCTTAATTGTAGTTAATTTATTTCTTTTGACTTGAGTTTGAATTTTTAATTTTCTGTTTAAAAAGGAAGAAAAGATACTCCATAAGCCATTCCGGATAATACGGACTGTTTCTGGCATTTGACAAGCAAACAACACTACAGTTGTTATCAACCACATGTCATTTGGCTCCCATGCATAAGTACACGTACTGTCTAGTTCATTGCACTCTTCCAAGAATAAAAACCACCTTCTTTTTCATGAAGGGATGAAAAAGATCAGATCATGAACGGTAAAATTGGAAACGATACTATTAGAGGTCAAGGTGAAGAGAGAATACAGTAAAATGAGTGAGTATGATGAAATAACCGTCGAGACCACTAGTCCACTGCTTGAAGGATGGGAGGATTGAGACAAAGGAAGACCGAGAGAGCCTGGAAAGGAGAGGATGTGAAGTGTATCTTTTTTTGCGGGCATGGGGGCCATTGTCACATGCTTCTCGCTCATTTCTTCCACGTCTGCCAGCAAGCTCTCCTCAGGTAACTGGTAAAAATTGGGTACTAATCCATGCAGAAAATGAGACAAAACAATTCAATGGTACACCTTTGTAGTCAAGTGTGACAAATGAAAATCGTTTTAAATCCTGAACTTCTAAACTAGAATCCGACAAGGAAATGGCTGTAAAAACGCCCACCGTGGGGCTCGGAACCACGACCACAATGTTACGCGCCTTGCGCTCTACCGACTGAGCTAAACGGGTTTGGTTGACGAATTGTTTATATCGTAATAGATGTCTTAATACTGAGCACTGCAAACCTAATAGAATGTGCCCCCTAGATTTTTATGTCTACTGACACAAAGAAAGACGCAGCTGTCAAGGAAAGGACAGCGACTGAGTGTGATGTCACTAACCATAGAAGGGATCAGCAGCAACGGCTCCTCCAGCAGTGCCAAGACCATGGCATCTGCCTCATGCAAAATTTAGCAAAACGACTTGTTAATTGTTCTACAAGGTGGTGAGCATATTCGCCAACTATAATGACATTCTAAAAGAATAGTATGTTATTTTATCTTTCTTGTGAACATACAATAAAATGACATGAATTATTTTTAAATTTTAAAAATAAACTACATGCTTCAATGGCACAAAAATATTAATTTGGCATACAACAAAACATTCAGATGAAATTTGGAAATATAGGCTAGTCATCATCTTCATCCATATATATATATATGTATGTATATATGTATTGTGATTTTATTAATATAACATTAATACAGGCTTAGAACCCACCAGTAGCCGACCACCGATTCGTCCCCCCTGGCCCTCCACCAATGTAAGTTTAATCCATAATCAATATCATGCAACTGGCAACTTTGGGTTGCATGGTCATCAAGCCTATCTCAACACCTCAAAAAGCCTTTCTGACTCCACACTCCCCATGCAAATAAAAATCATGAAGGAACAAATTGAGGCCCTTTTCTTCACACATTATTATTTTTTGGATAATTGAGGTGGATTTGGTATTCCATTTAAAAATCAAATCTCTTTTTTTTTTTTTTAACCCATTTATTTCACTTTTTTCATTCTTCCATCTCTCCCTCTATATAAATGGGTTTATATTGAGGAGAAAACTATTAAAAGAATAATCTATAAAAGTATCCAACAACAAAACATAAGGCTTCAATAACAATCATCAAAGCAAACGAGTAACAACAATAGAATCTATAAAACATCAAGCAAAAGCAGCCAAAGTTGTTGGAATATGGAAGCTTAAACAGAGTAAATGAAACATAGCATACCTTTCAGTCCCTGGAATATGCATTGTAAAAGATTTCGGTTTAATCTGTTTGTCACACAATAAAGGAAAAAAAAATGAGGATTTCAGTAAGATTTCACAAAGAGAGGACCAATTACAATAACATCGTCGAGATCACAGCAGTAAAACAAAAACTGGATTTTATAAAAAATCACAAATCTATTTACGCCTAAAATTTTCTAATTTCTAATCCAAAAATAATAAATAAACAGAAAGCTTTTGTTCTTATTTGAAACCCTCATGATCTTTAACCAATATATTATATTATTATCTTAATTAGAAATTCTTAAATGGAATTCTTTTTCTCTTACATAAATAAAACAAATAATATTACTTTATCCCAACTCAAGTGAACATTTATTATTAAAAAATATTTTAATATTGATATTTAATCATTTAAGTTTTTATTCGTTTTAATAGAAGCAGAAAGAAAATATTTATTTTTTTATTTTTTTATATCCACGTATTACTTATTTTTAGGAAATAGAATGATTTTCAAAAAGATATAATGAAATTTTTTATTAGTTTTTCCTAAAGAGAAAACTGATATGATGGATGGGTCCAACAAAAACAAACAATTACACAAAAATTAATATTTTTTAATATTTAAAGATTCAAATTGAATAAAAAATATAATTTAATAAATTTAGTGGTAAGGTAATTTAATTAAATGAATTTAATAGAATAAGAATAGAATTTAATACCACTACCAAGAAGGCAATATATACTGATCATATTGACAACTATAGAACTTGCACAAGACTCATAAATGTTAAACTAAACCTCATCGTGTACGTAACTGAACTGCTTAAAAAGTACATGCTGCAGAGCCACCGGGCAGCTCTTCCTCTACATTGCTTGGCATTCGCTCAAGATATAAGTGCATAACCAATGACTTAATAGAAGGAATTCATGCATAAAAACTCAAGACACTTTCTTTTCTTTGGTAACTATCCAAAGGCGATACAAGCATAAGTGGAGAGACAAGCATAGAGACAAGAATTCACTTATGATTGAGGCAAGACACCTGACAATAGCATTCCCTTCCATAAATTTCAACTCTCATTTGCTACACTTAAAACCCTTTTTTTTTTCAAAATCTGATATTGGTGTATGGTAGAGAACCAAAAAGAGACAGGCAATTAGGAAAAAAAAAAAGAATAAAATCTTTCAGTCCTTGGACCTAGCAACCGCATGATGTTTACTTCTGTTGAACTAAATTACTACAAACTTTAGACATGTTATTAACCACTGAAGACGCGCAAAATGACATCTAGCATAAACTTCTTTCCTCTTTTTCTCGTATTCATACCTCGTATTTTTCCCTCTCGCTTCCCGTTAGCCATAGGTGCCTAGTCCCCATTGAGATGGGAGATTACCAGGGACCGGATAGAGGCGAATAAGAATCCAATTCCTTGCCACCAACCAAAGGCCTCTCTCAACTTCTTTTTTTCTGGATAGTGTATGGAATATAAATAAAGAAAAAGGTTACAAAATGACTCTCATACTGTGGGAATGAATCGTTGGCTGAACCTAGAAAGAAAGGATACCACAATGGTATAAGATCTGAAAGAAGATAGGCCCGATCTAAGGAAAGACTAATTCTTACGGTGACATGAAATTCATCTTGATCTGACTCTAACCTGCCTTCAGTCAATGACAGGATGCAATTACACAGATATCAGCACTTCCTTAGCAACACAGAATGGAATGAATCGTTGGCTGAACCTAGAAAGAAAGGATACCACAATGGTATAAGATCTGAAAGAAGATAGGCCCGATCTAGGGAAAGACTAATTCTTACGGTGACATGAAATTCATCTTGATCTGACAATAACCTGCCTTCAGTCTATGACAGGATGCAATTACACAGATATCAGCACTTCCTTAGCAACACAGAATGGGCCTGACACTAACCATTTGCACTCCATGCAACATAAAAGCCAAGAAAGGAGGTTACTAAAAAGGAAAAAAAAATAAAAAAAAAAAAAAAAAAAAATATATATATATATATATATATATATATATATATATAAATGCAAACCTTTGAGGATTATAATGATTCTCCTTATGCTTTCCACAATTTATCACATAGACCACATCATCAACTCTTATACTCTGCAATGTTTGTTGCTGTAATAACCTGGAAAATTGAAATGTATTCAAATAAGAAGTTAAATGATTCTTAGGGTTGAAAGTTCTGACAACAAACGAAAATCTCAAACACAAGTTAAGAAGTCCACCTTACGTATGCCATCAGGAGGACTAAAAAAAGGTTTTTCTGCCAAGTTGATGTTATTGATGAATGTAGAGGTAGAAGCCAGTCAGAAGATGGTCCACCAAATCGATAAGAAGCAGCTAACCTATCAAGTAGTGGAGTATTTCTACAACTCTCTGTTATGTCATGGAATATGTATCGAACAAATATCAAAATTGGAAAATCCAGAAGTATAAGATAGAACGACATCAAAGTACTTAGGACAGCTTACACGAAAAGAGAACTTACACACCATAGGTTTTAAAACCCATTTTATTTTTCAAATGACACACAAAAGAATCCACCTGAACTAACCTTAGTTTTCCAATGTAGCCACTCAAGAGTTCCATCTAAGTTTCTTCACATAAAATACATGACCACAACTAACAACCGAGATTAGGGTTCAGAGTCTATGCCCTGAGTGACATCAACGACTGTAGAAACATAATCTAATAAGAATCAAAATTTTTTGTATATTCATTAAGTCAAATCATCCACATGGAGTATTGAAGCTAACATATTCATTTAAGGTAAAATCTGGAGGCAGCAGCTATTAGTGAAAATGTCAAAAACTAGCAAGTGTTGTCTGGTTTGGCTAACAGATTCACCTTTTTACAGTTCCAGAATCACATTTCAGCGGTCTGGGACAGTGTATGTGTTATGAGCCAATCTCGTATAACGCCATGTCCGGGCACAGGTTGTCATGAGCCACCCATGAATCGGGCCGTAATCGTGTAGAGGTGCCAAGAGGGAAGGTAGAGCTCATCTAGGAAAAAGTATCCCTATTTCAAACATTGTAATGGATCTTAGTAGTATAGCTATAAAATCTCATTTGCTCTTTAAAGGGGTGAGCAATTGACGTATTGTTGGGCTACCTCATTGGTTAAGATATGTGTTAGATCACCCATCTAAGGCTACCCTTTGGCCTCGACGATGGTGGGAAGACTCAATTTATTATTTTCGATATTAATAAAATTTTTTTTATACGGGAACGCTAGGGGTCACCTTGGTGTGCTCCCATTTTGCCTCGATAGTTCGTTGTGTATGCTTGAGATTGACTTGTGGCTTGCTGGTTGCTTGTTCAGATATTGAACTATCCTTGGCTGACTTGTGTGAAAGTGTCCATTCAAGTGCTGCATGGTTTATTACTTCATTGAGAGAAAACTTAGCCCGTGACACGTGGTATCAGAGCACGGTTGAGAACTACTAAAGAATTGATAAAATGGTAATGAATGGTGGATTTAGTGACCAACAGAGGATTGAAGAACTTGAGGCTACGATGGCTACCCTAAAAGCTCATGTGGTAACTCATAATCGATTGAGGGAGATCGAGACAACCTAGCGGGAGTTGGTTGATACTCTACATAGCTTGAGCGAGGAGACCAGAGATGCTTTGAATGTCCTCCAAAGAGAGTTTAAGGACCTTAAGGCCTAAGTGAATGTTTTACAAATGGCTGTGGCCAGGTTGAGTTCTAGCTTCATGGAAAAAGGGAAAAGGGCCAAAATGCCGGAGCCTCGATGTTATGAGAGAGCAAAAGATGCCAAAGAGCTTAAGAACTTCCTGTTTGACATGGAACAATACTTTCGAGCTGTGCATACAAAATCAAAGGAGTATAAGGTTGCAATGGCTTCAATGTACCTTGTCGAGAATGCCAAACTGTGGTGGCGTTCAAAATTTGTAAACGATGAATGCCCTATTAAAACTTGGGCGAATCTTAGGCAAGAGTTAAAGAACCAATTCCTCCCTGAGAATGTGGAAGATATGGCCCGAAGGAGGCTTCAAGAATTGATGCAAATAAGAACGGTACGGGAGTTTGTGAAGAGCTTTTCTATCCTGATGTTGGACATTAAAGACATGTCTAAAAATGACAAGATGTTCTATTTCCTTGAGGGCCTCAAACCTTGGGCTAGGGCCAAATTACAAAGACAGAAGGTGTAAAATATGGCCATGTCTATGGTTGCTGCTGAATGTCTTCATGATTTTAATGATGGCTCTTCAAAACAAAAGAATCCTCCATCAGTTGGCAATACCTCCAACTTTGGGAGTGGGGGAAAAATCGCCAGAATGGACCGACCCTTTAATGGGGGATCTGATAGATGGCCTTTTGGTCAAGATAATTCCCAACCCAGGGCAAACAATGCATCGATTTTAAGGTCAAGGCAACCGTTAGCTTATACCAAAGGACGCATGGGGTAGCCGAATGCCCACATAGAAGTGCCCTTAATGCTCTAAGAGCCTCGTCTCAAGAGTCCACTAAAGCACCCGAAACAATCAAAGAAGTTGAAAAGGAGCCAGCCATGATGGGCTCAATACGATTCCTTAATGCCTTTTGTACCCAACTAAACATGATAAAAAAAAAAACTAGGAGAGGTCTGATGTATGTGGACCTGATACTCAATGGGAAAAACACAAAGGCCATGGTAGATATGAGGGCAACTGATACCTTCATCACACCAGAAGAAACAAAAAGGTGTAATCTCAAGATTAATAAGAACTATAGACAAATGAAAGCGATTAATTCATCAGCCTTTACGATCAACGAAAGCCGAGTGTGATGACCAAGTTGGGCCCATGGAAAAGAAATGTAGACTTCACAGTTACCCCCGTGGATGACTTTGATGTTGTCCTAGGATTCGACTTCATGATGCTGGCTCAGGCGATCACAATCCCTGCTACTAGTTGTCTATTGTTCTTAAAAGAACGCTCGTGTATTGTGCCGGCCACAATCCTTCCTAAGAGTGAAAAAAAATGATTTCAACCTTACAATTCAAGAAAGAGGTAAAGAAAGGAGAGCCTTCTTACGTGGCAGTGCCAATTTACAAAGAAAGGATTGAGTTGGAATCGGTACCCGATGGGGTGAAAAAGGTATTGGAAGACTTTGAGAGTGTGATGTCGGAGCAATTGCCTAAGGTCCTACCTCCTCAAAGATCGATGGACCATGAGATTAAGCTTCTTCCAGGAGTTAAACCATCAACTAAAGCTCCATATCGCATGGCTCCGCCAAAGTTGGTTGAATTGAAAAAATAATTAAATGAGCTTTTACAAGTCGGGTTCATTAGACTATCGAAAGCACCATTTGGAGCACCCGTGCTATTTTAGAGAAAACATGATGGGAGTTTACGGTTGTGTATGGAATATAGGGCTCTGAACAAAATCATTGTGAGAAACAAATATCCCATTCCACTTATTATGAATTTATTTGATCAACTAAGCCAAGCCAAGTACTTCTCCAAATTGGACTTGAGATCTAGCTATCATCAGGTCAAAATTGCTGAAGGAGATGAGCCAAAGACCACTTGTGTAATGCAATATGATGCATTTGAATTTCTTGTTATGCATTTTGAATTGACTAATGCCTCTACCACGTTTTGTACCTTAATGAATTAGGCATTTTGTGACTACCTTGACAAGTTTGTGGTCATTTATTTAGATAATATAGTGGTCTATAATTCTACCCTAAAAAAGCACCAAGAGCACTTGCGTCTCGTGTTTTAAAGACTACAAGACCACTAGCTGTATGTTAAAAGGGAGAAATGTGCATTTGCTCAGACATGAATCCACTTCTTAGGCCACATTATTAAACAAAGCCATATTCGAATGGACATGAAAAAAGTTAAGGCTATCAAAGAGTGGGCAACACCAAAGAATGTCAGTAAACTTCACTCATTTTTAGGATTGACAAATTATTATAGGAGATTTATGGAAAGGTACTTTTGAAAAATCATGGCCTTTATGGAACTATTGAAAAATGAGCATAAATGGTGTTGAACAAGTGAATGTCAAGAGGCTTTTGAGGGATTAAAGGAAACATGACAAAGGACCCTGTCTTGGCTCTCTTCGACATTGGCAAACCTTTTGAAGTTTAAACAGATGCATCTAATTTTGCTATTGAGGGAGTACTTCTACAAGAATGGCACCCGATAACCTTTGAAAGTCAAAAGTTGAGTGAAACTGAAAGGGGATATACGGCTCAAGAGAAAGAACTCCTGGCAATAATTCATTGTTTGAGAGCATGGCGGCACTATTTGTTGAGTTCACAATTCATTATGAAGACGGACAATGCGACTGTTAGTCATTTTCTCACCTAGTCAAGGCTCATGGCTAAGCAAGCTAGATGGCAGGAACTTCTAATCGAATTTGAATTTGGTTTCGAGCACACAACTGAAAGAACCAATCAAGTGGCAGATGCATTGAGTAGATAAGCAGAGTTGGCTGCCTTTAAGAGAATGGCCCCAATAACGGCTAGTAAAGTCACAATAAACATCCGTAAGCAAATTAAAGATAAATCTGAGGAAAGACCCACAGGCCAATGCCATCTTGAAGCTAGTAGAAGAAGGAAGCTTTTGACCTTGACCTAACCCTTTAACAACCTAGACCTAGCTATTAACCTGTGCCTGCCCTAGCCGTCTTTGATCTAGCTGGCTTGAGAAAATGGAAAAAAAAAATCCCAGACTACCTCAAAGCGGGACCACCCACAGGACTTCACACCAGGAAGCACTCGGCGGCTGTAATGTAAACATTTATGTATACGTAGAAGGGGGATAAAAATCGTCCTATCCTAAGAAAAAGTAAACTCCTCCCCCAACAGATCGAGTTATCTCATCCCTTGCTTGACCCCCTTGGGGACCAGATACTCAGACCTAGGCAGGCAGGAAACACACTCCCTCTTCCAAAGTCGAGCTTTTTGCTTTTGTTGAAAAGCATAAGGGGACTGCTCATAAGAGGACTGAGCCTAGCCAAATTACTCACTGGTAAAAGGCACAACTAACTCCATGAGATGGCCTGGCTAGATTCAGAGATTGCATTATTCAATCCTGGCAAGGAACTGGCTTTAGCAAAGGATTGCTCACTGCTTATAGGATTGGTGAAACTCTTGACCTTTACCCCGCTATTCCTTAGTTGTTTGTGCCGAAAACAATCGATTTGAGACAGATGTTAATGAGGGAATGCTATGACACACCATGGACGGGTCACCTTGGTTGGCAATGTATTTTGGCTCTACTGAAACAAGGCTATTATTAGCCTCATATGCGGCAAGATGTGATGGACTATGCAAAGACTTGCGTCATTTGCCAACAGGATAAAGTTGAAAAAAAAAAAACCAGCAGGCATGCTTGAACCACTACCTGTGGCCACTAGACCTTGGGAAAGTATCTCTCTTGACTTCATATCCAGTCTTCCCAAAATTGGTGATCTCGAGTTTAATCTGGTGGTGATTGACCATTTCTCGAAATATGCCATGTTCATTCCCGCCCAAAAGTATTACATTGTTAAAGACACGACTCGACTGATGTTTAAGCAAGTAATCAAGTATTGCGGCCTTCCTTAAAACATTGTCAGTGATAGAGATCCGAGATTCACTAATCATTCTGGAAAGAACTTTTCAAGATTTTGGGATTTCAACTCAACATCTCTTCAAGTTATCACTCGAAAACTGATGGTTAAATCGAATGATTTAATGAGTTGTTGGAGGAGTATTTAAAACACTTTATTCAAGCTAATCAGAAGAATTGGCCTTCATCGTTGGATGTAGCTCAGCTTTGTTTTAATTTCGATAAGTATTCTTCCACAAACAAGAGTCCGTTTAAAATGGTCAAGGAACAATTACCAAGACTACTGCATACATCTCTTGAGCCGTATGGAGGGAAGAATCCACGAGCATTCAACTTTAGCAAAGAATGGAGACAAAATACAGAAATTACGCAAGCATATTTGGAGAAAGCATCATGAAGAAATGAACAAATAAGGGTCGAAAGGTACAACCATTCAAAGTTGGTAATCTTGTTATTGTCAGACTAATGTCCAAACAAACCAAGTTCCTAACGAAGTGAGATCATAGGTTAGTGCATAAATATGAAGGTCCAGTGAAGATCCTTTCCAAAGTGAGGAATGCCTCTTACAAAATCAACTTGCCAACATGGATAAAGGTGCATCCAGTATTCCATGTGAGTAACTTTAAAGCCTTTCCATGCAGATCCCACAGATGCAAGTCAAGGTGAATCAACCAGGGCAACCATTTCCATGAAACCACCATTTGAAGGTATAGTCGAAGAAATTTTAGCTAACAGGGTATCCAGAGTATCTCGAAGAAGAGTAACATTCAAGCGGAAGATTGAAGAATTCCAAGCCAATGACGAGGGCATCGATAGAATAAGTGAGGGAAGATGTCATGAGCCAACTTTGTATATGGCCATGACCGAACATAGATTGTCATAAGCCACCCATGTGTAGGGCCATGATTGAGTAGAGGTGCCAAGGGAAAGGGTAGATCTCATTTGCTAAGAAAAAATGTACTCATTTCAAACATTGTAATGATTTTTTTGTAGCATAGCTATAAAATCTCATTTGCTTTTTAAAAGGGTTGAGCAGTCGACATATTATTGGGCTACCTCACTGGTTAAGCTATGTACTAGATCACCCATCTAGAGCTGCCCTTCTAGCCCCAACAATGATGAGAAGACTCGATGTACTATTTTCGATATTAATAAAATATTTTTTTATATGGGAACGTCGAGGGTCACCTTGGTGTGTCCCATTTTGCCCCGATATATCGTTGTGTATGCTTGAGATTGACTTATAGCTTGTTGGTTACTTGTTCAGATATCAAACTATCCTTGGTTGACTTGTGTAGAAGCATCCATTCAAGTGTCACACGGTCTATTGCTTCATTGAGAGAAAGCTTAGCCCGTGACAGTGTGGTTGGAAGAAACAAAACAGTGATGCACCAGGACCACAAATAAGCAAACTTGACCCAGACAAACATAAAGGTTGGAGAAAAAGACTGTGTTATCCAATAACCGATTTTAAGTGGGATAATGAAAACATTCAATATGGTTCAATTCATAATAAGGATTTAAAATTTTTCAAGATAAGCACTTCCATGAAAAGACCGAGCTACTTCACATTTTGTCGAAAGAACAATTGAAACAGCAAAACAACAAAGTGGTCAGTTATTACTCTTAAACGAATGCCATGTCAAGGTTTCATGCTAGTTCATAGGAACTTAAGTCTATAAAATCATTAATCTTAAATGAAAGACACAACTTTTGGCATCTATAAAATTAGGAAGACAAAGAACAGCTTAAGAAGTCGAGCTTATGTTTAAAAAAGTAATGACTAAAGTTAACGAAATATATTCTGATAATCCAGAACATACCTTCCATAAACTTTGGCTATAAGCGTATAACTGATTACTACTTCCTTTAACAAAATATACAATCGACAAATAGTTCAACACAAAGCTGGGTATGTTGAAGAAAAACAGAATAAGCCCAACAGATTAACAAGTCTTCATACTGCCCGACGCATATAACATTATGAAGTTGTTGTCATTGTTAGGGGGAATATTAAACGATCTAACTAAAATCTAACAAAAATTGTAGCTAACATCTGCTATCATACACTCAAAAGTGTTAGTAAAGATCAAGGGTCTTCTCATTCCTAGAAAATAAAGCATAAGCAAGAAGGACAAAAGTGTTACTTAAGCACAAAAAAAATAGCCTATTAGATATGGTGATCGAAATTGGCACATTCTGGAAGCTGCATCAAGAGAATTATAAAAGATTGAAATGTTATTCATCAAGTGGGACTCCCTAACCAAATTAAGCAGACAGGAAAAGAATAACTGAAATCGGTAAAACAGAGCATACACAGGTAAAAGTATATTTGAAATAATGGGCAGCACAACGCTCAAAACCCAACTCATTATAATCCGTATTGGATTAAGGTATCACAAGAAGAACTAATAACAAACCAGATTATGGAAGCAAGTCAGCCCAACTTCATTGAGTGCGGGGATTGATCTATGGGCAATGAAGTAGCGATCAAGGTGATGGAAGAAGCGTGATAGCCACCTGACCATTACTTTATGGTTAGCCCATCTTTTAACAAGCTCCCTCAACATGAACTCATCATGCTTCTGGCAATACCTGATTTTAGAAAAGGAGGAAATTTGAGACAACAAGCATATATACTTACCACACAAAGTAGATGCACAGATATAAATAGCTTCCATAGGGTTTCTATTGAGGAGAAAACTATTAAAAGAATAATTTATAAAAGTATCCAACAACAAAACCATAAGGCTTCAAAAACAATCATTAAAGAAAAATAGTAACAACAATCTTTAAACAACAATATAATCTATAAAACATCAAACAAATGCAGCCAAAGTTGTTGGAATCTAGAAGATTAAACAGAGTAAATGAAACAGAGCATACCTTTCAGTCCCTGGAATATGCATAGTAAAAGATTTCAAAAAGAGAGCACCAATTACAATAACATCCTCGAAATCGCAGCAGTAAAACAAAAATTGAATGTTATAAAAAAAGAAAAACAAAACAGAAGAATGAGAAGGAAAACCCCAGCGAAATAGCGAAATCTAATCTGAGCGAAAACAGAAACCTTGCGTTCTTTTAAAGGCAAATATATATATATATATATTATATATATATATATATATATATAACCGTTGCAAGACTACGCGCCCTTTGACCATCAGCGCAAACATAGGCTCTTCTTTGACCGCCTTTGACAATTAAATGGGCCTCACTGCAAGAAATAGGCCCATATAAATTATTTCCGTGTTGTTTGTGTTACTGTTATCGTATTTGAACTCGAAGAACAAAAGACCTTTGTGGGCTTAAGGAGTGACGGCAGAGGTTTTTCTTCAGCCACTGAGTTAAGGATCTTGGTGAGAAGGACTTGCCCTAGAAAAGTTGGGCTTTTATTATGGATTAAAAGGACCATCTGTCAATAGATGAATGTATAACCGTATTAAGGGTCTGATAACAAAATCAATAACATTTCAAATCATGATTGGAGGAACTTTGGGACATTTCAAGCCCTTTCTCAGAACACCGTACACATCAGAAGAAGGTGGTTCGACGTACGCGTAAACTTACAAGAAAATTGAAATATATTATTCAAGAACACAAAACGGAACTTAATGATAACCAAACAAAGGAAAAACACAAATAATAATAAGTGGCACTGAGACTAAAAGAACAAAGAATATCTGCTTAATTCTACTGATACAAAACAGAAAATACAAACATGAAAACGAGAAGAAAAAAAAGAAAATACCTTGATTTGGTTTTTCAAGGCAAAGGAACAGAAGAAGAGACATTGAACATCTTTTCCAAGGAATTAAGCTCCGATAACAAAGCATCGAAACTCCAATCTGAGTCCGGTTCAAGACCGATTCCATTAACGGTTAAAGGGCACCGAATTTCCAACTTAACGGCTCCCCTACAATGTAATGAATTTTACAAAAGTAAATTAGCAAAAAAAAAAAAAAAGAAAGACCACAAACTGAAATTCAAAATAAACACAAGAGAAAAAATTTTTGTGAAAAACCCGAAGGATTTTGGGGATTTGTAAATTTAAAACCCTAATGATTCTACTGGGCGATGAAAATAAGAGTAAAACACTAGAACCCCAATGTTTTCGATTTCCCAAGGATAAGCACCAAGGCCGATTTCACAGTAACATTTTTAATGAAAGAGACAAACCATAACGCTTCAAAAACAATCATCAAAGCAAACGAGTAACAACAATCTTTAAACAACAAATATAATCTTTAAAACATCAAATAAACGCAGCCAAACAGAGTAAATGAAACAGAGCGTACCTTTCAGTCCCTGGAATATGCACTGTAAAAGATTTCACAAAGAGAGGACCAATTTCAATAACATCCTCGAAATCACAGCAGAAAAAGAAAAAATAAATTTTATAAAAAGAAGAAAAAGAAACAGAGAGAGGGAAAACCCTAGAGAAATCTATTCTGAGCGGAAACAGAAACGCTCGCTTTCTTTTAAAAGGCTAAAAAAATATAACCGTTGAAGACTACGCGCCCCTTGACCACCGGTGCAAAAATAGGCTTCTTTTTACCGCCTTTGAGCATTAAATGGGCCTCAAAACAAGAAATAGGCCCATATGCATCATTACCCTGTTGTTTGTGTTACTGTTACACTTGAAGAACAAGATAGTTTTGTAGGCCTGAGGGAGGCAGACTTTTTCTTGGGCCACCAGTTAAAGATTTTGGTAAAAAGGCCTAGCCCTTGGTTGAAATGATGGGCTTTTATTAGGGATTAAAGGGGCCATCTTCTAAACATCTAAGCCTAGGAGCAAGGATTTCCACTCTTATCTTCTGGGTTGACTAGTAACATAAATTGCATTGATGGATTCAGGCTTAGCTGTTAAACCCAACTCACCAGTGGGCCCGATGGTCCTTGATTTAATGAGGGTCGCTGCCCAGATAAAGCCCAGAGTTTTGACGGCCCATCCATCCAATTTTAGTCCCAAAATATCAAAGCCCTGCATCCAGCCGAAGAAGACTCCTAAAAGTCCATCTTCAATTGCGCGATTAGAGTTGAGACTCCGACACCAGCGCTCCATTCCTAGATGACTGTTGATCAGTGCGTCCATATTCATCAATCTATTTATGGTATGGTAAGGAATAATCGATCGAATTCGAGATCATACAATATTAAATTTAAATTTAAATTTAATTTAAAATTTAAAATTTTATTTTTTAATTTAAAATTAATTTAAAATAAAATTTAAATTATTTAAATTTATTTTTATTAATATATAAAAATAAATTTAATTTTTATATTTAATAAAATTTAATTATTTGTGTTTAAATTTAAAATATTTTATTAATTAAAATATAATTAAAATGTAAAAATTTACCCATAAATTATTTAAGTTAAATATAAACATGTTAAAATTCGATTTAATTAATAAATTATATTATTTAAATTTGATTTAATAATAATTAAATTAAATTAAAATTTTATTTAAGTTAAATTTAAATAATTTATAAATATTAATATATCATTTACTCGTGCTTAACGTATAATCTACGAGAAAAAGAACCCAAAGGAATTGCATTTTTTTTCATTAAAAAAGAAAGAACGAAAGAAACTACAGAACAATGATACAAAGCCAAACAACAAGGGGAAAGGTTACGATGAATAGCACACTGACAACGTGCTGAACTGAAATGTACATCTCTCCTTCTCTCAATTCCTCTTCCCCCGTTTCAAAATCCCTTTATCTCTTTCGCTTCGTTTCCAGATCTGCCAATACCGCTCATCAACGACGTGGTTCCACTCCCATTCCGGTAACCTTTCCGTTTCCTTCTCATTCCGGATCTGATCGCTGATTCTCAAACCTTTACTCGTTACTCGATACTATTACTAATTTGTGTTAATTGCAAATTCATCAAATTGTTTCATTATTATTTTTGGCTGAGAAAATCAAACTGTTTCAGGATGTAATTGAAATCAATTAAAAACCTGTCAAAGTCATGTTTGAAAGTCCTGCGGCAATCGCTTCTTCTCACAGTCCTCATCTTCGGAAATCAGGCGGCAAACCTGTTCTTTCTGACCTAGGTATATTGAACGTAACCTTTCATCTCTTTTATTAATTGATTGACCTTTGATTTAAATTTATCTAACAAAATTAGATTTTTTTCGTTTTTTTTAATTTATTTTTAGGGGCAGATGAACCTGGAAATAACGTTCAAGAAGGTTACGTGTTTCCATTGGTGCTAGGTGACATGAAAGGTACAAATTCACCTATGAACACCGCGGCAGCGATACTGCCTTCTGCCATCTTTCTATGGAGATTTAAGGTTTGGTTTTTTTAAGGTTCTTCGAATCAGAAATCGTAATTCACTTCTTTTTTTTTTTCAAAACAAATTTTGATGAATTTCTAATGGAAGTGATTTTTCAGGTCATATTGTTTTTGATATGGGGCTTCACTTGTTGCAAGGTCAGTATTATAGAATTAGCTAGGATGCCACAGATGCTAGTGAGAATTTGTCTTGGAAATTCTTGATTGCTTTTGTAAAAGTTTCTTTTATTGAAATAGATTGGATGGGATTCGGTCATGAGAATGAGTGCGGATCTGCGAGACTTATTCTTGTATGAGGCATTCTTATATTATAACCCTCTCCTTCTTGTGGTTAGTTAACATCTCTTGGAATTTGACTACAGATTGTTCTTTGATATTAGATGTTTGTTGAATCTTACATCTTGATCTTGCAATTATAGACAATGATGGTTTGGCTATGGGGAGTTTGTTTATGGGTCTTCTCACAGAGTACTGTTAATTATGCAAAAATATTTGATCTTGATCAAAACCACCTTACTTACAGAGAAATATGGAAGGTACTTTTTCTAACTGCTCTTCTTTTATTTGAAGTCTTTACCGTTCGTATGCTTTATTGAGAATTTGGTCCTCAGATTTTGTTGCCTCTATGGCCAATAAAATGTTTTCCTTTTGTAATTTCCGTTTTCTGTTTTGTTGTATGCAGTGTAGCATATGGATGACAATTATAGTACCAACTAGCATGACGGCATACCTTTATCTTTACTCCCATGGAGAAGTATCATTGGCAGCATCACAACCAGTGTAATATCTACCCTTTTTCCTGGCATTATGTTTTTTCTGCAGTCACTGGTTATGGCTTTACTAAATTATTGCTTGTTAATTTCTCACTAAATATGAGATGCCATTAATGATTTTGTGCATATATGTATGAATACATATGTTATGTGACTGTCTGTGGTCTTCTCTTGTAGACTTGTAGAATGCACTCTGTTGGCTTACCAAGTTATCATGCCATGGGTTATTTGATATATATTGATAGTTCTGACTTTTTAACTACAAATTGCAGGTGATCCTGTATGTTGCTGTTGCTTTGGTTTTGGTATTCCCCTTCGATATTTTTTATTTGTCATCTCGTTACTTCTTGTTAAGAACACTCTGGCGGATAGCACTCCCACTGCAGGCAAGTTTCTAGTGTAGCTTTGCTTCCCTTGTACTTGAGCTAGCAAGCTGCATTTGCAGATTATCTTTTCTTCATATTGGATGTATTTTCTCTTTACTCTCTCTTTGGTTTTTTTTTTTTTTTTTCCCTTTTAGTAGAAATTACTCAGAGGTTCTCTGTGGCTGATATTCATTCACATTTTTTACTTGTTGAATTCTTGTATAACAGCCAATTTCATTTCCAGACTTCTTCTTGGCTGACATTCTAACCTCTATGGCCAAGGTATGAACCTGTAACCTCATATTGTCTTCTTAAGCAAGCTACTTGTTTCATTTCTGTTAATTATTAGATTTTTCCAATTAGAGGAACAATTGTATGGCTTGTTGTCTCGTCCTTTAATATTCTTATGTAGAAAGTTTCAGTTTCCTTTAGATGCACACAGATTGCATGTCATATTTTTTGTTTTCTTGATTTCTTGTGCACACTTATCCTCCTGCGCCTATTCAAAGGTTATGGTATTATAGTTTGGTTTTATAAGAGGAGCTGGATTTATTTATCTAACTGCTCGTAATCTTTATCTTGTGAAGGTATTTTCAGATTTGGAGCGTTCAGTCTGTCGAATGGTTCATTGCCAGGTAATTCAATTAAAACTAATTGAACTTAAGGCTTAATGTTCTGTCTATAATGTCTTAGAATAATGCTGTTGAATTGCTTGGATGAGGTCTTCTAATTGAACCCATGCTTGATATGTTATCTGCTAACTGTTATTTAGTGATGATGTAAAGAAACAATGAGGGGTATACTCTTTCTATCTTATGATGTACTAAATATGTATATGCTTAGATTTGGATTCTGTCAATTCATACCATAACTTCAAACTGCCAAAGCTTTTTTTTTTATTGATGCAAGGTTGGTCTTCTTAGATGAATAAGATGAGGTTTCTCTTGGCATGTAGGTCGCAACAATTGCTTGGTTTGAAGCGGACTCAGTTTGCGGTAGTCACTCAGTTGCAATTCCACTAGTGCTTGTTATTCCTTATATTTGGCGGCTAATGCAATGTCTGCGACAGTACAAGGACACGAAAGAGAAGGCAACCCTTTTTAATGGTAATACATCTAGGTCCCTGATATTTAGTATTTTCTTATTAATTTACATTTAGTCAGCCATGGATATGGAGCTATGAAGTGGTAAGCTTAGAATGTTATGCCTCAAGAAATGTCTTAAATTTTGTGTTCAGCACACCATTTAAGTTTGTCAGTGCTTTGGTTTGCTGGTTCTCA